CTAGGAGCTAAGCATCCTGATACTCTAATCAGCATGGCAAGCCTGGCAGCAACCCACTGAAATCAGGGTCAATGGAACGAGGCTGAGAAGCTGCAGATGCAAGTGATAAAGATATTTAAGATAATGCTGGGCGCTAAGCATCCTTACACTCTAAGCAGTATAGGGGATCTAGCATTAACATTTTGGTACTAGGGTCGATGGAATGAAGCTGAGCAGCTGAATAAACAAGTAATAGAGATAATGAAGATTGTATTAAGAGCTGAGCATCCTAATACTTTAATCAGCATGGCATACCTGGCAGCAACCTACCGAAAGCAGGATCGATAGAATAAATCTGAGAAACTGGAGATGCAAGTAATGGAGACAAGCAAGAAAGTGCTAGGAGCTGAGCACCCTAACACTCTGACCAGCATGGCAAACCTTGCCTATACTTGGAAATTTCAGGGGAAAATGCAAGATGCCCTGACCCTGATGACACAATGCTCTTACCTGCGCAACAAAGTGTTAGGGCCCAGCCACAAAGATTCCATGTCAGCCTCTCGTGCTCTTAATGATTGGATGAATAAGAGTAATCCATACCGCTCACTATGGAGAAAATTCCGCAGCCTCGGCGGAAAGTTTCAACACAAACTTTAGCTAACGCGGTAACTAACGTATCCACTCATGGAAGACACATCAATCCACCTTTTATCCTCAACGAAGATCAGCCGCTTCATCATTTCTTAGAGATTATTTTCCCATTGTCGCCGCCAGAGAAGGCCAAAACTAAAAAGATATGGATTAGTTTGACACCGCCACGTTTTCAGCATTTAGCTGGATAACAGGCAGCTCATTAAAGGAGTAGTGTATCATCATTGCAAGCAGAATATATTATTGTATTCTAGTATACATATGTAGAAAAGGAATATAAAGTAGTGTAATTTTCTAGGCGCAAATATGAAGTAGACTACGGTCAGTTCACCGAGACCACTTAAAGGAATTCATCTGATTAATGTTGCTTCTTCAGGTCATGTGGCATAAATATGACCCCGAACAACTGCTTTGGTCATGAATAGATTTTAGCATGAGCAGTCGGTTTCCGTATGGAAGTTCAACTTACAAACCATGCTTGGTTTACCGTATCATTGTACTGTTACGTCCCATGCTATCGTAATATACCCAAATACTAGTTTAGGCCTAGTATAGAGTAGGGTAGAGGAGTGGTGTAATAGGAAGTTGGGCAGGGAGAATTATCAATATGACATAAGCATTTGATGCTTTCAGACCTTCATTAATAATGGAACTATTGCTAACCTACAGAGACTGAAGATTGAGAAAGAAAACAATCTTATCTTACAGAAACTCTCATTCTGATGCGTGCGCGGATTCTAGGATCGGAGTCCCAACATGGCGGCAGATATGCCACGTCAGATAGAACCAGCATGAGAAAGGTCAAGTCAGTAAGCTGTTGATAGAAATTCTGACGTATTTACTTAGTTGGTGTGATTTTTCACAGCTACCTTGTTGTGCTGTTATAAGTGGCGCCGAAAAAGAGTCGAAGAGTTGCAAAACATGTAAAGCCGCACTTGCAAGGCGCTGTATAAACCACTAAAATTTACCGAGCTCTAAGAAAGTTGTTTGAACTATTACCGGAACTTTCTAGACAGCAGACCCATCGCATTTATCATCGTTTGAACGTGAGCAATATCCCATTCTGGAGATTATGCACTGTCTGTAGTGACTATCTTGAGGATGTAGATCCGGAGGATGGACCGATTCGATGGAGACCAACGTACGAACGTACTTTTCCGGCATACCACCGTTGGTGTGGGTTTTGAGCATTTTACAACACCCAAGGAAGGCCTTTTACCCGTTGTTGTATGCACGGTAATAGCTTCATCTCGAAAGCCCTAAATTACAGATTGACAGCAACTTGGAGTAAGAGATTAAGAGAATCTTAGTATCCTAGATCTTAAGAAAGAAGCTCTAATATCAGGTGAGCTAGCTAGGATATCACCTAGATCTAAAGTAGTATCCTGCAAGTTACCTTAAGAACGCACTATTAGCGTTGAAGGCTTTTCACGACGCTAATCTAGAAGTGAAGGGAATACCTCTTCAGCTCAACGTATAGATCAAGGCAGCGGATGAGGATTGCTTTATGCAGGACTATAAAGATGATCACATGTTGACTATAGACACTCGTAGGCAAGCATCTTAAGGAGCGGAGAGTGATGTAATAGAGCGACGGACTAGCTATGTGGTAGAGGCCCTCGCCAAGGCGGATAGGGCTCTGAGCCCTGGGGTTGCTAGATTCGGATCGCTTGAAGCGCGGTGCCTAGTTGGGAAAAGCCTTCACACAAAGGAGCACATAAATGCCCTTGCCTAGGCGGATAGCTTCATTCTTGTTCTCTTTCTTTCTTCATACTCAATCTTGCCAGTAGACCCCGCGCCCCTAGATAGCAACAATCAGCGGTGTCGGCCATTGTCACAAAGGAGACTGATTTGGATTATTCCAGATCAATATATCACGCAGTTTAACCTAATCTAGATTTTCTGTTGAACAATTTATTGGAATATAAGCAGTAGAAACTACATCAGCCAGCTTTTATCAGTGGTGTAGCTCTAAGTGCGGGATTTTTCTTATTGGTAGAGAAATCCGATTGGGACTGCGCAAAGATCGAGAACGAGGTCCTGTAGCCCTAGTATAGCCTTAGACACTGGAACTTCATATTGTAGCAGAAGGGCAGGTTGATAGATCCTGAATTAGTAGATTTATGAGCATACTAAACGCAACCGTGGCGCAGTGTAGAAGGCCTTTGACCCAATAAGCTTGTCTTCCGATTCGTGATTTTCTCCCCAAGATGACGAGGCAGAGCTCCAGCAAGGTGACTGGAGGGTTCCTCCAGTGGACCCTTGTAATCAATTTGCGCAGTTCCATAGGCAGAATTGCGCTATTAATCGATAATAACATAGAGATCAAAATGTTCTACATGCAACACTGGCAGAATGCTATAGGCTCTTCAAAGCCAGCTTTTCAGCTCATTGGATATATGGAGACACCCTCCTGCATGGTTTCATAGTTGCATTAGGACATCACCGTCAGAAATTAATTCATGCACTCTATCCGCCTGAATATCAATCAATTGGATGCCCGATATTAGTTAGATGTAGATTACAAAGTTAAGTTGGACTTCAAATCGATCTTCCTTCGACTGTGAAAAGTGATATAGCCAGTCTGAGGCCCTTAAAATGGGTTTAGATAGACAGAAAGAGGCAATACTCAAACTAACTCGCATGATCCTTGCACTACTATAATCATTATGCAACCAGTCTAATCCTTATTGAGCTACATACGATAAAGCCCGGTGCCTACACTGGCACAGAACGACGTCTCTATCCAATCAGCTAGATATTCACACTTATAGGAAAGTGGAGATTGCTCGATAGAATTCCAAATTCTATCTACAATGTGGCTAGCTAGACACGGTGACTCATCCTATCCTATAGCATCCCAGATGAGGAGAAGGTACGCAATATCTGACTGCACCTTCACCTCCTGCAATATGTGCAAGTCTATAGGGACTATATAGGACCACGTATCAAGCTGAAAAGCAGGCACTCGAAATGCAATGAAAGCATATGAAGTCCAACGTAAGAAAGCTATGCCCCAACCACTACTTCTAATAGAAAGTATAATGTAGAATAGGCTCATTCAAACGTTGAGACTCTCTATCTTGTGGATACACTTCCTGAAGTTTCAATCACGAGGAAATGAAAAGAAAAGAATCATCAAATGTAACGGTGGCGTAGTCTACCAGCGCAGCGTAAAGACTCAATTTTCAGCTGTTAGATGCATCACGGGCTGCTAGTGACTCCCAAGGCTGCGTAGATTATTGAGATAGAGAAAAACAGGGATGCACTTGAGCGGCGGTCGTCGAGCAACGCACTTGAGGTTGGTATAGTCGACGAGCATCACACGCGCTATCCTCCATCAGGACAGGCACAAAAAATCTAAACCCAAAACTGATGCACGCTAGGCCGACAGTTCTCAATCTTGCTACTTAAGATATTTGTTTGCTACCTAGGTATTGCTTATATTCCATTGGGCCAAAAACAATCAGAACTTTTTCAGACAACAGAAAAAGAAACCTGGCAGGCTTCATTTCTGCCACAATAGGTAAATCACAGCTCACATGAAATATGCATATCTCTCGTGCTAACGAATTTCATTATTACCACTATAACGATTATGATCCATCCCCTGAAATGTACACCCGGTTTCACTGACGTGAATGACCTCGGAACTTTTTTAATATCCACAGTTGAATGAACAATGCCTACGTAGTCGGGGTTTGAAACTCTGGACAAATGTAAAGGCCATAAGAGGCTGATAAATAAAAGGACCGGGTACCTACCTGGAAGATGTTGTAAAAATATGGCGATTGCTACTACCTTGTACTACATGGTGTAACAATGACTATTACTTCGTCAGAATGTACCAGAATAGTTACTGCTATGAGTCAAACGTTCACTCCAGCCAACTAATCATGCTTAGGTGATGGTGAAAAGGAGGCACTGTAACCCAATTCACTTAAGATCCGTGATACTGAGGACTTGTTAGAGGGATTTAGAACAACACCAAGTTCCGGCACGTAGTTCACCTGATGGGGTATTTTCAGCCACAAGACCAATGCGTGGAAATGATTTTTCTACTTCCATGCTTAATCCTTGAGACAATTCCGGGATACTTGTCCATTTTGAGACAACTCTGTGCCAGTCAGAACCTAGAAAACATGCCAGAAAATAGGGACAGCCCATAAAATGTGAAACACGGTTGTATTCTAGACTCTTGTACCACGTTGGGTGACTTAGGTACCATCTAGACAATGTACCTCATTTCCTTCTCAAGCTTCTTATACTCCGTTAAAGCAACATAAACACGTAAACATCAATACTCCCCGGTTTTCTATCCAGATTTTTCAAACATACTCGAAGCATAGGATATACCGTAAATAAGCGCCATGGCTGAAACAGTCTCGCTCTGTCTATCCTACATCACTGAGTCATCGAGCGAATCCTTGAAATCATTTGACAGTAGCGCCGCTGCCGCTGATGATGCAATCAACCTGCTCAAAGCGAAGGCTAAAAATAGGAATGTCGAAGCGTTGAATGTTCCATCGCTGGCTTATCCTTTTCCTGTTCAGTGGTTAGAGATACTGTTCAGCCTGTATACGGATAAGCAGGAACCATCAACACAGATGGATCAGAAGCTTCTTGGACGAGAGACCAAGAAGGCTAGAAGTGTTGCCAGTACTCACAGCGTTGAGAGAGGAGAATCTTCAGGTACTCATACTTCTTCTCACAAGTCAACAGAAACTGCCATGGAAGCGAACGCAGCCGGTGGTGTGAATTACCTAGTTGAAAGTGCCCAGAGGTCGGTTCCGACACAGCGACAAAGATCACCTGATGGGAACGAGGGCACAGGTGACGACATCGAGCTTGAAGTCTTGATCAAACGTGCTTTCAGACTCTCGTTAACCGATGGATCAGAGTTTACCAGGCTCACTGTGGCAGAATCCCTGTATACAAACAAGGGCAAAGAACCTATTCGGCCTGCCGTCACAGAGACAAATTTCCTTGACACCAGCATCTCTCAGCATGGCGAAGAAAGCGCGCTAAGCAATACCAACAAGAAGAGGCCGCTACGGTCTGCCCTTAAGACAAAGTCGATATCTTCGACAAGATTCTCAGCAAAGAGACACTCGTCCACTTGTTCAACGGAGTCTGATCAGTTTACAGCAAAAACGACGGTTCAGTTTGAATCTCGTGAGGTTGGAAAACCAATCGGACTTCATAAATCTTACAGTAAGAGCATTGAATCGGATGATGAATGGAAACAGGATCGTAATAGGTCCGACGAGCAGGATTCTGAGGATGATATATCTGATGAAGGAGATCAAGAATTGCAACACCGACTTGATCTCATTCTCAAAAACAGTCCAGCGTCAGCCATAACCGTGAAGCCATATACAAGCCCTATGACCGGACAAGATGTCTTTCTGTTCAACCACGGCATTGTCATACCAATTAAAGACGTAAATAAGCTTGTCTACGGCGTAGCTATTCCCGGGAAAATATACCGGCAAAAGAAAAACCGATACCCATCCACCTTCGCATTTCTGGTGACATTGGCGAAGGCGAATCTCGATATCCTAGACATCGGAACAGCGAATGACGATTTCATCCACGCGTTGATCTTGGATGACGCCGAGGAAGCTTATGGAAAGTCGAAATACGGGGATTATGCATGGGCCGGTATCACAAAAGAGCGAAAAAGTCGATATGATCCAGATACCCAATTTCGGTGGTCCATTTTTTTCCCGTCACAGTGGCGACGACATGGTCTTGTTTTGTTGGAAGATCAGAATGTGAGCTTGAAAAGTTTTCAATTTCTATTATTAGGCATGGCGCTGATCTATTAGCCCCCCGAAAATAGTTGTAAATTCCGAATAGTGACCTTATGCGGAAAAGTGTTACATCAGTGGTACGTGCGATGTGAACCGCGAAGAGCCTTTGGTCCACGGGATATCATCGCTAGAACATCATGCGGCGAAGACGATACTTGCGAATTGTCATCTAACTGGGAGCCCGAGAGCGGACCGAGGGCGCACAATGACTCCATTAAGCGCTGGACCGAAATCGATCCGGATCGAGAAGGGGTTGGCCTTCCGGATCTATTCCACCCTTTCATGAAGGTTTGGATTATTGAAGGGCCTCCAAAGGAAGAGCCACCGCCGGTATGTCAATTCCTCGAAAACGAGGGTATTTTCGTGGAAGATACGTATTACTGAGGCAGATAATCCTGACTACTTGTCACAGGGCTGTATGAAAATAAACTGTGTCACACGATGCGGGCTTGTAAAAAGCAAAATCAGACTTCTCTGCCCCCGACACATCTCCAAAACCCCGAAATGCATTGGTGGCGAATTCACCATGCTCATTGATAGAGGATGCGCGCTTCGCGACGATATTGACCGGTGTGACGAAAAATCCCTGTGCGAAGGTTATCTCGCCTGGTTCGATGCTCGACTCGGCCTGCCATTAGAAAACTTGTCTGTCAAGCAGGCCAATGACCTCGACAGATTGCATACTACTCTTGTGTCGGCGTACAAAAATGAGACAAGGCTCATGGGTTCGTTCCTGAAACATAAAGATAGCGAAAAGAAATGGCGTGATGTGATCTACAACCATGTTGACTACTATGAGATGTTGTTTAGATGGGGGTTGAGGGGCATCCAATATCCAGAGGGTTTATCCGTGGTACGAGCAGATGAATCTGTGCTGATGGGGTGATTGATGCCATGTAATTTGGTGGTCTCGTTTCTTTTGTCTCGTATAGTCGTTTATTAAATCTCGGTCAATAATGCGGACTTGAGACTGCGCATCTTACGAGTGATTCAGCCGTACGGGTAACATATTTCAATTAAAAAGCAAGCAAGGACCAAACGCCTTGTCGATGCAACCCGAATCTTTCTGGAAAGTGGACACGATTGATTCGACCCAATGCGCGGTAGATAATCAGACACAGCATTATCAAAGGAATGTTTGTGAATCCGGTCTTTTGGTATGTGCAATTGACTCTCAGTATGGGTGTGTCAAACAACCACTGCAGGATCGAAAGAGCAAATTGTGGAATTGAACTCCGCAGCCCCGATGATCCTATCTATGCCATTCAGGTGGTTGAATTGCGCCCAAATGTCAAAGCTCATTATTTAACTGGTCTGTGAGTACAGTAACATTGTGTCTGATACAATGGACCAGATTCCAGGCACTATCACTTGCAATGTACGCGTATTGTAGGCTTGTGTAAGCATTAGCAGGGGTGATTATCGTCTTGTAGCCTCACTTTTTTCCCCACACCCCGGCATTCTGGGATTACTATGAACATGGCGCAAAGTAGACTAGGAACGCAGCACCCTACCAAAGCGCTGGTCGTTGCACGAAGTGCATGAAGACTAGACAACTTCTGGCATAGAACACATCTCAGCCAACCACTCGATATAGAATTTGCAGGGCCTAGATCTTGCCTGTCTCTGACCCTTGGCATTTATGTCCGCGGGCCTTGTTATACGGCCTGTAGATCGACGCTAAAATGGCTCCCATGCATCGAAGTCGGTCCATGCATCGAAATCGGTCCCAGTTCTTGCAGTCTCCCGCTGTCAACCCACCCAAATTAGGCACATACCCAAGACTACGGAATGGTTATGCATCCAAGCTTTTCGGACAGTCGGTGAGGATGGTGCAGGGGTTGTAGTTTCGAGGAGACATTTCGGAATATCCTAGGCTGCCATAGGAACTTGTGAATTTAATCCAACGACAACATGTGAGGATATAGTTCCGTAGACGAACTCCCTAGATAAATTCCCTAGATGATCGGCTTACTCGGAACTGAAACTGTCCATTTCAGAGTTTGTAGTCTGGGTTAGGGTTACGACAGCGACTGGTGACCAAATACGGTTAGATTGATTATGATAATGTTTGATACGGTATCGTATTATAACCAGATCCGCGTAGCCGTTAAGTAACCAATTAGAGCCGTCGATCCCGCGTTTAGTGTGGGTGAGGCCCGAAGATTACTCATCCCAGTGCATAATCCACAACCAAAACGGCAAGACTGGTTTTCCCGAGTCTTGACATCAGTCAGTTCCCTCTAACCCCCCCCTGCCCACCACATCACTTTGCGTTCAATGAGATTCTGAAGCTGGGTGGAGGAATCGGACGCATACTGTATAGAAAGGCTACACCGCGCCCGCAGCAGCTCGACCAAATCGAATCTCCCATTGATGCCGACCAGACGATGACGCCCTCATGGGAGACGCCGAGACGCCCAAGAGTGACAGCGCTGAAGCGAAAGCCCAGCTGGTCGCTGGCAAGAAATCACGCCGTACACTGTCATGCCTCAGTTGCCAGAAGCGTAAAGTAAAGGTATGTTGCGCAGCTAGCATAGCGTACATGAATTGCAGACTGATGGCGTTGTTTCATTGATAGTGTGACCGTGTGAAACCGTGTCGAGCTTGTTGTTTGCGAGGCGTGCCCGCCCAATGCGAATACGGAACTACGAAACACGACCGGGGCTTTATTGAGCAATCAGACCTTATCGAAGAACTCCGGGCGAAAGTGAGGAAGCTTGAGCAAAAGCTCACCGAACATAATGGCGTCGTACTGCAAGGAAATGTCGGGCCAGACAGATCTGCTTTGAAAGCGAAGGTCGCGGCTATCGACGCGAACAAGAAGACTGTTTCGCAAGTACGTTACTGAAGTGGTCCGAAAGTGTTGCTGAAGTTCAATCTAACACTTATAGATACTCTCTGCAACCGGTCTACGGAATGCTTTGGCACAGTCGTCGTCCCCGGAGAAGTTCCTTCTAGAAGTTTTCGTTGGCGAGGTAATCAAAGCTTTTGCACCCGATCCGACAAATATCCACGGTCGAGTCTTTGATCTTCGTGCAGCTGCTGAAAGACGAATTTGTTCCCCACTTTTGGCCGCTGGCTTCGACGCAACAGCATTGATATTCATTGGACAGCGAGACCAAAATCAGAAATTTTTGACTGCTGGAAATAACCAGTATCATCGAGCTCTGAGACTACTACAAAAGACAGTAGATGATCCACAACAATGTACTTCGACCGATGCTTTGACCATGGTCGTTCTTTTGACCGTAATTGAAGTCAGTGAGATAAATTTGCCGGTTTCACTTGTCGTCTTGCTAATGTACGTATGGATGAGCAGGCCTTTAATCAAAGCTCGCCGGGTGCAATATTCAAACATCAATTGGGTGGATTGGAGTTGTTACGTCTACGAACACCCTATCGGCATCGAACGGGGTTGGATCAATCTCTTTATATCGATCTACGGATGTTCTGGGTTAGCGTTCCGTTTTGATATAGACATTCAATTACTAACCTGCCCAGGTAACAACTGCCATCGCTAGTAGAAAGGCAACATTTCTCGCTTCAGACGACTGGTTGACGTTGCCTTGGACCGAAACCGGCCTACAAAAAGACATTCTTCATCATCTTCTTGATGTAGCAGTCGATATTCCTGCCTTTCTCGGCAAGTATGACACTTTCAAGACCGCCTTGGTGAAGGGCAAATTATCTCAAGCGGAACTTCTCATCACACAGAATGAGATACAGTCGACCGCGACCACTCTTGACGAGCGACTGCAGCTGTGGTATTCTGTCAATGTACTGCACTACGAACATGGATATATGACGGAGAAGTCAGCAGAAGATTACTTGAGGGATGCCGAGATTCCACGTTTTTACTGCCAAAATGTGTCATCCGGTGATATAGAGCAGCCACCCGTGCTCATTTACCCGGATTTACTCTTAGCTACAACCATGTGTTTATATCGCGCTCTCCGTCTAGTCGTAGCTGGCGGTGATCATGACGGTATTTACACGGTTCTGAGCTTCTCGGAACGCTACCAGCTTGCTGTCGATATATGTCGAAGTATGCCATACTACTTGAAAACAGTTCCTGGTTTTTTGGTATCCAGATTGATGTTTTCGTTGCGTGTGGCATTTGACACATTTCCCGAAGGAACGATCGAAAGGGAATTTGTTCAGCAAATGTTCGGCTATATTGGTGAGAAGTATCGATTTCGTGTGTTTCAAAACCAGTGCTCCGAGTCATCGACAGCTGTACGAGCTCGTGCTGTGAATTTGGTTGGCAAACTTCAGGGATAAGACTGCACTAGGTCTTTTCTCTCGATTCGGCGTTTGATGTATATAAAATGATAGCTAGGCGCCGATTTTTGCTGGCAAATCGGGCTTATGCTGTGTTTCGGGATGTGCTCGGATTGGTTATATGGTTTTTGCAATACAATCAGTCCTTACACATAAGCTTTAATTCTTGGTACTCGAGCTTACCTAGCTGTAGTCCTATATGTTAGCTGCTCGTCCTCTGTAGTTAATCTGGAGACCAGTCGGTTGTCTATGTCATCGAGGCTGTTTGAGTTCCAGGAGCATCCGCGCCGTGACCTTGCACAGCATTGACTATCAATTGGTGTAAATCTAGAAAAGGTGGGACGATCAATTGAAGTGTATACTTGTGTACGACACCAACAGCTCAAATGCACATGCTCAGAGTGGTATTTTATTTCATGCAATTGCCCCTCCGAATCTAGGATTGCATATTAGCAATGAATATGGTGCCGGAAAAGACCAATTTTTTTTTTTGATATAGTGCGACTCAAAGCTGAAAAGGGCCGCCTGAATAGATTATTTATAGAAAGTATAATTACAAGTATAATGCCAGAAAAGAACATCCAATCGACGGATAGTGGTATGTTTACAATATCAAAACTGCCACCAAAACAAGGAGAATAGACATGACGTCTACCTTCAAAGAAAAGGAACCGCCCGTGTAGGTAGGGACAGCAGCTTCGGTGGCTGTGCCAGTACCAGTAGAGGAGCTGGTATGGAGAGTTGCAACAGGGCTAGACGAAGTACGAGCAGACGAGGCGACAGCAGGAGCAGCACCTCCAGTGGCCATGCCAGTGCTTGTGCTGGCTGGAGAGTTGGACTTGAGAGATGCACCATGAGCACCGGTACTGATACCACTTCCAGAGCCTCCAGCACCTCCCGCAACTCCCGCAGAAATGATAGAGGTTGCAGCGTTAAGAGGAGCGGTTGCTGTTGTCAGATACGTAGTTGGTACACCCCCAAGGCCGGTTGAAGTCACAGTATACACCTGAATTGTCGGTATACCATTACCCAAGCTGCCGCCTTTCGATGGAACTGAAGTATGAATACTTGAACCGGCTGAGCCAGTCTCTGTGGCCGTTACAGGGCAGATCGTTGTTCCTACAACGACAGTCTCGGTCACGAGGAATGTTGTTTGGTCTCTTGCCGGGCAGTTGGTAACGGACGCAGCGCAGGATGTGATTGTGTGCACCTCAGTCGAGTATACGGTGGATGTGGTGACCGGAGCTGTGGTCAATGCGGCCTGAGTGGTTGAAGATACAGTTGATGCAGAGCTTGTAAAGACGGAAGAGAGTGAGCCAGATGTCTGTTGGCTTGATACAGACGCAGTTTCGGTTGAGAAAGTTAGTGTAGAGGAGCTGGTGGATCCAATTATGGGATGAGTCGAGCTAATATCATGAACCGCACTACTTCTTGAACAGCCTGTTCGCACGGGTCTCCTGCTTGGGGTGGGTCTGACAGCAGAAGAGGAGTGCGGATGAGTTGAGCTAATGCCCTGGGTGGCACTGCTTCTTGAAACTGTGCTGATCGCAGATGAGGAACCAGTAGGGCTCGAAGAGCTAGCAATCTGGACGGCACTGCTAGAAGCTGTTATGACGGCAGAAGAGGGAACAACAACGGTCGATGAGGATTGAATTGCGACCGATGAGCTTATGGACGGTGTTGGTGTTAGTGTTGGCGTCGTGGTCGGGGTCACCGTCGCAGTCGAACACACCTGCGTAGGCCCTTCTAAAGTGATCTCGGCAAAGTTGACTTCAGAGCTGGCTGAGAAACTGCCTTGAGTACATCTTAACACAATCGCGAGCTCGCCGGATTCATCAACAGCATCGTACGTCGCGGTAAATTGCCTCCAGACCCAATTGTCGTTGTCCGTGGTGAGAGTCTGCGAGCCTAGATCGACATTGTCAAGAGACACGGACACGGTACAAGCTCCAGTTCCTGTGCCAAGTACCTCCCACCACATGCTGAGGGTATATGTGTCACCGGGAGTGAGGCCTGAGACCTCTTGCGAAACGGTATTGTCATCCAGATAGTCTCCATTGAGGGCCAGGATGTAGCCATAACGCCCGCCTGGGTAGGCACCATAATAGGTATCGTAGCTGTTGCCGTATTGCACACTCCAGCCACTTGTGCCGCTCGTAAAGTCAGGGTTCTCGATGTACTGTGTGGTGGGTACGGGCTGGCAGTTTACTACCGTAGTCACAGACGAGCTGCCTCCCGAAACGGCCGCCGACAAAGCTGGCAGGGCGGCCAGGAGCAATATTGTTCTGCTCATGATCGATAATGAAGAATGACCGTAGTTATTCAAATGAGAGAACCAAACAGAAAAAAATAATGGAGCGACAGGTCCCAGCCTCCGATTAAAATAGGCGATTGTTACAATATCGCTAGAAATTGCCGAACATCATGGCATCGGCAAATCTAGACATCAACCACACAAGGTGGAGCTCCTGGAGATTAGCGCAAACAAAACCACGTATATTCGCCAAAGAGTGCCTCATCTATTCATTTTAAGAATGTTTATTGATGAAACGTACCGAATCGAAGCTTGAACGTTGGTACGTAGAAATTTTAGCAGAGGCTGCAGAGCCCTTAGATCGACCACAGAAGTTCACGGTGCCTGAATTCTGCTTGGCAGATGGCTTCTTCTTTTGAATTTAGGTATCTGTAATGTGCTGTAAACAGTGTAGACCAGTCATAGAGTATGACAATTGGATACGCCCGTCGCTTACGTCGCGTGGGAGCATGTTTGCAGAGCGCAGTCCATACTAGAATTTTCCGGCGATGACACGCCCGCTTTGAAGCTTGCCAACAAGCGCTTGTACTTCATTCTTGACTACTATGTAGTATTTGCATTAAATTCTGTTTCATCATTCTTCTATTGGTGGGTTGGTAATTGGCACAGTCTGGTTTTAGCACCGAATATTTTGACAACATTCATCGTCGGATTGATTTGATTTAACGTCAAGTTTTCAAGGCTGGAACATTGTGATAACACGGATCTATCAGATACAATGTAATCGCTAAAGCAGGTGCTCAACAAATGTGAGAGTCTGGCCATCTCGTTGTCGACCTCATCGATGGGCCGATTTCTACTCGAGTCGAAGGGTTTTTGTCATTGCGATAATCATCTTCCGAAGGGATTAAACGTGATGATAAGTACTAGCCGCGTCAATTTTCCGTCCTCTTTTGGTCTCTTTGATTGACTTCAATGATGAAGATACCTCGGTAAATATAACTAGAGCCGTACAACCGCGTACTGAGTGTTCCACGGTATAGTGAGATGGTGTGACAGTTATTGTCTTGGTACAAATTCAAGGACAAGGTGACATGGCGACCATTTCCGTACCACATGTGACCTCTGAACGGAAAAAGTTCATACACGACCATAAATAATCTTAGGGCAGTGATGATCTTTCGGTTTGATGCAGTGTAAAAATAGTACCCGGCGGGGCTGCTCAGCTCTAGGCTGCCTGGTTATCATAGAAACTGGACCCAATCCTGGCGCCTTAATTCCGCCCTCTGAACAAGAACTTAAAAACCTTGAAAAGTTTACTAGCAGACGCCTTGATTAATTTTCCCAGCGCGTTGCCATCTTCAAATCACCTCGCAATTATAATATCACTTTTTGACGCTGGCTACCGGGTCGTCGGGAAAAATTCCCATTACTAGTAGGCGGTTGTTGAAGTTGCTCTACTAGGTAAATTTGCGCCACCTAATGGATCGTGTGGTTCGGCGTGAAGCTGTTACTAGTGTGATTAAGTCTAATTTACTGATTGAAGGCTGCATGAGTCATTACCGATCTCCGAAGAAAACAGTATTGCAACTATCTCTATGAGTACACGTCACATATGAATTCTGAACGAAAAAGAGCTTCTACACGACGGTCTCGCACGGGATGTCGAACATGTCGGTCAGTTTTTCTCTCTCCTTTTCTTGTGACCGCGGCATTGCTTGCTAACATAAATCATCTAACTGCAGCCGGCGACACGTAAAATGCGACGAGACACCAATTGCTTGTAAAAACTGTGCATCTGCAGGCTGGAAATGCGACGGTTATGACGAAAACCGGCTTGCTCACCCTGGCAGGGGAAGCAGCACCGCTAAAGTCACCACTAAAGTCACCACTACCAACATCATTAAAAGTGAGCAGTCGCTTTCTCTTCAACATATCGCAGCTCCGTTACCAGGAAATAATTCGGATGAGCGACGAGGGTTCGCTTTTTTCCAAAACTGGACTGTGCCGAAAATGAGCAGCTTTTTCGACAGCAAGCTTTGGAACAATTTGGTGCTTCCCATGAGCCATTCTGAGCGGGCTGTTACTCATGCTGTTGTTGCACTGAGTGCACTACATGAGGATATAGAGGCAAGAGGTGTACCGCTAGCCAGGGTAGAATTAACGAATCAGCGTCAACGATTCGCACTCGAACAGTACACGCGAGCTTTGTCTCTACTCAATACCCGCCGACATTCGAACGACCCGAAATTGCGAGACGTTGTTTTGACGTGTTGTCTTTTATTTGTTGTCTTCGAACTAGTTCGCGGTCTGTACGATGAAGCTTTTGTACATCTGCAGCAGGGACTCTCGTTGCTAAGTTCCTTGAAAGCGGCAGATACAAAGTCCCAAAGCTTGTCCGTTTCGGATTCATCAAAGTACATTGAGACGTCCCTCTCGGATGCATTGATGCACTTGCATATTCAATCTTCATTTTTTGGAGCTGACTTTTCTGATCCTCGATTCATTCGCCCCAAGTCCGAAGACACTGCAGACTTTCGCGATATCACAGAAGCCCGAGAAGAACTTGATATACTCTTGCAGCCTGTCTCTCGTTTCATGACCGCGGTCAGACTGTTGGCTTCCGAAGGAGGGCCTTCGAATTCGAATGTCACGCGACTAGATGTCGCACATATGCAAGCCGATCTGCGGATCGAACTTGCAAGATACTTGCACCGACTAAATAAATTCGAGACTCGAGTGCGGGGCTCATTAGATAACAAGTCTCAGCGTGCAGTTGACTTGATCCGACTACACCACAAGACATTCGCGGTAGTCCTAGAGACGTACATTGATATAGAAGACATGACATACGACTTTCATATCGATGGCTTCAAAGAAATAGTCAAAATGTCCGAGCAAATAGCGAAAAGCTTCGACGAGCAATGCGATCCCAACAACAATAACAGTCATTCTCGTCCAACTCTCTTGCTAGACATGGGCATCATTCCGCCTCTATTGTACGTGTGCCTCACCTGCCCCTGTGTAGATACACGTCGACAAGCCCTGAGATGTCTCAAGGCATGGCCGCACCGAGAAGGGCCTTGGGACTCGAATTTGATTGCGCTGATGGGAAGGCTCACCCTTCAAGTTGAGATTGAAGAAGAATTCAAGCGATTGTCGACTACTACTGCCACCAAAATCGCCTCGTTACGAGATATCACATATATACCGCCGCCATCGCGAATATTTAATGTCCATATGACTATCACCGATGACCAAATGACTGGGATTTTCATGTACAACACCAAAGAGCGAGGTCCTGGTATGCCGCATTTAGAGAGACGGGTGGCGATAGATGAGGCTATTTAGTATTAAGTAGAAGACATTATAGCTTGTTTAAAGAATACTATTAAATATTTGTATCTTCACTATTTATTATACGTTCAATCTCCGAGTTTAATGGTTTTCCTACGCGTTGTGTTTGTAATCCGCTTTGAAAATACAACGATTGACCTCGGAGCTCGGTCTTAATCTGGGATAGACTTCCTATTTAGGAACAACAACCCTTATTCCCGAAAAACATCATTCGATATCCCCGAAGCTTGGAAATACGATGTCTCAACGCCGATAAAATTTAGATGTATGCCGTACCAGCTTGTATATAAGATCGTTGATATGCCACGGATTATCAGATATTAGAATAACAGCAACAGCAATTCAATAACCTTCCACTAAGAAACCAAATTCACATCCGAGTCAAGTCAAGGCATCAAGAAACTCTACGAAAGAAAATGAATTCACCAAGAACATCAGAAATTGCAATAATTGGCGCTGGCCTCTCCGGCCTCGCTCTGGCATTAGCCCTACACAAAAATGGACTCAGCAACATCACCATATACGAATCGCGCCCAGCATCTCTCGACATCGGCGGCGCAATCATGCTGTCTCCTAACGCGTTAAAGGTACTTGACGGACTAAATGTCTATCAGCAACTACGACTACGAAGCTATGAATTCGACACCCTCTATTTCCGAAAATCAGATGAAGCCATGACTCCTGTCGACGCCTTCGAGTTCGGCTCTTCGTCAAAATATGGCTATCAGGCTCTGCGGGTTTATCGCTACGAATTGATTGAGGTATTGCATCAAGCAATCCTCGAAAAGAGAGGTATATCAATCAAATACGGCAAGAAGTTCTCTCGCATCCTCTCCGAGACAAACGAGGCCGTAACCTGGGCCTTCACCGACGACACCGAGGCATCAGCTTCACTCCTTATCGGAACCGATGGAATCCATTCCCAGGTTCGCAGATACATGTATCCTGATATCGAGCCTCGCTTCACAAATGGTATTGGAGTGACAGCCGCCGTGCCTACAGCACAATTACAACTGCCCACGGGTATCGAGACGCCATTGACCCTTATGAACAACAAACACGGCGCATTCGTTATCGCGCAACAACTACCCGATGGCAGCGAAGTGCTTATTGGTAAGCAGCGACGATTCACGGAGACCTTTGACAAGGAAGGTTGGGCAGATCTACTCAACAATAAAGAGTGGTGCATAGACTTTCTCCGTCAAGGCGCCGAGGACTTTCCACAATTAGTCTCCAACGCCGTCAGCAATATCCCCAAGAACAAGATCAATCTTTGGCCTTTCTACGTTGTGCCGAAACTCGATACATGGGTGTCTGCGGGCGGCAAGGTTGTGATCATGGGTGATGCGGCGCATGCCATTCCGCCCACGGCTGGACAGGGAGTAAACCAGGCATTTGAAGATGTCTACACATTTGCTGGTGTCGTCGGCGCACTTGAGAGAAGAAATACGACTGATGCTAGCAAGCGAAGTGTCAGCTTGAAGCGATGGCAGGCGGGTAGACAAGCAAGAATCGACAAAGTCCTTGAACTCAATGCCATGATTGACAAAAGAAGACTGCCGAACCACAATGACAGCTCTGAGGTTCAAAAGGGAGAATTTGATATGGGTTGGTTGTACAATGTTGACTTTGAGCAGGCGATTGCGGATTGGGTTGCTTGATCATTTTGGACTCTAGGTCGTGCTTAGTATATAGAAATAAGTAGATTGAACATTCCAGTACTTAGCGAATATTTTGACGTGAAATTTTTAACCCTATTTCTTGTAAATTTGGAGCCTTTTTGCAAAACCTGTCGTATTTCAAGGCAGTGATTAATACAACTTTACTATTAATGGTTAGTGCAAGAACATATTATCCAATACCTAAAGACTCTTATGGCTCCACGCCGATGGAGTTAACGGCGGAGTTAGCGTGAATTTCGGGGGTGTTAAGGAAGCTTCCGACTCGGTTTGTATATCGTCGAGGAAAGGCAGTGTTAGATGGATAACGAAGTTCTTCATCGTATGTAGAGACAACGTGGAGACTATTATTGACTTACAACTTCCGCCGTAAATTCCGCCGTTATAGCCTACCAATGTAGTTTTTAAGGGAACGTTGATCAGTTGAAATAGATGTAACCAATTCATATATATTGAGTTCTTCATATAAAACTACAAGATAGTGCCGAGTGCATTAAGAATTGAACAATGCCTGCTGTAAGCAAAGTTCCGACTCGAGCTTTTGGCAAACTTGGGCCAGAACTCCCACGACTTGGATTAGGTTTGATGAACACAAGTGGAACATATAACCTCCCACCTCCAGATTCCGAGCGTCTGGCATTACTAGACCACGCTTACAATAAGGGACAAGTATTTTGGGATACTGGTAATTTCCTACTTTAGATGGTCACGTACTGTGTTTCATCACATATCTAACATGGGTCTATAGCCGACGAGTATGGCGATTCAGAGGACTTGCTGGGTAAATGGTTCGCTGCCAACCCTGAAAAACGAAAGGATATTTTTCTGGCGACAAAGTTCGGTATTAGAATCATCGATGGCAAGTTACAGCCAAGCTCTTCGCCAGAGTACTGCCGTCAAGCAATCGAAAAATCCCTGAAGCGTCTTGGGTTACCTTACATCGATCTCTATTATATCCATCGTCTGGACAAAGTCACCCCTATCGAAAAGACGATTGAGGCCTTAGTCCAGCTCAAAAACGAGGGCAAGATCAAACACCTGGGTATCAGTGAATGCAGTGCCGAATCACTGCGTCGAGCTCATGCCGTCCATCCGATTACGGCCATCCAGGTTGAATACAGTCTCTTTTGTCGTGAGATCGAGTCATCAAAGACAAAACTGCTCGAGACAGCACGCGAGCTTGGTGTGGCCGTTGTATGCTACAGTCCTCTCGGAAACGGATTCTTGACGGGCAGATTTCGCACCGTCGAAGATGTCAGTGGACCGGGTGACCGCCGTCACATTCTGCCTTGGTATGCGCCAGACTATCTGGCAAACAACTTGGCAGTCGTCGACAAGATCGCCGAGATTGCCAAGACCAAGGGAATAACCTCAGCTCAACTTGCTCTCGCCTGGTTGCTGGCGCAGGGCAATGATATTTTCCCAATTCCAGGAACGAGCAATTTCAAAAGACTTGACGAGAATTTGGCAAGCGCTTCCGTGACGATCACGGAAGAGGAAGAGAAAGCTCTCCGGGAATTAGCAGGCGAAATAGTTGCAGAGCGTTTCCAGAGTAAGACTGGATTTGCATACGGCGATACGCCACCACTGGAGTAGGAATAAGTATTAATCTTGATGGTGAATATGATGCGTCGTTTAAAAGAGACCCGAGTCGCCATCAAATCCCAGAGGATCTTTCAAAAATAATTCAGATTCAAAATTGAGGTCATCTGTAGGGTTAAGTAACAAGGTCGTATCGAATGTATGTGAACTTTCTGGAATTCTTTCAAATGAGGTTTTGGTAGACGATATTTCAGAATGAGCGACTGGATTGGAACGCGAAAATTCGTTGTCCTGAAAGCTTTCGTAGTCATTCAAGCCAGATGATATAAGTTCTGGAAACTGCAAGTTTGTAGATGACTGTGGCATCTCTAGTTTCGCGGATATCACTGAAATTGCACCGAAGTAAGGTATCGATAATTGTAAACAACCCGGAACTCTCACAAATTCGGTACCCTCGCTCCACATGAAGTAATATCGTTTCCCATTTGCTGCTCCTGCCTCTATTTCCAGCAAACTACAGATCTGTTGAACACTTGCATCACGGTAAGCAGCTTTTCTGAATCGGTCGATAAGTCTGTAAATCATTGCAATGTCCTGCAGTCTTTGGTTCCCCGAGTATACACCAGGAGCCCATTGATGTGTGTCAATATAGGCCAAAAGGAGAGTTGCAGAACCAAGCCATGCTTTGTGATCCAGACCTCCGTAAGCGGTTGCATGACGGATATCTCTTAGAATCAAATATCGGTCCAGGAGATTACGACTTGCTGAAATGGTGACCTGTTTGCTATATAGATAGTCAATCGGGTCATGCATCGCCTGACTCGGATGACAAGACTTTCGTAGCAAATACGGTTGATGAAGAAGTAGTAATAAGTAGTAATGATGCATCTGGACCTGCAATATCCCCGTCCTTTTTGATACATCCTTGTCCGTAGCAGAACTGCTCGAATTTGTTATCACCCAAGGATCAGTGGGGATGATATTGGCTGATTCTTTCAAGTCACGATCGATACATCTAGTTTGTTCATAGATCGTATTGAGTTCATCGTCAGAGTGGTCGGCCTCACTCCAGCATTGCATCTTCATATTTCTGTCGATAATGCGTCCGAGAAGGGCAACCTGAATTCGGCCAAGCCTTTCGACTACACTCTTACCTGCAAGCGCACGCTCGGATGCGAAACTGTTGTCCGAACTATTGCATGGTAGACCGAAAATAACCGACACAAACCGATCAGAGTAATTGAGTAAATACCAAAGCGACTCCGCGCCATCATCACCAGGTTTCATTTTTCGTAAACCCATAAGCTCAGCAAGACCGATTGCACGTCGAATAGTAAGCCAGGCGGCATGATGGTTTCCAATTCTGAAATTATATCCGGACTCAAGCATTAAAGTCTCGAGCCCGTCCAAATTATTCATCAAGGTGTCGTGCGAGGTGACGCGATTCATAGCAATTTCCACAAGTCGTTTCGAAGCGTCTCGCACCGGTTCTTGAAGGCCATTTTTCGTTTCGTAGAATGTAGTCGGCTCAAGCTGTAGCATGCAGAGGGCGAGCTTGTAAAGCTTCTGTGCGAATATTACCGGGTGAGATGTGGGTGGTGGTTTCCTTGACGCATGCATAAGTGGTGATGGTCCGTCGCGTCCCTCTGCATCTGTTGTATTCCGGAGCCGACAGAACATCTGAAATGGCATTTGGAGGTAATTTGCCTGGGTCATGATCATCATTGTGACTGATTTCTTGGGCATAATAGAATAAAGATACTGGCTCAATGAAAAGCTATCGTTCAAGTTTTGCTGACTGGGGGAGCTAACTGATGGTGCCGAAAAACTAGACATGTTGAGATCTAACGAAGTGATTCCCTGCGTTCTTCTCATTCTGCAAATTTTCTGGCCGCCGTAATCATATCTTTGAGCTCGATCACTATCATTGAAATGTTCTTTCGTGTTTTTCTTCGTTCTGAGTAGCTGGTTGACCATTGTCTCAACATCGTTAATGCGCTGACTGACGTTACCGCTCCCATGCCCATCAACTGCAACATACTCTTGGCTTAAACAATCTAAATCTCGCTGCTGACAGGATTTGCAAACTGGGTTGTTAGGAGACTGGTATTCACATCGAATCTTGCGGTTTTTACATTCCCAACAGCTGAATGTTCCTTTGCGCAGTTTTTGACGTTTAAAACCAGCTTTATTTTTATTGAGCGGAGCGGACATCGTGCTGGCGTCTCAAGTCGCTTGGCTAATGCACTGATGAAGTACCGAAATGTCGATTTTTCTATGACTTATCGAGTATTTACGAAGGTAACTGAAGGGTAAAAGAAGTTGAAGTCGGCGATGGGCCAAGACGCCCGAGACGACATCCGAAAATTCTCCACTTTATCGTTTTTAGAGCAGTTTGCAAATTTCGCCGTAGTAATTTTCAAATTGAACAATACTTACACATTTTCGACAACAAAATGAGTGGGAAGCATTTCTCGCAATGTGATCATACATTCTAGATAACTCGACCGTGCGTCAAATGATATACTATGATGCCTAGCTAACCATATGCATGATGCATTATTGCGTTCATGGGGATGAAAAAAACAGAATGCTGATCATATCAATGATTCCCTCAAGAAAATATCCGTTGTTCGTCCTGGAGTCCCTTGACTTCTCACATAGTAATTGCTCCTATTTCGAGGTGTTGGTTCTTTTTCTCAACCACTTCGACGTGCTTCAAAAGGTCCACTTGCTTAGCAGAGGTATAAACTAGAGAAGAAATTCTATATGTACGTACCGAGTCCCTTTCGAGAGAGTCAGAGTCAAGTCCCAGCATTCGACGAATATCTTCTATCGTCATCAATTGGCTCCAAGAATTGCGTTAGTACTTCTTCAATATTTGCGCCTGTAGAGGCCAACTGACCACCGGTTACTTTCTATCAACCAGAACTAACCAAGGAATGCCTTCCCAGACTTTGAGCAAATAAGGACCACCATCATGAAAAGGCTTGAAACCACGAGCATAACAGTTCAATCATTCACATTCCACAGCTCACGTGTCCTTTTCATCATCAATAACGAAATTGATTCCATCCGAGTCACAGAAGTGGTCAGCCACCCGTTTCTTATCTGCGGCTTTCTCGGAGTAGCCAACATATGCCTGCACGAAGTTCATGTTCCAACGGTAACTCTTGCTCTTCTTGACGTCTGGTGCCAATGGGGGTCATGAAATCATTTGGATTTCTGTTTGACTTATGCGTTGCAATAGCGTGTTATTTTCCAAAACACATCTAGCCCGATGACGGCTACTTTGGCCTCCAGACTGGGTGACCAGAAGAGATTCGTGGGTCATGATAACATTGTTGAAAATTCGATGACGGAAGAGAAACTTTCTACATGCGGCTTGCCAATATGCCTCTTACTTGTCTTGACCAAAAAAATTCGAAAATATCGAGGTAGGGTGGAATGTAAAAGCTTCAAAAGACTTTTGTCGTTTCATGTCCTCTATCCGTGTTCGTAAATAGCGCTATTCGGGACGCGTCACAGTTCAGCAAAAGTATCATGTGCGCTATTTAATGGATAATAAAGACGCTATTCTTTATGTTCTGCCTATATATCAACTATAATCCAAACCGGACGGCTTTTGAGAGACCGAGTGAACGAATGAATGCTTTGAGATCTCGAATTTCCCGATGTCCGACATTAAACAGAGATTAGGATCGATGCTGCTGCATATTGTTGTTGTAAAAAAGAGTTCTTCATTGTAATAGATTCATGGCTTTGGGGATGTAATCCCATCCGTATTCAGGGCAGGATAGTATGTGGCCTAAGCTGGAATGTAAGTAGCCACAGAGTATCGATTGTGGCACTCTCCGTGTCCTGTCACCCTGATATCCACTCGTAATTCTTTTCACTTGGTTCACGACAGCGACCATTTGAACCCCTAAGATATACATTTTCATTAGCTTGGAGAAAAGAAATTAGTCGTAATTGAAGGAGAGTTCACCTCCGATCTGATCAGTATTATTCCCATATTGGCCAATCCAGTCCCAACAGCCCAATGAATTGTTTCGTGGTGTGCCATCCCAGACTTTGTGTACAGTGTTGTCCGCAACTGCTTGAGGAAACAGAATGATGATGTCGTTTGTATCTATGATATAGGTGTCAGGAGTATAGACCTTAGTACTTCGGGAGATCATTCCATACCAGCCCACTGTTTATACCCAGTATTATTAACGAATTTGTCACCAATCATGCCATAGCCCTGAGTACAGCCGTGAAGTACAGTATGTAGCTTACAGACAGTGGATGAGCTTTGACAAGAGGCGGGCAAATACAGATAAGCGGTATCATCCATTCCGGGGGCACCATAAAGACCGGTCTGGGAAAAAGAAATCACTCTTCCGGATAGAGATCCAGTATTTCGCGGGTTAAGGGCGCCGTATAACCAGTCGAGAACTGCACCGGCACCGTCATAGCCACAATTGCTGAGGTATGGTGATTCAGACTTGTCGCATGGATTGTCATCATGGCCATTCAAGTCCGTTGGAAAGGTATGAGCCGCACCACTTGTAGTGACATAGATGACATTATCGGGATCGGTAAACTTTTGCAGTTGGTCTTTCAATTGCCCCATCACGTTTGAACCTATGACTACATCCGCAGACCCAGTTTGCATGTATACTTTACGATACATGAGGTTGGTGGCTTCGGCAATTTCATTGCCGCTCCAAGCTTTCATGTTTGCTATTGGTATATCAATAGATGGGATTTCGTTAGACATGCATTTGTCAAAAGCCTAGAAAATTCCAAGTTAGCTGCTGTCAATTGATCACCAAAACCAACTTACGTTCTGGTCGCGAGCACAATCATAAGGACCACCAGCAAACACGCCGAATCCAACGTTGAAGACATCTGAATACGCCACACCAAGTTGCACAGTCATAAATCCGCCGCTGGAAAAGCCGGATATTGAAACTAAGTCGGGATCAACGTTGTAGGCACCTAGAGAGTTCTGTGCCGGGGCAAGAGATGCCAGAACAGCAAGAATGTCGAGCAAGTAAAGAAAATCATTCATTGTATGTTCTATGAATAATCAAGATAAAATAAAGCCTATAATTTGAGACAGGCTATTAGGCTCTGGGAAGGAAGGGGCTAAATGCGGGGTGCTAGTTTCTGATGATCTTCACTGCAGGAAGCTCAGACCCATGTTACACAAAGTATATCTTCTTTTCGATCATAATTCAAAGAAACTGAGAGGTTCCTATGCATCGAGCTCATACGAAAAATACTTGAAGAACTTCTGAATCCTGGAGGCCAGGATACCTGGTGTATACTACAATGTTTGCTCCCATTCCCGCACCCGTTCTTTCATGTCCTGTTCTACCGCACCAGCAGCGGCAGCTTTCTCAGAGTACTCCTTTGAATTTTCGTTCTTGTTCAGTCGAACCAGCTTTAATCGCTCCTCATCATCCGTAATATCTGTCCTCTTCACTCCATCCATCACCCCACTTGCTACCGGATTGCCGAAATATTCATAAACCGGCACAATTCCGGACCATACATCTTTTTTCTGCCAGTCTGGCGACCGTCCAAGAACAATCGCAGGCTCAAAGTCGCCAATGTTAGATGCTCGGATCTTGGAGCTAGCACTTCGTATCTTCACTTCAATTACTTGTACACCCCTCATTGCTGATTGTGCAACTGGATAAGTTGATTCCCACCTACCCGGCCACATGTGATTTGTCAGAAGACGCATTGCCCAGTGTTTTTTATTGATTTCAGTGCTTGGCACAAGGCTCGCCGTGCCATGTAGTACGGCTGATCGGTAGTTGAGCGAGTGTCCATTTGGCGTAAGGAAAAGAACAACGCCGTCGACTAGATACAAGTGATCGCTCGAAATTAGCAAACAAGGTTTACCACTGTATTACTTCGGTTATATATATGACACGAGAGGCAAGTGCGTACCTTTAGTTGAAGTGATACAAACTCGCACACCCTTATCTCCACTTTCTTTGATTGCTTTATACAACATAGACGCGGCGTTTCCGTGCAGATACGCCTCCGCTGGACCGTGAAGAACTGATTTCTTGTTTTTAGAGTCGAGTTCCTGGTCGGTATAATTATTGTACTCGGCATTGGGATCATATTTGCCCAAAACGCATGTCAAAGGCAGATTGACTGGAGTGTCTTCGCCATCTTCATCCTTAATGCTGAAAGCAACGTGGGAAACGAGAGTCGAGTCTGTGATTGAGTGCACTGTGCCGTAGTCATAGTGTCCTACAGAGAGCCGTCAGCATGCAAATACATGCAAGTGATATGTAGCCAGTAGGCTCCGGCGGAGTTCTACCTCTCTGTTTATAGATTCTGATGGTATTGAGTTTTTCTTTTAAATAACCTTCATCACTTTTCGGTTGCTGGAATGAGCATGACATGGCTGTAAAGTCCGTTGATATAATGAAAGTTGATTCTGAATAGGACCTTGCCTGCTTCTTTGTGCTGATGATGTAGTCGCCTTCGCTAATGCTGGGTGGCGTGCTGTTGGGTCAAGATTCCACCACGAGAGTTACAACTTCAGATCAAAATGGTAGCTATCGCCGCATCGTCAGTATCAAGTATATATTATCCGGACCTTTCTCCAGGTCACGACCGTCAAAATTGTCGAAAATATGCTGCCGTATTCCCAAAGAGGTAATTTGCGTCGCTATCATGGGAGGGAAAGTCGTTGCGGGCGGGTCTGACTCCACCCGACTCGACTTGCCCTCGACTTGGCCATCGACTTGTATGATGACAAGTCAGCGTGCATGGGATAGAAGGATTCGGACTACATTAGAATTTTTTTGGGTTAAAAGTCTTCTAAGAGTCGATTTCAAGTCGAGCTTGATGGTGAATAATTTGTCCCCAACTTTTCCTCAAGATAGAATTAGCCAGAGGTGAAAATGGGGTCTGTCCAACCAACATGGCTGGAGGTCGCATCCGAAAGGAAGAGAAAAATTGAAGAAACGATACTCTCAGAATGGCGAGTAGGGGAGATCAAACTTCAAGGAAATTATTTTGTTGACCTTCCAAGAGATTCCGGATTGCTGTCGGATAAAGAGCTGCTCATTACGGAATTGAGCGCTGTTCAGATACTTGCTGCAATTCGTGAGCGAAAATTTACAGCTACTGAAACAACAATAGCTTTCTGTAAACGAGCATCTATTGCACATCAAGCTGTATGTAACCTGAGATGATCAACCCCGAGAGCGTGCTGACAAATTCCTCGACCGTGAACAGACAAATTGTCTTGCTGAAACTCTTTTTGAGGAGGCTCTCCGGCAAGCAGGAAAATTGGATGAATATATGGCTATTCATGGCAAACCAATGGGCATGCTACACGGCCTACCAATATCTGTCAAGGAGCATATCAAAATCAAAGGGACAACAGCCACTTCTGGCTTGATTGCATGGGCTAATGATGTCAGCGACGAAGATGCGTTGATTGTCAAGACGTTCCGCGAACAGGGGGCGATATTCTATGTCAAAACAACCAATCCACAGACTTTGATGGCTCTCGAGACGAATTCAAATCTGTTTGGACGTACAACAAACCCGCACAACACAAACCTAACGTGCGGCGGAAGTACCGGCGGCGAAGGTGCACTTTTGGCAATAAATGGTAGTCCGCTAGGTATTGGTACCGATATTGGGGGCTCAATTCGAATTCCAAGTGCCTTTTGTGGCACATACGGCTTCAAGCCAACCATTGGCAGACTTCCGCACAGCGGGCTGACCGGTCTTCACGATGGGATGCAAAATCTTGTTGGAGTTGTAGGGCCTTTAGCCCGAAGTATCGAAGATTTGGAACTGTTTTGCGTGGCTGCTTTAAACCACGAGCCATGGAAGTATGAACCTTCACTTATTGAGATGCCCTGGAGACAGGAGACCCAAGCTCCGAAAGTATTGAAGATTGGCGTCATATGGTCCGATGGGGTAGTGCAGCCACATCCTCCAATTACACGCGCTTTGAAAGAAGTGGTCTCAGCTTTAACAGATGCTGGACATTATGTGATTGACTGGGATGCGAGTCTGCACAGAGACCTACATGATGTCACAAATGAAGTGTATTTTCTCGATGGCGGAGCGGAGTATCACGAGAAATTGGATGAAGGCAGAGAACCTGCAGTACCGATTATAAAGTGGCTATTGGATGAGAAAGCCACTAGACATTACACCGTTGAGGAGACTTGGAAAGTAAGTAATGCCTCTAACTGCCCGACCTTCTGCTTCTTTCCACTATATGCACGAGTTTTTAACATGTCGGATTTTTTATTGCCATAGGTCAATAGGGAGCTAGACAGACTGAGAACGTTGTACGCTCACCAATGGAACACCTCAGATGTCGACGCCATACTTTGTCCAGCACATGCTTCCGTTGCATCTGTTCATGACGAGTCAAGATACTGGGGATACACTTGTGTTTTTAACGCGCTGGATTATCCCGCTGCCGTTTTCCCAGTTGGGAAAGTTCAAAAGACTGACACTTGGAACTCATTTGCTCCAGCGTCGAGTGATCCTATGGGATCTTTGGATGAGTGGTATAGGAATTTATATGGCGACATCGAAGGCCCAGCGCGATTTGAGGGCGCGCCTGTCTCACTTCAGCTTGTCGGAAGGAAATTTTCCGATGAGAAGTTGTTGCGTATACTGAGCTGTGTTCGTGGTCTACTGGATAACAGGCCATAGAGAGTATCTCGCTTCTCAAACAAGAAGACAAGTGCCGATATCGGCCATGGCATGCCTCCAATCTTTCCTATGATTCCCATTGCCCGCTCTCCGAGTGCTCCAGCACCATTTTAAGATATTGAGTAACGTGGCACAATTACCAAAATCTCGCTGCGCTCCATTTAGTGCCAATTTCAGCGTACTTTCATAAAATCCTTGCTGGTCGGACGTATCGGCCATCGAACCGGCGATGCAGATTGGCCAAATCAGTCCACGGAAATCTTGGGGGTTCCGAATACTTTTGATGGCTATTATGTTGTCGTTTATCGTATCATGTATCGACTGAGTCTCGGGTAAAAAGCCGCGTATTACGGCAGGAAGTTGAACGAGAGCGGCAGTTGCAAAGACCTGAGTAACATGGCGCACTTTCTCGAGATGTTCGGGAACAACTGAGCTATGTTCAGTAGATGTTGATAATAGCGAATCATGATGAATGGCATTCAATGACCGTCGTAGATTATTTTCTATCTCATGACATTTGTCTAGAATATCGGTTTCGGTGCTTGGACGGCCAAGTTCATCGCTGGTGCTTAAGGTTGCTATATCCCCAATAGCCCTCATGACAGTGTTCTGAACACCCATGGTAGTAGACATATCAACCATGTTATTGTCTATCAATTCTCGAAACGGCAGTCTAGGTGTGGAGTTTGTGGATGCGCATGAGAGCAGATCGAACCATAATATCACAGCGACGAGGAACGACAATGCTGTTCCTTGCCACGACAGTGATTCGATTTCATCGGCTTTGTTATGCGTTGATTCGCGTAAGAGATCCATGACCGATGAACTATCGTCATCAACAAGAATAGAAATCAAAGCGTTGAGATGCAATTGCCAATCACTAATACCACCTTGAAAAAGCTAAATCGCGTATAGTAAGCAAAGAGAGCGTGACAATCAAGCGAAAACAATACTTACCTCAAAACTTATCAATGAGACTCCACATGAAAGTAATTCAATCTTCCTGTTTCCTTCATCCTTGGCATTATCTTCCTGTATATTTTGCAAAAATTGCCGCAGGTCGCTCAAGGCCTGCGCATGGTAACCTGATAATTCAGTATAGCTACTCTGGAACTGCATCGGCATATAAATCGACTGATGGAGTGCGCTCAGACTCAGAGCCGCATGATATAACGGCCCGGACTGAGCTAACAACCAGAGAAGCCATCCGCGACCTCTTGCATCCGGAACATGGAATCGGAATTGTAGTGGAAAGACTGCATCCATGTAATGCATGATGAGCTCTGCCTCTCGATAAGTAGTCAGACGCTCTGGACCTATGGATGGTTTATCGAATGACAACGGTAGCTGTAAGCTGACATGAGAATCTTTAATTGAGCTTTCATGATTTCCGGGCGTTTCTGTGTCATGAATCTCATCATTGTTGGCAACTGATACAACCTGGTTTTCAATAGCCCTCACTTGAAGTCGCTCCGAATTTGCCGAAGTATTTTCTTGTCTCTTCCGTTTACGATTATGTGCAATCTGCCTTTTCAATTCATTTGCAACGATTCTCTCCTGGTTGCCTCCATCCATCCATGCTGGCTTCCTGCCATAACCATGACAAGTGACATTGCGGGACGTACAAGTTATGCAGAACGGCTTTGTTTCATCGCATTTTTGTCTTCGAATTCTACAGCTCCAGCAGCCGTGATTAGTCCTTAACATTATGTACCAGAGTATTTGCACCTTGTGTCGATAGGTGTTGCTCGTATCATGAACAAAGACGATGTCGAAATCACCGAAGCTGATTTTTGTTTCCCCCATTAAAACTGTTTCGGTGACCAATCACAGCGCGTTGTCAATTTCTGTAGGGTTAGGGTCAGGATTACATTCGCTTTGCGTCAACAGTTGGAAATATGCAAATAAAAAAGAGATTACTGCGAAATATATATAGCCAATTTTATATTCAGAGTAGCCAATAGTGATCAACGTTGTTTATCGATTCATTACCCAGCTAGGTGTGGATGCGGTATCTTTGAAGTACCTGGGAGGAGTACACAGACACTGAGCACACTTTACAATGCAGAGTTTCCAACAGTAATTAAAGTGTTTTCGTATTCCATGAATATTCACATACTTAGTCCAGATTATAGAGTTAGATAAAACGGGCAAAGAATTGCAAGTTTGCTGGAAAGCTTCAGATATATCCATGGATATTTCACAAGCTCTGGTCAAACAGAACGTGTCGGGGTACTTTCAGAAGATCTTGGATTATGGAGTCGTGAGCATGATATCTTTCGAGGTATGTGCATGTCGCTCGACCCTCTAAAAAAGCCCGCCTTCGAAGCCACCACTGCCCAATGCAAATCTTGGAGTACCAATAAGCCATGAGCAGAAGGGCGCGGGGATCTTTGTTCATTACCAAACTGCCAAATTCATTCTCCATACAATTGTTGAATGCATAAAAGAGCATCATCGATGTTGATGGGCATTCCGCACTTGATGGGGCGAATACATGCATCAAAGGAGTGGCATATGGGTTGCCTTCAGCAGCGAGTGCATCAAGCTGATATAGGCTGATAAAGCTTGATGGCACATTCTCTAATGACAAATCGATTGTCGGAAATGTTGAGAAAAGACGATGAAAAATGCTATCATGCCTATGCGGCTGGGCAAGTGATATGAGTACAGATTTGCCTTGACCCATTTTCAGCCATTCAGGCTCAGCGCTGATGGAAGAAGCGAGCGGCCAGGTCTTTTCGAGGCTCGGGTCCTCGATAGAAGCGAACGTTATCACGCCTAACATGGAAGCTGCAGCCCAGATTGCGTCGCGGTCATCTCGATTCAGTGGCGTGGAGAGCTTTCTGTTGAAAAGAGTCAAACCATTGGTCCAGTGATAAACTTCTTCGTATGTCCGTCGACTGGGTATTGGTGATCTATGATGAATGTCAGAACGATGATAGGTAAGTTTAGAAATTAGATTCTGCTGCGGTGGTAATCTCAAACCAGAGATAGAGTTCGAGGCTCCCACGAGTAACTTAGGAACCACGGCTAAAAGAGAATCAAGGCTACGTGGTAGAAATATGCCCAAATACGTACAGGTACCGATCATGAATAGAAGTGACGGTTTGCACCAAGTGGATCAAAAAAGAATGCTAGGACATAACGAGGTTAGCAGTCTTTAAAAAAGAAGGCAAGAGATAATGCTCACCTTGAGCGTCAATTCATACACCTTATCCTCATAAATGCTTCTTAACTGTGGAGGCCCCAGTGACATTGCTGTTCTGATTTTGAATCTCCGCAAACGACTGAAGTTTTGGACAGTCAACTCCAGAGTAGCATTCTCAAATGATAAATCGATCAGTGGCGCATTACTGCGAATCTGTGTCGTGTAATTTAGCTTTTGGCTTGACATGTATCGAGGCTGAAGGTCGGAAATCCTGCTGTCGTAGTTACAACAGACACCATAAGACATGCATTCAGAGCACTCGGGCAATCCTTCATCACACTATGTGTGTACGGATAATCAGTCAAACAAGGGCTTGCAACAAAGTATTCATAATCAAGGGCATCTTACCTTCACCCTTCGGAGCTTACAATTGGCGCAGCCTAATCGTGATTTACGATGCGCTCTTCGTTTTCGTACATTGTCGCCGGTATTAACCGCTTGTCGTGAATTAACCATGCTGAAATGATGGCCTTAAGTAGACCGAATTGAAGGCAATACTTTCAAGTCCGCTATCCAGCAAGCTATGGATGACTACTTGATGATTTCGAGTCGTCAGCGCGAAGAAGACCAGGCAGAAGATGGAGACAGGGACAAATAGAAAGAAAGACAAATGAAATTTAATAAATACTCTCATCACTAGCAAGTGATAATTAAGCCTACTCGGGGATTTCATCACAATTAGTAGGACATTCCCGAAGTGCCAGTACCATGTCGAGATGTATATCAGTTGACACGCCTCCAGGGGATTAGAGTATTGTATCGAAGAGACGATGCCGAATTCAGGAGTGAGATTGTGTCGATAGCCCAAAGCATTGTTTGGACTATGTAAATGGAACAACTGGCTATTTCCCAAGTGGTGTGATTGGCCGCCACTTATATGTTGGCATGAAGCACGCTAACCTCGTCTCGTATTGCTGGCATCGGAGGCCTAAACGCCGACTGCCCCGATTAGAAACAGGCACGCGCTAACCTCAACTCGTATTCTCTTCAGAGCTAGTAAACCTTTGATCAAGATGCAGGCATCGAAACCACTGACTCACGACGGAGAAGTCGAGTCGGGTTGGTGGTGAACTTACTCTTTGCCTCAAAGGATATGCGCTAGCCTCGACTCGTGTTCCATCCAAAGCTAGTGATTGTTTTATTCGCATATGGGCTCTGGAGCGTTTCAGATCACAAGTGACGATGCGAGTGCATTTATGATAAGTTCTTCGGTTTTTCAACTATTTAAAGGCAGTCGCAGTTTGCCTTTTTAGCTATGTTTCCAATCACTGTTTCCATATCATCTGCTCTGAAAAATTCCTCGTCGCCTTCAAGTTAACCTTCGAATTATCGCTGCTACCCAGATCACCGAGCCAATTGACTAGTATGGTTCAACTCGACGATGTCAGAGCTTGCGGGGAAGCGCTGATCAACAGACAGTCAGTCACAGCCGTGTTCGTGGGTGGCACTTCAGGCATTGGGGAGTACTCTTTGCGTGCTCTGGCAGCCTTGCACGGTCTTTCTGGTCATGGTCTACGAGTATATCTTGTCGGCCGGAACCAGACAGCCGCCAACAAAATCATCGCTGACTGTGTCAAAGCATGTCCTGTTGGGGACTTTCAGTTTGTGCGCGCTAGTGATCTTGCTTCTCTTCGAGAGGTCGACCGCGTTTGCAAGGAGATATCGAATATGGAAGAAGCCCGCGCGGGCAAAGCAGCCTTCATTGATTTGCTTGTCATGTCTCAGGCTTTTTTCGCTTTTGGCAGTAAGTTAGAACGGCAAGGTAGAAGCATTCCTCCTAATATCATTTAGCTGAGACTGCATTGCTGACTTGGACAACATAGTGACTAGTGAAGGACTAGTTCTGTCTTTGTCTCTACTCTACTACTCACGGATGCGCTTTGTTACTCAGCTTCTCCCTCTGCTCACTGCCTCATCTCTCCCGGGACGTGTCGTTTCTATCTTTGGCCCTGGACGTGACACCAAGCTTATCTTGGACGATCTTTCTCTCTCAAAACCTCAGAACTTTAACTTCACCACATTGGGCTCCCACGCGGCATACATGACTACATTTTTCTTTGAAAGAATTGCCGCCGGCAACCCGGGGAAAATATCCTTGTCCCATTATTTCCCCATGCTAGTTATTACTCCTGCATTCAAAGGCGACGGTGTCCCTGGCTGGTTTAAGGGGGTCTACACAGTACTTAACCCGCTATTTAAAGCCCTCAGCGTAAACCCAAGAGAATGTGGTGATCGGGTGCTTTTCCACACTTCACCTCGCTTTCCAGCTCGGCCGTTAAGTGGAGAAATGCATTCCCTATCCAGAATTGGCAACATCACAATCGCGATGTCCTCAGATGGAATCCGTGGTGGTGGAGCCTACAGAGTAAACTGGAATGGAGAAGAGGTTCCGCTAGGAAAAGGATACAAGAACATCCGCAAAGAAGAAGTCCGCACAAAGATCTGGGACCATACAATGGCGGTATTTCAAGCAATCTCCAATGACGGCCACTTTTCTGGATAATGATGATGAATTTTGGAGTGAGGCATTCGTGTTCTTATCTGGGCCGGGGTTGAAAGAAACATGTACTCTTTATGCTCTGTTTTGAAAAGAAAACCAAACGAGAGCTTACCGGGTTTCTGCATTCGTACTAATATATTACTCAAGTTGGCTTTGCCGATTTGATATATTTGGATTTAAATTCTAAGTCGTCCGTACAATTATGTGTGGTTCGACGTAGCTCATAAGAACTGATGGTAGCAAGATCTAATTGTTTAATTCAACTGAAAACAAATACAATGAGTACTATAAGGCAAATTTATAGATATCATATTAATTGTAGGCCCAATATGTGCTGAGCTCCATCACTAGTTCTTGCATACATACGTGAGTCCTTTGATATGGGCATTTGGGATCTGGTAACTCGACATAATTGACGGCCACATTGATATCAGTCTGGACCTTGATGGCAGTAGGCGACTCCATCCTCTTCTTGATAATGTGTTCTTGGGAATTCATGCCATCCTCCTGATCGTCTTTGTCAAGGTCTGTTTATAACCCATGAGAACGCGGTTTGCGATCTTTACTGCTCAGATTCGACAAGTCAATAGGTCCTCCGCCATTCTATTTTTGCCATTCCTGTCGCCTCAGCTCTCATGATATGAGCGACTCAGAATGTGAACGAAGAATAGAGCAATAACCTCTTCCGTCATCTTGAAAAATGTCGGCACACACGCGGCGCTACAAGCAAAATCGACTTCGATATGGGACACGAGGATGTCGATTACGGTGCCGTTTATTAAGAAAGGGAAAGGATAACAGTTAGTCGATATTCGTCTGAAGTACCAGGAATTAATATGTAGTTACATGTCAGCTCACCATTGGAGTGAGACAAGCGATAAAAGCCGTAAATGCGCAGGGCTCCGGGAATAAAGGTAAATACGTCGCTTCATATTGCGTGAATTCAATTTGCGGATGCTGCGCTACCGAGCAGGCAAACAGCTTGCCAGTCGGTCCAGAGCCAATTATGGCGGAGCGAAATCTTTCGGTTGCCTTTTTCTCTATGGGAACCATGAGTCTCTGAAGCACTTCAACAGACAACGCCCTGTCGAGAGCTGTTGGGAAGCAAGCACGATATTTTGGACATACACCAGTAATCTGCCATCTGCTTAGCTATAAAGTAAGACCGATGAGTTATAACAGAGCTTTTGAGCCCACACGTATTTCTTCAGTTAACCCCTCTCAACCAATATCCCGCACTCGGTTAGTGTGTGTAGTACGTAGCACATATGTATCTATTGCACTATGTTCGCAGCAGAGTGCCTGTGTACACAAATATCGATGGATGGAGAGGGAATTTGGGGTTCATTTGCATTATTATTATTTCCTAACTAGATAGAGAAGTGTAGGTACTTCACAGAGGTTTATCATGATTGGGAGCTTTCTTGAAATACAGTTCAGATACCTTCAATTACGCAATTCTAATCGCGAAGACCGGAAGGAGCCTCAATATTGCCTTCCAATCTGCCATGCCGCCCTGTTATCTGTTTGCCTCATTCTTGTCCGAAAACATCTCTTTCTATATTCGAAGCATCAACTCAATATCACCACCAATTTCACTTTTTTGCTCATGTCATTGTGGGAAACAATACGGAGCCCAAATTTCGTTCCCGTGTTAATTGGTCCAATCACCTACTTTAGTACGTCTACCAGAGGTGAAATGGTAATTACTGCAACGTAGCTTCACTACAGTAATCATGCACTGAATCTGTAGCGAAGTCTAGACCCACGTTCCGCCCTTAGAGTCCTACGCGAAACGTAGCATTTGAGACGCCAACGTGTACAATAGTAACGCAAATCCGTATGTTATCCACAAGTGGACCACTTCCAATGAAAGCATACGCCTACGTAGCCTATGAATGGTCCTCTGCTGAGTTTGTTTGGGCTGTTGGATGCTGGAATATCCACAGCAACGGAATCCACCGGGATCGTCCGAAAAATCTCCATCTGCCCCTCTCATAGCTCTCATAGACTCATACAAACCTCGGGGTAGGGGCCACTCCACTCCGTAATCCGTACAACAACCATTTGCCTAAGATATCGAAGGATGCACTGGTACGCTAAGTATCCCATTCTTAGTCACATGGGACCACGGGCTAATTTGAAGCAAAATTTTCGTCGCACTGCACTAAATGTTTACTTTCAACCAGGGTCTACGGAGCAGTGGGTCGAATAGTAGTGAGTCCGCTACACTAAGAACGATAGAGTTCTTTGAAAGTACTCCGTACCTCGCACTCAGGAACACATAGAAGACAAGGTAAGTACGAAAAGCCGCTTACCAAATATACGTATATTAATCATACGGTAACTACCGCGTACTTCTTTAGTACTGTGTTGGAAACCCGTGGTTGTCTGATGTATCCGCCTACTGAGCCTTCTAGCGTTCCAACTAAGATATTTCAAGCACGTTTTAAGCCCTAAAGTCAAGGGTCTCAAGCCCTCCGACACTGTGATTTAAAATACTCAGATCTTACTCTTGCAAGTATCGAATAAATACGAGTACGGAGCACTCTAACTACTAGAAAAACACATGGCGACGGAAACCACCCTTCCCATTCTCATCGTCGGGGCTGGAATCAGCGGCTTATCGCTGGCTCAGTACCTACGAAAATCTGGCATACCTTTCCGGATCTTCGATCGAGATGCATCCATCGAGTCTCGCACAGGAGGTTGGGGTCTCACTTTCCATTGGGGTCTTCCAGCACTCAAGGAACTGTTGCCGGATGAGTTGTATGAACGCCTCGGGGAGTGCAACGTGAATCCAAATGCCCAGGATGCGGGCAAGTATAGATTTCTGGATCTCAAAACGGGCGAATCGCTGCACGCTGCCACTTTTCCGAAAACAGGTCGCTTACGTGTTATACGGTCCAAGCTCCGGACTCTGTTGGCCACTGGTGTTGATATTGAGGTAAGCTAGCTCTTCATGGTTTGAAACCTCCGTCTCATCTTCCCTTTTCTGGCTGTTACATATCCAAGCCGTCAATATACGCAAAGCACACAAATTGACCGCTATCGAAATATGTAGTGGTCGAAACGAGCCGTTGATATTACCACCGGCCCAGACAGCGTCACTATCTCATTTGAGGATGGCTCAACTGCAGAGGGCTGGCTTTTAGTGGCGAGCGATGGTTCCAACTCTCGTATTCGCAAATACCTATATCCGTCGGCCTTTGAGAACATTCCTGTGCCGGTACGTTTGCTTGGTGTAACAGTTTCTTACAGCCCTGAGCAAGTGGCCTCGGCTTTGGCCATCGATCCATACTTTTTTCAGGGCACTCATTCAGATTCGAACATCTACCTATTCTTCAGCTGTAAGTTCTACCCACATACATCCTAAACCCCTTCAATACCGTGCTAAGATCTCGTGATCGTGGTCGGTAGTCTTGAACTCTCCATATAACACGGGAAACGATACCGGCAATTACATTTGCCAGGTCATTGTCTCTTGGGCCGAGAGTAAGGATATCAAGATCCCGGAAAGCAACGTGGAGCGTATTGCGTTAATCAAAAATATTACATCCGACTGGACGCCACATTTACGAAGGTTGATTGAAATCATTCCGGACGATGCGGAAGCAACCGCAATTCATCTAGCCGATTGGTTCCCAACTACGAAACGCGAGCTTGAACGTGTAGTCCTCATGGGTGATGCAGCTCATACTATGACCATGTGTGAGTTAATTATCACTGGTTCCGGCGATTTTCTCCTCGAGACTAATCAAAATCTTCTTCGTATAGTTCGTGGCGAAGGTGGGAATAACGCCGTTACTGATGCGTGTGACTTCGCAAAAAGGGTTGGTCCCTTGATAGAACAAAAAAATCAGCATCAGGAAGTCACTTGGGAAAATTTCGACCAGGCTCTACATGAGTATGACCGGGATGTACTGACGCGAGGTCAAACATGCGTGACAAACGCTCGACAAGCTTGTCTTGATGCTCATGACTTTTCGTTGGTGACTGAGGAGAGCCCGTTAGTTTCACGTAGGAGTAAATAGATACCATCGACCATGTGCATGAGACCTATATTGATCATAAAAAGGCTAGAAACATAGAGTTCTAGATTCAATTATACCAAAAGTATTGCAGTAACAACAAGATTATTATTGGCTGAATGATACTTAGTAATCACATACTGGTGGTTATCGTATCGCATGTCCTCGAAAATACAGACACGCAAAACCGCGAAAGCCCCAAAATCCCGACTTTACGCCCTTATCGGTGCGACAATTTAGTTCATATCCACGACCAAGAGAGGTCTGGTTGGTGAGGAGTAGCGCATGCAAGTTTCTCATCACTTTTTCTGGTAGACTATTTTTTAGCATATCACATCCCTGGCATTTTCCACCAATGGCACCTCGGAATTGGCTCAAAGGATGCGCCGAATCCTTCTCCATGCATTTGAGCTTATTACGCAAGTTGTAATCCCTGCACCCTTCGTATCTTAGACGAATTTGTTTTGGTGTACGACACTGTGTACTACGATGGAGCACCCCTCCCTCATGCAATGATCGAAATTGGTAACTAATCATCGCTCAAGAACGCATTGGCCGTAATTGATCTCGGTATAGAATTTTCTGCGAGGACGGGTCCTTGGCAAATCTTGAGACTGTTCGTAGTATTTACGTCGGGTTCTTGATTATTGACCAGGATGGTAAGATCTATTGTATCTCGGGGTATCGGCACCGGTTAGCGATGAATAGAAGAGAATGTGTATTTTAGACAATGAATTTTTCATACTAAATACGGGACGCAGAGACCGGAAGAGTGGCACCTAATAATCAAGGCTTTCGAAGGCTACTCCGCGCAATCTATCTATTTAGTACGTACGCAGTACATGGTTACAATACCGAAAGCCTAACCCTAATATTCCAAAGAAACCCAAATGCCCATAAAGCGATCAAGTAGAAAAAGTCCATATAGAAGACGTGTAGTCGTACAAGCCCAGTACAGACTTAGGGCGTAGTCTCAATTATTATAGTCTTTGATTGTCTTATCCTCGTCCACCACAACCTTGTATTCCGTTGTACGCATGATTTCGTGAGGACCCGGCTCATCGCCAGCTCCCAGAATAAGCTCTTCGCTCGGAGTTCGCATGACTGTCCGCTTCGATACAGTGGAGGTAGGATCATGATTGACGCTGGACTTTACGCTATTCTTTCCGTAACCTTTGAGTATGTAGTTCTCGGTGGTACGGACAGTGTGCGATCGACTGCCGTATCCGATACGGTATCCAAAGTCGGACACCCAGCGTCTGAAGAGGGGAGCCAAGAATGGCACAGAGGTAATTATGTTCTGTTCATCAAGGTCAAAGACGTTAGTTGATGCTTTAATACAATAGGAGTAAAACCATTGGCTGTTTCTTACGCCGACGTTGAACTCAATCGTTCCCCAAAGCACAAGCAATGTTGAATTCCCGTCTCCATATGCAATCACTCGGATCTGAGTCAATCGTAGAATTGAGCAGACTGTAGTAAAAAGTCCCAGCGAGAAAAGCGCAATAATACCCGCTCTCTGCGCCGGTCGAACTTTCAAGTCTAGGAATATCGGAATAGGCACCAGGATGGTTGTGAGGTCGCAACCAATTGTAAACCCAGACATTCCGTAATTGACGGGTCCAAATGGCAGGCATTTTCCTGCTTCGGTAGGTGTCCATGATTTGCTAACCTAGAAAGATGCTATTGTAAGTATGGTCCATATAGATATGTGTCAGAGGTAGCAATTGTAAGGCGAACCGGGTGGCAATTGAATATGAGGACTAAAGTCCAAGCGAAATGGCCGAGTGTTGAGATGGTAGCGATCGCAATGATAATGATTCTATACAATTTCTTCGATGTACCGGACAGCAAACGTAAATAACTGACGCAGAGGGCCAACTTGAAGAGACCGATACCGAATTGGTAAAAGGGTCGACCTGAGTAGTTGACCTGTATCACCTCATTAATACTGTCGCACGGCGTCTCGTACTCTATGTGTAATTTGAGCTCTATACCTTGGTATATGTGTCTAGGTTTTGCTTGGGTCGAGCACTGATAGGTAAACCTAATCCGTATCTGGTCTCTTTTGGAGAATCAGGTCACTTGATAACTATAGGGTGAATGATGGATTTCACGTACGAACGATGCAGAGTGTGTTGTATACTATACTGAATAGCTATGAGAGAGTAAGTGTGAAAGTCAAGTTCAGCTAATCATGTCTTCAAGATTAGAATGCGTTCTTACCATTGCAACGGCCATGATATAATCATCGGGGCCCGTTCGATGCTGTTGCCATCGTACAGCAATACGAGTTGAAACAGTCAATGTCATCACAAATGTCAGAACAATACACACAGCAATGATGGCTGGGTAATTCGACATGGACTCGACCTCCGGAGAGGCGTTGTATATCCAGCCCATCTTGATAGTCGATCAAAGCCTCACAGACCACGATGTTGATATCAGATTTGTTTCTAGAATGTGAGATGGAAGAGAAGCACTGGCAGGGTATTATACCACATGCATATCCTTTTTTAGTTCAAACCGATCTTGCCCTATTCTTACAAGGTAACGCGATCCAACCTGCATCCACCCACCCCTGTAACGCACTGTATTTGTAAAGCGACGGGTTAACATGCGAAAACTGGAAACCTGGAAGCTAACCATCGAATCTATTACGACAGCTAATCGATAATAGGGATTTTTGAATCATACTTCTCGACTAATCACAGGTTACGCCTACACATCTACATTTTCCCAGGGTTTAAACAGCGAAGGAATCAAAGCAGGGATTGTTCGTTATCTTCAACAGTGTGAAATGCCTTCCACCAGAATCTTACTGTACGAAGTATTAATACAACTTTTGGGTATAGCTCAATAAGATTTGGTACTGATGGCTGCGTACCAGATTTTATAATATTCATCCTTCGTCTGTAGACGAGGTTCTTGAAAAAGGCTCAATTTAGGGCAACGGTGAGATGAGACCACCAGGCCGGCATAGGATTATCTGGATGCACTAAAATATCTGTAATTAATGAACCTGGTACGTATCGACCATTCACGAGATGAATGCCCCTTGCCTTTCTGCTGCATGTGGCTGACTGGCTGTTGGCTGATCGCTGGGCTCTGACTAAACTACAATCGGGATTTGTGGAATGGAAGGATTTCCAAACTTTCGGTCATTTTCGTTTCTTTTGCCAGAACTCAATTTCACCCCCAGGTCACAGTACACATTTGTGTTTTTTACCAAGTTATGCCAGCACCCCTAACCCCAGTGTAAGGGTTTTTGACCAAACTCTATTGTCCAAGCCTTTAACTCATATCGACTTGTACAACTTTATGTAGCGATACAAATTTACGAAGTCGTCTCCAGAGATCGGCGAACAGTCCCCATTGGTCGATTACTAACCAACAGCAGCTAGTTACGACGATCACGATAGGTCTTCTCTTCTATTGCGAGCTCCGGAATACGATAGACTACGTAGTGCTTCGGCCTCATCTAGTGGCTCCTCCGGTGGCTCCTCCGGGACCCTGAAAAAGCTAAATGGTTAGGCCTTTATGAGGTCCCACCGTCCCGCCCCCATTGTTTGTACATTTGACTTTTCGCCATTAACTGAATCGAGCTTCAGCGTTCTGGGAAGTCATACATTCTTTCATTTCCCGGTATTCTTGGGTATTCTTCGGTATCTCTGGGTATTCTGTGTCAGAATGGAAATGAATTGAGCAATTAAAATGCAATTGCCAAAGGACACCACAACTAAAGCTGTTGGATCTGATTGAGATACTGCGACGTCCGGAGTGGGAAGATTGCAATTCGTGGCTCTTCGTCACAGTCGATCACGACATTTCACAAATTCATTGAACTATCAGCGAATGGCCGTCGTTCGCTTTTTGAATTCAATGCTTCTGGATCGTTCGATGCTATCTCTGTAACCCTGTTTGATTGATCCTATCGAGGCAAGGGTTTCATTGGTGATTCGCAAAAATGAGTCCTGATTTGATGTTCGATGTGCAATGTCTTTCAAATGGGGAGTAAATAAGGTTGAGCTGGAGCAACAAAACAATACAATGGACCATAAATGACTTGTTCCAATTCTATACGTCTAGTTTCGGATGAGAGTCTGTTGGCTGAGTTGTTGTAGCAACTTATTCTCACCTTGTATCTCAAGTCACTCGAGTATCATCTCGTCTACCTAACGACCCAAGGGCAGAGCTTCGTCCCATCTACGGATCCTTGTCAAGCCTCTCGCATCTTAGTGCCTTCTGGCTGCGGATTATTCCGCACTATTGCTCCGTTTAGAAAATGGTCAATTTAGGGGGATCTGGAAAAGAGAATATTTTGTTCTTGACCCAATCGAGTAATACTTCCATCGCCACGGGAAAAGGAACGAAGTCGGGATTATCCAAACCACGGAGATGGCTGTAACTTAAGTCTTACTAGGCGATTCGTATGCGAAAGGTCCCACAAACCTGCGTCCAGACTAAATCAGTCGATGTTTTAGTGAGGATTTAGTACTTACTAAAAAGAATACTGTCATCCTATTCGCTCCTCTATCCGGCGTAGGACACTAGATTATCGCTCATATGAAGAAGACTAGAATTACACAGGGGATATTGGCAAAGGGTTTCCGACCTCGTAATTGTGATTTATGATCGGAGTAATTTATATGAATTATACATCTGCCGTTCTCATTAAGCCTTAGTTAAATCGGGTTTGGCCACGTTCATGGTGCTGTGAGGAATTTGTATTCTTCTATGCAGAACTCCTATGAGCCAAGGTTGCACAAGAAAAACGTTGGGTTGTATTCCTTCTGCATCTTTAGTGATCGGCAAAGTGTGTCTTTCCTTTTTTTCACTCGACTTTTCCAAAGTTCATTTCTTGCATCGACCTCGTGTTCTAATCCTTCGTTTCTTTTTATCAAACCCCGGTCGTTCTGGTGCAACTGTCGATCTTTGACAATATCTGTACGTGGTTACGTGCAGCTCTTGATTTGATTCCCCTTGCACAAATTCATATCATACATGATGTCGGATACAGCATCAAAGCAGCCCGAGGTGGCTGCTCAACAGCTTCCATCCGAAAAGCAAGATGAGGCACTGCGGTATCTTGAGAACCACAATGGCATCGGCGCTGCGGAAGTTGATGCCGTAGATCTCAAGGCGCTGCGAACCAAAGTGGACTGGCATATTGTGCCATTGATGTTCTTGTGCTACTTTTTGCAATTCATCGACAAGGTCATTATCAACGTGAGTAGGCTGACGCATGGAAGTCTCGTCGCATCGTGATAGAGTAGCTGACCGTTATATCAAGTATGCAGCTGTCATGGGGCTATCGGTTGAGTTGAAACTCGTCGGTAACGATTTTACAAATGCCAGTACCTCGTTCTTCATCGCCTACTTGATTGCAGAAGTCCCGAACAGTATGTCCAAGCAGTACCTCCCGTCGTCTGAAGATGTTGAACTTGCAGTATACTTATACAAACACAACAGCATTCCTTTTGCAAAAGGTCCCAGCCGGAAAATGGCTAGGGTTCAACGTCATCATCTGGGGTGTCGCTGTCGCTGCAACTAGCGGTGCCAAGGGCTTCACAACTCTAGTTGTAGCGCGTGTCTTCCTAGGTTTGTTTGAAGCTACCATCGGCCCTTCCCTGATGATCATCAGCAGCCAGTACTATACCAAGAAGGAGCAAGCACCCCGTTTCAGCTTCTGGTATCTTGGTCTTGGTGTCGCTCAAATCATCGGTGGTTTGATTTCATACGGCTTTCAACATGTTCACCATGCCTCGATCAGTGGATGGCGCATCATGTTCATTGTGCTTGGAATCGTGACCTCGATTGTCGGTGCAGTCGTATTTTTTTATATTCCGGATACGCCAATGAAGGCCAGCTTTTTGACCGAGGTTGAGAAGGTCGCGCTTTTGAAGCATATCAGCGAGAACAAGACCGGTGTCTGGAACAAAAAGTTCAATTACAAACAGATCTTTGAGGCTGTATTTGATGTACAGGTGTGGTTGCTGACGTTGATGGTGGTTTTGGTACGTATATTTCTTTCCATGCAGTAATTCTTCTGTTGTGACAGCTATGATCTGGAATTGGAACCTAGCTAACATTTCAAAAAGCAATCCGTCTCGTCCGGCGTCGTGACTACGTACTCCTCAACCCTCATCCGCAACATGGGTTTCAGCTCGCCACATGCTGCCCTTCTGAACATGCCCAGTGGCGTTGTCAGTATTGTCTCTACTCTAGCTGTTGGTATCGGTATTCGCAAAGCAGAGAACCGTTGGGCTTGGGTCTTTGGGTGCAGTATCCCTGGAATAATCGGCGGTGGTTTGATGTCTTTTCTACCGAGTAGTAACAAAGCCGGTTGTCTGATCGGTATTTACCTTGTCAATGCGATTGTTGCGCCTCTCCCGGTCATTTACCACTGGACCGCCGCGAACTGCGCTGGATACACCAAACGTGCTTTTTGCAGTGCTCTTGTTGCTGGTTCGTTTTCCATTGGCAACATCATTGGACCGCAAACATTCCAGGCTAGGGACGCACCACAATACCATCCTGCCAAGATCGCAGTCCTTGCTACTCAAGCAGCTGCTGGAGTATTGGCAGTTGTTCTGTACGGATACTATGTCTGGGAGAACAAGCGTCGTGATGCCCGCGATGCCGCTGAGCCACAGGTGGTTGACACATCGAGCGAAGACTACAAGGTCGAATCCTGGTCAGGATTGACGGACAAGGAAAATCGCAGTTTCCGCTACGTCTACTAAGGTTGAAAATGATAAGACACTAAATGTTGAATAGCCTGTTGAAGGTTATTCTAAGGCTATACTCTGTCATAGCATGTCCTGATTCGTGTATACAAGGGTCTAACCCTTGTCGCTCTTCTGCTTGACTTCCAGCAGGGCGAATAGATAGTGTTAATAGAAGTCAAACTATACATATATCCTCGTGATATTATAGGGATGTCGAGCAGGCTAGTGCATAATCTCAGAACGTCTGTTATGACTTAGCGCATACATCCCTAGAAATCAGTCACTTAGGACCAAAATGGTTGACATCTTGACTATAGTATGACTGGTCTACTACAATTCGATGTGCAAAAACATTCTCATTTGGATCTGGATGATCTGCTGACTCTGAAATATCATATTCTCTCACTCATGTGCGTATTTACACTTAATGGAAGGGCCACAGTCTCATTCTAGTATTGTTGGTCTCTCAAACCATCGACCATAATGATATAAAATAGGGTCTTCCAACTCTCTTTGATCTATTTAAAATATCTCCTTTAATGCCATGACCTTTGATCAAATACAAGACCAGGAAACTAAAGCTTAGAAAAATGGCTTGATGAAACCAATGAAGTGTGCATGCTATTTAGCCCTAACCCTAGTTTGTGGATCCAATAATTACGCATGATTGGCCACAATGACCCATTTTGCTCCGACTATGACAGTTTTGCAGAGAGCTGAATGGTCAACTGCGTTTCGAAGTATGGAAGTGGTGGTCTGTGAGGCAGATCAGACGATGGACGATCTTATTGATACAAAGAGCCTAATTCGACATCTTTACCGTACTTTGATAGTGATGGCTTTATGTCGTGTGACTTGAAACCAAGAGGGAGGTTTAATATGTTAGCCAGTTATCTTTATTATGAACGACATCAGCTTTGAAATACAGACCATTTGAATTCTTTCGGCGGCTGCCAATCTACATGACTACATAATTGATAGCAAAATGCCTAATTTTCATGTACTTTAGAAGTTTCAAACGCCGAGATTAGTATTGAGCAGATCTATATGTGGAGCATATCCTACAGATTTGAGATCGAAGCATTAGAAGGTCAAAAACATGGGTATGATGCTCATTTCCCCCTCATGTACCAGAGGAGTGAAACATCAATTGGTTGGATCGAGAGAATGGTCAAAATGACTTATGAACAAGTCAGTGCTTGCTAGACGTTTATCTTGTGAGGAGTTCCTGGAAAACATAAATGATAAGGTGATCATACGTGGTACTGAGATATGAGATGATGATCCCCTATACCTGATTCAATGAAGGCATTGAATGGAGCTACTCGTTAGTCCAAAACGTACATCATGTATTGTTACTGTCATGAGGACTTCCATATAAATTAATGCCATTGTTTTGCTTTAGCGCCTTCTGCCCCAGGTTTTCAAAACGCGTTTAAAAACAACGTTTCGCAGAGTATTCTGCGATAGACTATGAAAGACTTTGTTTGATATATCTCCTAACTGAGGACAGCCTAGCATCTTCTACCTCCTCATTGGAATGATTTAAAGCTAACCGCTCATGGCTAATGATCATTTCGAGCCTGTACATACACACTTGTTAGAGGGAATTGAACTATTAAGAAGATAGAAGGAAATGTTAGATTGGTGTGAAACGTGCTACAGGTGACTTGCTGCTAATCAGGGTTTCCGAATCATGGTATCATGGAAAAGGAGGACCTGTTTAAAAAGTAAAAGTTCAAACTGTCCGGCCAAATGGAGGAACAGCCAACAGACTTGATGTAGGTTTTGGCTACGGGTTGCACAAACCCTGTGCGTTCAACGGCAGAAGCCATGGTTCGCGTGTCATTTGAGAAGTCACAGCATGATACTACCCACATGGACATACCATGAAGTCACGCATCCATATGAACAGCAATAGCATGTCTAAACGCACGAGATATACTGATCAACCGAGCACCTTCCCGGGGAGAGCAGATAAGAGTCTGTGTAACCAACCGTTCGCAAAACATGAAGGTGTTGCCCAATTGCAGTCATCAAGGGATATAATTTCATCTAAAATATTCCCTGCTTTGTTACCTCGTTGTTACCCATGGGCCTTGACGTGGTGATGTAGAACGGGAAATGCCATGCTGGCTCTAGATATTAGCATGGATGTGTCATAATAATCAATGAGCTTATGATACCGGCATTTGTAGTCTCCTGTTAGCGTGATAAACAGATGTGTTCTTATCTAACGAGTCTGTAACCTTTGAGAACCTCGGTACTGCTACCCTACCTACAGCCTTTCTGAAATCTCGAGGTAGGTATGGGTCTGCAGCTGTAGGTCCTTATCTTCATATGTATGTCTCTGCGTCTTGTAGATGTGATGACCTGCTAACGTTAGCTTCGAATCGAATCCCTAGATACGTGATAATCAATTAGTAGATAGTATCAAGTCTAGTGATCATGCTTAGTACGAAAGTGTGAATCTAGATCCAGGTTTAAAGGTTCTTCCATTGCGTAATCACATAGGCCAGATTATATCGGTTGATGTAACCGACTAATTTAGACCTGAAGCTACCAAGAGCCGACAGGATGACCTGCCTAGAATGGCAATGGTGGCGCTGGGGCCAATCGCTGGCTCTGCAACAATATCTGCTTTCGATTAATACAGGATTACGGAGTTCAAGGTACCTCAGCTAAAATAGCAGAATGAGTCGCGTAGCAGAGAGATCAAAACATAAAGATGCAGTCACGTTTCACCATTTTCGCTGCGACATAAAGCGCACTTCGCAAAACCAGATCATAGTACCTACCGAATTTACTACCAAGTGTAGTATGCATTACGATGAACCACTCGATGTAAGGTTTATGGAAACTTCTAGGAGATGTCCAAGTTTCGTAGTTGATCACTAAAATAATCAACCAACAACTTTCCCAGTAATCCGGTACCTGAATAATTTGAATAAGTGGGGGCGCAGGATATTTTGCCGACGAGTAAACTAAGCCGAGCTCATTTTGGACTCCAGTGAAGGAAACGCATTCATCTATCAGGCTTTCTATCGGCTCTTAGAGACGAAATGATAAAAAGACACCTTGAATGAACCCAGAAATAATCCAATAAGAAGCGATACATGGTTTGTATTTGATCACATCTTGAAGACAAAAAGGCCAAGCGATATAGTCCGGCTTAATCTTCCCACTTTCCCCCCTCTACCAATCACGCTAGAGGAACAAGGGGTTACCCTGAGATGAAACGCCAGATAAATAAACCAAACTCTTTCACAGTGTTAAATGCCTTCTTACTCCTATGCTTAAGCCCACCAGACCAAGTCAGGTGGCGTCGCAATCTGGGATGCCGTAGGGTCAGCAGGGGATTACTTCCATACCAAGTCAGGAAACCCGAGACACATGATGACTATGTAAGTACAGGAACTTTTGAAGCAGCTTTCGATCGGTCCTTCTGTCGTTGACGATTTCATTTGTATTGTACGTCAAGAAAGTTTGCAATTTAATTTGTGTGTGTTAGCAATCTCGCTTAATTCATTTAATCGCGGTACAAAACCATTAATCTGGGTCTACTCCATACATTTTGTGTAGCTTCATCTTTCATTCAATCTCTCTTCAATCTATGTTCCCCCCAATTATTTAAAACAATCGTTCAGTCCCTTAAGATCCGTAGTCGACGCCACATTGCTACGGCGCCATTGCTAGCAATGACTGGCTCTCCCAAAGGAGCTTAATTTTAGTGTCATCTTTTTGCTCGAGACTCCGGCTGATGACTGGCTAGCGGTTATAGTAGCTACGACGTTGTAATCATATTTACCACAGCTCACCAATGCCCATTACTCAAGAATCGCATGGCGGACGCCAAATGTGCCACACGTTTCATCATCATTTCGGTACCTCAAAGTCCCGTTTCCTAAAATTTTGATATGCCATAGCCCTGGACTAGGTTAGATATGTACCTGACTAAATGACATTGTGTATACAAGCCGTCCACCATAGGTGCCGGCACTGGGGGTCAGTATTCTATTTTAAACCTTCTTCGATGATTTGATGACGTCTGGGCGCGGTGGATATGACAAAAACACACTCTCAGATCATGTTCAATTCTTGGTTGTTCTGTTTCTTCGGCGGAGAACGTATGATTGCCAGCAATGGCTGGCTGTGTAACTGCGAGGTAAGCTTCATGGACCAGATACCTACGTAAGCTGGATGGAAACCCAGTCGGAAACTTTCTTCAATTTAGTAGATCTAGACGAAATTAACGACTTCAGTTGCTTATTGGTTCCACCAGCACCCACACCAGCTACTGTGTCACAAAACCTAACTTTAATACTCGAGCCCCGAAGCACGTACGTAATGTCCTAGCTTAAACTGCATACTGTCTCTTCCCCGATCTTGATCTGTTCCCCTCAGTGGAACAAGAGCTGTGGACATTTGTACCCATCAGCCTCATGGCAGGTATCGCTGTAACCCTTTCTGCATGGGGGTCAGTTGATGTCTCCAAACTTGAAGCCATTGCTTTGAACGAGGAGGGTTCAGTAGCAACTTCGCCATGTAACCGTCTGCACGAACACATGGTTATTCACATCCATGTTTTAAGGAGAAAGACACGGAGTACGAAATTGTGGGCATGCAATACTGATTGCGCTATGTTCTGGTAGCACCCAGTGTGGTTCCCGAGATGTTTCCTCCTGACTACGTTTCCGAAATAGGAAAGGAGAGCTCGGAAACTTTACGGCTTGTCAACTAACATCTTCCCCCAAGGTTACTATAAGTATGACCTGGTATCCCAAGCTTATAGTATTTTCTTCTCCCCTTCTTCAACCATCACTCACTCAGTTCACGAGCCAGTCTCTCCTTACAACCCCCTCACTCAGTTTGACACTGAATAGATCCTTGACGGATCGTTACACTCCTTCTTTTGACCATCATTAACATTCACTGTATATAAATTTTCAAACACAGCTATCCAGCTCACTTGCCAGTCTTGCACAGCTCAGTATATAACCATGCAGATCTCAACCGCCTTGATCAGCCTCGGCCTTATGGCCAGCGCCGTCGTCGCTGCTCCTCACAGAATGAAGACTCGCGGCCCCGGTGGTGAAGTTGTTGTTTACTGGGGCCAGAACGCAGCCGCAGCCAGTGAAAATAACGACCTGTCGACCTACTGCACATCCAGCTCCGGTATCGACATTGTTGTCCTTGCTTTCCTTTACGAGTACGGAAATGGCATTACGATCCCCTCCGGTGTCATTGGAGAGGACTGCTCTATTAGCACCAGCGGCGAAGGTACCAACTGTGACTCCCTCGCTAGTCAGATTTCTACTTGCCAGTCCAATGGTGTCAAGGTTATCCTGTCTCTTGGAGGTGCTGTTGGTGCCTACTCTCTCACTTCCCAAACCGAAGCCGAGGAAATCGGTCAGAACCTTTGGGACGCGTATGGAAACACTTCTGGTGGCAGCGTTCCTCGTCCGTTCGGGTCCGTTTATGTGAATGGCTGGGACTTTGATATCGAAGCCAACAGCGGTAACCAGTACTACCAGTACCTAATCTCCAAGCTTCGCTCCAATTTTGCCTCCGACTCGGCCCACACATACTACATTACCGGTGCTCCCCAATGCCCTATCCCCGAGCCTAACATGGGTGAGATTATTACCGCTGCTCAGTTCGATTATCTCTGGATCCAGTTCTACAACAATGCCTATTGCTCGTATCCCAACACCCTCAACTACGATGACTGGATTTCGTACGTCGCCGGTACTCCTTCCGCCAATGCCAAACTCGTCATCGGTGTTCCAGCCTCCGAGCTTGGATCTACTGGAACCTCGAGCGGTGCCGCCTACTACCAGTCTCCCAGTGCTCTGGCCAGCACTGTCGCTTCCTTTGACACCAGCTCTAACTGGGGCGGTATCATGATGTGGGACGCTGCTTTCTCTGATGCCAACGTGGTTAATGGATGCAACTACGCTCAACAGGCCGCCAGTATCTTGAGCACTGGCTCTCCTTGCGGTGGAACTGGTACCACTACCACCTCTCCCACTCCTACCACCACTTCCACTTCCACCACTACTGCTACTTCTACTGCTACCGCCACTGGTACCCCGGTGGCCCAGTGGGGACAGGTTAGTACTCACATGATTCCTAACATATGAACACTTTCTGACTAGCCCTTTTCTGTAGTGTGGAGGTGAAGGTTATACCGGATCGACCGTTTGCGCTTCCCCTTACAAATGTGTCGAGGAAAGCATCTACTGGTCTTCGTGCCAGTAAAGTGTGTTGTGCCGATAGCCCCATTTTGAAGACGGAGACTATAGTCAGATACAATCATTCGCTAAGCACACGAAGACTCGCGGTCTACCATTCGTTCAAAAGGGCGATGTGAGGAAAAGAATTGTTAGATTCTTGCCTCAACAAACATTCGTTGGATACAGTTATTGCTCTTCAATCATTTTGTTAACTTTCCTGGTGCTGGTACTTTTTTTTCAACCAGAATAGGGGAAATTCGCTCGTTACTGTTGCATTGCATCCAGCATGCATTTTGTGGGGATGAAGAGGAGATTGGTGAATCATTCGCTTCTTGTATGTACTTAACTATTGAAGACAATTCAATTTCTGCATTTATATATCATTCTCTAGAGATTCTACAGATCTGATTGAATCCAATGCTCTGAGTGATATCTAATTAATGGATCTATTAGTGTTCCTTAATTACAAGCTCAACTGCTCCAGTGGGTCTACTCAAAGCCCATCGAATACCACCAAGTAAAACTTTATCCCATTCCGCACTTGCTGATAACCTATTTCCCATCATACGAAAGCCGTGTGGCAAACCTTTGAAAACATGGACGTCGGTAGGCACGCTATACAATAAGATGTTGTTAGGTTCTGTCTGAAGAATTGAGTAGGTGACATCCAACATACCCCTGTTCAGTCAAAAACTTCGCAAATAATAATCCTTCATCCCGGAATGGGTCGTAACCTGCAATCCCAAACGTAGTCGGTGGCATCTTCCTCGCTTCCTCTGCCGTCAAGTGTCCAGGATTCAGTCTCTTATCGTTAGGGTCCGGATTCTCAACCTTTAACGCATCGTTGAACATCTTTCTGGTCTTCGAGTCTAAGAAATTTGCTTCAGCGCATTGATTGTACGAACATAAACTTGGATTCTTTATCTGGCGCATCTGAGACTCGTAGCAATCGGCAAATACCAACGATGGAATCATTAGAACCTGCCCGAGAATAGTAGGTCGCGGCGATAATTGCAATAGGGAAGGTTGCGATGTCACGACCCTCGTCAGAGATGCAGTTAACTGCCCACCAGCTGAAGATCCGCCGATCACAATTCGGTTGAGGTCAGCACTGATATTGGGCGCATTTTTGCAAAGCCAGACCATGGCATCTTCAGTGTCGTTCCAGGCTATCGGATATCTGTATTCGGGCGTATGGCGGTAGTTGACGTGCAACACGAGGATGTTGAGTCTAAGGGCCACGATAGAGCAAAGCGGATCTTCAGATTCAAGTGAACCGTATAAAAATCCACCGCCGTGAAAATGCATGTAGACAGGCAACTTTTCATCCGCCGGCGTTGCTGAAACTAGTGGACGATATGTGCGAGCCTCTATTTGAAAGCCATCTCTTGCAGGAATCAGGTGATCCTGCGTGACTACTTTACTGGCAAGATCAAGTTGCTTCATCAAATTCTGCGCTGCCACAGCTCTCGCCTCGTTTGTTACCTTCTTGAGCTCTTCGATGCTCACGTCTGGAGTTGATGGTAGTGTTGACGCCAGGCGTAGCCATTCCTCGTTCGGGATGCCGTACTGGCTGAAGTCACACATGCTGTGATTATCAATCACCATATGACAGCTTAGTATCTTAGTGGTACTCGGAGTGGGAAATTGGGAGTCATGTCCTCTTCTGGTGAAAGATGGGGCTTTTTTGAAGGAATAAATTGTCAATAAATATCTCTTAGCTTCAGAGGACGCGATTTATAGTTGCCGAATGGCGGTGCAATTTTTAAATAACTGTGTATTTGTCTACTACTTCTAGGTAGATGTACAAGTATCCAGGGGCCGTGGAAAATTCATCGGAGGCTTTCATAGAGGCCTGGAAACCATTAACTACGATTAGCCAAACATGCGACTGCATGAATTTTCCATGAAGGCTTGGACTGGCTAGAGCATCTTTATGTCTAATGACTTTCATTTAGTCCGCATTAGCGATCTATTCCTAGATGGACTCGGAGTTCGGCAAACGTGATCCCCGGCTCGGAACATTTGCTTGGTTGCGCATTTATGTTCATTCGAAGTGATTACCAGTCCTACCTAGGCTTGGGCCAATTTGACGTATACTAAACAGATTGAATGGACAGACGGCAAGGACAAGAGCTGTTACAATTTGTTTGACTACGAGGCACCTATAATGATTGAACGATGTTTAAGTATAAAGAGCCGATGATCACGCCGCGATATTGGGTTTTATATATATAATGGAAAAGGCTCAATCCCATCTTAGTGCCTTGGATCCTGGTTGAACATCCTCCACTACATCACTTGAATTTCAACAGATGGCTTAATCTCCTCGGCTATCGTTGCATCTTGCGAGTCATCTTGATTGACATTTGCAACATACTCTGATTCTGGAGGTACGTCTGGTGATCTTTCTTCTGTATCATGAGTTTCTTTTGTGACATTTTCGTCAAACGTGCCCACAGCTTTAGCTTCAGAGGACGAGTTTTCATGTCTTGAAATTCCTTCTTCGGATAACGGAGTCAATTCAAGAGTATGCTGCTCGGAACTGCTACCTCTTTATCCACTAAAATATGGTCTTGCGGTGTTCCTTCTTCACTGCTCTGAGTTTTCTCAGGCAAAATTTCTTCTACCGTGGGCATCTCCTTTGACTCTAGATGAACTTCAGTGGAATTAGTATCGCTAGATACCGCGACTTCGTCAAGTGCTAGGTCTTTGTTGGATGCTTGAGTCTCGTGAAGTATCTGAACCGAGTAAGACGACGTAGTCTCTACTAATGGTTGGACATTCTCGGAAGGTAGAGTTTCTGCCTTGGCTGACAATCCTTCTATAGCGGGTTGACCATCCTCGGGGTGATTTTCTTCAATCAAAGTCAACTTCTCTGACTGTACAATATCCTCTGATACCGACACTTCATCGGGAGTCCGGGCTTTAGTCAGAAAGAGACAAGTTAGTAGGTCGAAGAGAATGAAGATACTCATTACCAAGTGGATTGATCAGATATATCTTACCTGGTACGATCCCAAGAATCTTCATTCCGCTCTCCATGACTCTTCGTGTAGCGTCGTACAGATTGGTGTGGGACAGATTTCCAAGAGCCAAGTTCTCGCACTCATCAAAGCAACTGGATAGTTGTACGGCTAGATTGACAAGATATGTCATTATAGTCGCGGGCTCTAAAGATTCATATGCAAGATGGGTAATTTCAGGGAACTGAACTAGCAGACGAAGAAGACTAAATTCCTCATCTGTAAGAGGATCAGCTTCCTCTGACAAAGGCGCTATGCAGGTCGAATGTGCATTGAAAACGTTACACAATCTCACATACCAGTACTGTAGATGTGGTCCAGTACCGGGTTCAAAAGAAGTCATTCGAGTAACTTCATATGCGTGGTCCTGCGCTCGCCTGGTAGAAAGCTCCCCAGCTACCAGTGCACTTGTCGCAATGGTGGAGATAGACTCTTCGGTATGACCAAGGATGGACGCCATTTCTGGGTACCTTTCAAGCGAATCATGAGTTGCCTTTTGGACTTGGTCGAGGATCTCGTCTAGAGTTTGGTCGTAGCCCAGCTTCTCTGACATCTTGGATACATTACTGAAGTGAACGTGCTGCAATTTACTTGCGAGATCGGACATGTCCATAAGTTCCAAAATCTTAAAAAGCCGAGAAAAGTGCGTGGTATGCTGATCCGCTGCTACTACGTATATCATTTTGTCAAACGAGTACTTCCGGGATCGCTCCAAGACAGCCGCAAGGTCTCGTAGGAGGTACGTGCTACTTCCTGTGCGGTCCCGAATGATGGCTGTACCAGAAATTTTTGAATGCTTTTTAAGGTCAATCATCCAGGAACCTGCGCTTTCCTCGGAGATACCTTTGCGCTTGAGAATTTCTTCAACCTCCGTCATGGTCTCCGACCGGACTTGGGATTCTCCAGAATATTCGTCAAAAGTAACGTTCAACCGCGAGTAAAGCTCGGTATACTTTTTGATGTTGACCTCACGAGCACGTTTCCATAATGCAACTGCTTGCTCATCATCTTCTTCCATTCTTTTGAAAAAGGCGTTGCGTTCTGCAAAGAGCCCCTGGCTTTCAATGCTGGCTGGATCACCTCCTTCATCACGGACCTTTTTGCTTGCAGCCTGCTCTGGGACAAACAGCTCCAGGACCTTTTGGTAAATTTCATGTAGATGCCCAGCCGGGTCAACTTGGAAAAGCTCTTCTGAGCCGAACTTCTCCCATGCGACGCCCAATAGTCCTATCGGCTTTCCCCAATCTCCAAGGTAATTGAGTCGCGTCACCTCCCAGCCCATGTTTTCATATTGGTTGGCAATATAAGCACCGATGATAGTACTTCGGAGATGCCTCGCCTGGAACTCACTAGCAATGTTAGGGGACGAGAACTCAACCAACAATTTCTTGCGTCCGACTTCTGGGGAGGAAGGATCTCGAAGTCCAAGAGAGTCATCTCGCCCATAAGAGTCCAGTCGGTCATTTATGTAAGGGAGTATAAGTCGTGGAAGCGTGCTAGTGTTGAACATTATGCGAAGATGCACGCCATCTTGGAAAGGGAGCATGAACAGCGAACGGTCAGGAAACTGGAATCAATCATATCCACAATTTCAATATCTTTATGCCATAAAACAAGAAGTGCGTCTCAAAGGGGAAAGGAAAGAAGGCTGCCATACCTTATTGATTATGTCAAATCCTACCGCGCTGGGGTTACCACCTTGGCTGAGTTTCGGTAATATGACTGCCAAATCGCCGCTGAAAATATCATTAGGCCAAGTAATAGACTTATAAGCAATTTCTGGGTCGCTTTCAAGAAGGGTACAGAAGATATCTGCTAAGTAAGAGCGACCGATATCCAAGGGCCGTTTCAGCACATTTGCTGAAGGAAATTGGGGTATTGGGACTTTGATTTCCAGTCGTTCAAGCAGAGCTTCAAGATCTGTGATGGTAGAGGTCGTCATGGTGGACTTATTTGTATCGTATAGTTTGTCAACCCGCCTTGGCCATACCGGTAATGTTGAAATTGCGGATTTCGGTATTTCGAAACATTTCAGTATATTAAGTATTCAAAAATCCAGAGATCCATCAATGGTGTGAACAAATGTGAAGCTTTGTATAACTTTGGGCAGCAAGCTCCGTGGTCAATTGGGATTGGACTGATTTTGCCGACATGACATCGGTTGTTAGCCCATCCATCTGCCAACTCCTGAAGTGTGTTGTGCATTTACTTTAGTGCGCAGTACCACTGAGCTCAGGCCGCGAACGATAAGCCAATAATCCATGAGCCTAATGAGGACACATGTGATGTGCTGATCGAAGCCCTACAGATTGATATCACTACCTAGGTACTAGCGATGAAGGGAGTACAAGTTAAGAATGGGATTAATTTATATAGTACAAAAACAGTTTAGGTATCCATATACATTCATGACTCAAGATTACATGCATGATTATCGACGGGGTGCATTTCCACATCATAGATCGCCTCGTCTGCGCCATGCCGTGTCTGTGTGGTTACCACTTTCATATATGCCCGCGGATCCCATTGGATAGCCTTTATTCTTGCATTGACCCCAGGCCACCACCCGAAAAGGCCAGGGATGGACATGAGCAGCCTCATCAGGGCCACGCTGATAATGATAGCAACGACAAATGGTTTAGGGTTGACTTTCACCGCATCTGGCATGGAAAACAGCGCTGCAGCGACAGCGATTGGGTTGACAATCTAAGTTTGGAAAATTAGCCGGTGATATACCAATGGAAAATATTTTGCATGAAGAACAAACCGAAGCTGTAAGTCCTGTCACAATTTCGTTATTTCGTGCCGAGTTACTGCCCGCGAGCGTCAATTGCAGTTGGAGCTTGGTCTGTTAGCTTGAGTTTTTTCAGAGGCAAATTCGACTAGAAAATGTTTGGGATACTGGAACGAAGTAGCTTACTATTCGCGCTGAGTTTTTACACAAGTCTTCCAGGTCACACAATTCTCGTTTGCATTGTCGTAATCTAACAAAGGCCTGCTTAATAGCCTCGATCGAAAGGCGAGCTTGTGCAGATGAGAGATCGTTGGCCTCCACAATATCCAAAAAGTAACCAAGATCTCCCTCATGCCTGCTAAAGTTCTCCCAAGCTTGATCATATTTTGACAAGACATTTATCAGGTGACGTAGGAGGCGCATTATTAGCTGGACCCTCTCAAAATCTCCCTTTGCATCATAGGCTTGGTATTGCGGGTGTTGTGACAAAGTAAGGAGAGCAGCATTTTCCTAGAGATCGAGCTTTTAGTAAGGTGTACTTTTGTCGAGGCTCTTGGAAAGATAGCGAAATCGTTAACCTACATATCGATTGATGCTCTTTGCTATCATTCGAACCAGACGTTCAAACTCGGCTAAAATTTGACACATTCGGCTTTCAAAGACGGCGAGAAAATATTTCCTAGGATCCCAAATCGGGCGATTTGCATCACATCGACAACTTTTCCCGTCCCAAGAGATTGGATCATCCTTGAAGATGGGATGGGTGTCATCATCTAGTAAATCCTCCTCCTCATCGAAGGCAAAACAATATCCGTCCCACCTGTAATTGTCCGACCCTACAATGACGAACGAAATCTGAGCTTCATGAATACGATAGTGGTGCAAGTTGTTCTTCTGAGACTTCAGGAACCACAGATCAGTCCAGTTTCTGTCATACTCCACTTTTTGAGATTGTTGCTCTCGAGGAGCACGCTGTAATGAAAGGTAGCGTAGATGAAATTCCAAATGAAACACTGAGTAGTTCTGAGGCTTTAAAAAAACCGCCATTAGTCTATGAATGATAAAACTCCCGAAACCTCCAGATTGAACTCAAAACTTACTAGATATACTCTGACTGATATCTGAGATGCTAAATATTTCCATAAAGCATCTCTTAATGACTCCACCTGATGCCATGGCGCCGTTTCGGTAAGCGCAAGCATGTAGTGTGGGCTCATCTTCGTGATGTAACTGCAGGGATTAGCCAATTTTTCTCCGAAGAAGTATAGGACGTACATCAAGCGTCTATCTGCATCTGGCATAACTGCATTGTCATATCGCTAGAGTCGTCACGAGTTAGTATTCGAAGCTATCGTCCCATCTCGGATTTTTGGGATCTTGACAAAGGCGTTTCTCTTACCCGAGCTTGTAGTATTTTGTATAGCTGAGAAGGCGTTAAAGGACTTTGGGCATACTTCCTGGGAACTCCACTGGCCTCATCAGGGGAATATTTTCTGTCATCTAGCCATGCACGCCGATATCTGCCAGCATTCCCACCACCTGATCGCAGGTCGTCTGGACGACTGCCCTGACAGAATTCAACCACATCGTCAATTTGATCTGATGGCAGTGACACTTCTGAATCCTGCATGAAGTTTTCGATGCCCCCAAAGACTGACTGCACATCGCTTTTCATCCTAACGTAAGGCTCCTCTTCCTTGAAATTGCGGTCTGTAAGGAACCTTTCGTTCCAACTTTTGGGAGGACATGTTTTAGTCAAACAGTCCATTGTCAAGAGAGAACGGGCCACCGAGTTTCATCAAAGTAATCCTGCGATCGTGACTAAAGAGGCCTCTACTCTCAAAATATCTTCAGTGATCAAACTTCATTGGGAAAGGAACATTAATCACAAAGAACAAGCAAACAAGCCATATTAGTATACAACTTCGGTGTATTAATCCTCCCCATCTACCCATATTCGCACCAACAGCAATACAGAAAGAACGCACTAACGGCCGAATCAAACCAGTGAACCAGAAACTTTTCATGCCAATGGACATTGATGTTCCATCATCTTGTAGCCTGAACCAACCCATAGGTTTTCGATCTTTTCGATCGACACCACGGATCTTGCTTCATGTTCATGACCATATCGCCGGGATCTTCATTTAATTCAATTCGTTGTTCGACCTCACTTGAACCTTTACCGTCTTGCAATAGGCACATCTTGGGGTAGCGCATTTTGGACACCGGTCGTTCATGATATTGATGCCCGGGTGACCGCAACTACACTATGGTTTCGACGTTGTCAGTACACGTCCATCGGCCGGCCTTCTCCGATCTGGATAGAACAACCCACTCACGCACTGCCATAGATACGCATACTTCTTCTTCGCCTATAACCAGTCTTAGTCTCAATCAATTCGGTAATTTGCCAGGCCGTTGTCATGTTGTTACCGGTGCTTGGATGGGGAGGAATGGCGACGAATAGTAATTTGGCGAGGATGGTCCGTCATCGGGCACGAATGCAGTACCCACTGCTGAGTCTAGTCTACACTCGGTTGTGTTTGGATGAGGCTCTTTGAAATGTATGAAGATTGGTCAGTTAATATACTGTTAGATCAGGCGCTGATAATCTGCCCAAAAGATTATCAGTAAGGCGCGCCCGAGGAATAGTTGAGAACTACTCACGCGCCAATCGAAACTCATTAGAGTTGTTGTCCATCTTGCTCGGTTAGAAAATGTTCCAATCATCGCTTCCCACCTTCTCTCTGCATTCGGGATACGTGAATATTTATCTCAGGTTTCCAGGCAATCTCGGGAAGTAGGGAGGCTGGGGCGAATTTCCGTTGGCCCCCAGCAACGCCATCATCTAATTCAGGGGGTACATACCATACCTCCTTTGGATAATCCATTTCGACCAAAGCAATCTCATTCTCGTGGTCCCCCTGAAGAAGCGCTTATCTGTAGTAATGATAGTAATGACTGCGGTATCATGTCTTTTTTGACTGGATTTGGTGGCAGAGCTACTACGAAAATACCAACGACTTTTTTTAAGAGATAGGTATACTTTTTTAGCATGTCGAACTCACAAGTTCTCCTTCCAGAAAGGTGATAGCCGTTATTCAAAATGAAAATAATTCTCCGATAAGGAATGTACAGCCTCCCTGGGCCGTTATTATTGATCTAGCTCTCGACGAGGCGCTAAACGACCAATTGGCATACTCCATTTTGCCCAGCCTCCCTGATAACTACCCTCTTAATCAACTTGCATCGCGTTGACGTGTCAAAATCATAAGTTCTAAGACACAATATTGCCCTGCTTTATGTCGCATATATTACATATGGATGCTTGCATATGCTGCGTGTCATTCTGGTACTTGCATAATTGCTTCCCAAAACAGTGTCTGTTGTGTACAGGAGACTGATTACGTGTTCCACAAAAGATCGTACAGAAACTTGGAACTAGGAGAACGGGTGATGATATTATTCTCATAACATTTCCCTGCTCCTTTCATTCGCGACGATCTGCATATCATTCCATCCTCCTTTACTTGATTTACAAGACGCATAACGGCCTCATTCTGGTTCTTGAAAGTGAAATATATTGAATATTTCCTCGTGACTTGTTTGAGCCAGGTTCGATTTATTATCGGACTGTCTACGTATTTGTTTCCAATCTTTAGTACCGGTTGATCGGTAAGGTTGTGCACGCTTTGCGTAAATTGCTTCCCAACATCCATGCAGACGGAAATACATTACTCTCCAATAAACACGCTCCATTCATTTATCAATCACGATATATAGGACAAAACAAGAATTGGACGAATCCTCGTTCATAGATCAATTGCTGACGTGTTCTGGAAACTCTCCCTACTCTGCATCAACCAGCCTAGCAAGTCTCAAAACTTGTGTACTACACCGAATAACATCAAACGTAAAACATGTTTGATATTATTCGGTGTAGTACACATGTCTTTAAGTTGTTGCGTCGTGCGGAATCGGGCTGATTTCAAGGGCAACTGGGGGAAATGCCCTGTCGTATTGCATTGAACATACCTAATTTGCCTAATCAAAGAGAGTAAGGCATCAATTGAGTCACGATGATAGGATCATTGACAGGATGTTTCATTGGGGTTATTGAGGCTCTTTGCAATATTCTGATTTTTCGCTGGGCATGACATTCTCCGTAGAAATGATTTTTTGAACTTATAAGATAGTTACCTCACTTTTGCTTTGTTGGCTTCCATTTCATGATAGAATTCTTCCTGAGTTGCCATCCCTAGGAGCAAGACGTTTGAAAACTAAAACAGCATCATGGCTAGTCAGGCGCAGGAAGAGCTACTGAATTCTTTGAAAAGGTATATTGGATTCCATCATTTTTGAGACCAGTACCTGCGCGAATGCTAATGCCGAGGGCGTAACAACAGACTATATGATACTGCAGAATATTCAGACCTCACAATATCATGTGGTGATAGGAACTACCTGGTACACAAGGCTATTGTGTGCCCACGCTCCGAATTCTTTGCTTCTGCCTGTGATGAAATAGCGTCTGAAGTGAGTGTGATACCAAGTAAATGCGGAATTTCACAATCTTGAATTGCTCACAAGTATCAAACATCAATGAGTAGGTTACACATGAAAGAGTTGTTACCCTGCCAGATGATGATCCCACTGCTATTGAGATGGTGGTCCATTACCTCTACCATCTAGACTACTCTCCCAATCTAGGTGTTGGACAAGAATATACCAATGGCTACACGACTGGTGCACATGAGCGTGATGGCCAATTAGAAATGGATGCGCATCACGAAGCAGCATCAGAAGATGCTGTGATCGAAGAATCTAGTTCCGCCCAAGGCCTCGATGAGTCTGCCCCCATAAAAACTATCTCTAAGAACGCGAAGAAAAACAAGAAAAAGCACAAGAGACTGTCTTCTGCCTCAGCTCTGACGGCCACAACGCAGGCAAATGGCGCATCAGTCACGGAGACTGGTTTGAGCAACGGGGCACACTGCGCCAAGGAATACGTTCTACCAATTGAAGCCCCATCGCCGAGTAGTCTTGTGGTTCATGCCAAGGTTTATGCTCTGTCTAAGAAGTACAACATCAATGAACTGAAAGCACTTGCTCTCGAGAAATTCAGAGTCGAGGCTGACCAAGATTGGGACACTGGTGATTTCCTGCTCGCTGCAAAAGAGGTCTACACTTCGACTTCAGCAGCCGATCAGGATATACGAGATGCGGTAACGACTATTGTCTACGAGCATCCTGAAATCCTAGATAGGGATGAGACCCAAGAACTCATCAAAGGCCTGGATTTGGGGTTTGATGTGTTGAAGCGAGTGCGTGCTAAGGGTGGCTTCCATTAAAACTGGTATTTCGCTTATTTCTGTTACACTTCTGCTATGCATTAATTCTTGTCTCATAGTTATTAAGTCGTTTTGAGGGTCATGCCGGTTGTTCCGGTATTCTATCAAGTGCAAATTGCTTGAAACATTAGGAGATGAATATCATTGAACCAGAGTCATTTGTGCTATGTGAAACGGAAACGTACGCCTTTTGAATATAGGCCAAACCTGCGCAATTTTCAGGCTTAATGATAGATGTGGCATGGTAAAGGAAACATTTATGATTCTGATGACTTAGCACGTTTTCTGGATGCTTCATGTCAAAGGTTCGCACGTGTACCTTTCCAGACGCAGCATATGACCCTACAGCAGGACCAAACGAAGCTAAACATCAACTCCACGCTTCTATTCTAAGATATAAATTAAATGAGCTTCTTAAGCACATATTTCTTAGGGCCGCGTATCTCTTTCGAGAGCTCCTGGGGCACGTTCGAGTTCGGAGACATTCCTGCTATGCACGTAATTGTCACGAGCCCAGTCGATTACTTTCGAGTAAGGCCTGCACTTGTGAACGCTAAATAAGGACTGAGTCAGCTTCAACTATTCCGAGGGCAATAATGTGTAGAGCCTTACGTGTTGAAGTCTGGAAATGCCTGCTTCCAGCCCTTGGCCCAAACATACGTGACCATACCAACGTCTGGATCACACATGAGCTATTAAAAAATCAGCATCAGTGTCCAATGTTCCTAGGCTCACAAAGAAGCATACCTTTTGACGCAGCATATCTATACAGTGATCTGGAACACAGTCAGTATGCCTCACTTCTCTCTAGTTTGTCCATGAAGAGACTAACCGAGATGATATCTCAAAGTTTTCTGATCCTCCCACTCCTTGTTCCTTGGTAGGTAATAATCCATATATGTCGCTTGCCGCAACATATTCACGCAATGCAGTTGGTGAAACACCTCAATACCAGCTATATACCCTCCACCCATCTCTTCCGTGTATTCGGCCGCATATTCAGACGCGTTAACTCGATCGAGCTGGTCTTTGGATAGTCGCACTAGACCTCCGCTGGGATAGGTGATTTCTTCCCACGCTTCATCAATGTCCTGGCTCGGAGGACCACGGAATTTGTTGGGATCTCGGAGCGCGCCGTCAAATCGTTGTTGGGTAAGGTCTTGATCGTTGAAGATTTCAAGTGCGGGTGACCAAGTTGATACCTGTTGTACGCACTTGTTTTTTGGTTCAGTCGAAATGATTATGAAGGTAAGGGAGCTGAGGATGATGCCGAGTATCATTCCTACGCCGAGCGATCGGAGGTTCCACCCATGACTACGATGGTTGTTGACCGTCTTCTCGCTCTCGATGGTGTCTTCGTCATAGCTAGATCTGTTCGCATCTTCTGCGCCATCCACGCGTTGGTATTTGAACATTCTGCCGGCCTTTTTTTCCTTCAATATGGATATAAGTGATCGGTCACCTCAAGGAACCTCAAGGCTACCTCATGGTAGAGGCTTCTGAAAGTGCAGCAATTTCACTCTTTAGTGATAGTGTATATTATTGTCTGATCCCGTCAGTACTGAACGATGACTTGATTCTGAAATTGCAGCTGCGTAGCATCATACGATAGAGTATAAATTTGAGCAACGCACCGTTGGCGCTAATCAGAGTACATCATTGCACAGAATTCGTTTCCAGGCGCTGCACTATAAGCCAGCCAAGGCTAAATGAACACCAAAATCTTTCAGCTTTCTAAAAGCGCAAGGCCATCACCATGCGTGATGATCACCGTCCCTATCGCAATTTTGGCCCCCTTCCACAAGTGGTGGCGCAATGCCTATTCTACCTATTGACGGGATATGTATGGTAACGTAACGCGAAGCAATGCAGGAGACTCTTAGGCAATTACGACATTCGAGGAACAAGTAGATTACTACATAAAGTTCGTTTTCTGGATCCACTCACACAAGCTCCACAGTGCACATGCATTGTGATTCGGGCTAGCTTCGGATAGAGCTGATTATCGAGTATACACGCTCAGCCCTTAACCAAGACCTTAGATTACATGCCCTATTGGACACCAAATATTGCCGCTCTTTGGCAAGGTTTAATTTAGCTCAAGCGGCATCATTCTAGGTTATAAAGGTCTGTGCTTATAATACGCTCGATATACTTTGACTACTACAGTAGGCTATCTATTGATTATTCTAGATCCGCGCAATGACCCGTCGGCCAACAAGCCGTGTGCTCCTGCGCCCATGCCGTTAAAGCTTTCCAGTCACTACAGCGCCTAAACTGCCCGTCTCCCGTTAGCCTGGACCGGTATGGGATATACAACAGAGTGTCATCGGCGCGACACTGTATTGACTGGCGCAGAGAGTCGTAGCAGTGGTTGATATGAACGAGCTTGTCTTCTACACTTTTGCCTGCCATTAAATCTTTTATTGCATCTCGCAGATACATCTTTCACGAGTTAGTTAACACGAGAAAGCCAGGTTGAGAAGGTAACTTACCACGCAGTGAATATCATGAAATCCCGTAAGAACATAAACCCCCTTACTTTCATCATCAGGAAAGTTTTCTGCAGCCGGAAGGCCGAATTCCGCTGCTTCGTTGTGCGGGATTGCCACGAAACCGTTTGTCGTAAATGAATCCCAAGCTGCGTCGGATACCGACTGGTTCACATCACTATATTTGGTATAGGTGTGAAACTGAGTCCATCTTTTCTCTTGATTTTGTATTCCAGCTGGAGGCTGTCAGATGTTGAAAGTCATAAGACGAAAGGGTATGCACTTACTAAACCCGTCGTCTTTCGCAGCGAGCTTCAATCGTTGGTTTTGTCTATACAGGCTGACATTACTAATGAGTAATGCCAGGCAGAGTATGATCAACGAGAACGGAACAGAGAGTAATGAAATTGATGGTCTCGTAGTTCTTGGTGATGGTTTGGTTTCGTCTGTAGAACAAGACTCCACCTCATAGTCATCTCGATATCGGTCTTCGGTGGAAGACATTTTTGCACATTTTGGTGGATTGCGGAGGCAGGATAGTAGAGCACTCTGTATTCAATCAACTAATCCTACTGTGATAGTTCCTGAAATTATCGGAGTAAATGACCTAATAATAGCGGCGGTTTACCACGCTTATCTAGTAAACCTACGGGTAATACCGTAAGCGTAGGAACACGGCTGATATGAACACTTTTACGAACTGATGCATGAGACATACTTCCCGTCAACCAGTGATCGCCGCTGCCAGTCGATCACGAATCAGCAGCTAAGGCATACAGCTTCGTCTAAGCGCAGCGGCGCAGACTCGGCGCAAAACAACTGGACAAGCAAATTCAGCCCCCAAGCGTTGGCAAGTGCGTACATAGTAGATCAATTTGTGATGCTCCTGCTGAAATCAGCCTAAGGGATCAATAAAGTAGACCGAGCTTGTAATTTAACAGTCAGCGTCTCAATATGTCCGCACGTGGGTCATCTTGTTGTACCTTATAAAGATACATAAGACTTGCAGCTCGAGGACACCAAACTCCGAAAAAAACAATATATCAATCCACTGTCAAAGTATTCCAAATAATTCCGTTCAATCTGTTATTTGAATCGATCCTTACAATCGACCCAAAGTAAACCCACCAAAATGAAATTCAACTACCTATCGCTCCTGAGCCTGTGCCTGGCCGCTCAGACCATTGCCCTGTCTATCCCAGCCCGTACGTACATGATCAACCACTCACATGTCATAAACTCTAACAAGAAGATTCCAGGAGCAAACGTTGCTCGCGGCGACGAAATCGAAGATGGCACTCAGATCGCCGAGGGTTGGAAGCGATCTGATGACGCAGCAATCTTTGTTCGCGGTGATGAGATCGAGGACGGTACTCAGATTGCCGAAGGATGGTAGAGTCGTGTCAAAGGCGACTGTGTTTCTGTCGTTTTAGTTCTATGTTTCTTTTTGAGGTGGAATGGGATACGATCAATGATTACAATGCGTCTTATTTGTCAAAGTTGCCTGTCTAGGTAGTGAATTGAAATTGGCTTTCTTTATAACGGTTTCAATCTTGTAAATATAAAGCAGTCTATCAAAGTGAATTATAGATCCTAACCCCATCATCTTCATGCCCCTCACAATGCCCAAAATGGTCATTCAACGGAATTGGATGATCCCCATCAACATAACACGCCGTATTATCTCTCGCCCATTTCCGACGCCCATCCCAATCAATGCATTTCCTAAGCTGTCCGTCACCTGTCTGATTCCGTCCCCAGGTATACAGCAACGTATCCCCCGAATTCCCGCACACGAGGTACTGTAACAAACTATCGAAGCAGTGCCGTGAGTGGCCCAGGGGGACTGTTGGAGCTTGGTTCATGGATAGCTCTTTGAAGGTTCTGCGGATTATGGTTAGGCAGTGGAGTTGGTGGTAGCTGTTTACCACATAGTTAGATTTGTTGTATCGGTTATGATAAAGGGAAAGGGAACGCACGCGTCGATGATATAAACCCCTTTACTAGAGTCGGATGGCAGATTCATGGTATCAGGCAGATGATGCGATGCGGCCCATTTATGGTCTACTGCCACGATGCCGTGGGCGGGCATAATTCGGTCCCAGGCTTCATTCACGGCCTGCTCATCCTCTGGGTCCGGGGAGCTGTAGATGCCGCTGTCCCATTGGAATTGACGCCAGCGCGTGTCTGAGGATGTGAGCTCTGTCGATACGGGCATATGTTAGTTGCATTCTTTGCAATCTCGCTGGCTAAGGTTATAACTCACGATATTCCGGGACCGTCGCCCTGTGTGCAGTAACTTCTACAGGGTAGTAGACATGTTTCAAAGCGAGTACAGCGCATACGATTGCCAGAAAGAAGATCACCACTTCCCGCCAGAAGAGGGTTATGGCATCCGTGGTATGGCGATACACGGGACGTGTTTCGCTATTTTGTTTGTCGTCTAGAGACGTATATTTTGCTTCTGATGATCTGAATCTGGGAAACATGATCGTTACTTCACACAGCCATCCGGCGTTGTGTGTTTATTGATTTAGCGACTCGAGTTGTAATATACTTCTCCAGTCTAGATCGTATGTACAAATGTGTTATATCGCAGCTACCTAGCTAACTGAAATGATTATCCACCGTGCATGCTCCAGTCAGTAACTGCGCGAACAAAATGTCAACTTGCCTCATTCATCGAAAAATACAGTAAGTATTAAAATGAGTCCGATCCCCGTTCTGGCCGGCCCCCAACCTGCATGTTAGCAGACTGAGCGAAAACCCAACCACTTAGAACCCGTTGATCAGATCCGTCGGACGATGAACGAGCTACCGGTAATAAACGCTCCAATCAAGAGCATGCATGAAACCCATTCTTTACTATGTGCCTCGGTAGGCCAATCTTAAAGGGTCGTTATACGTGCGCAGCCCGTCAGCCGCAGATCTAGTTCAGAGGGCGTCAATTGGGTGGTTCAAACAGCAACCCGGCTTGATCCTTAATATAAGTAATAATTTGTGCGGCATCTATCAGCGCGTCTACGTCCATGAATGCTATACAACATATATTTTAACGTCTTTAGTACTGGGCTGAATCAGCTGTCCAATGGATTATCCAATAGATTCGAAATAAATGCTACGTATACTACCTATACAGCTGTTGATTACATTCTACAGGGATAGCTGCGCAGTGCGTACAGCCCAGCCCAGTCCGATTGGATATCCGACACATCACAAGGGATCGCCGAAGTTGCATGCAACCATCCCTGCCAAATCCCGTTTTTTTAGTCATGCGCCTATTTTCACTGTTTCAACCGTTTGGAATGATGTGGTATTTACCGGAAGATAACTTGTATTTTTCACTCGTCTTTTGGCATTACGTATGTGCAAGTGTGTAGGATTAGTGTTGCTGAGGGGCAATCATGGAAGCCTTCATCCGGCGCCTGTTTTTAAATTAATATTAGAAGTTACTATACAGTCAACCACTAACGGGCCAAAGTCGGAGCCGGACTTCAATCCTGGATATGTAGTATCAGCAAGACTCAAACTGCTCTACCTCTCTCTTCAACCCAATTCCACTACCCACCGACTCGCGCCCCTCCATATCATGCGGCGCTCCCACAATATGCGTTTGCACGCTCGCTCCCACCCCTCCAGCACTACTACTCTGCATATTTGAAAGCAGATACGGCGGATTATCCGATTTATCGAACCCGTAGAATCGACTGTCGCGCTGCTCGGTGTTTGAGGCTGTAGACGAGTGCAGAGTCCACACATTCCGTATATTGCTGAGGATGGATCCGGGAGATATTTTGACAGTCCAGCGGCCGAGCAGACTGCGTAGTGTCGGGAGGCAGACAACGATGACACCGAGGCCGCATTCGATCATGGTCCAGAAGAGGAGGTATGTTATTAGTGCTATGTAACTGTTAGTAGGGAATTCAGGAAAGTTTGACCAGGGTCCCTACTCTCGCCGTCGGATTGGGCGAACGCGTTCACGATGTATTTGATGTAAATCGCCATTCGTGTAGCGGATGCCGCGATTGTGCTTTTCCTGTCAGTAGGACGAATAAAAACGAAAGAACAAACTTACAGAAGACCGACAAAGAAAACACCCGTCACGGCAAGCTTTCTCTGAAAGTCCATATGCAAAGCCCAAATCTAATCCAATTAGTCTTGCAGCCCTAAATCCAGAGGGACTGGATACTGACGGTACGGACCTTTGGATGCGGCAACGCCCATATAATAACATCCATAATAAAATCCGAAATAGCGTATCCTTCGAGGAATATCAATTGCGCACTACACTTTTCCGCAACGACAGCCACCGGCGCCCATGCATTTTTGGGATGCACTCCGCACAGAAAGATTGCGCCGATTCCGAATGCCAGCGTCCACACGACCACCAGGACAATCATTACCGTGGTGATAATGTCGAAGATTGGAGCGCGGCCACTGTTTGTCGATGGTATGGCGCAGAATATTTTCCTGTAGAAAAATAGGATGCTGAGCTTCAGCGTGCCGAATGCGAAGACGCCGATGAAGTCGAAGAAGTATTGTATCTGCACAATTGAGTTGTCATTATGATAACTTGATTGTGAGAGTAACCAGGTAATACCTGTTGAAGCCGAATCTGCTGATCAGAGTCCGATAGCAAGTAACCATCCGGACCAGGCACATTCGGCGGCGGAAGAAGGTCTCCCAGCGAATGCGTCGCAGCGCCCCAGATGAGAAGGCCGGCGAGCGCAATTTCCAGCAGCTGATCTTCGGGTTAGAATTGATGCGTAGTAAGTACGAAGACACGTACCAATGCCGGAATGGTCAGCCAGTCGTCTATCCATGGCCGAATCTTTGCCCTTCCTCGCGTGTAGAAGCGCAGAGAGACGACGAGGATACCGAGGATGGGGAAAAGAACGCTTATAACAATGACCGCGGCGGGTGTGGCGTAAGTCATGACTAGCAAAAGTAATATGGAATATGGAATCTGTGTCTAGTCGAAAAGAGGGCCAGGGAATAGATGAAGAAAAACAGCTCTCTTTACCGTGTAAGAGGCGTTGCCTACGTCTGACTGCCAAGACGATTCTTCAGCTCGAAAGATGGCGTTCTCATGCATGCACTAATTATTTCTAGTAAACTTTGAATATGCATCGTGGCGGGGTCGATGATCAGTCTGGACGAGTACTGTGCAACATATTATTGCAAGGTTGTGCAAGGAGGGGAAGTCTGTTGATCCTTGAATGTACTTATAGCAAGTGTACGCCGATCATCGCCAGCGCAGTGGGTAACATGCATGTCTATTATCTGAAATGGTGGATGTTTACTCCCAGACCGTTTGGAGATGGGGCTGAATTGCGGAATGTTACAGCGATACCTTCACGTCTTACAGGACACGAGTTAATCATTGGGCTGGACTGGTCCAATTTGCGGAGTCAGGCAATGTGCTTTTCTTTGTTCGTCGTTGCACAAAGATGATCGTGACAAAACCCATGGGTCTTAGCTACAGCAATAGGAAGCTCCGGTCGGAAAGCCCGGCTCTGCCTAACTTCTGCCACTTACAAAAGTGCCTAAAAAGACAGCAGAAACACAGAGTCGAACTTTTTCTGAATTAAAGAAATTGTTCAAATGGCTGTCGCTATCTTCCAGATCATCCAGACCACCGCGCTCGTATCGCTCCTGCTGACGGCAGCAGGAGCGATACGTCGGTTGTACTTTCACCCACTGGCGCACATCCCAGGCCCCAGATTGGCCGCTCTGACCTGGTGGTATGAGTTCTACTACGACGTTGTCCAGCCAGGGCAGTACGTGTTCCATATTCAGAAACTACACAAGAAATACGGTATGCCACAACACTTCGGCATAGATTAAGGCTAACGTTACAGGACCCATCATCCGCATCACGCCCGACGAGCTTCACGTCAACGACATCGGCTTTTTGGATAGTGTATACGCGCCTTCATCAAAACGTAGAGACAAGTACGAGTACCAACTTAAGACTTTGCGCGTTCCAGGCGGCGTGGGCACAACCGCCAATTACGACGTCCACAAAAAAAGACGTGAAGCTCTAAGTCCCTTTTTCAGCAAACGCAATGTGGTGTACCTAGAGCCATTGATTGCTGAAAAGGTCGAGCAGCTGTGCCAGGTTGTTGCGAAACACGCGGCTGAAAAGACGCCTGTCAATTTGTCAGATGTTTTCTTCGCGTTTTCGAACGAGTATGACTATTATCCTTCTGCGAGGTGACTGACGGCTAATGCTATGTAGTGTCGTTACAAACTTTCTCTTCGCGCAACAGAGCAATAATCTGGCAGACGAGGCGAAGGCTGCTACGTTGCGCCAGAACAGTTATGAGCTTTTACAAGGTATTCACATCAACAAGCACTTTCCATGGCTGCCCGATTTCCTCGAGAGTCTGCCGCTGGCTATTAGCAAGCCCTTGATGCCTCCTGGGCTGATTGACATGTTGGACTTGTTTGAAGTAAGTGCACCAACTATCCACAAAAGATATTACTAACGGGACGCAGAGAGTGCGCACCGAACTGCTGGCCATCATGAAAGCAAAATCGTCGGGAATCGCCAGCGAGAAACCCGTAGGCCCAACAGGCAAGGAGTCAGTCTACGACTCTGTCCTCGACAGTCCTGTTCTACCGCCAGAGGAAAAGTCGCTTCTCCGTCTTGAGCAAGAGGGTGCACTGCTTGTACTCGCCGGCACCGAATCACCCAGCAGATCGTTGCTGATTCTCTTCTACCATCTTCTATCCAACCCGTCCATCCTGCGCAAATTACGCGACGAAATCAACACACTGCCACCAGACGCAACTTGGACCCAGCTTGAGCAGCTCCCATATTTGTCGGCAGTCATCGAGGAAGCCAATCGACTTTCTTTCGGTGTCACAGCTCGCCTAGCTCGCATCGCCTATGAACCGCTCACATACACTCCGTCCCAATACGTCAACGCCACAAACTCCAAATCTTACACCATTCCCTCTGGCACACCTGTCAGCATCACGACTCTGAGTGCGCACACCAACGAAACCGTCTTCCCGGACCCGTTCACATTTGATCCGGAGCGATGGCTCGGTGAGGAGGCGCGCGAACGCCGTCGGTTCCAGTTTGCTTTCAACAGAGGCGGACGTAAATGCTTGGGCATTGAGCTGGCAGGTGCGGAATTATATCTCATGACGGCCGCGCTGGTGAGGAGGTTCGATATGGCGTTGTACGCGACGGATGAGACGGATGTGGGATTTTTGTATGATTATCAGGTTGCGATGCCGAAGATGGATTCGAAGGGGGTGAGGGTTAATGCGACAGTCTTATAGTGGAAAGACATGAGGTATTTTGATCATTATGGTAGTAGCCTTACTGTAGCTGTCTTAACCTACCTAATTCATGCTTACATTCTCAAACGAAACATAGTCTTCGGCAGTAATCACTAAACATAAGACCAGTCCTTCCTCAACCGACCCCCAATCTTCCCCCCGTCCTCTCGATCTGCATTACACCTCTGCAATATTCCCCTCGCAGCCCTCTGCGCCTTACCAATAATATTTATCTCTTTAAGCCTTCCCCCATCAACCAACAGCCCGTCCATTACAACAATCCTCCCATCCACAACCGTTATATCAACATCCCTCCCCGTACAACCATGCACGACCGTCGTAACCGGCGATACCCCTTCTCCTTTTTCGTCGCCATCATCCCACGGCGCAACACCCATATTCCCCTTCCCATACGGATCAAGCACGACCAAATCCGCCTTCTTACCAACTTCTAGGCTGCCAATCTCGTCCTCCAAACCCAGCGCCCTCGCGCCATTGATGGTTGCCATCTCCAGCGCCGTCTCAGCGGGTATCAACGATGCGTCGTTGCGCACTCCTTTGTGCAAAATGGCTGCCAGATGCATCTCCTGAAACATATCATAATGATTCGCGCACGGCGCGCCGTCCGTCCCCAGCGAGACGTTTATGTACTCGCTATGGGTCAACATCTCCGGTACAGGGGCTATGCCAGATGCCAATTTCAGATTCGACGAAGGGTTATGCGCGACTGTTGTCTTTGTTGATGCTAGCAAGGGGATATCCCTTTCCAGGTCTAGATTTACCATGTGCGCCAGCACTAGTTGTCGCGATTTCGTAGCTTCGACAGACCGAGGAGCAGCAGGAAGAGGGCATAAATGAGTCTCCTGCACAAACTCCATCGGGCTACACCCATAACTCTCGCGATATATGTCCAAATCCCGCGGCGCTTCGGCGCAGTGCATCGTAATCGATATCCCATGCTCATCGCACGCATCGCCCAGCTCGCGAAACGCGGATTTGGGTGCGCCGCGCGGTGTACCTGCTGCTGCCCAAACGTGGAGTCTATCGTTGTACGAGCCGTGGAGTGCGGCGTGCGCTTCAACAAGTGCCGGGATGGACATGGCGACTAAATCCTTGTCGCGCGGGTCGGTGATGGAGAGTTGACGATTTGTTTCGGTGAATTTGACCAGTTTTCCCTACCATACCACCACCACCATCAACCCCTGCATCTCACAAGACCTAAGAAAGTAAGGGTTGAGGAACGAACCAAACAGCCCCTAACACCCATCTCACCGACAACCTCACAAACCCGCTCAAACCCAGCCCTGTGCGTCAACATGGGATCCAAAAAACACGTCGTCCCCGTCTTCAGCATTTCCGCTATTGTCAGCCTCGCCGCATCCGCACCATCGTCGCTGTCATACGCCGCTTCCAACGGCCACACGGCATCGCAGAGCCAATTGTGCAACGGTAGATCCTCCGCTAATCCTCTAAGCAGCGACTGCACGAGATGCGCGTGCGTGTTTATGAGGCCCGGGATGATGAGTTTGTGTTTGCAATCTATTATGCGCGTTTCTGCTGGAAGGTTGGAAGAAGGATAGTTCTTCCCAATGGAGGAGATGCGGTCGGCAATGATGTGGATGTAGCCATTTCGAATGATTTGGCGCGTTGCGTTGAGGGTGATGATGGTAGCGGAGTGGAAGAGGATGGAGCTGCTGTTGTCTGCCATGATGGACGTATTATACTAACTAGACCTTGAATTGGGCGTGAGCGAGACAGAACAAGTCATTTCATCTTTTTTTCTCTCTCCTCGTTTTTCTTCTTTTCGAATTTCATCATGTAAAACATGTAAATAAAAAAAGATGAAGATAAGCTCCTCGGCCGAGCCCCACTGCTAACGGTGCTCCCAAAGTGGGAAGATTCCCAATAGATAAGATCCTCCATTCATATCTGGAGATAACAAAATCATCGATAAAATGATAAGCCGCCTCACTAGACATGGCGATAGGCTCTTAGTATGGGTGGTTATGAGTGAAATAAAGATATAAACTGATTTCCCACGTGTTTCTGACGTCGAGGTTTTGACTCAAGGCAATTTAGTTACCAGCAACGACAGAAGGGAAGATGGAGACAAAGCAAGAAGTAGCAGACACCCAAACCTCCTTTTCCATGACGGAGCCCGCCTCGTCTTCTTCTTCGCGATGGGCATATCTGAAGCATTACTTTACCAGTCGCGATGGCTGGATTGGTGATTACGTACATTTCCACCGATCCATACAAGCCAATATGCGATAAACGCTGACGGTGACAGGACTACATGTACCTCATAACCCCCAACATCTGGCCCCTCAACAAAAAATACAAGGACTTCTCAACGCCCTTCTACGGGCTCAACGACCACGTCCCGATCTTGCTTACTATCATTCTGGGCCTCCAACATGCTCTGACGCTGGTTGGCTCCGTAGTCTCGCCGCCGCTGGCCATCGCCGGCGGTGCGTTCTATCTCAATTCGGCCCAGACGCAGTATTTGGTTTCGGCGGCATTTATTACTACTGGTATCGCGACGGCACTGCAAGTCACGCGCGTACACATCACGAAGACGCCGTTCTTTATCGGGACAGGGTTGTTGTCTGTCGTTGGGCCGACGTTTGATATTCTCAATATCGCGTTTAATTATACCGACATGCGTTACACAAACGGGACATGTCCTGTCGACGAAACTGGCGCAAAACTGCCCTGCCCAGAAGCATGGGGCGCCATGCTGGGCACGATGTTGTGTACCGTCTGGGTGCAGATATTGATGTCTCTCGTCCCGCCCAAGATCCTCAATCGGATCTTCCCCAAGATTGTGACGGGTAGTTTGTTGGTGCTGGTGGGTGTGTATCTGATCGGAAACGGGATGGAGAATTGGGGTGGAAGTTCGAATTGCAATGGCGGGACAGGGTATTATGCTTTGTGTCCGGATACGGCTGCTCCCAAGCCGCTGCCTTGGTATTCCACCTTCCTCCGAGAGATAATTTTCAAGTGCTTACGAAGAATAGGGGCGACCCCAAATTGATCGGACTCGGCTTCAGCGTCTTCGTCACCATCATCCTCGTCGAAATTTTTGGATCTCCGCTCATGCGCTCTGCATCCGTCATCTTCGGTCTGGCTGTCGGCTGCATCATCTCCGGCGCAGCTGGGTACTGGTCCCGAGCCGAAATCGATGCTGCCCCTGTCGGCACCTTTTTATGGGTTCACACATTCAAACTCTCTGTTGACAGAGCGCTCGTCTTACCGCTGATGATCATGTTTGTCTGCGAAGCCGTGAGTTGTATGCCCGATATCCTGGCGACTGCCGAGCTTTCCGGAGTCGACATCGACGGCACGGAATTCAACAGTCGTATCCAAGGCGGGATCATGTGTGATGGCATTGGTAGTCTGATTAGTGCCCTGGGCACTGGACTGCCTATGGTCAGTCAGGCTGGTAACAACGGTGTAATCTCATTGACAGGATGCGCAGTAAGTTTTCAGGTACCACAAAAGTCAAGGCTTCAGGCTAATGAATGCAGAGCCGCCGCGCTGGCTGGTGTGCCTCCGCCTTCCTCGTCCTGATGGGCATATTCGGCAAATTCGGCGCCGTCTTTGGTTCCATGCCCCCCTCAGTTCTCGGCGGTATGCAAGTGTTCTTATATAGCACAATCGCAATCGCTGGAATTCGTGTCTTGAGTCTCGTTGAGTTCACCCGACGAAATAGATTCATCTTGACTGCGGCTTTGGGAATCGGCTTTATTGACATTGTCTCACCGAGCTGGTTTGCAAAGATTCTGGACTATAGCGGACCAAACGTCAATTTGCAGGGATTTGAGCAAGGGTTGAATCTTATTGTTGAGACTCCATTCATTATTGCGGCTGTCATTGGGGTCTTGCTGAATTTGGTGATTCCGGAAGACAAGGGAGCAAAGAGTACTATGCTCCCATGGCAGAGACAGTCTGAATTGTCCGAGTCGATGTAGATAGTCTGTATATATCTTAATCTATAATATTCTAGTTCATCAGGTTATATAATTCGCCGCCAGAGCAAATACTTCTTCAAAATTATCGGGAAAATCAATCCCGTAAATCGACTGATTTGGCGCCATGATTGCTCGTCCCTCTGTGGGCCTGCTTTCTGGCGGCCAACTACTCTCCCCCTCAAACCAATCGGTCCGAGGCATCCTAGATGTAGCTGCAAAGTTCAGCCGATCCTGCTGGTAGAAATGTCGGATGATTTCGCTGATATCAAGATTCCTTCTATCGGTTTTGTTCATACTTTCATGATGAGATTCCACTTGCAGTGTCTTTTCTCGAATCCTTTGTTCGTTTGCTAGCATAGCTTGTAGTAACGGGACTCCGCGCTTTGCGATCATATTTGTCTCGCATATTGACAGCATGCGGAGACCTTCCTGTACGAGACGGCGATGTTCGTCGCATTCGCGTGATGACTCTGGAGAGTGGATCATGTCAAGACATAATATAATCTACTTGCATTAGCACACGCCACTAATCAGACAATTCACTTACTCCTGCTGTTACTACAAACGCGTGGTGAATCCAAAGAACTGGACCATCAGTCTCGGTTTCCTTGAGTTCCTTGACAATAGTCCTCGCCGCTGCGACACACGTCCGTCTAGTTCGCGAAAACATCGGATTCACAAAACTCATGCCTAGGAACTTCCTATGGATCATTATGACCTTGTGCGATGTACTGATGGCGAGGGCACGACGAGCCCATGGAACATAACACGGCCAGGACGGATCAAGTGGGACATTCTGCAGATAATACGGCAGACCGACGGTAGCCAAAAGTCGCAATTGCTGGTCGTACTCCAAAACCTTCTCATATCTTGTGTACAGCGTGTTTGAGGAGACAATGGCGTCTTGGACCTGAGGCATAAGAGCTGCAACGTCGTAGTGATGGCGCATGTAATTCGTCGTGGTTGGTATGTCGTCTGATTTCATTATCATGTCTTCGTCGTTGCAGTTCCTAGGTTTTGCAGTATTAAACGAGGTACGATTTATGAGATAGCTTTCTGTAAATGGTATCGAAAACCAATCTTGTGTGCAGAGTTGACACCAAACACGCCGACCAAGCTCTCGATCGATCAATCTGTCAGGGTCACTCTCCGCCTCATCCCCCAGTCTGTGCAGACCCATGCTCTGGGCAATTCGAACGGCCGAAGCTAGGAGCACTGGATGACTATTCGAATGACCTAGCATGTGGGCGGAATGAGTCACAGTAGCGATCGCTTGGACCGAGAATATAGAATGCGAAGACATATAATCCGAGTATTGCAGACACAAATTCATCGCTTGAAACCATCTATGCGATAGCTCTTTTCGCTCGTCATCATTGAAGCCCCATGACGAAACCAATGAGCGTGGCGCGCAGGTAATAGAACCTGAGATGATAGCAAACAGTAGACTAGCCCATTGCAATTCCATGTCCAATAGTTGAATCAAGCCATTCTTCTTGTCAAAAAAGTCATCCAGCGATCTCGAAAACACTACTGCGTGGAATGAACCATGATACCAAAGAAGACAGTCTGAATGATATTTGACCAGGGTGCGTAATTGAGATCGCCCGGGTAGAAGAGACTGTAAATACGAAAGAAGCGTCGTTTTGGACGGGAAGAAGGGTGTATAATTTTCTGTGTCGATGTCTCTCGGGGAATGCTGAGGAAAATTACCGTCGCCAATGGTAATCAGATCTTGGTATTTCGGGTCTTTGCGTCGGCCCCATGCGAGAAACTCGAGGATCGTAGCGGCGTCTTCAACTTCAGAACTGCTTTGTGACGACTCATCAATCTCGTTGTTCCCGTCGATATCCTGAGGGATCACTGGTGTATTAACTGAAGATAGTGGGAGCGGTTCATTCGACATTGTGTCCGAGAAAGCCTGCTGTTGATGAAGTCTGGATTCAAGAGTGTTGACCTTTGCGGTGAGGTTTTCCACCAAGCTCAACAGCGCTCTGTTCGGGTTTTCGTCGATCGATTCAGTCCTCTCGTAACGCGGTGTGTCGACCTGGTCGATGTGGCCTCTTGGGCGCGAACAATTGATGCCTCTAGAATGTGCTTACATCAGTTGATGTCCACCACATCAAAAATGGTTGACTCACTTCACGATGCAATTGCGACAAGGCAGGGTCTTGTCACATTTGACCTTTCGCCGCGTGCATTCCGAGCATGCCAGCCGCTTTCTGCGAATTGAGAAACTCATCTCTATAAGCAACAATCTTCCGTTGTAATGTCAATCGCGCAGACGTATAACCAGACTTTGTGCACAAACACAATATGCTCGGCCGAGGGTTCGAGCGGTCACAATCGAGCAGTCAGCGACAGGAAAAACATACAGAGCCATGGAGTATCAGTAAAAGCGAGGGACATCGGACGGCGAGTGCCGCCGTTCATTCAGCGTGGAAGTCGCGAGTCCATCGCGCCTTTCCCGCGATAAGGACTTCTTCTTGGTGCCTCAGTGATCAGGCAGCCACATCAACGGGTTGCTGATAAGCCTCGGCCGAGGGTGGGGCAGTGCATCTGTTGTTCTTGTACGACCTGGACATTGATACAAATGATATTCGATAGTCAATACGTATTGATTTTATTAATAAGTGCGTTATATTGGCTGTGGCAGATTCTTAAGTCAGTCGGCCGATCACTTGATGTGTAGATTTTTGTCTTCTTGCAAATATCCGATATATAGCTTCCATCCCTCAGGATATATCTCTGATCATTCGCACTCTCCTCACAACAACCTTTCAACTAGCTACCTAGGACTATTTCGATCCTAAAAACACAGATACAACATTACAATGGCAACAAGATACACAGACCGCCCCATCCCCCAAATCTCCCTCCACGACTTCGACGCCCGCATCGACGAAATCACCGCCCAACTAATTCACGCCGCCGAAAACGTCGGCTTCTTCACCGTCATCAATCATGGCCTCTCCGACCAAGACATTGAGAGCATGTTCTCCAATTCCCAGCGCTTTTTCGCGTTGCCGGACGATGTGAAAGCCACCGTCCCCTGGAGCTCCAAGAACGTCGGATGGGAGAAAAATGCCCAGGTGCGGCCGTCGACGGGGATGCCCGACACAAAGGAATCGTATCAACTCCAGTTTGGGGAGAATATGAACGATGTCTGGATTGATGAGAGTCACCTTCCTGGATTCAAGACCGCTTCTCTAGAATTCATGACTCGCGTGCAGGGAATCTCGGAAAAATTGATGCGCTGTTTTGCGCGCGGCTTAGGGTTTCGCGAGGACTTCTTCATCACCGCGCACGACGTCTCGCGACCAAATTCACAAACCGTGTGTCGCTTACTACACTACTTTGCTCTCCCGGAAGAATCAGACGGCAAAGTCTACCACCGCGCCGGTGCTCACGCCGACTGGGATTTTTTGACTCTACTCTTCCAAAAAGCTGGGCAAAGCGGCCTCGAAATCTGTCCTGGCCGCGAAGTCGTCACCGAATTCGGCATCGGGGATGTCTGGACCAAAATCGAGCCCAAAACCGGCGAGATTGTTTGCAACATTGGCGATTTGCTAATGTCTTGGTCCGATGATCGTTTCAAGTCTACTTTCCATCGGGTGAAGGCGCCGTGTGAAAAGGGTGACTATTATGGCGATAGGTATAGTATCGCATTTTTTAATCAGCCGTGCTCGGATGCGAAGATACAAGGACCGCTGAAGAAATATCCCATGGTGACAGGGCAGGAGTTTACGGCGAATGCGATGAAGAGAAATTTTGCGGCTTTGCAGGAGAAGTTGAAGTCTATTGCCGTTTGATTGATACGATTAACCATTTTTGTTCGGCGTAAAAGATTGACTCTCATATCATAATCAATTGGTCCATGATTTACGTGCAATAAAGTGCCCAGGGAATGTAGTCGTGTATACCTAGGTATGTTAACCGCGCCAAGTGACAGTCGGGTAAAGTCAAACAATCATCTCGGAGAAATCACCGAGAGATCAATATATAGTATATACACGACAATCCCATATTACCTACCTAGGTAGAATTAAATATCGAACTCAAAATTAAACTAAACATCGAGCGATATGACAATGGAAAACCCCATCGCAATCGCAACAGTCTCCCTGGGCCAACACCCCTCTCACACCCTCCCCTCCAAAATCGCCGCAGCATCGCACAACAGCTTCTCCGGCCTGGAAATCGTATACAACGACCTCGCCAACTATGCAGCGTCTAAACAACCTAAAATAACCATCAAAGCCGCTGCCGAAGAAATCGCTGCTCTCTGCACCTCTCACAAACTTGCAGTTTTATCACTAAACCCATTCAAGAACTTTGAGGGCCATTCCTCACCGCTTAGCGAGAGACTCGACTCTGCAAGACACTGGATCGAAATCGCCAGTCTACTCAAAGCGCAGCATCTGCAAATCCCGTCACAATTCGATACACAGAACAGTGTCGGAGATGAACATGTGATCATTCCCGAATTGCAGCAGTTGGCAAATTTGGCTGCAGAGATTGCGCCAGACCTGAAACTTGCGTATGAAGCCGTTGCTTGGGGCAGGTATGTCGATACTTGGCAGGACTCGTTACGGATTGTGGAGTTGGTAGACAGAAATAATTTTGGCGTGTGTCTGGACTCGTTCCATGTCGTTGCGCGGCTGTGGGGTGATATCACGACTGAATCTGGCAGGAAAGAGACTGGTGAAGATGTGGACAAAGTTCTGAGACAATCACTCGACGAGTTTGTTGCAACCTGCCCGCTTGAAAAGGTATTTTACGTGCAGCTCTCGGATGGAGAGAGATTTTCCCCGCCCTTGAACCCCAATCATCGGTTCTACGATGCCAGTTTTCCGTCTGCTTTGACCTGGTCGAGAAACTCGAGGCCTTTCCCTCTCGAGACGGAATATGGAGGGTATATGCCGGTTATAGAGGTAGCCAAGGCGTGGTTGGTGCAAAAGAAGTGGAAGGGGTATGTCTCGCTTGAAATTTTTGACTGGAGGATGAGAGATGAGGAAAATGGGCCTGAGGAGAATGCAAGAAGGGGGATTAAATCGTGGAAAAGACTTGTAGCGGAGCTCCAAAAAGCGTCATCGTAGAATAATGTTTTAACAAAAGTTTAGAATAGTCTATGGTATATGTCAAACTAAGAAGAAACAATCCCCCCATCCACCTTAAGCGCACCCCCCGTCAGAAATTGCGCATCGTCACTCGCCAAAAACGCTACCAAAGCAGCCACATCCTCAACCTCAGCCCACCTTCCCAGCGGCACCGTCGACAACATCTGCTTCATCTTCTCGGGCGGCCAAGTAGCCTGGAACATAGGTGTATTTACCCCACAGGGGTGCACGGTGTTTACTCTGATCTGGTGTTGACCGAGCTCAGCGGCGGCAGTCAGACATAATCCTCTCAGCGCGTACTTGGCGCTCGAGTAGGCGCACAATCCAGGCGTAGCGCGCAGACCGGCGATGGATGAGGCCAGGATGATACTGCCGCCCTTGCCAGAGTCGCGCATGATGCGACCGGCGTATTTAATGCCCAAAAAGGCTGTCTCAATAATTAGCATTGTGACTCGACTTGAGAGGAATTGGGTAGATTACCCGATCGAGTATTCACTCTAATAACCTTATCCCACAACTCATCATCTGTATCCAGTATACTCGTTGACGAATACGATATCCCCGCACAGAAAAACGCCGTATCCAACCCGCCAAACCGCTCAACAGTCTGCCTCACAAATCTCTCTACATCAGGCTGATCCGTGACATCCGCCTGTATCGTTAATATGCGTTCAGTGAGCGTCTCGTCGTCTGGAAACGCATCTTGCAGTTTTTTAATTGTTTCAGTCAGAGCAGACTCTTGAATGTCAATCAGCGACACTTTTGCGCCTTCAGCTAAAAAGCGACGGGCTGTCTCGAAGCCGATGTTGCCAGCCGCACCGGTGATTAGCGCGGTTTTGCCGTTGAGGCGATCCGGGATCGGCTGGGGGAGTTTCATCATATTTCGGTTCGTTTATCGATTGATCACTTGTTGCTTTGACTCAGTGCGCTTTGTCCAGGTGACGCGTACATTCAGCGATTACCCCGGTAGACTCAATGCGCAACTGTCGACTTAATAACAACTGTTTTAAAGTCAATTTGAATTTTGCCGACAACGACACAAGCAGCAAGCAGCAAGCCCGGGGAGAAGCCCGCCGTCTCTGTGTTCTGCCGACATCGCTGCCCAGCCAATGAACCATACACTCTACACACTCCACACCGGTCCGATCTAAACTTTCTTCAGAAAATGCACCATAGCAGCGTACGGAGACGACTTGTCGGTATACCAACCCCAGAGAGCGAATTTTGGAAATGCGGAGAATCAAATAACCAGCGTATAACCAGGGGAATCTGGGGACATGGAGATGACACGGAGGATGATCTGGAGAAAAACAGCGAGGAAGAAAAACGATTGGTGCTGGGAGAGACATCACGGCGCTTTACTTAGCCGATGCGCGCTCGGGGTCTGGAGAACGGGTAAGCTCTCCACCGCAGCGACACGATTGGTGAGCTAGTAAAAACCAAGCTGTGATTCGTTTACTGTTATGTATTTTAATTGGCCGTGGCAATAAGCTAGTCGACTTGCGGGGGAGTGTGTTTCCCCACCGCTGCTTGGGCGGACCCGCGCCTTCCCCATGCCATTTTTCCCACGTGCAGGTAAAACTGCAGTTTTTTTTCCTCAGGCACGGAAAATTACTATTTATTGCCTCTTCCCCAGACGAGACTCTCTCTCTCTCTTTCTCCTATTTCGACCACCTGCTTTGACACCCCATATCTACGGTCTGTACTACGACACGACATCATGAGGAACCCATTCGCCCTTACTGGCGCTGTCGGAGATGACACTCCCAGCCAGATCTTCGGATATCGCATTTACTTGCTTGCCTTATCGGCTACATGGGTACGTATTCCATCAATGCGACATTAATAAGTGCCTGACTAACATGCATAGGCATCTGCCATGTACGGCTATGACTCTGCTTTCATCGGAGGCACCCTCAGTCTCCCCTCCTTCCAGACCTCCTTCGGTCTGACTACTGCGACTACCACTAACCTCTCATCCAACATTGTTTCTACCTTCCAAGCCGGCGCCTTTTTCGGCGCTATCCTCGGTTTCTTCCTGGCCGAACGTTTCGGTCGCAAGCTCGTCATCATTCTCTTCGGCCTGGTCTTCATCGTTGGTGTGATTCTCCAACTCATTGGTCATCTCGGATTGTTGTACGCTGGTCGCGCTTTGACTGGGTTGACCATTGGATGTACCTCTATGATCATTCCTATCTACATTTCAGAATGTTCGCCAGCCCAGATTCGTGGTCGCATGGTCGGCATGTTTGAGATTATGCTTCAGATCGCCCTCGTCTTTGGCTTCTGGGTCAACTATGGCGTGCAAAAGAACATCTCCGGCACAGATTCTAAGCAGTGGAGAATCCCCGTCGGTATCCAGCTCATCCCCGTTGGTCTCTTGTTGATCTTCATGCCCTTCATGATTGAGTCTCCTCGTTGGTTGGCCAGCAAGAACCGCAATGAGCTTGCTATCAAGAACTTGGCCTGGGTCCGCAACCTACCCGAGGACCACCCTTACCTCCTCCGTGAGATGGCCGATATTCAAGCTGGTGTTGAACACGAACTCCAACTCGTCAATGGTTCCCGCGGCGCTTTCCAGATGTTGCGCGAATGCGGTACTCCTGGAATCCGTAACCGTATCATTATCTCTGTCATGCTCATGCTTTTGCAAAACCTTACTGGGTATGTTCTTTTTCCTCGGTCTATTGAATTTGTCTAATAGTGTATAGAATCAACGCCATCAACTACTACTCTCCCACCATCTTCAAGTCCATCGGCTTCACCGGTACCTCTGTCCAGCTCCTCGCCACTGGTGTCTATGGGTTGGTAAAAATGGCCACGACAATGGTCTTCATGGTCTTCATCGTGGACAAATTTGGCAGACGCCCAGCCTTGCTTATTGGTGCCGTCGGCGCTGCCGTAGCCATGTTCTACCTCGGCATATATTCCGAGCTCAGCGGCTCCTTCCACAAGATCCCACCCAAGGACTCTGGCTCCAACGCCGCTGTCGCCATGATCTATATTTACGCCATATTCTACGGTTTCTCCTGGAACGGTATCCCCTGGATCATTGCCTCTGAAATCCTGCCCAACCGTGTCCGTACCCTCGGCATGATGTTTTCGGTCTGCATGCAATGGCTCGCCCAGTTCATGGTCGTCTACTCTCTGCCTCACATGGTTAAGACCATCACTTTTGGTATCTTCTACTTTTTCGCTGCCTGCACTCTTGTCGCGCTCGCTTTCGCGTATCTGTTTGTCCCCGAGACCAAGGGTGTTCCTCTCGAGGAAATGGACTTCTTGTTCGGCGAGGACGTCAGCGTCTTTGCTGTCGCTGCTAAGAAGCATTACAATGAGTTCAAGCAGACTGGTCTGACTGTTAGCGAGATACACCGTTCCGAGAAGGGCGGTGAGGCTCAGTATATTGAGAAGGTATAATTGATATATAGCGTCGTATGTCTGATGTATGTTAGGATTGAATGAACTTTGAATACTTTCTTTCACTATTCTGCCTCCATTTATTAAATCTCACGTAAATACACCGACCAAATAGATATGTATTTCGAACCCATCAGCGCATCTTACCCTGAGCTGATGCTCCCCGAACCAGCCCATACACAACTTCAGACCCCAACATCGGCCTACAACTCCATGTACGTAAATCTCCCCAGCCAAGCCAACCCCGCATTTCGAGTTGCATTCTTCTACTCTCTGTTGCAGCTACTGCTAGCTAGTTCGCAATACATTCAGGCAGAATCCAACGAGCTAAACCCAAAAATGGCAATGAGCGACATTTCAGGGTTATGCTTAAAGCTATGAGTGGCTCGAGAGATGTCTAGGTGTTGGGAAAAGTAGAAATGTTTATTTCCACTAATGAGACACTTCTGACTGTTTTTTTATAAGTAACTGGCACATACCCATGTAATCGTGAAATTATGTTTACTCTATCTTGTAATGAGGAATAATTGGCAAGTATTCCGGAGCATACCCTAGCTGGGGACAAAATCGTCAAGATGAACGGATACAAGCTAATGCGCAAAATCGTGCGCAACGACGCCATCAAATCCGATCCTCCCGAAGTCTACAATTGGCGCGCCTTTGCGCTTGCTGCTGCGGTACAATCTTTCCATCCTTGATCGAATGGCGAATGAACAAATGCTTATTGTCTGTGGCAGGCATGTTTTGGAGGAACGCTGTTCGGCATGGACACTGGAATCATTAGTGGTGTATTGACGCTTCCCGATTTCAAGAAGTACGCCAACCTCTCCTCAACTACAATTCTTCAAGTGTGTATAGCTGACGAGAGCAGAGAATTCGGTCTTAGTAACCTCGACTCCGTCGCCCGCGCAAACCTATCCGCGAACCTGGTCACCACCGTCCAAGCAGGCGCCTTTGCTGGTGCGCTTGGTGCATTGCCCTTTGCAGAAAGACTTGGCCGAAAGAAGAGTCTGTTGATTGTTGCTGTGATTGCGTTTGTTGGGCCGTTGTTGCAGGCTTTTGCTTATGGGCATATTGCTTGTTTTTATATCGGGCGGTATGCCACCCACCTCTGTTATGTCTTGTTAGGTAGGTAGGGTGACTGATATGAGTATAGATTTATCGAAGGGCTAGGACTTGGAGGCGCGACCATGTTGGCGCCGACGTACGTCTCTGAGAATGCGCCGAGAGGTATTCGTGGACTTTTGATTGGGTTTTATCAATTGTTTGAGACGATGGGTGCTATGATTGCGTTCTTTATTGATTATGGCTCGCTTTTGCATATTCCGGTCAGACTATTGTTATTCAGACAGCTCTGTGCACTCACTGATAGATACAGGGCCACGCATCATGGATCGTCCCCCTAGCAATGCAAGCGCTCCCTCCAGTACTGATTTTCGGCAGTATCCTCCTGTGCCCAGAATCACCGCGCTGGCTCGCAAGCCAAGATAACTGGGAAGAAACAACTAAGGTGCTTGTCAGTGTCCGCCATCTCCCGTCCGACCACCCCTATATCCAGCAGGAACTACTCGAACTGCGCACAGCGCTAGAAGAAGAGCGTCGCTCAGCAGGCGGAAATGGCTTCTGGGCCCTGCAAAAAGAATGTTGGCTCATCCCCGGCAACCGAAATCGAGCTTTACTCTCGATTGGATTGATGGTTTGCCAGCAATGGACCGGCGTAAGCCCTCCTCTTCTCCTATCTCTACCATTAACAAATCATACTGACTAAAAGGGGTTGGGACAAACAGACAAACGCAATAAACTACTACGCCCCCACAATCTTCACCTCCCTCGGCATAACCGGCGAATCCAACAGCCTCCTCGCCACGGGGGTGTATGGCATCGTGAAAATGGTTTCCTGCGGCATCTTCATCACCTTTTTGGCAGATACCCTCGGTCGGCGCTGGTCCCTCGTCTGGACCGCGTTCGCAATGTGGATATTTATGTTCTATCTCGGATTCTATGTGCGCTTCGATGCACCGGCGACTGGCGCACCGATTTCGTCGGCGGGGTATGCGGCGCTGGTGATGGTTTATCTGTTTGCGGCTGCGTTTCAGTTTGGTTGGGGCCCCGTGTGTTGGATCTATGTCAGTGAGATTCCGTCTAATAGGCTGAGAGGATTAAATGTTTCGCTTGCGGCGGCGAGTCAGTGGTTGTTCAACCTTGTGGTTTCGAGGGTTACGCCTGTTATGCTGGTTACGGTTGGTGGGAAGACAGGTTGGGGCACGTATTTTATTTACGGCTCTTTCTGTTTTGCGATGGGTTGTCTTGCGTTCTTTTTGCCCGAGACTAAGGGGGTATGTCTCTTTGATTTGCTGTATACGTGACTGGATTGACTGAAGCTGACTGGGTACGGCAGATCTCGCTGGAACGAATGGACGAGTTGTTTGGGGTTACCGACTTTTCGGCAATTGATAATTTGGAGTTGGGCAAGAAGGAGCAGGCGATTGAGAGCGTTCATATCGAGAACTAAGACAACTCCATGATTGGAGACCTATGGTGGAGAGACAGTGATGATCTCATTCCGGACTTCTTTCATACTTGGAGATAGTCCGCCAGGGTTCTCTTTGACAATATTAACTTTCAGCGGTCGTAATCCGTGTATGAATTAGAAACTTCTTAGTACCTAGGTATTTTGAGCTTTGATATTAGTATATATTGTTGTCTGGAAACAGCACGGCTCAATGTTTGAAAAAGGCCATCCACAATTATTATGCAATGACCCTGCCATTATCCACGATTATAGTATCTGTTTTCGGGCCATCACTAGGATACGCTGCTGGCCGGCGTTCGGCCGCTCGGCCGCTCGGCCGACTCGGGCACTGGGCCTAGTGTTACGTACCTAGTCACCTAGTGAACATTAATTTCATGCTCAGGTTGACGGAAATATATAGGTCCCGTAGATTGCGCAGACACTGCGGTCATGTAGTAGTCTAGGTTGTGTGTAGGCTAGCGGCAATCCCCTGATGTTTGCATTCTTGGTTGAATCAATTCGAGGGCATCCAATACTACGTAGCACGGATTACTAGTAATTGCTTACGTATACCTGTACGTGTATCTATGGAGACTTCTACAATAGAAACCCGAGGATCGCCCGTAGATCATTAGTATCTCGCGTGTGTGTTCCACTGTGAGAGCTAATATTTAATGCAACTACATCATGTACGTCGGTTCATATAATCTAACCATGTGAAGTCCGGCTGAGCCAAGTCTTAACAAAGCGAAGTATCTGTGCGTGATTCTAAGAAAACATTATATAAGGAACATGTGGGACACATTCCTCATAGAATCATCCTAAAGGCTTTTAGATGTAAATTACAAAATCATCATCATGTTCTTCTCCCTTATACTTGTCGAATCTCTAGCTGCTGCGAGCACAGAGCCTCTTTACAAGAACCTCGTTAATATCCCAGGCTACGGCTCCGTCCAGGGCAAGGCCGCCCTTAATTCCTCTGTGGCAGAGTATGTGACCAACTGGGCTGATATATCCTTCTTTGGAGGCATTCCCTTCGGTGCCGATACATCTGGGGCCAACCGCTGGCGTGAACCACAGCCAGCCTCTCCATGGCGAAGCACTCTCGATGCTACAGACTTTGGATACATCTGTCCGGCCAGTCAATCTGCGCTGGAGGGCTACTCCCAGAGTGAGGACTGTCTCAACCTCAACATTTGGACACCAGCCAAGTCACCGGACGAAAAACTCCCTGTCGCCATCTGGACCTATGGTGCGGGAAACGCACCGCCAGAGAGCACCTATAACGGCGCTGGAGTCGCTAGCAAAGGAATCATTTTCGTCTCCTATAATTACCGCAGTGGCGTATTTGGGTTTTTGGCCAACAGCGAGTTGACAGAGACTTCAGGAAAAAATTCCTCTGGTAATTGGGGGATTCTTGACCAATTTGCTGCTGTAAAATGGGTCCATGAGAACATCGCAGCATTCGGAGGAGACCCAGATCACATTTCCATCATTGGGCAATCTTTTGGTGCTGCTGCAACATATCACATTGTGAACAGTGAACTGACCGCAGGTCTCGGAATTGTAAACGCAATTTCCGAGTCGGGCGTGCGGTCACCCAATGATCCCAATGTTAATGCATATGAGTGTTCCTATTCAACCCTTACCGACGCAGAAGAATTGGGCGCCGAAATTCTTGAGGGACTGAACGTGACTTCTATCACTGAAGCACGAGCTCTCGATACAGAGGCTCTGGTCAATGCGACCGGTTCCTACGGCATGGCTATTAAGCCTATTCTGGATTACTACGCGATTCCGTCTACATATATCGACACGCTGGCTAAAGGCGCCGGTAACAAAGTACCTTACATAACAGGCAACAATGCCAACGAAGATGGTGCAGCGGCGACTGTTTCTACAACAGTCAGTGAATACGAAGAGTGGCTCAACTCAACATTAGGTAGTGAATGGGCAGCTCAATTCTTGGAGTTATATCCAGCTGCCAACGACACCCAGGCTGGCGAGCAAGAGAATAATATCATCAGAGACACCTTCCGAGTCAGTAGCTGGCAGTACATGAATGGTTTTGCCAGTTCTGCGAATCAAGTAAAGACATACACATACTACTGGAACTACGGCGAAGCTACGCACGCATCAGAAATCGTTTATGTACTAGGGAACCTGTGGGCCCAAAGCGAAAACTATACAGACGAGGCCTATGATGTCTCTAATATTTTGAGCAGCTACTGGGCCAATTTTATGAAGACTTCTGACCCTAACGAGGGTGGGACATACAATAAGGGTGCTTTGCCTGCTGTATGGGAAACAAACTCGCCTGACCGAAATCAGACTTTCCTGATTGGCGCGGAATACAGAATGATAGAAACGGCGACTAGCGAGCGGTTACAGTTGATTTTGGACTATTTCGCTGCTCAAGTGCCGTACTAGCTTGTCTTTCTACTAGTAACACGGCAGAACAAGGAAACCATACTAGCTATCCCTATGGAATATTCAGTTTTCATATCAGGAAATATGGAAGATTCATTATCAGACCATGTATGGCGAAGAGAAGTAGCCTTGGCCTCTTTCATATCTTGAAGCACTAACCTTTGATTAAACGAGAAATCTTGGTCCATTTCTGTAGACATTAATAGAGCGAGGGCGTCGATTTTTAGGCTGCAAGTAGGGCCTATGCGTATCATGCGTAGAACCTGGCCGGCTACCTAATAAAGGACAGCATGTAAGGTTATATCTATCTTGGCATCATATTAGATGATATTCATAGGAATACAGAGTATTCTGCCGATATAATTGAATAGAAAGTCAGGATTCATGCACTCTGAATAACCCGCGCCCTGCCCCCTTTCACCTCATTGTCTACATCATTGAAGTGTCCGATATCACGCGAGGCAGCATCGGCTGCAGTCTCTATCAACTTCTCTTTGACTTCTTGGCCATCAAGTATAGCAGCAATCTCTTCAAGCGAAGGACCTCTGGTCTCTACCCAGAGAAAATAGACGACGATTAATTCAAATAAGAGCCAGACGTCGTAAACAATGTAGTCTAGCTTTTGTCAGCAATCTTGAAAAAACCCACACCACAGCTACATTTTACTTACAGCGCCACTTGATATTAGTCAGTGCGATAGGGTTGGCATATTGATTGAATATCAATGCCATTGCCACAAAGAGATTGTATAATACCAAGCCCTAAGAATATGTAAGCCCTAGAAACGGTTGGGATTTGGCGCCGGACTTGACTTACTCGAGCTCGTAAGTTATACGGAAGAATTTCGACCACGTAGGTGACCTGTAGTGGACCCCATCCCACGGCCATGGCAGTGTTAAATAAGATTATCATAGCTAGAACGCCCCTAGCGTAGGCAGGGCTCCCATCTTCGCCAGCATCGATTTGCTTTTCATACTCTGCCTCTAAGGCCGTCCAAACTGAAAGATATATTAGCGAAAGAACTTTTCTTGATTTCTGTCAGTCTTCGCACCGATATAGGAGACTAGCATTCCTGCTGTGGATGCTAAGAATAAGAACCTGCGAGAGAACTTCTCGACAAAAAGGGAGACGATTGTGGTAGAGATAAGACTCCAAATGGCCAAAACACCGTTGATCAGCGTTTGGGTGGACTCATCTTTGTACCCAATAGAATCCAAAACAAGTGTAAGGTAGTACTAAATCAAAATCAGAACTTGATCGTGGTGATTTTGACTCGTAATACGCGAGAAGACCTACAGAAATGACACCGTTTCCACTCCACTGCGAGAAAAATCCAACGCAGAGAATCAGCCAAAATCGGGTGCGGTTGCCCTTGGTCTTGAAGAAGGCTAAGTAAGAATTATTTTGCGCGAACTCTTGTTCAATGCGCAAGGCCTCGCGAATTTCATGCATCTCAACCGCTACTATCGGATCATGCGGATTTCCATTTGCGTGATACTTGGTGATGATAGCTTGCGCTTCCTCCTCGCGATCTTTAGCAATGAGCCAACGGGGAGACTCCACAATAAATTAGAACGCCATTATCTGAACGACACTGGAGAGCGCCTGTAGTGCAGAGGGAATCCTCCATGCCCAGCTGTTGTTGATTCGAAAGGTACCGTACGTAGTCCATGAAGCTGCGATTGATCCTAAGCTCCACAACGCGTTGTACACACTAACCAATATAGCCTGTTATGGATTAATAAAGGTAGTCCAGGCCCGTCACTAGGTTTCTTACTTGTTGCGATGGGAAGGCGAGTTCCATGATGAGGAGAGGGGCGGCCGTTATATTGAATGCAAGCCCGATTCCTAGTATACCACGTGCGGCGATGAACATTCCATCTTCAAAAAGTTAGTAGGTCTACTGAGATAGACTTCATTGTACTGACTGTTCTGTGCCGCGGCTTGTAGGCAAACTCCTATTAGTAGCACAAAGGACGACGCGACCAGTATTCGTTTTCGACCAAAGGTATCGCAAGCATAGGCACAGAATGGAATGGCAGCCAATTGGCCGACATTCTGAATCGCATTCAGCCTACATCGGCCATTATTACTTTACTGCAAACAGAAGGACCACTGTTCGACGAACTTACAGAGCCAAAGTATTTGCGGTAGGGTTGTGGAAGTAGGCATTCCATTCGTCTAGACTCTGGAGTCCGTTCATCATGCTTCCATCGTACCCAGTTGCGTAGCTTGAGACGAGTGATAGACATAAAATGGCATTGAGCTTGATGATACCGGTATTGGCAAACCAACCAGTATTGCGGCTGGCCAGCACGTCGGCCATCGTGAGAGCGGTGGAGTCCATGACGGGCGATTTGATTATTTGGCCATGAAAAGTTATGTTAAATTTGCGACTGAAAGGCTGACAACGCTACATATGTATGCTTACAACAGTACCCTAGGATCAAATTTCCGGGTTCTACATCGGAAAGAAGAAGTTATCAGATCCTGCTGATGACTAGGGAGAGCAAGATATGGTTTAAGCCACTTATCTATAGGCAATACCTCCACCGGCTAAATTACCGGCTGGTGGACCGAGTCTTACCGTTATCTGGCATATCGTTACTAAACTGCAATTAAGTGCAAGACTGGGCAATCAAATCATGGGGCTTACATTCAGCCACATATGGCCGTTCCTGAGGTATCTATCTCACGCTATAGCTTTGTTGTAGAAGTGTACGGCTTAAACCGGTGATTTCCGCTACATTTGTGGATTCTCAATCAAAATCCGGGGTTATTCCGGGGTTATACTGGAGAGATACGATTGCGCACCGTAGGAATAGCGAACAAGAATGGTCGACCTGTCTACCACTGTGCTATGAGATTTATTTCAACTTGGATCCTCGTGGCGGGTCTTCCCAGGTATTGTCTAAAGACCGAGGCTTTCTGACTACGTATATACAAATATGTTGAAGTCACATGCCCGGCAGTTATGATGATTAGCACGTTTTAGGCTTTAAATTCCAGACTTTAACAAGGTTGTCAACTGAGGAAGGATGCTTTTCTTGAGATTAGGGACTCTATTGGTCTACACAATAGCCTGGCCATGCTTTGAATCATGCGGGATTCTATGGCTATAGGTATTGCTCGCCAGCTACATCTTCCAACGCAAAAGAGTGAAGCTGTGTTTCTGAAAAGTGAATTTTGTCGATCCCTCAGGTCTCCAGACCGTTTCCTGGATCTTGACCACTTCTTTGCCCTGACTGTTGAAGTCCGTCAATTGATGCGACTCTCCCCCCACGATAAAAACCTCAACTTCTGATTGCGACCCCAGAACTGTCAATTCCGTCTCAAAGTTACTGTTTTCGTCCACATTAACCACCGCAAGGTTGACCCATTCGCCGTCAGTTGCTGCACTAACATCGAGCTTCGGAATAGTGCATGTTGATTGAATCCATTCCGGTCTTGTTTCTCCCTTGTATGCCGCACATTGAACATGTACTGCAATAGCTTGACCCCTCATGAATTTGGAAAATAGTAGCAGCGGCCAATATGTTGTCTGCTTGAATAGCCCGGTAGACGAGGTCATTAAAGGTGAAATGACATTCACGCTTTGGGCAATAGTAGCCATTCCGAGCTCCTTGCAGTTTCTAATAAAAATATTGAGCCATGTTCCCATGGCAAGGGCATCAGAAAGGGTATATTGCTCTTCAGCACCCTTATCGCCCGGTGCTCTCTCCGCATCCCAGATGTTCCATTCATCAAAACAAATTTTCGGGCGGCGCTTGCCTCTTGGTCCTGTGTATATTCTGGCGGTGTTAGGCCAGGGGGAATAGTCGATTTCACATCGTGCTAGATCAATCAGGGCTGAAGTCACTTGGATAGCACGTTCGGCAGCATATGGGCTGGATATGTTTCGATAATGGCTAAAGTAGTTAATATATGCCCATGAACTTTGGGGTAAACATGCTTACCTTTCTCCGGCAGAGTAAAAATGTATAGAATGCATGTCGACCCAGCTATGGCACTCTTGTATCACATATCGATCCCAGTCTGAGCAGCCATCCTGGCCACAAGAGACCAACTGAATGGAAGGGTCTAGAAGTTTTAAAGCTTTCCCAGGCAAGTCAGTCGATCAAAACAATATTTTCCCCCGCGGCATGATTTTGACATACCTTTTGCCCATTGGATAGCCTTCTTGGCATAATCCTCTTTCGTATGCTGTTCGACCTGCCTTCTCTATGGGTTAATTTGGAGTGTTTGCTGGTGCAGTCGAGATCTCGCTTACCATGGCCCCCACATCTCATTGCCCAAAGCCCAATATTTCACATTATACGGTTCAGTATGACCGTTTTTGCGTCTCTGGTTTGCATAGTACGTATCCTTGTTGCCATTACAATACTCGAGCCAGGCCAACGCATCCTCCAAAGTGCCAGTACCCATATTCAGGCACAAATATGGTTCCGTACCGACCTCTTTGCACCAGTCCATGAACTCGTCAGTTCCAAATTGGTTGGTCTCAATGCCATTCCAAGCTAGTTCTGGACGTGATGGTCGCTTGTCTTTCGGGCCAATGCCATCTTGCCATCGGTAAGTAGCCACGAAATTGCCGCCTGGGTATCGCACGACCGGTACATTCAATTCCTTGAAACAATCAATCACATCGATTCGAAAGCCCTTCGAGTTGACCAGCCCGTGATTGTTATCTGGTTCATACAACCCTCCATAGATGCAGCGGCCCATATGCCTAGATCCTCGCAATCAGCCAACAATTAGCTCAAAAAAAGAGGATGAATGACGAACTCCGTGAATCCTCCATAGATCAACGGGTCTATATTGGCAATTGTATGACTTGGATTGAGAGTGATAGTTGATTGACTGTTGTTATCATCAGCGAGTACTGTGATGGTTGTCATCATGTCCTCCGGGAATCCCTGTTTATGATCAATTTGCTTATGCCTGAGTTTACAATTATCGCAAGTTGATGTTGACCGTCCGAAAGCTGAAAAACGTTTATTAACATCCTTGGGTGAAATGTCAGGGGATAGCCGGTGTTTACCGGGTTTAACTACTCGCTAAAAGATGGTCTACTTTTTTTGACGCTAGAAATTTAAATCGGAGTTTGTCCGTCACTTTTCATCTCCCTCTTTTGTTCTTCGGGCAATCCCCGTTCTCCAATGATCATCAATAAAAGAAAAGAATGACAGATCAAACCCCGCGAGTCACGAGGCGGCGCCGAAGGCCTGCTCGTTCCTGCGTTGAGTGCCGGCGTCGTAAAATCAAATGTGACCGACAAATGCCGTGCAATCATTGTACTACAACTAGAAAACATTGTGTGTTTAGCAGTGGTCCTACTAGTAGACTGATTGACACGAGCTCTAGCCAACTTAATGGATCTCTTATCACGCCACGACAAGCGGAACCGGTGCCTGCTGAAGCATGTGGAAATGCTGACCCGATTCATGAAAATACGCGTCAGGATCCACCCCCAGAGGTGAATGAATCGTCGAATAATATTTTCAATGTAAAGCCGGGGCGCGATGATCGAATCAATGAGCTCGAAAGTCGACTTGGAAGATTGGAAAATCTGCTCTCGTGTAGTGAGCCAAAAATCAGTGTTGATATTTCACGCGCCACGAGCCTGGCTGAAAGCGGATGTGCGTCAAATCCAGTTTTACAAGGCGCAAAGCCAATATTAAACAAGTCTCGACTCTTCGGACGAACCCATTGGACGAATGATGTTCCTGAGGTAAGTGTCTACACCTGTATATTGGCAAAGTAGCTAAAAATATATATACCGTAGTTCAAACGAATAAGTAAATTTATGAATATAGAAACGAACGACCCAACTGACATCGAACGCGTCAAGACTTTGAAATCAGAGATACACATGTTACTCCAGAAATCCAAGCTTCTCGCCAAAACAATTAAAGCATCCAGGCCGACTAGATGTTTACCGCTCGTGGAGCCCCAACTGCCCAAAAGGGTGTTTGCGGATACAATGGCCCGTTTATATGTGTCACATTTTGAACTGTGTTTTCGCATTCTCCATATCCCATCATTCTGGACCGAATATGAATCATATTGGCAAGATCCTGTTAATGTTCCAGATGCGATGAAGCTAAAGGTCCAGCTCGTTATTGCCTTGGGATACAGCATTTACCACGAGTCTGATAACTTGGAAGTGTACTCGACAGTATGTCAATGGGTTTACTCCGCACAGGCATGGCTGTCTGCTCCTTTGGAGAAGAATCGAATTGGGATAAGTGGATTGCAGATTCAATGTTTACTGATTCTCGCACGCCAGTGCCTATCAATAAGTGGAGATCTGATTTGGGTTGCAATGGGAACCCTTGTTCGTACGGCAATGCAAATGGGTCTACACCTCGATCCGAGCCATTACGATGACATGAGTGTTTTGTGAGTCATCCGATAGAGCGAATGATAGAGATAGTACTAATTCCTGCATTCATCAGGGACACGGAGTTGCGAAGAAGACTCTGGGCGACTATAATGGAGTTGAACGTACAAGCGTCACTGGATGCCGGAATGCCGCCAATTGTTTCGATACAAGATTTTGACACAGAGCCACCGTCTAATATAGATGACACTGACATGGACGATTCTACCCAGAAGATCTCACCAAAGCTACATACTGTTGTGACGGATACTTCTTTACAGATATTTCTATTCGATTGTCTGCGTCCTAGATTGAATATTTTACGAATGATGAACGGTCTCAACCCAGACATGAGCAGGGACAAGATTGTTGCTCTGACATCGGAAATTAACAATCATTGCAATAATTGTCGCGAGTTCGTGAAGAAGGATCCCCAAACTGGAAGCGATGTCTTCCGCCATAACTTGTCTGATTTGTTGATTCGTCGTTTTCTACTAAGCCTGCATCGCCCCTGGGCCTGTAGAGCTCATGCAGGCCCTTTGTCCTACTTTTCTCGAAAGATAAGCTATGATGCTGCTGCTACCTTACTCTCCCCCACAACGGACGATAGTTTCGCACATTTACTGCTACGCGGCAGTGGCATCTTCAAGAACCGTATCATTCATGTGTCTCTGGCACTAGCCTCAGAGTTACTAATTGAGATCCAAGACAAAGGATCCAACCCAATCACGCAACAACCCTGGGATTACCGATCCATGCTCGTAGCTGCTGTACACGAAGCACGGTCACAATCGGCCCAACGCATGAAGTTCGGCGAAACAAATGTCAAGCTACATATGAAGCTGAGCATAGTTCTGACCAAAGCGGAGGATCCTACGCTGGGTCAATCGCTCCAAGAACAAATGATTGAGAGCGCCAGAGACAGTCTACAAATGTCATATGCAACTATACAAGCAAATATAGGTTTACCAGCCAGTCCATTGTATGATGTCACTTTGAACATGCAGGATTTCTCGCCGTTGTTGAATTTTGATGATATTTTGAATGCTGCGGACCTTGCCCTGGACGAAGCTACCGCGTCTTTGTCCTCTATGTACTAAACTTGTTTTACTAATTGTTACCTATCGGAAAACCTGCGCATGAAAGACTTTGTAGAAGACTTGCAATATATCTGTCGAGAGGTCAAACTGCTTGGATGGGCAAGACTAGCACATGAAATAATAACTAAGATATCACTTTCATAGTCACGAGATGCCCTACACATGTTTTACTTCACACCAGGGAAGCGTATACCGGAATAACCTTTTATAATTGAAAGCTCTCAGACGAGACGTAAGTGCAGTTGCGTTGCGATTGTTCAACGCTACGCTAATGCATCAATGAAAGAAAGTCAAGTCCGAGGTAGTATCCGATGGAGGTAAAGCGCATAGCTAAATACTACCGGGTACCTTTTATCTATTTAAATAACAATATATTCATAGGCTAGTAACACTGCATAATGAAGAATTGGAATTTAACTGAATAGTCATTGGAAAATTGACGGGCCCAAGAAGCACCGGTGCAAAAATGCAATGGATGCTTGCCAGCACCTCTGAAACAGGTCAACAAGGTTTTAGGTGGCTAATGTTGTGAAATCTTCTCATTTACACAATGACCAGAATTCAGTGCTCCAAGTATCAATACTATCTGCAAAATATACTCAACTAATGCTTGAGTACGAAGGACTAACCGACTTGACCCTCCGTAACCTAGAATATATAGAAGAGTCCGGCTAGGATGGCGGAGATAATGTAAAATAGGCTTGTTTTAATGACCAAGCTCAAGAGCTGGACAATCCTGACACGGGCTAGTCCATTTTTGCAGGTTATATTCGTCGCGGCTAGTCTTCCATTGAATAGGCCCGTAACTTAGTTAACATAAGTTACTTTCCACGAGTATTGTGTAATTATTAGAGGAAAGGTCAATTCTGTTGTATGTAGTGCGGCCATAAGCAGCGGAGCGGAACAGATGACGGAAAATTTCTAGCTGCCCACCCAAGCCAGGTTACGTGTAGGTAGTTAGTGTATATGTTAGGTAACTCTAAGCCCCCCAGTTTTATTGTCGTTTGGCTTGCTTACGCCAATCTATATCGTTCCAACTGGTAAGCCTAAGCCCGCAGTGAGAAAGCCGCTCGCGGATTTAATAAACCTCCCGGACAGGTATATAAACAGCTACTTGTTTGTCATAAAGTGCATTATGAAAAGTACCAGCTCATTTATTTTATCCTTATTGATAGATCTCAATTTTTTCTCTCTTTGACAACATAACATCAATCACCCTGCTTCAATTATGGCATCCCAAATCCCATCCCAGCATCGAGCTCTCGTTGTGACCAAAGTTGGCTCAGATCTGGAAATCCAGACCCTTTCAACACCTAATGCTGCTATTGGAACCGCTGTCTGCCGTGTCCTTCAGGCTGGCGTACTATCTTATCATGGAGAGATCTACAGTGGACAGCGCCCATATCCTTTACCACTGCCACTCGTGGGTGGTTACAGTGCCGTTGGACGTATCGCAGCTGTCGGGGAAGACGCAACGACTTTGACGCCGGGACAACTCGTTTGGATTGATTGCGTAATTCGCGGTCGTGACGATCCGAACAGTACATACCTTCTGGGCATCCACGAGGGCATGGACGAGCGAAGCAAACAGTTGTCGCATAATGTGTGGCATGATGGAGCCTTTGCGGAATACATGAAGGTGCCTCTCGAGAACTGTATCCCACTTGACGAGGGAAGATTATTTAAGGAACTAGGATACACAGCCAAGGACCTGGTTTACCTCTCCCACCTTCTAGTGGCATTTGGGGGGCTGCGAGACATTAAGGTCGAGCCAGGTGAGACAGTGATTGTCAGTCCAGCCACTGGTAACTTTGGCGGTGCTGGTGTCCATGTTGTCGCTGCAATGGGGTGTAGGGTAATTGCCATGGGCCGGAACGAAAAGGAGCTTGCGCGAATCAAAGAAGTGGTAAAAATCGGTTTACCATCTGCCACTATTGAAACCGTGAAAATCACAAACGACGAAAGCAAAGATACAGCAGCACTAAAGGCTTTTGGTACGATTGATGCCGTATTGGATGTTTCCCCACCGTTTGCAGGAGAGTCGACTCATATCAAGAGCGCCATAAACGCCATAAGACATGATGGGCGAATCAGTGCGATGGGCTTCATCGCTCATCCTGTCGTTGGCTGGCAGTTCGTTAACAAAAGCCTGATGCTTAAAGGCAAGCTCATGTACGAGAGAGAAGATATCCTACAATTTGTCAAGATGTTGGAAAGGGGTCTATTCCCACGGGGCTCGGACTTTGTCCAGACGATCGAATTTGGCTTGGATGATTGGAAGAAGGCCTTTGATACCGCAGCTGAGTACACCGGTATTGGCAGGATTGTTTCTCTGGCGCCATAAATTGCTCATCTTCTCAATGCTGTTCAGATTAATCTTCCTTTTGTTGAGTATTTGAGAACTGTCAGGGTTTTTTGGTTTAATAGTGGAAAAACACTATTCTGAGTGTTCAAATCCGAGAGTACAGTTTGCGGTTCATTGAAACGTCAATATCAATGCAAATATTAAACGCAAAAGGATAACCCTATGATAATTAAGATTCCATGGAATAGTTAGTCAATCAAACCTCGAATGATTTAGTACTTAAAAATAAGCCAATCAAGCTGGCAGGTCGTAGGCGCCCTCGGCCTCGGTGCTCACAGTCACCGAGGCTTCGTCAGCAGCTAAATCTGTTCAGGGTATTCCACTAGCCCAAGTAGGCTCTAGGCTGCTTGCCAGATGGTTAGGTAGCGCGCGGGTTGGGCGCGTAGAGTCAACTCATGATGCCTGTCGCTGTGAATGGATTGCACGGTCGTGAGATTTTGGAGACTAAGAGAATCGGAAAATACATTCTCGCGTGGTAAAACATAGCTCAAGTAATCTATAATCATACAGAATAGTCAACTAGTCCATTTCATATCGATCTGCGGCTTTTGCGCAGTTTCTACTCCGACGGAGTACTTTTGTGATGGACTTAAGTGGAGATAAGGGCAAACGGCGTAGCGTCACACGTAGTAATACAGTGGATGGTTATTTCGATCTAGCAGACCATCCAACACTACTCCGTCATTCCTTGTAATTAGTGCATCTAGACAAGCCAGTCACAGCTAGACATAGGGTCGGTGCTAAATCCGACAGGACGTGGGAGGCAGATCCCGGAAGTTCGGCACTTTGTGATTTTGCAGTGCTAGACGAATGGGGTAGGGGCCGAAATGATAAAAAGAAGATTGCCATAAAGAAAAAATCTCAAGATAGCTCCTTACTCTTTCTTTGAACATTTCTGGACCGCTTTGTGTGCTACATGAATCCATATCTCGACAACCAATGAAGATTTTGCCACAACTTCCGAACATTTGAATTCTGGAATCCATTCTTACGTCGAGCAGGGAGACAACGTTGGAATGTCGGGGAAGGAAGATTTGGAGAAAGGAGCACTTCCTGGTGTCGAAGATAAAGTATGATCGGCTTTTTCTGAAGAATGAAAATTACCTCACAAACGGGCTGTGGCAACAACTCAACGTCTGACAGAGGCTCAATAGGAAAACGCGATTTCGTCATCAACAAATTTAAGTCGACAGCCATCTACAGATGCTAAAAATGATTCCAAACCAAGCAAAGATTTGGCGGGCGAGGTATATCCAGAATCGGATATGGAGAAAGGGCTCGTGGGTTGGGAGAGCCAGGATGATCCCGAGAACCCAAGGTACGTCAATCATATTCGTATGCTCGGATTTCTGTCAATTTATTGCGGTGTATTGAAGATTAGCCAACTTGACGACTGACTTTTTTGACCAACAGGAACTTCTCACGCGTTCAAAAGATTAGAAGTATGACGTTAATAGCCGCAATTACATTTCTGAGGTGAGTTTGAGAATAACACTCACGATAGTTAGACTCATTGCAGATAGTGATTATGCTGACTATTACTCTTTAAATAAAACAGTCCATTGATTTCAACAATTAGTGCACCCGGCATCAGCTATATGGATGCCGAATTCAACAATTCATCAAGCATTCTAGCTTCACTCGCAGTCAGCATTTTCGTTCTCGGTTTCGCGGGCGGTCCATTGATTATATCGCCGCTGAGTGAAATATATGGACGACAAATCATTCTCAACATTTGCAACTCCCTTCTAACACTATGGCAAATTGGATGCGCATTAGCACCCAATATCGGCTCACTAATCGCCTTTCGATTCCTAGCTGGTGTCGGTGGCTCCGCGTGTCTATCGATCGGCGGTGGGATTATCGCCGACCTTTTCACAACTCAGCAGCGTGGTCTAGCAGCATCAGCTTATACTTTCGGAGCGCTATTTGGACCGATCATTGGACCCATGATCGGCGGATTTATTGCCGAGAGAGCTGGCTGGCGTTGGGCATATTGGGTGTCCCTATGTGCTGCTGGAGTCGTCACCGTGGGTAACATTTTTCTCAGCGCCGAGACAAGCCCGGTCATTTTGTTGCGACGAAAGACCAACAGACTGCGCAAGGAATTGAATCGCCAAGAATTAAGATCCGTCCTCGACGCCAAAGCTGGGTCTGATGCATCGAGTATTTCTGTGTTACGCCGCGGTTTGATACGACCCCTGAGGATGCTATTCACCACTCCCATCCTGCTCTTCCTGTCCATATATGTGGCATTCGTGTTTGGGTTGCTATATCTTCTTTTCACCACTTTGACTGCCCTCTACATTAATACCTACCACTGGCAACCAGAACTTTGCGGATTGGCTTACTTGGGATTGGGGCTAGGGTGCATGACCGGAATCATAACCGTTGCTAAAACATCTGATGCTGCCATCATACGTCTTTCAAAAGCAAATAACGGCGTCTACGAGCCGGAGATGCGACTGGCAAGCTGCGTCATATTTGCTCTATTTGTTCCTATCAGCTTCTTCTGGTACGGCTGGTCTGCAGATTATGCTGTCCACTGGATAGTCCCTATTCTTGGCTTGATACCATTCGGATTTGGATTAATGGGAATTCTTATTCCCGTCCAAACCTACTTTATTGATGTAGGAGGCCCTTTTGCTGCATCGGCTCTGTCGGGGCTTACAGCATTCAGAAGTCTTTTTGGAGGTTTGCTTCCTCTTGCTGGACCAAAGATGTATGAGGCACTGGGTCTTGGATGGGGCAATTCTCTATTGGGGTTTCTCAGTCTTGGTCTCATTCCTGTCCCGTTGATTATCTACAAGTATGGAGGCGCCATACGAAAGAGATGGCCCATCCAATTGAGATAAAATTGACGATGGGAAGCCTGCATTCAGGGATTTCGGTTATGGATCTTTTCTCTGCTTGCAATTCTTACCTAATTTTGAATGTAAAATAGAAATATATCACAAACAAGCAATACCACTTACGTACATACAAACACCATGGGCCTTTCGTATAAGTTGTCGATTGCCGACCGATCTCTTTTCATGGATTGGCTCATCATAACCGAGTACTCATCTATCATTCGTTCCAATGCATTGCAATGTGGCCGTGCTCAGGGATGAAGTGCGGGGAAGTCGTCGAACTCTGTTCTCAAACAAAGAAATTCGGGTATGACGGAGTGCGCGTATAGTTCGGAAAATGGAAGGACTTTTGGAAGCCAGCTAGGCGATTGTATTCATCAAGTCTATATAAATATAGGCAAGCAGTATGGTAAAATAACATTCCATCCATAAAATCTATTGTTCAATCTCCTATACTGTTTAGGTGTATCCTCGTCCTTGTCATCCACCATGGATCAAATGATTATTGAGCGTGATGTCTCGATTCCCACATCAGATGGAATCACCTTGAGAGCGGATGTATTCCGTCCTAAAGGTGGCAACCCGGCTCCGGTCATCATGACTCTAGGCCCGTATGGCAAAGGTGTTCACTACAAAGATGGATACAGACCCCAGTGGGAGTGGCTTATTAAAACCCACCCAGACATCCTACCCGGCTCAACTCGGTCATTCATGACCTGGGAAACAGTCGACCCAGAGACATGGGTGCCCTGGGGATACGTGTGTATAAGAGTCGATAGCCGAGGAGCAGGCCGCTCGCCTGGTTACTTGGACATCTTCTCTCCACGCGAAACAAGAGACTATTACGAAGCCATTGAATGGGCCGGTGTCCAACCATGGAGTAATGGTAAGGTTGGTCTGAATGGTATATCGTATTATGCAATCAATCAGTGGCTAGTGGCTGCCCTTCAACCACCCCATCTGACTGCCATGATACCTTGGGAAGGAGTTGCAGACGCTTACCGCGATTGGTGTCGTCATGGTGGTATCCTGTCGAATACATTCACCGATATGTGGTATCATAGGCAGGTGGTCAGCATTCAACACGGAAACCCCGATGCTATCGTTGACTCCTGGCTCAATGATCGAGCTAGTGGCCCACCGTCCAGTTTGCTTGATGAAAAACAGCTTGAGAAGAACCGCTCGAACCCTGTTGCGGATGCACTCCGTCGCCCTCTAGACGGTGATTTTTATCGTCAAAAATCGGCGGACTTTTCTAAAATCACTGTACCATTCTTGAGTGCTGCCAACTGGGCTGGATTTGGTCTGCATGAACGAGGAAATTTTGAAGCATTCACACAATCTGCATCGAAGCAGAAATGGTTGGAATGTCATCCAGGACGTCATGAGGAATGGTTCTATCTAAAAGAAGGCATAGAAATTCAAAAACGCTTCTTGGATCATTTCCTCAAGGGCGTTGATATTGGATGGGATAAGCAGCCTCCTGTATTGCTCCGGCTGCGACGTCCATTCAGCGAGGAATTTGAAGTGCGACACGAGCTGACATGGCCTTTGCAAGACACGAAGTGGACTCCCATCTACTTTTCCGCCTCGGAAAAACTTCTTTCATTTTCGACACCTGAAAAGGAGAGTTCGGTGTCTTTTTCTGCACTTCAGGATCCTGTCAATTTTGTATCCTTGCCTCTGGAACATGCTACAGAACTTACAGGTCCGCTGGCTGCAAAGATTTTTGCATCTAGTTCGACTACGGATCTGGATCTATTCGTCACTTTACAAGCTTTCTCACCCGATGGCCGAGAAGTCGAATTCCAAGGCACTGTCGATCCTCACACACCCTTAGCGCAAGGCTGGCTTCGAGCCTCGCATCGCAAGCTTGACCCAGTGAGGACTTTACCTTATCGACCCTATCACAGTCATGATGAAATACAACCACTCGAACCCAATCGAATTTATGAGCTCGATGTCGAAATATGGCCCACAAACATCTTGCTGCCGGCCGGATACCGTCTTGCAATTCAGGTGAGTGGAAAAGACTTTGAACGCACGGATCCGACGAAGGATGGTAATGAGGCATGGGCTGGTCGTGGTTCTGGGCCGTGGTTGCACACACATCCTGAGGATCGACCTCATGAGATATTTGGAGGTATAACTACTATCTATGGAGGAGGATCCAGGGCATCTTATCTACTTCTGCCTATCATTGAGTCAAGGTGATAGGCATAGCCTACCAGTCTTGAAGCCTATTTGGCTTTAATTAAATTGTGTACTTGCTTTTCTTCAAAGTGGATTTACGTTTCTGTAATATCAATTACTGGCATATCAAAAGGATCTTCTCGTTTGCACACATCAGTATGTAAATGAAGGTTCAATATATCATTGGGTATGTAACCAATTGCTTGCGTTATATACACGCGTCGTTTGTATGTCCATCCTTGCCATGAAAAAATGTCCAACTGCTAATAGTTGTATGTGTGGATAGGCAGATACCTGGGTACCTACAACTTTACTTATCGGCCAGAACAATGAATTGGACAGGGAGATCCTCCCAGGCATGCAAGCTGAAGACGCCTATACTCACTCATGCAGCGCCCAATAGGGCTGACGTTTCTGGGCGCGGCTCAGAAATCCATCATACCATAAGAGTGAAAAGCCCAGCCATGGTTGCGCCAACCCTCACTGTCCTAATTAGCCGCGAGTCTCTACTCTAAAATACTGAAAGTTTTTTTGAAAAAAATAAAATAAAATAAACGGGACGAGCAAAGTGATTTGCTGCGCACTCGAAATTCCAAAGTCTGGACACTTTGTGGGAAGGAAAGTCATGGATTCTCAGAATTGAAATCAGTCTCGCTCTTTTAGAAAGGATCATTACGAAGCGCACATCTGTTACAATGCGGGGTCTCACCATGGACAAAAGAAGATTTCCATTGGATCACAATGTCACCATTTTATTAAAAATTGGCATGCGAATTTAAGTAGGAGACTAGCGGTTGCAACGATTAAAAAAAATATCAGTCCAAACCCACTATAAACCTTTGTGTACTGTGAGTAGCTCTTTCAATCAGTACGAAATCGTCACTACCTACTGAGTCCCGGCACTTAGAACCATGTCGACAGTCGACCGCGCCGTGGACGACACAGTTCCCACCGCGCTTTTGCAGCAGCTATTACGGAGTCCATATGCTTGCTCGTCGCTGTCGCCACTGAGCAGCAGGCCGGGTAACTTTGTTTACCGCGGTATCCTGGCTCGACCCATCCCTGCGCAAGATGACACCGCGGCTAAGAGCATCATAGTCAAGCATTATGCAGATAGAGCGCCTAAGACGTTCGAAGAGCTTTTACTCCACTCACTGACTAATTTCTCTCTATCAAATACCATAGCCACTATCAAGACACCGCAACTCTACTTGTACGATCGAGAGACCAATACCCAGGTTCTGGAGGATTTCTCCAATACCCAGGGATTCAAGACCATGTTTTTCTCCGTTGGCGCAAACAATCATCTTCCTTCGCTTAGCGCAGCTACTATTGGTCACCAGCTAGGGTTCTGGCTTCGGTCCTTTCATATCTGGTCTTTAGCGCCAAAGCAAGCTGCTCTCCGGGCGCAGATGTGGCAGAACGACCCTATGCGGGAAATGAAGTATTCCTTCACTTACGGTGGGGTTATAAGGGCACTTGAAAACTTCCCAGAGCTTTTGAAGAGCCATAAGAAAACTCTCGACACTATTGGTGATGCGCTAGCAAAGGAAGACGAGAGGATGTCGGCAGAGGGTGGTGATGGTTATAGTCTTCTACACGGAGATTTCTGGTCAGGCAAGTAAGTGATAACTCTAACCCATTATGATGCTTCAAAGTTTGCTGATATACGTTTCCGATGACAGTATTCTAATTGGTAGTACCGGCTGGCGAGAGTCGCCATTGCAAGGAAGGAATAACGAGTTGTTCATTATCGACTGGGAGTTCTCTCATTTTGGCCACCGTTCCTGTGATCTCGGCCAAATAATCGGTGATATCTATGAACGAAAAATATACAGCAATTTTGACACTGCCATATCTATTATGAGAGGGGTTATTGACGGCTACGGCACATTGAGCGACGAAATGGCATTTCGGACTGCCATATACGTCGGTGTTCATCTAATCACCTGGTACAATAGGCGGCCCCAGAAGGTACTGAATGCAACCCCGCCGGATGTGATCGTTGCAGGCTTAACGATTGGAAGAGACTTTGTGTTGAAAGGATGGGCGAAGGATAGGGACTTCTTTCGGGATAGCGCATTAGCATCTCTTTTTACTGCGAGGTAGACCGAGATGGCGGAAACGCATGGGACGGACATTCTTAGCCGTGAAAGGTCTCTAAACAATAGTTATATACAAATTTAGACTTTAAAACACTTCGTATTATTTGATAGTACTCAAGGGCTGGATAGGATTCCACAATCTACTAACTCATAATATGCGGTGAACACCTTTCGAATACTTACAAGGATGTGCTGCATACGAACCCCATTCTGCAATTCCGATACCAACCCTAGTTCTGCATAAAGCATTGCGGCATTCGGCATATGACCTGTCATTATTCTGTCTGGGATATAAATAAACTCTCCATCCGCTCTCAGATTATGTATTCCTAGACTTTTTTGCTCTTTATTATCGTATACAACAAGCACATCCCAAATATGAGCATACTTCCCGATCCACGACGTATCGTCACTGGCCACGACGACAAAGGCCGGTCTATCGTGGTAGCAGACAGTATAATTCCCTGCGAGCCGACACCGATCAAATGCAACTTCGCTGTTCTCTACGAAACCCACAAGTTTCCAGCGTCTAACAATGAGTGGGTTGATCCGGTCACTACTCGAACGACGGACTTGTCAAACAAGGACGGTGTTGTTTTGAGAGTGGTGGATTTTCCGCCCAACACAGCTACAGTGAGTTTCTCAATCGGTCTAATTTACCCCGCCTTTCAATGAGAAGACACGATCCTCAAGTCTGAGTGGCTGGGTGCATTCACTGTACTCATAAGATCTGCATAGATATATCATCGCACCGTATCACTCGATTTCGGTATTCTTCATGAAGGAGAGATTACATGGTTTGTTCTACTGCCAATATACCCCAAAGCCACATCTAATTCTCTTCTCTCCAATAGCCACCTTGATGACGGAGTCAGAATCGACATGAAAGCCGGCGATGTGTGTGTCCAGCGAGGCACCATCCATGGCTGGACAAATTACTCAGACAAACCCGCAAGAGTTTACTTTATCTTGACCGGTATGGCTTCTTTTGTTTACCTTCTATAAGAGACTGGATTCTGACGCTTTCATATCTAGCTGCCGAACCAGTTAAGATCAATGGACAGGAGCTGGGAAGTGATGGCTTCAAGCAAGAGGAAGTAGAATCGGGTGGTAAATGAGATACCGCTACGCTCAATAATTGATTAATTCTAGTTGAGAAATCTGTTGCCAAGATTAAATCGCAAAATAAAGCACCTGAATAGCATAACTCCGAGGTATACGGACTCATGATGTATTCGTATTACCATAATTACGTACACCTCGCTGATATGTCGAGGCTTGCGCGTGGAATATTACCCCACATTTTGCGTAAATACGCCGTAACGCCCCGGAGTTTCTATACGTTTGTCGCCCTCATATTGCTCGAGGCAAAACTCTCTACATGCTGCTATAGACAACATCTAGGGCGACTAGAAGATTCCTGTAGCTAATTTCAAGTTAGCAAAAGTCCGGGACGCCACCTTATATATCTCCTATTGGTCAAGTTGATCCGACTGAAGGCTTTATATTTTCACATATATATTTATACCTAAACTCCAACAATGACTTAACCTGTAAACGGATGCAATGATATTTCTTCCGGTTTCAAATATGAATGCATCAAACCTCTACTCAATTATACATGTGCCATATGATCTCCGTCTAGCCATGAACAGTAAAACCCTTATGCTTTCAAAATCTATAATATATCGTTATCATGATATGCTCAATCCCCACAGTATTCAATAAAACTTGGCATATCAAAAGAATAAAGCTCTGAAATGCGAATCTGACTTTTCCAACAGCACACGAGGGTCATCGTATTCTTGAAGACGACCATTGTGTATTACCACTACCTTGTCGCATTCAATCAAATGTTCGAGTTTATGCGCCACGCTGATGATTGTGTTGGATTTGAAGTTTTCTTTGATAAGGTCTCGTATGAGAATGTCCGTTTTTGCGTCGAGACTATCGCCATGGAATGTTACGTTTTGCCTGATGTCTTTACCAGATGAGATTGCTTACCTGCTTGTAATCTCGTCCATCATCATAATAGAACTAGGATGCGCGAGTGCTCTAGCCAGAACCAAAAGCTGACTCTGCCCAGCCGAAAGCGACTGCTCATTCGCAGGTGCATGGAGCCCACCTTGCCGCTCAAGGAACTCCCACAATCCCACTTTTTCGAGGAAGGAAATGCATTCCCTATCGGACAGAGTGCCGCTCGGGTCGACATTTTCTCGCATGTCTCCTGGTACCAGGACCGCATTTTGTGGGAGCGTCAGTATTTTCTCACGTAGAGTATCCGGTGATATCCATTTTAGATCAAGGCCATCGACTGTGATGCTCCCGCGAGAGGTTTGGAGGATTTTGGAGAGTGCGGATAGCATGGAGCTCTTGCCACTATTTCACAATGTCAACCAGTAAATTCATATGTTACAAAGGTAGATGAGGAATACCTTCCAGTTCGCCCACAAATACCAATCTTCTCACCAGGCTCCACTTCGAATGTGATATCTTCAAGAACATCCATCGCTCCATCCCTAGTATCATTTCAGTCCTGCACCAACAGTAAACAACACAGGCTACCTACACATAAGAGGCATAAACATTCTGAAACGAAACCCTGCCCGCCGAAGGCCAATTCGGTGGAGGCTCAATAGTCGACCCCGTCTCTTCAGACGGCGTATCCTCACAAAATAGCTTAATACGCCAAATTGCCTGAATAGCAGTTTCCAGAATCGTCCAATTCTGAATCAACAAGTTCATATTCAGCGCAAAGTTAATCACACCAGTGAGACCGGCGCCCAGGAAAGTAGTGGTTGCGCTTCCTCTTACCATCACAGTCAGAGAGACGAGGACAACTGCGATGCCGGCTACGATCAGATCGAGGACGAAGCCGAGCCATCGCTGGACCATGGGAAGTAGGTAGTATGGTTTTTGGGATTGGTCGAGTAATTGGAGTTGTCGTTCTCGGAAGGCCGATTCCCATCCGAGAGCTTTTATGGTGATGTTTCCCTGCAGGGCTTCGAGGACCTGCGAAACGAGGGGTGCTGTTGCTTCTAGATCCAGAATTCGTAGTTGTCGTGATGTACGGAGGTAGAATATCTGAACGATGTATAAGATGAAGATGGAACCGACGACGACGATGACCAGATACTTGGACGAGACGCAAATGAAAATTGCTTGGATAATGCATGTCAATCCGGAAAAGACTGTGACGAAGCTGGACAGAGGTATGACGGCATCGACCAGGCCTAGGTCTTGACTGAATCTGTAATCCAATCTCGTTAGTTGATAGTCGCATTTTCAATTGTTGGGTTGTTACAGACCTGTTGATAACATCGCCATCGTCTCTTTGCAGAATCCACAGTACAGGCGCCCTACTAAAAGTAAGATGAAGCTTCACATAAAAGTGAGATCCCAACGAACCTAAATAATGTCCCGATCATCGAAGCATGTAATTTCGATGCCGAGTTAGCCACGATCAATAACATCAGTATCCTGAAATCTCGCATTAGTTGCAGAGTCTTCCAATGTGTGTATTATCTGTACTTACAGCCCCCCCGAACCAATGCAAATCAAAGAAAATATTCCTAGTGAGAAATAAATACCAAGATAAACACCATCACCCCATCGGTGAGTTGTATCACCGGGTGTCGTCCACCAGGATATTAAAATCTCTGACCAAGTAATCAGAAAGTCATATCGTAGAATCGGAGAATGGTACTCACGTGGAAAATAAAGCCCAAACACCAACCCAATAACACACGCCAAAAAAGCCGCAATATTCCTTCTTCCAGCAGATTTGAAATAATACCTATACACCTTGTCATTACCCTTTTGCTCCTTTTTCCCTTTGATCGCGTTTTTGGTTTCTGGGCTCCCGTCTACCGCGGGCAGAGCTGTTACTGCGGAGTTCCTATGCTGCGGCTTCTCTGTCTGAAAACTAAGAGTGGGCGCAGAAGCGTTGGAAACGAATTCGGATTCGGGAACTTGGAATGAAGAGTCTGATATAGGAGTGGTTTCGTTGATTGTTTCCTCTATCCCTCCGTCGTTATTTATCTTGAGGATGGAATCTGCTAGTTGGGCAAGGGAAGCTGTATAGCCATATCAGCATACGACGATTTGTTTTGATGGGAAGAGGATGTACTGTTATTCGACACGATGATGAGACTGGTCTTCAATCTCCTAAAGAGCCCGTTCTGAGCGAACAGTTTAGTCATAATCGTGTTCATCGTGGCGGGGTCAAGAGCACTGAAAATATCATCGAATATCATAACGCCATGCCGTGAATACACGGCTCTAGCCAGCGCCTAGAAACAACAGTCAGCTAACACCCCATCAGCAGTGTAGATATACGAACCAAACGTGATTGCTGACCACCACTTAGTCGAATACCCTCACCTCCGATAAGAGTCTGATCCCCCTGCCCCATACGCGAAATATCCATATTCAGCGCGCAGCAGTCAAGTACCATCTCATACCACTTGGCATCAAATTTTGACGGACCAACGACATTCTCCCTCACAGTCCCCTTCATGAGCCAGGCATCCTGGCTACTATACCCAGCGTTTTGGAACCGCGGTGCAAAACTGCCTCGTTGTACAACCGCAACTCCGAGAAGGGCTTTTACCAGCGTCGATTTTCCAGAAGCAGTGTCGCCTTGTATAACGGTCAAACTGCCCTGGTTTATGGTGAATGTTGCGCTTGAGATGATGGGTCGCTCGTTGTCCCAGCCGATCGATGCGTTTTTGGCAACGACGATAGTCTGATCGACTGAAAGGTCGGTGAATGTGTCATGGCTGGGCGAGGATTGCAAGCCAGCCAGCTCAAAACTAGTGTTCATTTCGTAGGCTTGAGGCAACGTGTCATATCGTTCTTCAATCTCTTCGAGCGGGTTTGGCACATTGATTTCCTCGGATTTTCCTTCTCCGGCGAGATATTTTTGATATCGCCCAAAGCAGCCAAGACAATTTATCACCTCGAGGATCGATTGAATGAACATGCTTACTGCCTGAGTTAGTAAAGAAAAAACCGTAAGGGCAGAGAAGGCACGAGTTGAATCCAGAACTCGAGAACCGTGCACTGTTTTGGAGAGAACAAAGATCGTGAAGCCGAGTACCGGCGCAATCGTATTCGACACGTAAGCTATACATTGGCATTAGTATGAACTTCCAAAACTTTGCACATTCAGGGAAACATACTTAAACTGAAGATCCCAACGATATACGTCCGATATGTCTTGGAAATCCTAATCTCATCCTCGCGGAACCAAGACACCTTGGATGCAAGCAATTTAGAGAGACCAGCCATTTTCACGGATCGATATTGATTCACAATCCGTGTCGTAAAATCGACTCGTTTTTCGATAGCACCGAGCCACAACTTGAGCCATTTGTTCGCCATTGTTGCGATTATATTGCCGGCTATGACACATGCTGTAAAACTAGTCAGCCCGCAGATCAGGAGTAGAGAATACGATATTCACCTACAGAAACAAAACAATACGCTTCCAACAGTGGCAAGACCCAGCTGACGAGCCAAAAGCCACGCTGATATACCAATCTCAATTAAACAGGCATACGTGTTATGAATCTGTTGGAGACCAAGGTTGATTCGCTCGGTATCGCTGTTCAAAAGAGTGATGGTGGAGGAAACGGCTTCTCCGGTATTTTTTGGGTTGCGTTCCAAGGCCTTTTCAAAAAGAAGCCCTATAAGGCCCCCTCTAATTACGGTAACGAATTTTGTGGTGAAGTACATGAATGCGCCGGTTGAAAGCTAGGATCAAAGTCAATAATAGAGTATTCACAACGCCCGGAAGCATTAGACCAGGCTTACAGCAATGCCGACATAGACCACAACGTATGCAATCACATCCCAGGTACGAGACGCCTGAGATGAATTGGGGTCTTCTTCATGAGCAATGACCCTCGCTAGTAAAAATGGCTGTGAAAATGTAAATGCAATAAGACACAATCGAGGAATGACACCAGCTATCAAAAGCCATTTATTGCTCCAGAAACAGTATTTGAGCAAAGCAGCGGGTTTGTGCTGGTCGACTAAATGATAACTTTAGCTTTCGTTCAGCCGAGTAATTAGGTACGATAAGTAAGGGTTTTCATACCTCGTTTCCAATCAGCACTGAATCTGTGCGACGTATTCTTCGCACTCATTTTTGGATCAAGTTCAGACAGCATATTCAAAGTCAGCGAGTCCTTGTATCCTAGCCACATCAAGCGGTTGAGCCACCAGAAAGTGGATAGACTGATAGTTCCAGCCAGAGCCTCTGGTGGATAATTTGAGTATGGTTGCCTCAATGCACCTCGCTTGCTCCATGATTCGAGGATTAGTACAATAAACTTCACGGCTTCCACTGTCGTCAGCATAATGGCAACAACGATCGTGCCATCAATAATATACAGACAATAAAGACGGATAATGTTCAGCACCATAGTCACAAATAAGAATACTGCCAAGAAATCTGATGGCCTGGTAGATAATCTGTGTTCGAAATCTGACACGCAGGTAAAGAGTATGGATGAAGCAAAGCTAACCGCTGCTGCGGCTATTGACACTCGCGTTTTGGGAGTTGATGGTAGAGCCGTGATGGCCAACTGGGCTAGCTGTAGCACTGTAAGCAGCAACCAAAAGCCCTATACGACGATTTAGCATTGCTCTAAACCCAAAATCCGTAGAAAATCATAGTATGGGTACTACCATTTTTAGCCCATATAACTGCTCTCTGCGAGCTTTATACGACCCCTTCCGAAGTTGCGATAACCTCAAAACACCAACAATTATGGCCAAGCATGTTGGCAAAAGAGTCATTATCGACTCTGCGAACACCAGCGTAAATGTCTGCGTGCCGCATTCTGGACTATTGCTGAAAACAGACCAGCTGTTCATGTCCGTTATTGAACACATAGTGGGAGGTGAAGTGGCTCGCTCGCCACGAGGAGCATTGACTTTCCCTCACCTCCACCTTGATGGTATTTCCTAGTGGTATCGCCTGTAGACGTTGGATATAAGGTCGTCAGGCAGCACAATTGCTAGTGTGTATCCATTGTTATTGTGCATGTGATAAGACTGGCGCTAAAATGTTGTGCCGAAATAATATGGCCTTGAAATGGCTGTACATTGAATGTTAAGGATGTACAACGGCCACAGCCCACAAAGATAGCAGTCGTGAAATCTATTTTAGCGTAGTCTAGACGATATCAACAATGACTACCGCCCAGGGATTTGTTTTTGAGCTCCAGAAGCCTAGAGCAACTATTCGGAGCGTCGGGCTAAATAAACAGGAACACTTTGCCGTTGACATGGGCCCGGTTTCGCAATCCTACGACTGGCATTTGTAGAATCTCAATCTTATGAGTGGGTTGATGATGACAAGTCAATATAGTGCATTGGTTGGTTGGTTGGTTGGTTCCAGGCCAAACTTGATGCAAAGTAAGAACCTATTGCTAGCTTGGAAATACGCGAGACTGACAGGTAGTAAGAAAGGGGCTTGCTGCGGTTGCTTCTCCGCTACATCCGATGTCGTATTGTCACGTTCGGTATTATCACTCGGATGTACATAACACTTCGGATGTTTCGTGCTTAATAGGCCGTAATATCGGACAACGTGTTAAGTATGGTGGTAATTGTTGTATGTAACCTGCTGGGACTAAAATGACTAAACAAATGTATTGCGTACGTACGAATCAAATATTTGGTTTTTATAGAGATTCGATTGAGCTTGCCCCGATACAGTTAGCATTCTGCGAGTAGCGGATATATAATTGTGGGCCTTCAGACATTTGGGATATTTTCGTACGGACATGTTCGTATGGACATTTGATCAAAAGTGCGCCGGCACAGCTTCGACATTGGCTACTTCAAAGCTGGGTCTAAAGTTGAACAGTATTCGCAGAGTCTCCCATTCGGCACGACTCAAGGATCACCCAGCCATTTCAAAGACTCCTAGAATTGACCGATATCGTGTACAATTTGTGGAAACGCATTACTGGAATTGCAACCAGAGATGACCTAACTAGTTTGCAGCAGCTGTCTGTCGGTGGCCTAGCCACATGGGTTTCATGTTTTTTTCCATCACCTAGGTCCCGTATACCCAGGTAGGTACCTGCAAACTTCGATATCTCCTACATACCACTGCGAGTATGGTGGGCACTGTCTTCTTAGACTAGTGACTACGCTATACCGATTTAGGTGACCGCGGATTTGGGAGCTTGTCATGTCTCTTTCTTCCTTCCAGGTACTGCGAGTTGTTGAGCTGCTTGGTCTTGCATAGATAACGAGACCGTCTGTTCGATGCTTGATCGTTCAATCATACCGACTCCAGAAATTCACATTCCCAAGATAGCAATTATCAGAGAGGGACAAAAAAGAAAGAACGTGTCGCGTCGCTATATGTCCTTTCTTGTCATCTCGTGGATTGTTTCGCCGCTTCTCTCATCGAATATGACCTGAAAACGAAGCCCGAACATTCAATATATGCTGAAAAAATACATATTATGCTTCTAAATGAGCTATGCGTTAATGTACAAGTATCCAACACGGTCCGGTCTTCGACGCCTTTTCTCTTTCCATATAGATTTCTGGGAAAATAGTTCGTCCATCGCCGCACGTCTAGAATTCAACCCGCTGGTTACGGGAACCGGCCGCAAGAATGACCCCAGTGTCCACGAAGAAATTCCAACGCTCCGAACAACACAAGCCCGTGGGGAGGCGGTATAATATAATTGAAGAAAAGTTGAGAGGGAAAAAAAAAACAGAAACCTCTATGCTATGTCGTTTAGAAATGATGACCCAAACCGAACACCGAAGAAGAGAGACTTTATGCGGGCATGTTGTAAAATGGCGGTAAAAAAGAGGACGGGAGGAAGGTCGATCGAAGGTAGATAGGTCAATATCGCGTCATGAAGTAGACAGAGAAAATTAAGCAAAAGCTTTTTGTTCCGATGGAGGAGGAGGTGGTAGCTAATGACAGAAAGTTGTTAGCATTGCCGTACATCACGTGATAGAGGTGCTCATCATACCTCGAGCTTTGTGTTATCGGCCATCATGCGCTGGAAACCAATACCGACACCCTCGATAACAGCAAGGAAAACAGCACACATAATAGCAGAGTTTCGGGCAGCCTTATAACCACCACGGATGGCGAGGGAACCGCCCGTCAAGAAACCAGCGATAATAGCATTATAAGGATCTTCCTTCTTTCGGATGCCCTTGACCGAGCAGTCGTAGATACTGAAGAGACCACCCCAAGCACCAAAGTTACCACCAAGCACAGGCGCGCGCGCTTTGATGGCTGTGATGGCACCTATCCGACGCTCACCGTAGGGGCTATTGCGGAATCCCTTCACACCGTGCCATACAGCGCCACCGATGGCGCCCATAGAAAAGGCACCACCGAAGTCACTAAGAGCAACCCAGGGGCAGGGATCGCGGGAGTGATCCATTATGTGTGTGTGGTATGAAGGAGGAAATGGAAGTGGTGGTGGTCAAGGATGGAGGTCGGGAGGAGGTCGACTACCGCGGACAGACCAATTTAGGAGGTGCGCGCGATGATAATATGGTCGGTATTGAGTGTATAGATGTAGTTGATGGGCAATGGATAAAACAGGCCGAATGTTGATAGATGGCAGGATTCGAGAGAGGAGACGTCGAACAAATAAAGGTCGGGGATTGCGGGTCGATGACTTTTTTTTTCTCCTTCGCGGCTTGCACGTGACCTGCCGCAAACTGGCCCGGTTTTTCACGGTCGGAAAGCCCTTTTCATTTGACATCGACCATACTCCAGACTCTGGGGAATTCCCATTTGTATTGTTTATTGTTTATTGTTTATTTCTGCTTATCTAGCCAGCCTTCGACCGATCCGAGAGAGCCATACCTGATCTCTAATCCCTACACCGGCGGCATCGAAGCAGCACCGAATATGATGATTGCTTCATTCAATATCAATATCTAGATTCACTATAGCTTGCGAACGACTTTCACGATGTTAAGGCCAAGATGTAACGTACGGAATTTCTCGGACGATCTCTGCATTTAGGATTGCATGAAGAAATATTTTTCTGTTTCGCCACATCAACCCATTGGACGAGAAGCTCGATTGTTTTTTCCCGGAACCTAATCTTTGCAGAGACAGAACACCCCCAGGAAATATGCCGATAACCTTTGTATACGCATCTGGAGCCTTTAGTTCGTAAGAATTATGGTAATGGAATTAACCTCCTGGCCCAGGGCACTTTTACCCACTCAGCCACTATTGCGATCATATCCTACCCATGTGTGTCCATACCGGACTACCGAAGACACATAGTAGCGGTTTTGATATACCCGGACTTATGGGCGATTTATCATACTATTAGGATCGTATAGTGTACTTCTAGACTGTGGAGCTATCCTGCTTTCCAGATTTGTTAGGAATTTGCTGGGGTTGCCATTCAACCCACGTAAGAGAACCTTACAGCCATGCCATTTCACTCTCGCTCATGAGTCAAGTCCTGAAAATGCAGGGCCTAGATGGTTAGTCAACGCAGCTAGATCAGTAATCACCGATCAGCCTAATTGTGACTACCGCGTATATTTGATTTGTTCCACCATCATCCCACTATACAACATGGATAGATCGAGTGTTGGCAGCACACAGTGCTGCACGGACAATTGTAGGGATTGTAAACACACAGCCACTCCTTGTGGTAGCAGCATGGGTGCTGCATGGCTGAAATTAGGCAGCGAAGCCTCATGGTCACCCACTTGGCGCCTTCCGAATATCCGAGTTGGGAAATTTCTAACGAGATGAGGCGCAGAGCCGCAAATGTCCGCGATCGAGGGGCATCTTTGTTGTATATAAGCTATAGATCCTTTGAATAACTTTAAAACTAAAAACTTGAACAATCTGAGTCGTTGCATCTGAGCACATTATACGCGTCACATCGACAAGATGAGTTACAAAGTAGGTATTCGATGCCGTCGTCTTGATTCGAAATATCCACCAACTGTCAAGGAAGACTAATATCAATGCTAATTCTCCAGACCATCAAACAATGTCCTGAAAATTCTGCGACTTCATACACAGCAACATGGTTCTTTCCTAGAGACTGCCCCGATTTTACCATCTGCTCAAGATGCTATACAGATAAAATCAGCCATGCACCACCCTTTGCGAGCCTTTTCCAATCAGAGACATTAGCCCCGCATCCCAATAGACTATGTCTCTGGAACACAAAGCGCATGGAGTCGCTTCTAGCGTATGGCCTCAGCAATAACAACTGGGAGTCAATCCGTCGGTATATGATTCACCGGGGCAAACTTCAGAATTGTACTGGACCAGGGGTCCCCGTCGGAATATCGACGATCACTAATCGTTACCGTTGGTATAGACCCGGTAACAATGAGATTGAAGGCTTCGTGTGCTGTGAGGGTTGCTATGAGGATGTAGTCTCTGCGACAAATTTCCGAGATAGGTTTATTCTAGATGAAAACGTCGTCAACCAGAATAATCAGGCGACCTGTGATATGTGTGTCCCTTTCATCAAGAAATGTCTTTTGGAACACGCGCCGTCTCAGAACTGGCCTGTTTTTGTCGAATGGGCAACTGCGCGACTCAAAGTCCCAGCTTGCAAGGCCCTCTCGGGAGCAGCCTGCTCGTCCACGCTTTGGTACATGCCTCACCCACCAATCCACAATGTTCTGATATGCGGTGCCTGTTTCCACGACGGCGCTGATCTGACTCCGTTGGCTGCGAACTTCTCGCAAGTCCAGGTCCCTCCGAACCGGAGCAATGAAGTGTGGGAATGCGCAAGTTCGACCAACGTATTACCCATGGCTATGGCTTGGATTGAAGCATGCGACAAAAAGAACATCGCCATCTGGCAAAACGCAGCACGAACAATCCCCAATTTGCCAGCTTGTACAAAAGAAGGAATCAAGAATGTGACCTGGTATACTATTAATGGAAATCCTCATTTCGCAATCTGTGCTCGCTGCTACATTGGAATAGTCCAGACGTTCGGAATGGGTGGCTATTTTCAGCAGATCAATGGCCCGACAGATGGTTCAGCACATGTATGCGACTTTCATCCAAGCATACCCCGAGCACATAGCTATTATGTGAAGCTCGATGAGGCGATAGCCTTCCAAGACTTTTCCATCTTCTCGAATTATGTTGCAAGACTTTCTCCATTACCGGTATGTCCAAAGGATGTTCCACATGTAAATCGTCGATGGTACTGCGGTGAAGAAGCAACAATCTGCGAAAGCTGCTACGAAGAAGCATTCCGAGACACCAAACTCGCGCACACCTTGACCCCCCGCGAACGTCCCGATGAATGCATTTGCGACGGCTACTCGCCCCGTATGCGCGGCATATGGAACAAAGCCTGCGCCGAAAACAACATCCAACCCTTCAACGCCGCCCTTCGCGAAAGGATGCAGGTATATCTAGCAACCGTGCCACGCATGCGCCAAATCCTTGAAATCGCAAAGATGCGCATGCAAACGCAACAGACACTGCTCATGTCCTCTGTCATGTTAACAGGAGCAAACAATATTGTTGCAGCATCGTCGAATTATCATCCGTATCAGTATGGTAGTACACAATTGGGATGGTACGAGACCAGTGCTGGTGCGCAGGGTGCGGCGCAGTTTCAGCAGGCGTTAGGCATGAATGTTGCTCCGACGGGGGATATGGCGGAGATGTCGCAGTTGGGGGCTATCTGGAAGCAGTATGAGTAATTGTGTTTGTTGTCTGAATGATAATATAGACTAAGTAGTGGATGATGATCGACTTACTTGGTTCAAGAGGTCTCCAAATGAATTTACGAAAGATAGTCATGATTGTACAAGCAGTAAACAAGAATCTAAATATCAAACCTCGACAAGTCTATACAGCACTAAATATGGTAAAACATGAAACACGTATGACAAAAGAAATAGTATCATGCCAAAAAATCAACCAATTTTTCCAAACTTGGATGTTCCAAGAGGTCATCCGAAGTGATGTTAATACCATGCTGCTGCATAGTAGCAACGAATCGCGCTGCGTCAACCAAGTCTCCTCCCAGATCGAAGAACGGACTGGAAGAAAGGGATTAATGTTCAACGGTGCGCTTCTGACCCAACACGGACTGCCAGATGTCAAATATCTTCAAACTTTGCAGTATCATGTTCTCATCTCGAGGTAGGCTCAAATTTGTGGTGATTGAGCTCTGTCTAATGCGCTTTGAGATGTTGGACATGGAGTTGAAGGGGGAAGCTAGCTCGGTCATAGAAGCCCCGGGTATATGTTCCCTAATTACTTCGAAAAAGAAGGCACAGCAGATGGATCTTTAAGCATTCCTCGCATAGGCCTCCACACATGACCGGAATCAAGTCATTATTCATTGTTAGATTCAAGATCACGGGCTGGTTCTCATTGAATGCTGTAGAGTGATCTAAATCTTGCATATCGAAAGATTGTACCTATATTTCAAGTTGCTCCACGTCCCTGGGCGGACTTGGAGGCGAACACCTCGGAATCAACTCGAGAAGTGTATGGAAATGAGTAGGAATAGAATACATTATAGTAGATTACTGTTTCTCTACGTTTTTCAACATATCATATCAAGTTGTAATCGACAATCGGTTTTACTAACATCTTCAACTGCATTTCAACGGCCAAGAAGTTCTGGCACAGTCGAACAAAATATTCTCCGTGTCGAACCTTATGACTGGTAAAAATTTGTTTGACTGTGCAACCGGCCAGTGTGGAATATTACGAGATTGCAATTCAACATGCAAACACTGCTTTCAAATCCCGGTCAAAGAGTACGTCTTTACCTCGACGACTCATCTTTCTCCGAGCGGCAAATATCTTGACGAGCTACCTTGAAGATTCTTAAGATGGTGCTGATATTCTGTCAAATGAGGTCTCTACAGTTGCTTCGCACGTAAAGTTGAATATTCTCGCAGGAGCAACGATTCTTCGAGACACCGCTGGTTCGGTGACTCACATCAAGGAAAAAATTATTCCATCTGATCGACCCGGCACAAAGATACTGGTGAAAAGAGGAGCTGTGTGTGTGATATTTGCTATAAGCCCTTGGAATGCACTAATGTGTTTGTTTCATTACATCGTCTGTGGACGCTGGTTCTTGCTAAAGCGTAGCATAGGTCAACCTCACTGCACGAGCAATTGCTTCACCACTAATCTGCGTATTTACATTCAATCTTGAACGACCAGAAAGCAATCCCAAGTTATAGCATTATTGAAAAACCGCTTCCTAATGGTTTTTGTAGGTGGTAAGAGTGGTTATGTAAAGGTTTGGTGGAATCGCTGGAGTGGAGGAATTCACCGAGAGGAAGACACTGACTCTAGTGAGACTTGGAACGAGGTATTCACTGTGATGTATGATTTCCAACCATTCGAATCTAGTGGTTTTATGTCCATGATTAGCTACTAGGACATCTACTTTAAAATTTTCAAAATCATTCCAGTTCAAAACTTGCCGAGTAACAGATTGAAATGGGTCATCTCATGACATTCTCTCTGTATACATAGAATCCTGGGAGAAAGATAAATCACCTTTGCGGCTTCTGTAAGGGCATTATTCTCACGGTAGTGATGAAGATCAAAGGTTGGATGACTAAGAGACAACTGCATCTGTACTATATTTTTTCCATAACATGTAGTTTGATTAGCTATGTCCGCTTGGGCAGTCAAGGGCGCATGATTGAACTAGGTCACACCTTCCAAGAGAAAGATTTGCAAGACGCTATCTTGATCAGTAGGTATTTCTCTTCCGCATTAGAAAGGTGACACGAACCACTGATATGTTGCCGCATGGTTGGTAGCACGGATTTTGTAACGACATCCGCGAACTTGTCCACAACAGAGGAGAATCTGTGCGTGGTTGCGCTTTTGCTGAATTGCCGAAGACATTTGCAGATGGCCATCAATACTTGAATTGCGGTAACCCTAGAGAAATTCTCGGTTAAAAGAACATCAAGTGAGGCACTTAAATAAGGGTCCCAGAAAACTTGAAGGAGTAGGACCATGGCTGCTGAGCAGCATTAGTATACATCAAACGATGTTAGACCATTGAGTAGGTTGAGGTTGTCGAGAACGAGAGTGAAAGTAGCAACGCGGAATGTTGAAGAGACGTAGATGCTCGCAAATGTCCTAATGTTATTTTTCGGACTTATAATGGTTAGATCAGTCGTGTTTGACGGATATGCTGGACTATAAGTATCTCGGGAGCTGGTAGAGACAATCATCACTAGTACGACATCCTCGTTTGCGCGACCTCCTACAACGAGACCACCGATGGAGTCTGTACAGTCAAAGGCGACAATCAAGAATTCCACAAGCGTTTCAAGTCGTGGGAGCCTCGCGTACAAAAGCTATGCAAACTATTCAAAAATTCCTTGAAATGGTGTCTGTGCGATCTGCCCATTCTCTCCACATGGGTCCTTCTTCAGGAAAGGCATGCCTACTGAGAGACGCCTGCCATCTCATGTTGCCGTATCCTGCTCAAGGTGCTGTTCAGGCTGCTCAGACTCTGATGCGTTACGACAATATCTTGCCTCGCAGACGGATTTACACAACGCACTGAAGCAATACGAGAGCATTCGTCGTCCGGGAGCATCCTTGATCCAGCCCAGGACACATGAACATCAATACATTCTCCACATTCATGATGGCTCTGAACAATGTGAGAGCTATGTTAGAATGTGACAAAATGCTGAATCAAATCCAGTATTCTGGGGCTACAAGCAACGACAGGACTGGTAGTTTGGTTGTGATGCTGAGCAATTAAAGACGGCACCTCCTTGGAAGGTTGAGTTGCAAGCTTCGTCATGGTTTAGATGTGAGGTTCTGTATGAGAACTGTCGTGATAGTTTAGCCAGGGAAAAGTATAATGCGCAGTTGATGGCGGTTTAATTAAGCCATTGCGACCCGGCGACAATTCTCCAAAGGTTCCCTTTTACGTGTATTGTAGCGGCAGCTTCGGGAAGTGGACACCAGAGGTGTAAGCGCTAAGAGGGCACTAAGAGGGCGCTATTAGGACCGATCTCCACGATTGACGGCCTTAGCAAGCCCCTAAGCACAAGTCAAAGGAGCCTCCAGGCGAAGTGTAGAACCAGTACCCGTTGCGAAAATTAGGGATAAGTATATCGATGGTATCTCAAATTTCACACAATCATTAGAGTAAATTGACATCGCAATACATTGGTAAGTTTGAATCCACGGCAATAAGTTCAGAATTGGCTGCAAACGGACAGCCTAAAGGAAAGCCCAAATAGGGCATGAGTTAGCATGTGATTTGGCAGCCTGCTCAGGCGGTGAGGCAGCCACAAGCCATTAATCTGCCGCCCATCGACAGACATCAACTCTCACCAATACATCTCCATCTCTATCATCATGACCTTTGTTTCTATCCATCTCTGGCCACAATACGAATAAATGGCAAAGTCTCGAATCTTAGCAGTCGCGACGCACCTTGGCCGCCGCGCCTACAGACACAAGCTCTCCGTCATTTCTTTATTATTTGTCATTTTCTTTGTAGTCCCCATCTTTCTATACACTTTACTCGGCACCATACTCGCGAACGATCCACGATTAGTCCCGCACGCGATTCGCAATGCTCGCAGCGTCTTGCTGATTACAGCGCATCCGGATGATGAGTCGTTGTTCTTCAGTCCGAGTATTCTGCACAATTCAGAGAAGCCGCATGTAAATCGGCATTTGCTTGTTTTATCGTCTGGTAAGACCAAGTGAGCAGAACAAAAAAAACGGCGGTGAAATGACAGTGAACAGGAAATTTCAATGGTCTCGGAGAGCATCGCCGCACAGAAACAAAAGCCTCCTGCGCCGCGCTAGGAATCCGCGACGACAACTGCGTGATACTCGATAATAAAGACCTACAAGATAACCCGCGACAATGGTGGGATGACTCCATCGTCGAAAAGATACTCGAAGAGTACATCAAAAAATGGAAAATCGACCTAATAATCACCTTTGACCACTACGGTGTCTCTGGCCATGTCAACCATAGATCCGTCAGCAAGGGCGTGAAGAAATTCTGTGACGAACATGACCATATGCCGCCCGTGTACGCGAATCAGTCGAAATTTTTGTTGAGGAAATACTCGTCGCTGTTCGATTTGATACCTACGTCGGTGCCATTTACCTGGCGAATATTGGAAGCTCTTATCAGACCGGTACCACAAGGATACGAGACTTCCATTTCGGTCGCAGACAAACCAGTGCCACCGCCAGAGGGCGGAGATAAATACGGCGACAAGGCTCTTCTCGTGACGGATTGGGGCTTATATATGCAAGGGCGACAGGCGTTCAAGCAGCACGCATCGCAATACTCCTGGGACCGGGTGCTGTACCTGATTGTCAGCCGGTATATGTGGTTTAACGATTTGAAGAGACTGTAGTTAATTATTGCATAGCTTAATTTGTATAAAATGTCGTATTTCTAATCTAAATGTACAGTAAAAAAAACGCCGTTGCTGGCTAGGACAATAACAGACCGCTGATGCACAAACTTTGAAGGAGAGGAAGAAGAAGAAGAAAAAGAAGGAAATTAATATACGTGTCGATGAATAGATTAAAAAAAATGCAAACCGGCTATGCGTGTTTGAGGCAAGATATTCCACTTTCCGAATCGAATTTGTCGGCCGTAGATTTATTTCGTCTCGCAGCGCATCGTCGTCGTCGCAGAGACGTGAGATAGTACACGGTCAACATGAGCGAGACCATAAACGAGAGGCAGACGAGAATCGACCCCCGCCGCAAATGCCCGATCCAGTTTATCAGCGCAGCGTCGAAATTGTGCCACGACGAGGAACCCAAGTGGCGGAATAACGGCGTGTCTACGAAGCCGTTCAGCATGTGTAGGCGCGGTGAGCCGGTGATGCCGCCGAGTATTCGGAGGGAGGCGCGGTCTTCTTGGAGGGTGAAGATGGTACTTCAAAAAAATCAGTGGTTTCGTACCAAGACGAGAGGGGGGTGTAAACTTACGAAGCATAGTGGCAGCCAGTACTAAACATTACTGCGACATAGGGCAAATAAAACCATACATGGTTATAGGGAGCGAGATTATTAACGAGATTTTTGACGAATTCGTTGCCCTTGCTGGCCATCATAAAGCCGATCGAGAAGCCCGTCGGATGAGCGGCCGGAGCAACAAAATCGAATCGCCTCAACGGTCCCAAGCTGCGTTTGCACGCGAGGTCGAAATCCAGCACGACACCTGATAAAACGATAATCAGCCGATGATCGGATTGAAAGTTCATTTACACAAGCAAAATAGGGGGCTTACCGCCATACGTCTGCAGCACCATGTATCGCAGAGCATCGACTCGCTCTACCGGGTATCGATAATTATGCCACATGTCGCTGAGATGCGGAAACTCTTCGTTGACCAGCTTCTCGGCTGCGGCATCGTCCCAGATGAGCGCCGTCCAGTTGTGGTGATATTTGATGCATTCATCTCGCGCGCCCAGCCACTCTGCTCGCGGTGCATTTGGTCCTAGATGAATATGGTGTAGTATAGGCGGGACGACATCCTGATACGAAGGTCCAGCAGTCGTCTGATTGACCGGGTACGACGCAAAAGTCACGTCAAAATCATCGCGATCTTTCGAAATCCACGACTCAACAGAAGCGTGTCTCCAGCGACTAGACAGTGACACCAGGTTGAATAAGGTGTTACCAAGCGGCGCCCACCACCGCTGCGACAGCACCAGCACAGCACACAGCACGATCAGGATTCGTACACGGAGGGAAGGCATTGTCATATTGACAGATTACCAAAGATGGGGAGAGTGACATGGACTAGACATAGACTAGAGAGGGGAAAGTAACTTTGAGTGCAGAAAGTTGCCAGCAGGGCCAGCGAAACGGCATTATTATTAACACGGCTTGTTGTGCGGGCGATGATTGGGCGCACACAGACCCTGAGGCTGAATGGCTAAGCTCAAGACTAAAGAGTTAAGCTCAACGCTAAGCCGCAATTTGTCTTGCTCCAGCTGTGTCACGTTGGCGACGAATTTTGTTGGCTGACTTGCTGCGGTTAGTGTTGGTTGCTTTTGTTAGACGGGCTAACCAATAGTAGCAGTCCGCGATGATGCTGAGTTGTAATTGTAACTTAATTATGCGTCTGCCTGAAGTTGTCCGTGTCCGCGTTACGGTATTGTGTATAACTTACGGTACCATTGTTACAATTTACCTGACAAAAGTATGGAAATTGCTGTCTGACCGTCCTCGGAAGCACCGGGCTCCATGTTTCTACCGCGTATTGGTTCTGCAGCTCTGGTAGGCCGTTTGACCTCGCAACCTGGGAGTTGCCAGTCGCGGGGTCAGTCTCTTCCAGTTGGTACACGGCTTTACACTGAGTGACTGGGGTCAGGTAGCATTGTCGCGATCGCCGGATGGGGAGCGCTGCGTCCTACCCAAAGCGGAAAGAGGAGATTGGTAGGCAGAAAAATAAGTAAAATACGTAGGGAAATAATAGAAATGACTCCTCTGCATTTTTTTTTTTTTTTCGCGGGTGGTGGGCTGTTTGACCAAAGGAGAAACACGGAATACGAGCATATGCGCCTTTTTCTCAGCCAACAGCGTCCGTCCATTCGCCCGGATGGCTGTACGAACTCTTTCATATATTTTTTACTATTTCAGGGGGTTGCTTCAAAGACACGGAACAAAAAATTCCCCTGTACGACAGACAGAAGCTGAAACGAGCAATTAAATGTAATAATGTATTTCTGATTTCTGCGACTGTCGAAACGATTTCTCGTCTGGTCTAGCGCAATCCTTTGCGGACAATATTTTCTTCACCTAACGCGCCACGGTGACTCCCGGCCATTGACCTCGTTTCATTCTCGTGTAGTGGCTGAACGTTATACGTGCAGGCAATTTTAGCCTGACCAGTGGAAACTTTCAATTTTTGGAACGGCAATGGGCATTGGGATCACACCATTCGAGGCTTTTGTGCGTTACGTACTATTGTTAGAATGTAATTCGTAACTGACTAACTGCCAACTGGACGGACTGGAAATCGGGGTTTGTGCGTTAGTCTCCTTTTTTTTTCTTCTCCACGCTAACCACCGTTCGCCTTCTAGGCTCCTAACAGCTGGACCTCCTTGAACGGTCGGATCTCTGATCATCGGTAATTCCACTGCTCAATGGCGGAGCGTGCGCGCCGAGAGTTTGCGCTGAAAGCTTACTTGGCTTAGCGCTGGTAATCGACCCCCCTAGATAGCGCGCAGAGAGCTCAGTGCCGTACCTAGGACGCGGCCCATCGATATTTAGATGCTTCCCAGTCAGAGTCTGGCAATTGATCACAAGAGCTGTGTAGGAAAAATAGAAGGTGTCCGGAATTAGCTTTGTTGAAGATTCAGCTTAGTCGGAGTCTGGCAAGTGATCGCAAGAGCTGTGAAAGAACACGCGATCGGCACGTTGGCAAAAGCCGAGGCTAGTATCGTAGCCCTAACCCTACGACGTACACCCAATCGGGGCAAATGGGAAGGCAACACGTGAATGGAGAATAACTGTTCCGTCTCTGACCGGTTGGTTAGAAAACTTTGAATGTTAAGTAATACAGAGAATTGGTTTCATCTTTGATGACAAAAATGTGACTGCGTCGGCGAAGAAGGGGTGAACTCAATCTATCCGAGGAGTTGCAGCCAGACTGGATTGGGCGATGCGTATCAGAGTCCAGCAATGAAAGGCCCATGTGAATGGATAAATGTTGCTCCGTCATTTAAATAAACCAATAATATTTATTGCTTTCAAGCCTAGCGGCGAGACATATCAGGATCGCAAGAGCTTTGTGTGAGGCAGCAGAATTCCCAGATCAATATTTTCGAAGTCCATTTCAGGTTCATTGAGCTACATAATTATACTTGTGCAGTCGCTGGTTGATATTTCTTCGGCCTTTTATCTTTAGCAATGCCAGGATGCTTAGAGTGATTGACTACGTTGCTGGTCTTCATACGCACGATGAGCGCAAAGCACGGAATCCAGAAATGACTATGAAGACGAGTGTCGCTTGAACAACATTTCTGTATTTAAACCTAGCATTTCATCAAACAAAAGCGTGGGCAAAAAACTGATGTCCTGCCCATTGATAGTCCGGGGTACTTCGGGATCCAAGTATCCGTTCCGACGGTTCGAGGCATCCCGCAGTCGGATGAACAAAAGCATCACAATCATGTCTAGTTTGCCCAGGTTAACACTCATTGCGACACTATATACTTCTCATCAGATTGATGCACCCTTTAGTTGGTTGCTCAATCAGTGCGAAAAGCTTGTACACAATCTGACTATCTAAATTGCAATATTAAACTTGATTGAGATGACAGCACTTCTTTCTTCACTGACTACGACGGATGAAGTACTCTTAAGAAAATACTTAAGAATTGCTAGTCATTAATCACCACGGCTACGAATGAAGAGGCCGTTGAGTCTAAAGGCTATTCCCCGGATCATCTCGAAGATGCATCTGCCGAGTTTTTCATCTCAGCAGAGGAAGAGAAACGTCTGTTGCCAGTGACGGATCTCCGTATCATGCCCATCCTAGTGATATTTTACATGATGTCGTTCCTCGACAAAGCCAATCTTGGTACGATTGTGTCTCGTAATACGTTTGGTGTCTATCCTGCGTGAATTCGAAATGATATATGCTATGGCATAGGAAATGCTCGAACTGTTGACCTTGGATCTGATCTCGAATGACTAAAAGCTGTGTGCTTCCTTGCTCCTGGTTCCTTATATCTCGCTAGAACTGCCGACTAATATTTTATTGAAGTATCTCGGACTAAGGTAGGCTTCAGATATACCCAAATCAACATGCCAAAAATCTGACCATTTTCTAGGAACTTCCCCGACAGCAGTAATCTGCTGGGGAACTGTGAGGATATGCACTGGAATTATCGAGAACCGAACATAACAGATTGCAATTTGCCTATTACTTGGCGCTTTTGCAGCGGAATACTTCTCTATGACTTTTATTGAACAGGTTCTGACATTTCACATAGTCTACACATTGGTGGATAGTGAATACCTTCGTATCCCTGAAGATGTATTCCGTCAGAAGCTGCACCAATATTAAGTGCAGGTAAATATATCCCTTTTCCATATAGAGATATCGATGCAATTGCTACGACTAGAAACAACCGTATATCGCGGCTTAAGAACAGCCAACTTCTTCCGGACAATGGGTTGCAATTGTTGGTGCAAGGCTAGGCATTAGTCATTTGTAAGACACTCCAGGACTAATACAGGCGATGTCAATCACAAGCTGATTAGTTTTCATATAGGGTAATTCAATATACTAAAGTAATGGGCCTGATAGTACTTGCGATAGACGGTGGCTCCGAGAAGGTTGCTCTCTGTGAGAAATTAGGTGATGCGGTTATCGATTTTATGAAGACTAACTTATTTACTTTCTCTGAGCAGATCATGATTCCAGGTCTAGCATGGAAACATCTTACTAAATCAATATATAGGACATAACATCAGACACAAATAAGATGACAAACAGCGGCGCAGACGGTATCGTAGTCACAAGCTCAAGCCCGCGAGCATATAAACAAGCCTTGACGTACGTCCGTCGACTCGGCGTACTCGTCTGCATCAGCATTAGTACATACGTGTGTTATTCCAGTGGATGGTCACGGGGCCAATCTATTCTAGCTCCCAAAAAATGGCTTTCCCTCTAGGATTAGAATATTTTGTGGCAAAAGGCGTAGGCTTGACAGGCACCAGTACAGGGAAAATAGTCCATACGAAGAAATCTCTCGGATTTCTCCGAGCTGGAAAGATGAAGCCAATCATTCTAGAGAAGAAATTGAAGAAATTCCGCAATGCCTTCAGCATCTGGAATAATCAGCGTGGCAGACATCATTCAAGGAGCGCAGTTTTCAGCTATGAGAAAAGGTCTGTGTTCTATATCAAACAAATTTGTAGATACGATGAAAATAACATCTAAGGTTGAACTAGATTCACTTCCTCCCAACACCAAGAACTGCTTGACCATGACAGACGTTTCCATTCTCTTCCACCAACCTTACCCACTCATCGCTACACAGCGCCACTTGCTCTTCAGTTAGATCCTTCAGGATCGTCGTCAATCCTGGATTGGAGCTCTTCATAAACGTCTTGACAAACTCCTTTGGTTCAGGAACTTGCCAATTGACCTCGACAAATTCAGCGTGAACATCTCGGAATCCGGCGGCCTCCAATTCAGCTTTGATTCCTTCAGGTGATTTCCATATCTCGGCAAATTTCATCTTTCACTTTTGTTAGCTTTAGTTTAGCATTTATTTGGTTTTGTCCTTACCGGTGAGTCGATACTCTTCTGGGTTATCTTTTGAGCCGCCTGGACGACAAATCCCATCCACCCTACCTTTGCCCAGCTGGTGCATGCAAAGACACCATCGGCTAACAAAACACGGTGTGCTTCCGACAAACCTTTCTTATGATCCGGCAACATGAAATAGACGAGACTTCCCATCACATGCGACACACTATTGCTAGCAAACTTCTCGAGATTCTGTGCATCCATTACATCCACTTCGAGCCTGGCCCAGCATTTCGCGGCGTGAACATTTTCAGAGTGCATCTCCTTCTGCTTTCTCATTCTGGCAGCTTCAACCATACCAGCTGAAAAATCAGTGGCTATCAACTTTGTTGTCTCTGGAATTTGTTCTCCGTATTTCTTGAAGAGTAAAGTAGGCAGCGTTCCAGGCCCACATCCAATGTCGAGGATGGTCGAAGCAGTGCTGAATGGGAGCGTGGTATTCACGACATTCAGCATTCTTGTACAAGGTATAGACAATGGGCCGTCAATGGGCATCTTTTCGTATTCAGCGGCGGTGTTGTCCCATTTTGATGAGTTTGACAAGGACATCTTGGCTGTGAGCTCGTCGATATTTTACTATAATAGTGATAGTGTTTTTAAGTAGGAAGAATGCATTAGATGAAGATTTTGGTCTGTCAGAAATGAAGATCTGACATGAACGCAGAAAGATATTTATAGCTTCAAGAAGCTGCGATTCTTAACCAAAAAGCATAGGTACCCTCCGAGCACTACGGCTGAGGCGGAGACTTCTCGGAGACATATGGAGATAAGCCAGTAGAGTCCTACATAGATTCCCACCTTCAAAATATTTGTACAAGTTTCATAACAGATCGATCGCTTTAGCCAAGAATGCTCGGTATCATAGGCACGAAGCATACTCTCCATCGTACTGCGGCTGATGCGGAGACTTCTCGGAGACATAGATGAAGATAGCCAATAAGGCATAATTTCTAATTCCCGGCATATTCAAGATCTTCAACAGATTGGTCACTTAGCTGAAAGCTGAAAGCATCTTGGTTAGAAAGAGCCGTTATTTTAGAAAGTTGAACCAATAGGCCTTCAATACGAGTGTTGGTTGCTAAATATATCACGAGTCTACAGTTGATTAGCTGAAACGACAATAAGCTTGACCTGCTGCAGGCTGGATGCTCTAAGTTGTTAAATCTAGTATCTCTAATGATATATTGAGCTTCAAAGGGTGGCAGAAGATGATGGACCAGAATAACAGGAAGTCGCGTAGAGTCTTACCACAATCGTACAACTTATAGACCATTACATGTCATTGCATCTTGGCTACTTATTGAAACTCACTCGCCTCGTAAATCAAGTACTCGTAAATCAAGTACTGCACTGGGAATGGCGTATATTGGTATCATGGCTTCTTTGTTGTTGTTGTTGTTGTTGTTGTTGTTGTTGTTGTACAAAAAGATATCCAATCTGAGGCTACGGTCATCTACGCTCTTACGAAAGGTAGATCAGTGCTTGGTGATACAAAAGGGAAGCACACAGTCCACTACATCCTCCTCTCATCTCATCATGTTGCATACGTTCAACTGTCGGTTGATGTCATCCTGATTTCTAAACACCTGGCCCTACTGAGCAATTACTCGGCAACAAAATGCTCCCTTGGCTCCCGCGCTCTCACCCGCATTTTGTGGTCAGATTGTTGGAAGTCCGGGCTCTTTTAAGGACGATGGCGACGGAATTTCCAACCAGATCTACTTCATGTGATTCTTGGGGAGCTAGAATGGCGAGATGTTATAGCATTTGCAACGGCTTCCCCTACGACACAGCAGTGTTACTATGTTTCTGTGCCTCAACGGGACAAGATGACCGTGTAACAGTATCGATCTTCTATCCCGTGTTGCGGTAAGCGTACCTTTTCACAACAGCACGGCGTTTTTTCTACCAACTGCTACTCTTGGCAGCACTTTAGCTGCATCGATCTTGTAGAATTGTCACCCATCGATCAATATCGTTGCGTAGAATGCGCGAAGACTACCCATAATTCAAGGCTGTCCCCTGGTGGCATTAAGAGGCAATGCTGCCGAACGCGTAGAGTAGGCTATCGGGTTGATGTTAGCAAAGTGAGAAACGCCTCCAGCTCTTCTTTCCGATCCTTCTTCTCGACGGCTAGAAATTCAATCTACCGTCAATCCCACTCCTAACCCATCGCAAGCGACCACGTACTGAATTCTATTTCGTGACCTATTTTCTTGGCCAGCATATTGTCTGAAAGATGTTACGACTTGAAAAGTCGATCCATATCTATCTTATCCAGTTGAATTATTGATCTTTAGTTATCATACAACCAAGAATCAATTCACATATCGAGACCGTTATACCCATAGCCGATTCCATCCCTTCAAAGACGTTCTAGAAATACTATGGTTATAGCTAGATCTTCACATTCAGACTAGTAGCAAACGCCAAACAAGTCCAAGCAGCCACATCAACCGTCCAGGTACGCAACAAATGAATATTCAACCATTCATCGAGAACATCAGTCGGCGTTCCCTTTGACCGATCATCCTCCACAATCGCGCGAATCCGCGGCGCCACCATAGGCACAAATAGCAAGTGACTAGCCGCAAGCGATGCACCTGCTACATACCACCGTAGCGACCGATTGGCGACCAACGAATCATAGCGCCAGTAATAGTTCCCGATTGAGGTCCAGAAAGTCAAGCCGAGAAGCCCGACGACACGAGGCAGTGCTGCTGTGAAGAACTCTTTGAAGTAGGTGGGTAGAATAAAGTCGGATTTGGGACGGTTGGTGGGCGAGGTGAAGATGCGCAGGAAATGGTGTTGATCAAATGCATACCACAGTGTGCAGGTTGATGAGATGAGAGGGGCTAAGGCGAGAGCAGCCATTGGGTCGAAGACCAGCCGGGAAGCCATGTTTCTCGTCACGTATTTGAATCTGACTGCTTACTTTTGGGAGCTTCTATTGTCTTTGAATGAACGTGTAGAAAGCTGAATTATGGCCTGATGTTTGGGGCTGAGATAGGCATTCTCGGAGCTTCGGAGCGGATCGACCCGATTGGTAGTGTCCTGCCCCTACCCTAAGTCAAATCCAGTCAAGTTTTGTGAAAAGAAACGACCAGGCTTGTGCATCCTCTTTTATTAATTCACTATAGAATATCTATACAATATACAGTCTATTTAGCCTTGTCCTTGACGGTGAAGGAGTACTTAGGCTTCAGATCATCCTTCACAGGGTAAAGATCTCCACCCTCATACTGCATGTCGCGCATGTAGTACTCAAACACCAACTTCTCAGAGCTAATATCCAAGGTAACAAAACCGTTGCCAGCACCTGCAGCATCGGCACCCAAGAACTTGACATAAGAACCCAAGGCGACACCGTTATTGCAATCGCCAGCCTCGGGGTAACCAGCAGCACCGGAGAGGACAAAGTTGGTGTTGTTACCGACGTAGTGGGCAGCGCAGTGATCGTGACCGTTAAGGACAACACCGTTGTGCTTCTCGACGACAGAGATCATGGGCCAGAGCTCGGTGTAATTGGTGCTGGATGACAGGAAACCGTGATGGATCTGCAAGAATTTCCAGTCGGCCTTGGACTTAGCAAACGCCTGAGTCACGAAGTCGACCTGGGTCTGCTTAGTCTTATAGCACGAGGTGGTATACTCATTCTGATAAACAGAAGTGCTTTCCTGGTACTTCTCAATGAAGCAGTCAGAGTCGACGACGACGAAGGTGGCAGTCCAGTCCTGGCCGGCAAGGTCGTAGGTATAGTAGGGCAATCCCTCGGTACCAAAGTACCAGCGGTCATCGTACAAGGGAGCCAATTTGGTTTGGAAATCAACACCAGCCTGGCCGTAAACGATATCGTGGTTACCGAGGGCTTGGTACCAGGTGGCATTTTCATAGACGCCCTCGGAGTACATGTCGACCCAGGTCTCCTGGAAGCGGTTGACACCGGTGGTAGTGAAGCCAATGCCGCTATCGTAGAAGTTGTCTCCAACGGAGATGAAAGCTGAGCAGTCCTTCATGGCACAAATCTGTCCAATGTACGTGGCAGTAGATGCTATGACGTTTGTTAGTAAAAAAATGGTGTAAGACTACATTTTTTGTTTCCTACCCTGAGACCACGAAGCATTTTGGGCAGCCGCGCGGTCACCAGTGTCACAGTCATTCTGTAACTCGCGAGGGATTGTAATGTTGTTGGCAGTCAAGACGGGAGTCACTTCATTGCAGAAGTAGTCGTTGGCGGGACTCCAACCACTCCAACCGAAGTCTGCAAATTGTTTAGTCAATTGTGGGACATGCACACGTGGAAACAGATAGCTGAAGACATACCACCGAGAACGCCCAGGGTAAGGGTCTTTTCACCCTTGGGAGCAGCAACAGATCCGGCGACCTTCTGAGTCTTCGCAGAGGCGGCGCCAATCACGGCACCAGCCAATAGAACGGAACGAAGAGAGATGGCCATCTTGGAGTTGTACTTCGAGATTACGCACAGTAGAGTAAAACGTCCATTTCAACTCACAATTCAGGACATACCCTGCCCTTTTATGCCAAAGAGCTGTCACGGGTGGTTGCACATATCAGCTAACATGAATCAGGCGATAGCTTGGCAGGTGCATGATTGACACCAAATGATTCGACAATGGCCATAGAAGCTACACAGAAGCTTTCCGGGTTTCCATTGTATTGGTTCGAAACCTTGTTCGGCGAAGCAAGCCATCGATCGTTGAAACGGCAAGCACAATTGGTGCATTAGCTCTAGTGCTTTGATTTTGCCTAATCATCCCTGCAACTAGGCCTGTAATGGTAACCATCTTGGGAAAATGATGCAGGGCACGGACACCTGGTAATCAACCAGAGATTTAATTCATTTGAATGTAAAAGCTTTTTGGTGGATTGATCGGTGATTTCAAGGTTCGCAAGGCACGTTTTTCCAACATGACGTGCAGCTATTTCGTCAGGATAGCCAGACTACTCAGCAGCGAAGGCATGGTAGCAACTGTCGCCAGTACTTGCCTCGAAGTGTAAGAACATAGATGGTGAAGAGACACGCGACCGTATCGTCGACTGCAACGCCATTCACAGGGTACCTCCGGAGTAGTTTGATAGATAGAAGCCTCTAAGCCTCCAACAGTGACATTTCGCCGAAGCTTGTCAACGCAGGACAAAAGCTTGTTTCTTCTCTTCCAGAAGCCAATCACAGCGAGTGTTTTACTAAGAAATCAGATTGCTGCGAATGTTAACGCACTGTGAGCCCACGTGTAGAAACACCGCGGCCCGCGGGTGGGGTTAGGGTAATTGCAGCGGGTCCATGCATCGACAGGCATTTTGCTCCATTCCTCAACAGGCAGTTCTTCCGAGTATTCTAGACCCGTTCATTTCGTTGATGAAGATCTCCTCCGCTTGTTGTCGCGTATCGCGGTCTGAGACACTAAGATCTTGCATCGTGCTGTTATATACTTGCTTTTCAATATGCATGTCAGAACCATCGTGGAGCTATTTTAGAAAAAAAAAAAGAAAAAGAAAAAAAGAGAAAGAAAAGGGAAAAAAAAGAAGAGGAGTGCAAGAATTGACTGGAAGTCCCCCGCCCTATGTCTAATCCCCATCCTCATCTCCTTTCGAATTCATGACATGGCGCTGCGACGATGATAGATTGCTTGGATTTAATATGCCACGAGATGTAGTGGTCTAAAGGAGGATTTCTTTTCCACTGCACTTCCCGACCTTATATACATTAAGATGCAATCTAGAGTTAAAACCCAACATACTTCGTGTTTAGAACCATGTATGGAAGCGGATCATATAACAATAACCATGCTGTAACTTGGATTCACTCTTATGTGAGAATTTGCTTTTGCAACAACCAGCAATTATCACTTCCTTTTGTAATTGTTAAGCTTGTCAATGACAAGATTTGTTATATCTCGTAAAACTACGTCCACTAATGACTAAATCTACCCTCCTAGTTTGTTTGTTTTTTTTCTTTCGCAAATCGAGCGTTGCATATACTTGCAGGGGTAAAATTAACCTTGTTCTCGTCAGCAACCTGTTAAAATTATCAACTCCATTATATTATCCAGTGCTTCCGAGGTACACCTGCATAAAAAAAGAATTAGATTAGCTTCAATCAATGATCAGAATATTCTCAGTAACACATACAGCTTATAGATTTTTATAGTCGCTCGGATTAAGTATAGTAGCTAGTAATAGGATAAGAATACATATATCAACCTCACATAAATAGGTAAATAGATCACTAGAATCTAGTAAAACCAAGATCACACCATAACTTCATATAAAGAAAATCTCATAAATACTGCTATCAAAAGAAATAGATATAACCTATATAATCTATATCTCTAACTACACAAGCAATCAGACCTCTTAATCTTACTAAAACATAACCAGACCTTAGTACATATATAGAACATCTTTTGGCTGTCCGCTAGAGCCTGATGTAAAATATAAATAGATATTTACTTTAAGAGATAGGATATAGAGAATACTATCTTATTTATATCTAATTGCTTGTTAGAAAAGGTCTAGGATTATTTAATTATATTAGCTACCTATTAGTCTATGCTTTATATCAGCGGCTGAGTATATTAGGTAGATCTTTGCTCTGGAAATAAGAAGTATAGACTCTTATAGCTCTAGATTAAGCTCTGTGTTTAGGGGACAGTATATTATACCAGTTTTAAATTCCATATTTGAAAGGTGCCCTTTTGCAGATTATCGCCCCTGTATTGTCATAGGTCACTCGCGACTAGACCTTTTCTCTATTAGAGTACTCAATGTAACACGAAGCCATCTTGAAAAGGATCACTCGGATCAAACAAGAGCTCAGTCTGAGATACGATATGGGCCGCTCCACTTACTTCAGGTATCACAGCACGAAAACCTCCCAGTTGTACCTCCCTTATTACCCTTCCTGTCATCGTACTCCCCACAATACTTTCCACAGTGAACTCCTGCCCGAGCTCTAGTTCGCCTCTTGCAAGATGCAACGCAGCGCGTGCACTTACTCCTGTCCCTGTAGGGCTACGATCGATCTCGCCATCCTCAAAAACATTCACATTCCTGCTGTGATTTCGGGGATCGTAAGGTGGGCCTGTGAAAATGACCCCATGAAGTTCATTTAGGTCTGAATTGATTGGATGTTCGACCACGATCTTTGGACAGTCGAGGATTGCTTTGCGAATCTTTCGCCCAAGAGAAACAAAGGAGGTACTATTCTCAGACACCATTTCTAGTCGCTGGGGGATATGAAGGGTGTCTAGTGAGACAATGGCAAAAAAGACGCCACCGAAGCAAATATCGAAGGTGACTTCTCCTAACCCAGGAACAGCGACAGTCTGATCCAGCTGATAAACGAATGAAGGCACATTTAGAAAAAATGCCCGCAGTACCTCGCCTGTCTTGTCATCGAATGTCGCACGAGTGTTGACTATGCCGGCTGGACTGCTCAATCTGATTTCTCGGCTCTCCTGGCCATTCTTTTCCACAAGTCCAGTCTCGAAAACAACTTTAGTAATACCTAGAGTAGCATGTCCGCACATCGAACTGTACCCGTGGGTGTTAATGAAGAACACATCCAGATCTGCTTCCTTGGGATTACTTGGGCTTGTCAAGATGGCGCCATACATATCGGCGTGGCCCCGTGGTTCCAGCAATAGTCCGCATCGCAGATGATCATAGTGCTGTTGGAAATAGCGACGCTTCTCGAGAACATTGAAGCCATGAATTGGTGGAAGACCTGAAACAATGATGCGTGTCGGCTCACCACCGGTATGAGTATCAATGGTGTTGATTCGCCGATACTTTGAGGGTGCTTGCCACTTCCATAGCGGCTTAAAGGGACTAGTAGCAATGGGCACTTCATTCTTAGGTGCGGTTTCGGTAGTATTGGCAGCCATTGAGAAGGTAGGAATAGCGGCCCAAGAGATTCTGATGGCAGAAGAAAGGCAGCAGGGCCGAAGTTACACGTATGCGCAATGTCTATATTTCTTTTTTTCTGAATATCACAGAGGGCACATATGACGGCTCACTTTGCTTTGAAAATCTCATGAGGTTGAAACACTTGGAAACGGGGTCATCTAAACTTGAATTTTGATTATGTAGCAATGTACAACGTAGCATATTCGCCTAATTATACGGTAGTAACTATCTGATGACATGATCAGTAAGCGGCCTGACCAACTCACTGACTAAGCGATCTAGCCACTTCTCTTACAAATCAACATTCATGATGCTGAGTCAAACCATCACTGGAGTGGAAAGATCACGTTGATAGTTGTAAAAATGCATCGATGTATCGATATATCCATACGATGACTGACTAGCTAGTGGATATATATGCAGGTCAGATTTGGCGGGTTGTAACGTGTGTTACGCCATATCATATCAATATGGTGTGTTGTGTTCCCCGCTGCTACGACTCAAAATATCCAAAAATAATATAAAGTATATGTTTGAATGTATATATGCAATGTAATTGATCTAAGAGCCCAATAGGAACTGAGGGGCTGCCATTAAACTTAAAAGCCTTTAATTTACGGTTCAGTAAGTTACGACATTATATTGTTCAGATATGTAGATGACATTCAGCAGAATCCCCTCTTCTATATTTACCGCCATCCAAATTACAATCCTAATCATATCTATAGTCCAGAATATGAGCACTAATAAGAAAAGTGTCAAATAAAGACCTCTATAGATTCCTTGCTTAATTCACTGTTGATGTCACAACAGATCTATATTAAAAATTGCAGAAAACGCAGAGTAGATATACTAGATTTTAGAGATTTAGCCAAGTCGAGTCTTTCAGGAAAAGGTTCAACTACACTTTATGCTATGTATTTTATACATTTTATCCTAACACGCTTATAAATCTATGCGTTCTCTATTTATACAACTATCTATCTCTTGTGTCTAACCGGTTGTCTAAAGATTTAAACCTTTAACTTTTACTAAGCAAGGCTGTAAACAAGAAATGCTTATAGAAAACTTCATAGACTCCAGACGCAACAAAATGAAAAGGCACATGTAACAAGGAACTCTACCTCTGAATTGTAACCGATAACCTAAGGTAACGCTTAGATCTTCCGGCTCTCGAAATGTGACGATCAAACCTCGGCACTTGCTTGATCTCCACGTTCTGGCACTTGTTTCAAAGCATCAAGAGAGCTGCCCTCTGACGGACAGTGCTCAGAGCCGTCAGATTGCAAAATGGCAGAAGGGTGGAATGAATTCATGATTACCATGACAATGACCATCATCACAGCATCAAAAACATACAGAAAGACCTCGTGGTCAATCAAATAACCGTCATTACCTTGTGCAAACTCAATGAGACGATAAATGGACCGGACCAAAATCAATCCGCTGACGACGTAACATGCGTACAACAGTCCTCTCCAGTCTCGAGGCCAGATATCTCTCTGAACTTGTAGTGTTCGTTCTGACTGTGAAGTTGGTGATTTGAGAATCCTGCGGTGAAATAGGACGGACGAAAGAAGAAACGCTCCGAAGAAAAGAAGCTGAATGCAGAGACCTGCGACAATGACCCACTGGCCAATTACCAAGGTGTTTGCCGATCCATGAGACATGATACCACCACCTAGAAAAGACTGTTAAGATTTTTATGTGTGAGTGACTATAGCTGATGCGCGTACCTGCTCCCTGAACGATAAAAGATAGGATGTCGCCCCCGACAAAGATTTTCGTCATGAGTTCCACTGGCACATAGCTCAGATGTTTCCCTCGCAAAAATTTAATGATCCTTCCAAGAAGCATGTACACTGATGCTGCATACAGGATTGGGGCGAGTAAAAGAAAGAGCGATTGCATGGCGTAGAGAATGGTGGATGTCTGTTTGAAGTGGGAGGCCGCACGAGCACCGTAACCAATGACTTGGACTATGTCAACTGTTAGTCAACCATAAGGGCATTTCGATCGAATAAATACTGTACTAACAAATACCGCCAACTATAAATGGGTTCATATATTTGGCATGACTGTTGATCCGCTGAATCAAATGTAATGCAGTTGTTAAGAAGAATATGGCAGCAAACAACACTGCGGCTATCACGCTAGGCGTATAGTGGTAAAGAACGACGGTGGAAGATCCGGTCATTATGAGCAGAATTAACTCCAAAAGATAGTGTTTGAAGATGTTCGCTATTCGAGCTGATCCGATGTGAACTTGATTATTCGATATTGATCATCAGCAGTTCGGGCAAACTCGAATGTTATATATATAGGCCATCCATTTCATTTTCGCCATCGCAAAGTTTTTCGTCTACATGTAGGCAGCATAATTGTGAGATTGGAGGTAGATAAGAATGGTAAAAAATTCTGGTACCAGAACCGAATTCTCTTAATTGCATATAAGATACATGTTTAAAATGCCAAAATATCAGTGAGTGGAGATTAGGGCTATGCGACAATGCGAATACGAATACGAATTTGAATCTCGTATTCGGTTTGACACCCAGGCTCCTTTGATAGTTCAGGAAGAATCTCTTTTCAACTTCGCGATAACATCCAAGAATAGATTACTTATTTTCCAAAAGATTTGGCTGCCTTACGAGTCTTTTCCCGAATACACAATGTACAAAGGATGAACTTTTTGATCGGTTTACTTTAATATCCAGCGAGTCAACACTACAACTTTTTGAAGAACAATAGGGGCAACTTTATCAATAATGGACTCTAAGAATAACTCGAGAACATTAGAAGATGAATTTATCTCTGACCAAGATGGTGTAATTGACAGTGAAATCGAATCTGATGAAGCACCACCAGCATACAATTCTCTCTCCCCAGAAGACCTGCCTTTATCACCATCGTACTCAATTGACAAGCGTCAGTCGATCTTCTTAGAAGGTATGGGGGAGAAACAAGCATCTCCCCGAAAAGAATATACTAACATTAGACTCGGAGCACATAGATATCGACCGTTTCAGCATTGACTTAAGTGCAGGAAATAGGACATCTTCTTCACTTCACGCGTTTTCGATCCCTACGCAGCGTCCTAGATTAGTCGAAATCCCGGCAAGCGGTTCGACCTTCTCATCTCCAGCCCAGAGACAGGAGGACTTGAGAACAACATCAAAGCCCAACCATCAGGTGATGAACATTGTACTTATGCTTGTTGGATGCAGAGGTGAGAGTCTATAAAACAATGTTTATTGTCTTTTGTCTTGCTAACTTAAAGTACGACAAAGATGAGATCAAGTCAATTATCCTGGTTGGTCAAGAGCTTTGCAAGAAAGGTCACCGAGTGCGAGTTGTTACACACTCAATTTTTCAAACATTTGTCCTAAAAGCAGGGTTGGAGTTTTTCGCTCTCAGTAACGACGCGCAGCATCCGATTGCGGTGAGTAATTACTATAAATATGATTATACCTTGACGAATCCGAGAGCTCATGCCTGGAAAGAAAAATGATTCAGGACTCATACCTGGCCTTAGCAGCGCGGACAAGCAAGAGGTTTTCAAAAGTAGCAAGATACTCATGCATACCCTCCGAAAATGTTGGGATGCTTGCACACAACCTGGACCACATGAAGACAGGCCATTTGTCGCCAATGCCATCATCGCAACGCCGCTTGCTCATGCTCACATACATTGTGCGGAACGCCTAACCATCCCGCTCCATATCATGTCTATATCCCCCTGGTCACCAACAACGCGATTTGCACATCCTTTAACCCAGATAGAGGGAGGTAGGGGATTCGACCTAGGAGCTCAGAATTATCTTTCATATCTTCTTGTGCAGGAGTCCTTGGGACACGAGTAAGTGACTGATGTCTATTGGGGCGAACCGATATTGACAAGTCTCTAGAACCTGTCGTATTATCGAACATTTCCGAAGGTTTACCTTACATCTACCCAAGCTACCACTTGTTCAAGGAGCAGGGTTCCAAGGACAATTCAAGATACCTCATACGTATCTTTGGTCTCCAAGTCTTCTTCCCAAACCCGATGACTGGGACGATGTCATTGGTATGAATAGATTTCCGAGAAATCTGGAAACTAGTGCTGATATAAGATGCCAGATATCGCCGGCTATGTAACAACGGACATCGTAGCGCCTTATACGCCTTCTGAAGGCCTTTCTCGTTTCTTGGAGTCCGCAGAGAGCCCGATACTCGTTCTGCTAGATACAGCACAACTGAAGAACCCGGATGATTTTCTGCAAACCCTCAAAGAGACCTCTCTTAAATACGGAGTTCACATCCTTCTGGACAGTAAATTTCAGATTTTCCGATGTACCCTTGATATTCCGACCATTTTTGTTCTGGATAGTGTTCCGCTCGGTAAGTATATTAATCCAAATCAAAAAATAGATATATATTCGTCACTAATAGCCTACTCAAAGAATGGGTCATGCCCAAAGTTTCGGTACTCTTAACTAGTGGACAATTCCCTTCAATCAATCTAGCGCTCAAATTTGGCAAGCCGATGGTGACCTTGCCCCTTCTTCGAGAGTAGGCACTTCTCGCTACCCCAGTGGATATGACTTTACTAATAGATACAATAGTCAGCCATTTTGGTCTACCGCCATTTATTATGCAGGTCTAGGTTCTTTCCCCATCCTAGAACCAGACTTTTTCAGTGAGAAATTTGTCGAAGCCTTCCGCTACTGTATGCAACAAGACGTTCGAGAAAGCGCGCAGAGACTAAGTGAACATACCAAATTGGAAAATGGGACAGCGAATGCCGTGAATTCGTTTTATCATCATCTGCAGTCAAACAAGTTTGAACGCAAGCCTGTTGGATCAGACTCCGAGTCACATCACTTACGACTTGAGCCGCTGGTTACATCCTCTCCCAAATCAGCCGTTCGATCAGGAAATGCAGATGTGAACGAGGTAGATTGCCCACCACATGCCTGGCAAGGAACAGCAACAAATTCAGTTGTGAAAGCGAAGCCCACAATCCTGGTTGAGGTGAAAGGGGTGAGTAGGAACTTGATGAAAGCCATTGTCAAGCCAACAGTCTCCCACATTGCCGATGCGTACAATAAGTTTGAAGTATGTTTCCTGAAAATCAAGAGAGTTTCAAAACTAAGTCTTCCACACTTAGGATGATCCATTGGCTCTGAAAGGAAAACAGAAAAGCGATCTATCGAAGGCCGATACGGCCAAGAAAGTGGCGAAAAATGTAGGCTTCGGCTCTGCAGTCGCCTGTGGTAAAATTGCTCTTTTGCCCTTCAAGAGTGAGTTCTACAGTTATCAATGTCAATCCAGTTCAATATGTTTGTCGCTGAATCTTTCCCAGCTGTATACTATATGAGCGAAACGGCGTCATACGGAGTACGCGCCCTGAAAGGATTAGATCGACACGAATCAAGGAACCACGACCTCACCCCGGATAGGAACTGGTACAAAAGGCCAACTGGAGATCTAAGAGGAGGTATGCTATGAAGAATGCAGGCTTGAAGGCGATCTTTACCAACTGATAATCCCTTTCAGTAGCCGAAAAGAATACCGAAAGACAGATTTATCTTCCTTCCCGGAGGGACGATGCCTATAATCGTGCATTATCGGCTTCAAGGTCAGCGTTTGCGACGCAATCGAGACCACATCCTAACCTGCATCCGCTAAACAGGAGAACCTCATTCGATTCCAGATTTGATCATCCAGGGCGTTTGGCCCACTCTGGAAACAACAGAAATAGTTGGGAGGATAAGCAGGAGTAAAATTATTAGGAGTTTGTTGAAAGGGTTGTGGTATATTGAGTATGACCCATGCACTGTCTGTTAACCGTTTTCCCTCTTCTGCCGAAAGACCAGAGCTTGATGTTATGCTGGGACCCTATATGTACAACATTCATTTAATTTGGCGTTAAAACCATCTACATTGGAAATTTTCAACGTTACGCCATATACCTATGTATGCGTGCCCAAGTACATATACATGATTATAAGTTTGTGCATGTCCACCGGTCTCATCGTGGTCATTTGACAGAATATAGCCATCATTCAATCGCGATGCTAATACAATTTGTTCTTGAAATGCCCGGTCAAGCTCCAAATATGTCAATTGTTAGAGAAAAATCATTGTGTGGGTAATATGTTGGCTTCCGAAGACGAAGTAAGAGCCGTGACGGCCCATTAGTAGTTTGGTATCAGTTACTGCAAACAAAATTACGCCCCAGTCAATACGATCCCGGATATTTTCTTGCCGATATCAATCACAAACTACCCCGATCAGGGAGTTGTCAAAGCGTATCAATTTTGTCGCCGGATCCAGATCTGGTAAGCCTGCACCGCATGGAGGTGGGTGTTGAACCCCTGTCATCGGAGGTCTCCGTCTTCAGACTTAAAACGAAACTCGAACTTAGACCGTGCTATCAAAGCATACTACGTATACTATTGATAAGTAAGTCATCCTATGAAGAGGCTGAACATAGACAGCCGCTTAATATATTGCAAGAACCTAAAATGCACTTTTTAGATTTGCCGATAATGGACCTACGACGCCTAAACATTGCGTACCCTGAATCAAAGTAATCACCACGGGACGTATTGGAACATGCTTCGGCATAATGTGAATCCAGAGACTTAATGTATGTCAGATGCCCCCATGCCAGGCCAGGACTACAATTTACTCGTACAATATATACTCAGGTTGCATTGCCAATGCTCGCTAAATGTTAGCCTCTAACTAGACCTTAAAGAGCGAAGCACAGAAAACAAAACAACAATAAATTGCACCGGCATACCCACCCATATTAGTCTGGATGTCCGTCTCCGCTGTGATCTGCATAAAGATGGCTTTCGAAGGCTTGGGTTGTACAAATACGACAAGAGATAAGATCCTATCATCTTTTCACGAGATAGGAGCCGCTAAAGAGATTACTTCGCGGTAGATCAGCTCTATAGGCGCTATATACAGCTCGGCAAGCCACAGTCCCGCCGCTAAAACAGTCCCCGCCCACTGTTTTGATGCTTGATTCTCTCGATGTCACCTTCAGGCCTCAAGTCTCTAAACATTAGGCAGTGTGATCGCAAGCCTGCGTTGCATTTGTGGACCAGTACTTTGTGGGCTTGTTGATCTTCCAGCGGCTGTTTGATTAAATTTTGTGGCCATGCCAAGTCTTCACGATGCGGTGTTGTTGACATGCGACTATATTATCACCCTGATAGGCAGGAGGTGATGTTTAGTTATGCAAAATCCCCACCAGATACTACCTCGGGCTTAACCATTGTCGTTATTGATGCATTTCTCAATAAACAATTCAATTACTCATATCTCAAGACCCCGGTTATCTCCCCGTTCTGCTGTTTCTGAAATGGCATAAATGGCGAGCATTTCTCACATAGCTTCCTGGAACGTCAAAAATATCAATAATTCCATAAGTCAATCATCAAGATGCAGTTCACAAAGGTGCGTTCATAATATACACCTCGAATACAATTTTTATATCAAAAATGGTTGATTACGGATCAGCCAAACCTACCTACATACTAATTTCGTCTTCATACAGGTCGCCGCTGCCACCTTTTTCCTCATCTCCAGCGTCTACGCTGCTGCCCCTGTGCAGAAGCGTGCCTCTTGCGTTGAATACTGTGGCAGCACATGCTACTGGCAATCAGACATCGATGACGCCCTCAACCAAGGATACTCGCTTTTGCAGTCCGGCAAGACAGACGACGACTACCCCCACCAATACAACGACGACGAAGGCTTCGATTTTCCCGTATCCGGCCCTTGGTACGAATACCCAATTCTTTCATCCTACAAGGTTTTCACTGGTGGATCACCTGGAACCGATCGTGTTATCTTCAATGGTGACGGTGACTACGCTGGTTTGATCACCCATACTGGAGCTTCTAGCTACGACGGCTTTGTTGAATGCGATGCTGCCTAGAAGATCATTGATTATGACATTACGAATGGCGTTTTTATACTCAAGATATGTGTATAACCCGCATAAGGCACACGTCATGTTGAAGATAACCTTCTGAATGGAAACGGGAATGAATGAGAATAAAGACTGTACAGGAAAGAAAGCCAAAACAGGTGACATAGATCAGATACAAAAAGTGGCATTAACAAAAATAAACACGGAACAAGAGAAACACTACCAAAATCCAGCCGTTCACTGATCATTCTTGTAATATTCTTATCTAGTTTTGTAAAGCAACAGTCTTGCGTATTGTGATAACATTGATCTAATGTCTTTTGTTGCTTGTGGGGCAATTTGTAGGATCTTCAAAAAGGAAGTGCGATGTTCGCAGATGAAATGATTTATCGAGCGCGTTAGGCCTGGCCAAAGCATCTCAGCTGGTGCTGCTGGAAGCCTGTCACCAATACAGCTTATCAAAACCTCCATCTTTCTGGCGGTCGAAGTCGATGTTATTGCAGTATCAACTATATCACCAGCCCCAGAAGCAAGTGACCTTGCCACAGTATAACTTTTACCGCCCAGTGTTAAGCCGGTATCAAAGTCACCACTGCGACGATTGATGCGAGATGTAAAGTGTGCTGAAGATCATGGATCCGCACACTCGTACAGTATCTTCTGAAGCCTAAGACACTCATGATGAGGCAGCTTTGAAATCTGCTGGTCTCGCAGGAAACGAAGCAGGTCAAGGTTGATCCAATTGTCTTGTATTGCGACTCTCAATGGCACCATGAGGCGGTAAATGATGCGATGCTTGCTAACCTCTTCCGCATACTTTTCATATCTATTTAAATTTCTTCCTTGATACGAAGCTATCTAAGAATACCAGCCCAATATCATTTACAGTTCACATAGTTGAAAATAATGCGTATGGGTGTGTGATTGGTCAATTGGTTGCTGATAAGCTGTGTTCTCGATAACGTATTTCAAGGGTAAGTGGGACACCTTCTAATTCCATACGAAATGCTATTTACTACAGTTTACTATATTAGACACTAGCTGAGCTGATAAGAACCAAGTTACTTAGAATTTCAAAAGATTCTATTGAATAATTATTTAAATAGCTCTTAAACCTAAAAATTACGCTGTAGTGTTTATTACGAGGTAAATAAATAATACGATTTTAAAGATTAATATTACAGCTAGATTCTTATCAGGTTTTGTTAAATGTATTTGATTTTCGGGTAAGATTCATATATTAATGTCGGAACGTCAATACATGTATAAATTAGACAGAAATTAGGAATCAAAACAGATCCCGTTTGTGCCTCACCTTATAGACTTGTCGAATCAGCCTGTTCCCAATTCAAATTGAACTGATCTTGGACCGGACGAACCGACAAATAATCTTATTGCGATAGTAGGATATTAGATTTGTATGGAAAACCAGTCCCGCTTACCCCGTGCAGTCCACTTTCCCGTGAAGTACGCGTTTTAATGGCCATGTCTGTATGCCAACCCTGGGCATCTGATCCCTGGACCCATGATATCGTATACAGAAGACACTGGTTTTGTTGATATGGCGTAATCTGCAGTGAATTTAGATGAGCCGACCATCGAATATTCTTCTTGTTGGGCGGTTGGTCCCTCAGCCGCTATTGCCGGGTACCTTTCCGAAACCTTATCTCTCAACAGCAACCCCTCCTTCATTCACTTCCACATGCCCTATGTAAAAAATCAAGGCAGCTTAATCCGGATTTTTTCCACTGGGGATATTGTAAATGCAATTGTGCCCTTTGCAGTCTGGTACTCCCCTCTGTTCTTCATGCCGCGTCCAAAGGTCCGGCCGGAGGATCGGAAGCGGTCCTGCAAGGCATGTGTGTCCTGCAAAGCTTCCAAAATAAGATGTGACTCTCGACTGCCATGTGCGACATGTGTGAGACGAGGACAAAGTCTTGAGTGCGTCTATACAGGGACAGATCGCCGACGAACGCGACACAGCGAAGCCATGTCCAACCAGAGCGCCCAGTCGTCGGAAGACCCATCCCCTGGTTTCAGTCGCCTCATAGATGCATCTTCTCTGAATACACCGCGAGGGACTTTATCTACTAATGGGCAACCAGTTGCTAGCAGCTCTGGACACAATGGAAGATACTCTGTACCAGACTCTCGATCTCGATCAATGGGTAGTTCGACCAAGCAAAAGAGTATATGCTTGCAATCCATTTGCATTAACACAAACTTGAGATTCAAACTAATTCTGACTCTAGTCCATGTTTGCGAGACATCCTCATCGTTTCTTCATTTTTTGCGCAAGACGCTAAGATCATATGTCGGCCTGGTACCATTTACCGATGGCGATTGCCACTCTATTATGCTTGATGCAGAAATCACGCCGTCAGGAGCGGCGGAACTAGAGTCCTCTCCAGAAGAAATCTACTCACTATTGGATTCTTATTTTGAAGCCGTGCGAACTCCTGTTTCTATCAACCCCATAAATGTTTCGGTACGACTAATCCAATTTCTAGTCCAGCGGCCTACTAGATCTATTCACAGCAGACGAAGTGGACCTACTCATCAGTTATATCGTGACTAATGGACAAGCCTCATCACCGCCATCGATAACCGAGATTGACGCAGCTTCTCTCTACACTGCTCTGGCCATTGGGGCTCAAGTGAGACCTTTGGGAGACCTTTCATCCCGAATTGAGCTGGACTATTTCTGCCGAGCACAACGAGTCGCCTTCGAGAACATGCTGACTAGTCAGAACTTGAGCATGGTCCGTTTATTTATTCTTCTTGCCTTTTATATGATCGGAGCTTGTCGTAGAAATACGGCTTCCATATATTTGGGTATAGCTGCTAGGACAGCTATTGTGCTAAGTCTGCACAATCCCGCGAATTACCAAAATATTGACACAGAGGAGTATAACAAACGGTAGGCTTCCATTTCTTGAACTTGATTTACAAATACTAGATCGTATCTAACGAATGTGATTATTGGGCTCCAGAATCAGAATATGGGATAGTCTTCGCAATGTCGATATCCTCTCAAGTTTCATTCTGGGAAAGCCGCGGAATCTGCCCACTACCTTAGGGAATGAGAAAGACGATCATGCGCATGTTAACTCTGGCACGATGGTTCAATATTCACAAGCTGCTTTTAGCGAAATCGTCAAAGCGTGTTCCTTGTTGGAGAACATAGTCGACAAGCTCAGCACAGGTAACATGCTTCATATCCCGACCGCTGAAGTGCTCCTCCAACAGTTCCGCCGCTGGAGCCAGTCATTACCTCCAGTCCTTCTCAGGTTTACCTTTCATCCTGGCGAGGGAGCTTCTCTAGATCCTGTCGATCGACAAATGCTAGTTGGAAATATTCACGTGTCTTGTGTGTATTACTTTTCCGTGATACTCATCACTCGCCCGTTTCTGATTGCATACCTATTGTCTCGTCTCCGTGGAAGAGCACCAGATCAATTGATAAGTGATCCGGATGAGGCAACAGATATCAATATCAAAAACAACAAGGTGTCAAAACTTGGTCAAGTTTGTGTGAGTTCTGCTATGTATATGGTCAATATGTGTCAGACAGCAAAGTCGTCCGAATTTTTCTTCGGCAATCTGTGTTTACTGAAGTGAGATCCTCTTCCTCTGACCTTGATCGATACTGATACATTTTTTATTCAGAGCCTGGATATTTGGAGCGGCTCTTGTCCTCGGATTCGCCAAGTTTGCCGGTGAACCTCGAAAAGACATTGATGACTCCTTTGAAAATGCCCGAGACATCCTCGATAGCATTGCTCTCACAAGTCCACAAGCTACCCTTTACTGTGAGATCCTGGAAAGTTTTGCCGAGGGTATACAGAATTACCACTCGCGAATATCTACCGAGATCCATCACACAGTTCAGCATTATATGAGTCAGATTCTGGTTTTTGAAACCTCACAAGACGATGAAATGGCTAATAGACCCTATGCTGCCGAGCAAGATGTACCCGATATACCTAGTGTTTTTGACCTTTCTATTGCTCTAGGCGATGACACTATGCCGTGTAATCAGACGGGGAAAAATAATTGTGATGCGAGTATTGTGGTGACCGAAGATTTTCTGCTAGATACAGAACCATTGGAGAGACTATTCTACAGTGTTGAATAAGCAATCGATGCTGTCTATATTCACATTTTGAATTTCCTTATACGATGTTGTACGATGGATGCTTCTAATTAAGTGACTAGTCAGTCGTCGGCTATAATTGTTACGATAGGCCTGACTAACTCAATGGTGCCCGATTCAAAGATGCGCCCTCGAAAATGCGGAATCCAGGGAAGATGCATCAACCTGGTCATGTTCAGATCGTGTCAGCAGATAAGGCATCAACAAAAGGGGCAGGGACACTTACATAAGAAGGATTGAGCTGGTCCAGTGAGCTGACACCGAGCAACGCCATCGTAGTCTCAATCTCATGCTTCAGTATTCGGATGGCTTTGCTCGTTCCTCTCTCTCCGAAAACAAGGGAGTACAGAAATCCTCTACCTAACCCAACTGCTTGAGCTCCAAGTGCAATTGCTTTGACAATGTCTGAACCTCTAGTAATGCCGCCGTCGACAATTACTTCACAATTATCAAACACCTCTGGGCAATGTTTGCGAATAGAAACAATTGTGTCCGCTGCAGATGGGGCTCCGTCTAATTGCCGGCCACCGTGATTGGAGAGCCACGGATGTACGCCATAGTGCATACATAGTGCTGCGTCTTCCCAGCATTGAATACCCTTTATGGCAATAGGCAGGTCTGTGAGCCCCTGGAGCCATTTGACAGCAGTAGCCCAGTCAAAATGAGAATATACTGATCTGCAAATTATGAGCAATAGAAATTCGGCTGAGAGAATGGGCGAGCTTACGGTCGCGTGACGGATGGTTCCTTGCTGAAATTGTCATCATCCTCTTCATCATCTTCATCAGTCTCAGTCTCGGACATTCCCGCTCGCACATCACGCTCACGCTTCCCAGACCATATCGCATCCACGGTCAAGGCAAATCCCTTATACCCAAGGCTAATGGCATGCTTTACCTCCTTCTCAGTAACAGCCAGATCGGTCATTGCATATATCTGCCAATAGGTCGTTTGTTCTGGTGCTCGCGCATTGGCCATCTCTTCCACATCGAAGCCGGCATTATTACAGACCCAGTGCAAAATGCCATGTTTACCAGCAGCTTTTGTTAGGCAGATATCACCTCCCGGGTTCGCTACTTTTGCACCACCGGCCGGACAGATGAAAAATGGTGCCGACAATTTGTTCCCCATTATGGTGCGAGACATTTCAATGCGGTCTATCGGTCGTAATACACGGGGTCGTAATTGTATCGCTTTCCAACTGTTCCGATTCCAATTGACGGCATATTCGTCTTCGGCACCGGTTTTTAGAACTAATAGGATGGATCAGGATCGTCTTCGCTATCAACTTAAAACTGCACTCACAGGCAAAAGACTTCAAGGGGAGATTCTGTGATGCGGCGTGTTCAAAGTCTGATATGCTTATGATCGAGGATAGTTTAACACTATTTGATCTGATGGTAGTAGCTTTTACTTTACTGCTTGCGTTTTTGTTTTGGATGTCAGATTCTTCTATCGAGACGGGACCCAGATTCTGGCTAGTATACAGACATATTAGTTACGGTTCTTGTGGATGGATATTCGCAAATCAATACATACTCCGGTTTCAAATATTTCTCCAAAGTATCCGCTCGATGAAGAGGCTCAAATGCCTCTGTTGCATCGCGACCTGCATATTTGAGCAAAATACCAGATCCACCCGGATGCGAATCTACAAAGTCTGTGATGTCGTATACCGTATTGTTGATGATGACCCAACAGCTTCTTCTGGTGGAGTGCCATTTGACTTCCGATCTTGAGTGAAACATCGTTAGATACAGTAGTGACTTCAAGAGGGGACGTAGCTCACCGTGTTAACATGATGCTGGAAGACCGGGGTTTTTTGACATCGACCTGACTACGCCGGGCCTGTTCGTCAGTCAACAGAAAAATGGTGATTTAGTAGAGAAAACTACGAAATTCATCCATACACAAATTGTATCCTCAATTTCATCCCGAATTTCTTTAGCCGATACGTTATCAACTCATGCTGGTACTGAACCGAGCCCGTTAATCGGGTAAACAACTAGTTAATTTGGTAAGTATTTCGGCTATGTTCCTCACTGATAATCTGATAACATAGTTCAATATCAGTAACTACGACTTCTAGTGACTGTAGATTTAAATCTTCGCAATCTAATTGTCATCCTGTTCCTGTGATCTAACACGCTTACTGCTGACGAAATATGGACGCTGTTTTTGCTAAAATCGCAGAAGAAACGACCAAATTTGGTCTCGGGGATGAGGAGGTACATACTAAACTTATTTTATGAATTGGAAATCTACAGCTTATTTCTAGGTTGGTCAGTGAGAGTGTAATGTGCTAATGTTTTATGTTATCAATGTAGAAATGGCGAAAGCTATACGAGCCATTCTACCCAGAGCCTCCCTCTAACGTCAGCGTCATCAGAGACGAGCGATATGGGCCAGCCGAAAGAAACAGACTTGACGTCTTTGTCCCGCATGGTGACGGAATCGATAGACCAGTATTAATGTACGTGCACGGAGGAGGATTCTTCTCCGGCGACAAACTGTGGACGGACAAGGTGTACTCGAATATCGGGTGGTTCTTCGCCCAACACGGCATCGTAACGGTCGTCATCAACCATCAATTGGTCCCTCATGTTCAGTATCCCGGGGGCGCAGATGATATACAACTTGCGCGAGAATGGATATATAACAAAATTGCAACAGAGAGATATGGTCGGGGCTCGGTCGATAAGGTCATATTGTTTGGGCACTCGTCTGGAGGTGCACATATTGCTATGAACTTATATGCCGCAGGTAAGAAACGCGTTAAAGAACTACTTTCTTTGCCATTGAATTCTATACACCTTCTAAGATGAAAGCATAAACAGGCGATCCTCACCGACCTCTTCGAGACCCTCTCACTCCACCTGTAGCTGGGGTTATCTATCTCGACGTGCCGTTCTGGTATGACAGAAATAAACCAGTGCGACAGAGGACTATCCAATCGTACTATGGTTCCGATGATGAAAGCGTTTGGGGAGTAAGTCGTATATACTGTCCGAATACTAAGCCATCGCTTATAAATATCCAGCCTAAATGTGCAGTGGGTCTATTTCAACGTCTTCCGGATACTTCTCCAGTTCTGTAGGGTTTTCTCGGCGTTGCACTTTTGCTAGGAGAATCTCGGACTAATATTTGTGATTTAAGGGATTCACAAAACCTACCCACCTATTTGGGATCGGTAGAATGGGAAGTGTAAGTGCAAGAAACCCCATGACCAACCCGCCAATCCAACTGAATGATATCTAGACCCGAGACCGCCGAAGGGGCTCTCATGTTTTTCAACGCATACCGCAGCCGAAGCAAGCCAGCCGGAACACTTCCCCTTTTTCATGTACTCAAAAAGCACAATCATGTTAGGTGAGATCACTTTGCGCGAGCTTCAGATCAGAAGTGTTTACTGACAGTGCTTTCTCAAGCGATGTCCTGTCAATCGGGACGGAGGATACATCCCAAGGCAAGCCGTTGTTAGAGTTCATTGGATCTTGCGTTGGCAAGGACGTAACTCAAAAATTGTCAGTCTAATCGTGACTCAAACTGGATCGAGAAAGATGTGCTGATAGGCCATTTCATAGGACGGATGCCAAGGGTAGTTTAGAAACCAGGTCACGATTGTGAAGCTGCAAGAGATTTCAAAATGTGAAGTATATTGTTAAAAACTGAAAAAGTAATCTTTGTAATTGTTATAGTTAGTAACTTGACTAGAATTACCTAAGTATACTTGCACAATCTGAAGACTCGGCACTTTGCAGTTGAATCAGGAGAAAACTGCATAAATCTGCATTCTTATTGAACTTTGTCAACCCTATGTTTAAGACTCAATCTCAACACCCATTATTATAGATTCTTGGCTTGATATATGGCAGCCATCCCTCTCCCTACACTGGATATCTGAACGATCTCAACTTGAAATCTGTGATATCGATAAATTCTTCATTCTCAACATGCCGTGATACGCCTTTGTCAAAGAGAGAGTCAGCTCTAATGTCGCAATAAATGATAATTTGGTCAAACCCACCTGGTTCGAGAGTATCACGCTTATCGCGACGTTTATTCCAGATCTTATGAAGCATTCCGTACGTTGTTATGAGCAAGGCATTGAAAAGAAGGAAGGCGAGCATAGTATATTTTGCGGGCTATCTTTTCATTAGCAAGGAATTATCGGACAGAAGGTAGTTGGAGGGTAAAACCCACGTAGTAATTTGGCGCATCCTTTGCTCTGTACGTTTGGGGACCGATGATGTTTCCCACGGCATACCCTAGTTGATACGAACAGGAAAAGGCAAATCTCTTTGTGGTACCCGCGACGCCAGAAGTCAAGAATGTGATGATGAACAGAACACAAACGGGGTCTTACTGAAATTAGCTTTTTGATCATATGTTGACTATCTTTGCCGTAACTGCGGAACAAGTTGGCCAACTTACATTGATAAACTAGCACATATCCTCCGTAGCGAGCTTTGTAATTACTACTCGGAATAACAAACATCATGATACAGCCAACGGCAGCAAGCAATAAAGTAGCCGCACCGGCAAACGTTCGGCTTGTGCGCCTTGCCAGGAATAGTGCGAGAATTGTACCAACGACTTGTGCGGCACCGGGACCCATGTTCAAGAGGGTGGTCTGCGCGGTAGTGAAGCCAAAGCCTGAAATAATTGTCGGTCCTGTTATTTACGAAAATCATAGTAAGTACAGATGTTTTAAAACGGTATCGCGTTTCTAAGAAGACCTTACCAAATGCAGTCACTCCCCCATTAGGCAATCCACTAGAAGCCAACAACAGGAACATCATATACAAGCGCACATCCATGAGTGCCTCTTTCAGTTGAGGCCAGCTGAATTTCCACACTTCAGTACCCGTCTTGTTGTGCCTTACGCGTTCCAGAGCAATGACCTTTTCCTCTTCGGTCAGCCACTTGGCTTCTGTCGGCGAAGCAGCAAGCAGAAAGAACATGATCAGGCCCGTGACGAATGTCATACCACCATAGAGAATAAACAACCCTTGCCATCGAAAGCTTTTGGCATTATAGATGCACCAGGCAAAAAATCCACCAAACACGCCTCCCCAGCCGGATGTCGTATACCACAGTGCAACACGAACGACTTGTTCTTCTTTTGTGTAAAATGCACTTGTGATCTGGATCGCTACAGGGACAGTACAAACTTCGATAGCGCCTAAAATGAATCGTACAGCAGCGAGGCTTCCAAAGCTATGGCAAGCGGCGTGTAATGCGACGATGACACCCCATATCATGCACATAACTGAAAGATACTTGGCTATTGAAAGTCGCTGCATTAGGAAGATTGAGGGGACATCACCTCCCAGATACCCGAAGCTGCAAGAAAAAAATCAGTCTTTGTCGGCTCGCGTCCAGAGAGCAACTAACTAGACAATGGAGCCCAGCCATGAGTATTGCGACGCTGTAAGATGGGCGCTATCTTTGATCCCCATGATGGCAGCAAACGACAAGCTATTCTTGTCCAATAGCTGCAGGAGATACACCGTAAATATCAATGGCATGATACGCCGATCAATTTTCCGGCGAACACGTCTGGCTTCTTCTGAATTGGGATCAAAAGAGACATGGTTTTGCCCGAGCAAAACAAGGGCTTTGTCTCTACTTGCAATCTGGGCGTTGACCCCATGCATTCGTTCCCCTGTCTCCGCAATTCCTATATCCTTGGACTGGCAGTCCGTTAGTCGGGCTTCGCATCAAGCATCGCGTTATGTATTAGTCTTACCTTGTCCATTGCATATGCTTTATCGGCGGACCTGTTGAGTTCAGACATTTTCGACTCCGTCTTCAGAACTTCCTCATGAATTTCACTCCATGCTTAGCTGTCAGGCCATCTTTATTATACCACAAGCCGTTTGTAGACCGCATTTATTATTATCAAATATCCTAGTATTGCTAGAGATAAGCCACAACGATTATCGGCGGAGACTTAAGCGAGCGATCGAAGTGTCATTTTGGGCGGTACATTTCCGAAAATTTAAGATTTGATCCAATCAGAGGAACATTGCCGAGATAGGGAGCGATAAGACAGGTGCTTGAATAGGCTGATAGGCTTGCGTACGTACTATTAGAATGGTAATGGAATGACGATATTTGAATGGCATGATATTTAATTCAAATGTTGAGCGACAATTGGATCTCAGATTGGAGGTCTGTTAAAATATCCTTACAGTCAATAAGTGACGTGATAGAATCGTTTTTTTAAAAAAAAAGACACGCCGAAAAGATGGCCGCACGAATAGTCCCTATAATTTCGTTAAAGAGTAATTATACCCGTACCGGCTCGAGTGAATATACGCTAATCGAGAAATATAGACTTTGAGAAGCGAAAAGACGAAATCACCGAGCAATTAATAGCAGCAGCGGAGAATGCCGGATTCTTCATACTGATGGATCATGGAATAACCATCGAAGAGATTGAATGCCAGTTCTCTATATCCAAGAAGTTCTTCGATCTTCCTGCTGAAACCAAAGGCAAGACACCTCATGATACCAAAACCAATAACGGCTGGGAGTATAAGGTGAGTAATATCCGACGGAGAGGAAGAATTGTCTAATCGTGCTGTGAAAGGCCCAACACCGTCCGAGCACTGGGACGTACGATCAGAAGGAGTCTCTTTGGCTGCAGCGCAATTCCCAATGGCCGAGCGATGATGACGTGCCTGGTTTTAGCGAAACAACAAAGGAATTTATGAAGAAGTGCGAAGGCGTTTCCGATCAAGTTTGTAGGTATCGGATATTGATACGTCGTTCTCCCTATCTAATAGTTTATCAACATAGTATCCTGCTTTGCAGTTGCTCTCGGCTTTCCAGAAGACTATTTCAGAATTGCCAATGATCCGACTCAGCCTGACTGCTTGACGCAGCTGCGACTGATTCATTACCCTCCTTCCGATAACGCTCAAGGTACGTGGAGAGCTGGAAGCCACACTGATATTGGCTGTGTCACTCTTCTATTTCAACGCGATGGAGAAGACGGTCTTGAGATTTGCCCTGGGCGTGAGAGTCATTCCAGTTTTGCCATGGGTGATATGTTCACACCTTTGGCTGCAGAGACTGGTCCTATTGTTGTCAATATTGGCGATATGCTGAGTAAGAATCATTTCCAATTATCAAGCGATATGTAATTCTCAGCTTACTGACCTTCAAGTGGCGTGGTCTGATGACCGATTGAAATCCAATTTCCACCGAGTGCGCGCAAAGGACGTGGGCAAATCGCCTTCCAGATATTCGATCGCATACTTTAACCAAGCGCGACGCGACTTTGTATTGCAAGGTCCCAAAAAAAAGTAGTAAGTCAATTTTATACGGTTTTAGATATATTCCAGGCCTGATCATTTGCAGTCCACCTATTAGTGTTGGCGACTATTTTGCGCAGTCGGTTGCAAAGAACTTCAGCAGACAGATGGCGACTAGTTCGAATTGAAGCCCATTTCGAATACAGTATATACTGAATCAGATGAATAAACGCATAATAAGCATAGATCAGGTATTCTCATACGTAATCCAGATAGGTACTTTTATTTCAAAGGATGTCTCTTTTGTTGACATGGAATTTGTCGCGTTATCCGAACCGCGTCTCTGCAGGTGCAACACGTAAAGCAGAAATGGATGCAATATCATGTTTGTGACTATATAAGATTTCATCTATAATTTCATGCATCTTTCGTGTCGCACATAACCATAAATATCAAATTGGCCAGGTGGTCTTGTAACCATTTGGAAGTGGTATGTATACTCGGGTTTCATTAGAGGATATTTATAAATATTCGAGAATGACCCTGAGAAGAACTTACATCCCAAACAAAACCCCAAATCTATGGATCTTCAGTCAGATTAACATAGAATATTGACGCCATTATCTGGGAACGTGACTTATGACCAAGAGTCTTCTGAAGAACCATGCAGTGCTGCCTGAGACCCCACGGTCGCGATCTGTCCAGCAAGAATCTACAAACGAAAAGAGATAATCACCATACAAAGCATTCAACCAGCAATCAGAGTTATGTACATTAGCCGAACGGTGAACTATCGGTTGAACGAGATCAGCTACCTCTATTGCTATGAGGTCGTGAGGTATCTTGGTTCGACTCGCGCAAAGGCAAATTTTCATTCATTTCTCGCCAGACAAACACCGCTGGAGTGGCCAACCCACGGGGGTCGCAAATGTACGTCCGACAGTCTGCGCTGCGGGGGGCTAATCAGCAGAATAGGTTCGCCTAACAGCGACGAAAGACGCCTAAGAAAGGGGATACCTAGAGAAAAGCCCGTGCGGAAGATTCAATCGAAGCCCAGGGGCTTGCACATTTTTGCTTCATATTTGTTTTTGTTTTCGACAAATTCAATTACATTAAGTACCAGTTATACGTCTTGTCGGCAAGTGTGGCTTTGCGATCGTTGTACATTGTGTCCACAGCGGAGGAATGACTTTTATCACAGCCTCTCTGTGAGGATTTACACTCACAAGGGAGCGACGAAGATATTTTCACCCCGTGGCGTGGCACATAGAATAACCATGCTCATCTGAAATTCAGACTGTTAATTCCAATCTCCCCGACCATACTACTCACAGTAATGCCGTCCCGCTGCGGCTGAGATTAGGTCCACCGGCGATTATTTAGCATTTTTAGCTCGTCGACGTGCCAAAATTAAACCAACAACAGCCCCGGCGCATTTCAGTGATACACCGCAAGCTATTCCCCAAATCCTACAATAACGTGTCTGTTATCAAGGGGGTCCCCCGCAGCTGATTTTCAACGGGACAGAAAAAGGCGTGTTAGTTGTTAGTCGTAACAACGAAGTACAAGTGGCACATTCAATTGTAGATGTACGGGGGTACCTTTTTAGTATAAGGTAGAATAATATGACTGCAGTATTTTCTGGACGTTGATTGTGCCATTATTGCACTTCTCCAGCAACTGATATGTGTTCGAGTAAGTAAATTCTTACAGTGACTACGGAGTACACATCATAATTTTAGAATTTCAGCCCTCTTCAAGCTATTATGATCCTGGCAGGGTCAGAAAGAATAAGCTGGAAGCTAAATTAGAAACGACCAAGTGCCCCTGTTTTTCCAAGCCTCACTGCACCCCAATTCGCCTGCTTGGGTCTCATTGACTTTCAGACCCACCTGGCACCAACATCAAATGGCTCTACTTTGTTTGTCGGAAAATAGAGCATAGCTTCATTACAGTAGCTTGATAAAAATGGGGACAATTCAGGTCTCAGCATAGAATGAAGCTCTTTAGTGGTAGCTAGAGAGCTATGTATGTACGTGCCAACCACGAGCTAGGTAAGGCTTTGCTAGAATTTTTAAAAGGATTAAAATAACTTAAGCTATGACAAATCATAGCTAGTATGTTCAATGAAACTGGAAATGTAAATTAATAAGAAACTTCTTTCGTCTTTTTCCCTCCAATGTACAAATATCAACAAACTAAACTCTGCAGTCTGAGACTCGGAGCTACAACATGAGTCTCAGTGCTTATGGCCTTACGGCCGCGGATCTACCTCAGGATCCCTATTATCCTCAAGAAACACCTGAAGGACCAAGTTTTCTAGATACCGGTGCTTGTGTATGCGCATTACAAGAAACACCCATGCAGAATTCGAACAACGCAGTATGGCATTGTATCGGAAACCAGACACAAAACGTATACCTTACAACGGGTGGGAAATTCTTCAACCCCGTTAATGGCGGTACCACTATAGACGGAAATATTTATGATGACTCCAATGGACCGCAAACGAATGAGACGTTCGTATGGGATTCAGGTTCAACCTCGCTTCAGCAGTGGGTAGGCAACGATAGTCTGAGTCCTTACGACCTCGCTTGCACCGGTCAAAACCAAACTACGTTCTCGACGGCATTCTATCGAGCGAATCAAGAAATCGCAAATAACGAGACTGCGGTGGATGCTGCGCCGTGTTGGAGAGCTGGAGCGGTTTCGGTGCAGATACAGAACATTACAGAGTGGCAGTCGCAAGGATGTAACGAAGGGTTTCTGTGTACGTTCAGAGAAATAAGTGCCTTGTTTATCAATCAATGCTAATCCCATCGTATAGGCGCCAACAACACTGCGAACTCTCTACCACAATATTGCCCACCACTCGACGCTTGCCAATCGGTGAGACTGTCATCAGCAACCTGTACCTTTGAAGGCAAGAATATTGGTATGGGTCCCTTTGAGCCAGTGATTTGTCAGGGTGGTTACTATTGCCCGAAATCTGCAAACGGGATGGAAACGATCCGTTGCCCAAGCGGTTCATACTGCCAACCCGGGGCCTCAACACCAACACCATGTGTTGTCGGAAGCCACTGCCCGGAAGGCTCGGCCTATCAAGTTTTCTTCATTCCTCTAGCAGTCCTAATCGTTGTGGACGTCTTTTCTGTTATTGCCTTCCTATTTTGGAGATTTCGCCAGCGCATCAGCAAGGCTAATAGAGAGCGAATTGGAAAAATAAAACAAAGGGGTCTTGGTGGCATGTCTGCCAAAATCACTGGATACAAAGCCCTGGGCGACGAAAATGATAACCACGAAGACCAGGAAATGCTTCCTCTAGATGCAACTTACATGCCGCGTCGCGCTGATACATTCAGTGGTCTGGAGCTGGCTCTAGATATGAATCATTTGCAACACATAAACGGTCGTTTCACCGACAACCAACTGCCGCCTCATGTCATGAAGTTTGTCGAGTCGATGCGCCGAGCAACCGATGCGACCGACTTTGGTCTGTCCTTTAGTTATTCCGACCTGAAATTCCACCCGAAGAAAAGTTCCAGGCCCATTTTGCAAAACGTTACAGGTTCAATTGATCGTGGAACTCTGGCCGCAGTCATGGGAGGATCCGGTGCTGGAAAGTCAACCTTTGTCAACGTACTGATGGGAAAGACCAACAATACCGATGGTATTGTGGCTGTGAACAATAGTCCAGGAAAACTAAGGCGCTACAAGAAAGTCATTGGATATGTGCCTCAAGATGATATTGTACTTCCAGAATTGACTGTCTACGAGAACATTGTCCACTCCGCCAGATGCCGCCTTCCTCGAGGATGGAAAGATGCTGATATCATAGCCCATGCCGAATCCGTCATTGACTGTCTCGAATTATCTCACGTGCGAGATTCACAAGTTGGTAGTGTCGCAAAGCCTATTATCAGTGGTGGACAGCGAAAACGTGTGAGCATTGGAATGGAATTGGCAGCAGCACCAATGGCAATCTTTTTGGATGAACCTACGAGTGGTCTGGATGCAACTTCAGCATCCTCCATGATGAAAACGTTGAAAGCCATCGCCCGTCTGGGTATTTCGGTCATTGTTATTATTCACCAGCCTCGTTCTGAGATTTTCGATCTGTTCGACACTCTCATTCTGCTCGGTAATGGGCAGACCATTTATGAAGGCCCTCAGTCCGACGCAAAGCATTACTTTGAAAATGTCGGCTTCCACTTTCCAGATTATAGTAACCATGGTGACATCATCACAGATATCATCACTGGAAATGGCAGAGACTACAAACCAAACGGCAATATTTCAAAGGAAGCCCTGATCGACCACTGGTCCAGCTATCGCCGCAAGATGGGAGCAACGAATACCGACCGACACACCCTAACAGCATTGGGAAATACTGCCATGCGAAAAGCGATGGAAAACCGCGGCGCGCTAAGAATCCAACAGGTCTGGCTCTGCTTGTGCAGAGCAATGCTTCAGCAATATCGCGCCATGTCTGCTTATTGGGCTGAAATGGGTCTTGCCACATTGGCCGGTTTTCTTCTTGGTCTGGCTCAGAATCCGAAGAAGGGAATCTTATTCATAGGCACATACAAGGACTCATACAGCATCTTGTCGTCTGCAACAGATATTTCTTCAGCTCCAGAGTTGGCTCTCCTTATTGCCATTGCGATTGGTCTCGTGGCTGCTGCGCCTGGTGTGAAGGCATATTCCGAAGAAATGCTCTTGCAGCGACGCGAAGCTGAGGCCGGTCATTCAAGGGTCGCCTACTTCATAGCCAAGGTTATCTCATTGATACCTCGCATGTTCCTCGGCTGTCTACATTTTTCAACCCCCTTGTTTCTCCTGTCGGTTCCTGTCATCAATTGGGGAATTGCCTTTGCTGCAAACCTGCTTTACTTCTATTGCATTTATGGCCTTGCAAGTATCGTCAGCGCAGTCGCCCGACGGGAAGATGCGCCCCTTTTCGCGACCATGGTCAGTCTCATTGTCGGTATTCTGTCTGGTGCGGCTCCTCCTTTGAGAAAAGTCGAGTCGTGGCATCTCGGGTGGTTGTGGCGTGGATCTCCAGGTGTATGGCTCGCCGAATTGTACTTCGGCCGTTTGGTTTCGCCATTTGCGTATCTCTATGATGTTGACCTAGCCGCTCAGTTAACGGGATACCACCTGGACTGGCTTTGGCGCAACATGGCGATTTTGCTTCTCATTGGAACGATTTATAGAATCGTTGCATTCTTTGGCATGCTCTTGACTCATCATTTCCGCAGATGATGAGTGTACGAGGTGTTATTTTGTTTTCAGCAACATAATCTTTCTATTTGTACCCTCTTGAAATGGCAGTATAGGATACGCATAATACTATGATGAAGTAGAAAGTATTTTAATAAGTGGATGTCAGGATTCGGCTTTATCCAAATTTCCTCCAATTTAGAAAATTTCTTGCCTGGATTGTCGGGCTAAAATTGGCCGCTCCAATCCGTATCCCCCCTCCTATCTAGGCCCATAATGTAATGTCTGTCCTTTCATATGCATGTTTTGTCCCCCGATCATCGTCCCTTATCAGGCATTGACAAGCAAGGCATGTCTTACATCCAATGAAAACACGTAAACATGCCTTAGTAATAATACTAGGGCTTATCATTGACCTAATCTACCCCGCCGAGTCCACTGGGGTTCCCAAATAGGCTGTCACAACCCTAGCGCCTAGATTCTTATCTATTTAACGTCTAGTGCAGATTTCAAGCCTGCGCAACCTCTCCTTCGTGATGCGGTGCTCATGTGCTTCTTATTTAGTTGTCGATAACGAGTGGGTCATTAGTATAAAAGATACCTCAGAGCCCGGGTTTGAAATCCCTTTGTCTTCTTGTAGCCTAAGGTGACGACTATATGTTTTGTATCCCAGAGAGCCACCTCATCGGCAGCCTGAAATTTTTATCTAAAGAGTATTACCATGTCAGACGAAATTGATATCCCTGGGACCGTCCACCTCGTCGATGTGGACCATACGATGCAAACTCGCCATGCGAGTAAGAATCAAGATATCGTTCTGGATCCGACACCATCTAGCGACCCGAACGATCCCCTCAACTGGTCCCCGCGCCGTAAACTATTGTCGCTGATCTGCCAGAATCTGTAAGGCTTTTCGAAAATAAAAACTTCACTTAATTATTAATGGAGCATAGGTATACTTGGTTTACTGGTATTGCAGTGTCGACCGTTTACTCCGTTCTTGTTCCTCTCTCGGAGGCAACCGGAGTGTCTACCGATACCTTGAACCAAGGAACAGGGTACATGTTTTTGTTTCTGGGCTGGAGTTTGCTATTTTGGCAGCCATTTTCTTTGCGATACGGCAAACGCCTCACTTTTCTGATTTCTATCCTTGGAGGAATTGTTCGTATGCCCCTCTTTACAACCTGGGCAGGATATATAACTAACAGGTCTATGAAGGGTACGTCAATTTGGAGGTAAGACGATCGTGATCGAAAATCTCGGCATGAAACTCACATGCATGAAGTGCATACGTTAAGACCAACGGCGAATGGATAGCCAAGTGCATATTGATGGGCTTCTTCATTTCACCAATCGAAGCTCTTCCGGAACTCTGCGTCACTGATTTGGTAGGTATGGAAGCGATCGAGCCACAAACTTATTTAACAAGGGCGACTAATGTTACACAGTATTTTACACATGAACGAGGTACATATATGGGCATTTATGCCTTGACACTGGCAGGTAGCAATTACTTTGCTCCCGTGATATGTGGATTCATCGCTGAGTACCAGGGATGGAGATGGGTATTCTACTGGCCCGCTATCTTTCTAGGGGCAACTTTTATCTTTTTAGTCTTTTTCATGGAAGAGACCAACTTCGATCGCAACCAAGTAGCAGTGTTTCTAGAAGAACATGCGACCAGAGAAAAATCAACCTCAACCCCTCGAGTGACCGAAGAAGGACAAGTCGACATTCAGCCAAAGTCATTCGTTGCAAAAACTTCACTTGTGCAATTCAATCCGGGACAAAACATGTTCAAACATGCACTCCAGAGCCTGAAATATCTGGGATGGCCGGTCATCCTCTACGCAGGATTTTCATACGGGTCGTATCTAATCTGGTTCAACGTTCTCAACGCAACAGCCTCCATTATTCTCTCAGCTGCTCCATACAATTTCTCATCTTCAATAGTTGGACTTAGCTATTTGTCATGCTGTATTGGCGTCGTCATTGCATCCCTTATTTCTGGTAGGTTGAGTGATTGGCTGACCATCAAGCTTGCGCGCCGTAACAATGGCATTATGGAAGCCGAGCATCGCTTGTGGCCATTTGTGATCTGTGTCATCACAGTACCAGCGTCTCTCATACTATGGGGTGTTGGAGCTCAGCACGGTGTGCATTGGTTTGGACTGATATTTGGAATGGGATCCCTTGCCTTTACATCGACAATGGGCATTACTTTGAGCGTCAACTATCTCATTGACAGTTATCATGATATCAGCACTGATGGAATTGTGACTGTTATTCTTGTTCGTAATACGATGTCATTTGCCATCTCATATGGGTAAGATCATCCCTGCCCATTAGGACAAGAATGCGACTGAATTATCTTTTGCAGAATCACACCATGGTTAACAAATCTTGGATATCAAAACTGCTTCATCTCGGCGGCTTTTATCGGCATGGCTGCCTCGTTAGTTTTCCTGGTGATGATCAAATTTGGAAAACCTTTGAGGATCAAAAGTGCTACTAAGTACTGGATGATGGTTAACCGTGATAAAGCTCTTGAGCGCAAATAATACGAAGGACAAGCGCAAAAGCTTGAATTTGCTGATATTTTCTTGATTATGTTGAACCTAGCGAGGTTTAACTTCAGATAAGTAAATAATCTATAACGTGTTTTCCTTTCTGCATCGCAAGCATTGAAAACCCGGTACGATAATCCTTTATTTTCTCATCTCAGTGTGACCATCGATCTCGTAGCTGGATGATTCACCGTGCTGCACGGATCTAGCCATTACTCTGTGACTAAACTCAAATACTGCGCTTATAACACAACTCGAATACTCACAAAAATTTGGTCTGTCAATGTAGTATGTCAATCGATGGCTGTAAAACTCCGAAGATCTTGTATGTATCTATGAGTGCTCTACATTTATGTTCAAAACCTTATTAGTATTTGCGGCATCTCCTCTCCTGTGCGCAGCCCTAAGGTTTGGATCCTCTGCAACGAGCTTCTTCAAATTTGCTACAGCTGCCCAAATGAATGGAGATTTGCCAGCGAATAAGAGGTCGATTTCTTCGAGCGTACGTTGACTTGACTCCGGATAGAATGCCCAGGCTGGTTTTATCGAAATACATGCCTGAAGTAGACATGAGACAGGAAATTTGCAAACATACCGATGGGTATAATAATTATGTTGACTGCCCCAAAAAATACATTACGCTGGCGCCGATGACGTCAAAGACCTATGGTAGTGCTAGTTTGAGCGACCTGGTTTATGTTAGAAGTTTTCCTGATTTCAAAACTGACTACAAAAAGGAGTTTCGCACCCATTGCCCAAGCTCCAGCCAACAACTCCCCATGCATTGCCTTTGGCCCGCACATTCAGTGGAGAAGTTTCAGCTGGATATAACCATGGTACGGTCGGCCAGGTACCACCAAAAATGAGGGTATATAGATACACCCTTGGGGTGGCTGTAATTCCCCATTTCTCCTGGCTATTCTCACGTACCAGCCTTGCCTAGACAAAGCCTCCAGCTAGGAATATAGCAATGGCCTAAGCTACTGTTTCTCACCAGAAAGTCTATCGTCGACCAATTCGATTAAGAGTGAGGCTCAGATCAGTATGGCAAAGGTATAGAAAATCAATGTCTTCTGATGCCCGAACCGGCGATCTTCAAGTTCGCTTGTAAATGTTAATGTGCAGCTTCCGCAGCGAGTAATTGTAGATTTTGACTGGAGTGACTTACTCGATGCGTACATTGTTATACCTGCTATTCCCGACCAACATTGTCGGATTTGTGGCCAGATCACTAGCCGCAATCGTCGGGCAATGTTCAAATACTTCTTTCCGAAACCGAAAAACATATGGACATACATAATTTCATCATACTTTCTCTCTCTAGCTCAATAATAGCTTCAACCTCACTCAACTCTAATTCGACTGCCCGGAGGTTTTCGGAACCGCGAAGTCTAGTGAGAACATTAAGCGCTTCATCGCGCCGACCTTTCATGCATAGCCATCGAGGCGACCCAGGGAAGAACCAGCAAATCATTAGAAGTAGGGTGAGCTTGAAGATTCGGAAGGCGTTTGGGAAGCGTCACTGGATCTGTGATGTCCGTCATCGACATAAAAGATGAAATATCATAGCCAGTAGGGAATAACCACACGGACAATGTTCAATGTGAATTCGATAGCATTAAATCACCGCGCGACTCGTAGTCCGAAACTTCTGAGCCGTATATCAGAACTGCAGCGTTGGGTATACTAGTATCAAAGCCATTGTTGATCGGGATACAATCATCGCCGTGGAATTCTAAGCGGAACATTGAAACGATGCCCTAAGGATTCCCCAGATGGTGCCGAGGGCAAGAGACTAAATCAAACCAAACCGGTTGTTAGCCCAACCACCTAAGAAGGAGCCAACCAATGTTCCTAGATAGTAGACGAAGGTAATACCTCCTTGTATAAGAGTGTTGGTGATGACTGTCTCGCCGTCGGCTGTATAGTTAAGTCTCCTTTGTTCGACGTATGGCTGGCTGGGAGCTGTTTACTCCTCCCATTATGTCCTGATCATAACCTACGTGTTTCTTATTACTAAGTCTTCAGTAGTAATGAGCAATGTAACAGGGTTTACCAAAGAAGAGGATAGCAAGACCAGCAAGGCAGTTGACTACCACCAGTAGTGATAGTTTCTCCTGTCGACAAGTAATCTTCCATCGTAAGTGTTTGTTAGTGGCCATGATGAATTTTAATAGAGTACTGAGACATGAAACAAAGATAGGAAGAAAGCAATCTAAGTGTGGCTGAACCTACGTATGTATTGAAAACCCATCCTATCTACGGTGACTCTAGTTTCTGGGCAATTGATTGCATCCTCACATGAAAGCCACATCTGGGGTTCAGAGTGAAGATTTGGAGGAATCCTGGGGCCCCAGCCCGAGAGTTTGGGGCAGATCTTATAAATAAACCGGTTAACATGCCTCCATGGTACACTTCTAGATGGAGAATATATCGGTCAGGTTTGGAAGATTGCCTTGCTTTGACATGGTCATTGTGGACTCACTGGTAGTCTTGCTTGACTACTACTTAATGCTATACCTATAGGCTACATTCAATTGTTCTCATTGAGCTCGATCGCAGGAAATCAAGGAAGAGTAAACCCGCCATCTACCACAATATTCGAACCGGTCATGTAACTGGACGCATCGGATGCGCAGAAGAGGTAAACCTTGCGAGTAATCAAGTCAGCGAGCGGTAATCGTGAGAAAGTTTTGTTATACCCTACCCCCTTGAGTTCGTATGGAGATGCAAATCGACGCGCCGGGATTTGGTTGCGCCATTTTTCTAGCATCTCCTGGGATGCATATTCCATTATTTGTGTCTGGATATATCCGGGAGAGACGCAGTTCACTCTGCAGAAATCGACCCATTCAACTGCAAGAGATTTAGCCAGTTGGAGAACACCGGCTTTCGAGGCATTATACTGCAGAGGCACGCAAAGCATTAGATTAGCTTAGGTCAGTCTACCATCTGGCAGAACGCTTTATTGTACGTATGAGATGGTGAAACCTACAGCAGCCTGTTTTTGAGGAGTATTTACTAGTGTCGCGCTGACGGATGCTGTGAAAACGACATTTCCAAAACCCTGGCACTTGAAAATCCGTGCCGCAGCTTGAGCAGTGTAGAAAGCTCCGTTGACGTTCACATCCATTATTTCCTGAAATTCTTCCGGTTTGTACTGTTCTCCAGCATGCTCCGAGCATACACCAGCGTTAGCGACAACCACATCGAGCTTACCGAAATCATTAACGACTTGGTCGATGGCAGCTGATATTTGTGCAGGAACGGTAACGTCCGCTTTGTAGGCACGGCATTGCTTTCCGAACTTTGAGGTAAAAGCCGATGCTGTCTCGGGGGCTGTTGATGTGGTACGATATAGGATTGCAACCTTCGAGAAATTAGTAAGTCATACAAGATTCCCGCATCGCTACTCAGAGCATACTTCAGCCCCGGCCTCTGCATATGCAGTAGCCACGGCCAATCCGATTCCTCTCGCGCCTCCTGTAGAAACCCTGCGATCAATATTCAAGTAGAAATTGCTTGTCGGTAGAATGCTTACCCGTCACAGCGACGACCTTGCCGGTCAGATCGAACAACTTTTGGACGGGGACTTCGTCGGGTTTGTGTAGAACCATTCTCAACGGGATAAGGTCAATTGTCTTGATATTCTAGATTTTTTTTGTGCTGGTCCCAACCATCATCTTGCCGAGTGCCCTTTTATACATTACTTTACATTTGATTATTGCACCGCCCACCTGCATTCTATGGAAGACTCTCCAGCAGTTTGCAAATGGTGTTGTGATGATCCATATTACATTCCCGTCTCGCGGGCAGTAAGTACCTCGTCTCGGGACAACCTTGGAAATCTGTTGACAGCCATCGGAATATGCTAAACTCTTGTGACATGTTCTTGTAAATAAAAGTATTGGATTCCAAGTTTTAATTTAAGTAACTTGAACACTTAGATCGGGACCAATGATTCTTCAGATATACGCTGTTTTAGTCTCTGCACGTATGTCGAGTCTGTTGATTCGCACCATCGGATAGTAGTATGGCTTAGTTCCGCAGAAATATTTATCGACTTTAAACACTCGCTAGCAGAGAGGTCACGGATAACATTGAACGCAGGTTATACATCCTTAAACACTACTTGAAAGGGTCGCCCGCCGTATAACAGACTACCTCCATTCTAGGTTGCTGAAACAAGCCGGAGTCTGTTGTTATGGCTAACTAAATTTAGAAGTTGAAAGAGAGATGGGCCTTTGGATACCAAGCGCTGTCAAAGGCTCGAAGTATCATGTAGAGACACAGTAATGATTCAGCTGCTATTCGACTCGACCTTGTCATGAACTACTGCATGAACGCTGGACCAACTTCAAAATGTCCAAGTTCAACAATTATCATGGGAGATGTATTGGTGTTCTTCTCTAGCTCTTAAGGGGAGCATAAAGATCAACCGGAATTGTTGCGTAGTCGACAAATCGCAAGGATTCCGGTAACAGAATGACAGTATGTGACCGATTTCTAGTCATTGGAAATCGCCTGAGTGTCTGATTTGTGGGATGAAATGACATGTAACCTGTTCATTGAGGCCAAGCCTGCAAATGGGTAATATTCCAGGCGAAACCTGAATAGCAAAGCTTTTCTTCCAGCAAGTTGTCATGGAGGAGTGCAATGGCGTTTTCTGCATTGCTTTTTTTCCCACAAGATGACTATAAGCGGCACGTCTTGAAGTGGGTATCTTGGACCGCCAAGGAGCACTTGGAGATTGAAATGTATAAGTCTTCGAATTGTATGGGGACTGTTATTTAGCGGTGGTCTTAAAGAGTCAGCCCCTGAATATCTCTGCGAAATCAGCAAGAAGCGCGCTTACCAAGCCGCATTTTCTGATTGTGACTGTCCAATGTTTGGAATACACGACACTACTAGAAAATCAACGCGCCTTTTCTTTCCGACTGAAATGAGATGAATATTCGAGACACAATCTCCGGGTCCCGGCAACCTGTGTGTTTATCCTTAGATTGTGCCCACTGCTAAGAAAATCTACCACGTACTACCGCCCCAGTAGCCCCGCAAGTAAGCCACGCTACCGGAAGCTCACCCAAGGGGTAAGTGAGCACGAGTGTCTTTGTTTCTTGAAACTCAAACCTTTCGCGATCTGCTGATCGGCTATTACAGACTGATTTTCTGCTTGCTGTGGTTCGGAATTTGTTGTTCTTCAAATGCAATGAAATATTGGGCTGGATGACGCCTGCGACAATTTGATCCCAATTCTTTTGACGGAGACAGAACTTCTAGATCTAAAGCGAAACGCGTAATCGCAATCTTCTAGAACTAATCTAGAGCGAGTTTCATTACGAACGAAGGCTGACCGCCCGCAAAAAGGGGCACTGACAGCCATTCGAGTTTCCCGCTAAACCCTTTGTTTTTATCCGGCGAAATAGTCACACAATTTTTGGCCTAAGTATTCGCAAGTCATCCTTTGGCGCGTAAATCATTTCGGAAAAGACTGCGATTTACCTGAGGCCCAGAGATCTGTATTTCTATTGGCTTCTTTGCCCTAGTATGGCCCACTCCATTGCTGATTTTATCACGTTTTCGAAGAGCTGCTCTATAACTAGCCGTTTTTCGATTGGATCAGGGGCCATAGGACAAATACCTCAGCATCATGTATGTAGCTAGCGCCAGATTGGCAGTGAAGTGGGATGTCCCGGGAAGATTCAGAAAACAGAATCTAATCATTTTCAATCATACAATCTTCGAAAATAGACATTCGGCATCATCGAACTCAGGCTGTACACTGAAATAGTGGGATATAATATAACTTCTCTACTCAATCAACGCTTCTACATCGTTATCTTATCGGCGCTTTCGGCATATGGCGAATAACGAAGCTAGGTGCCAGAATGTCATATCGGATACACGGAATGGTCATGATCAAGCTTCCCTTGGGGTGAATGTCCCTCTTCGGTATGAGACAAGAGTCAGTAAAGTCCGCGACCTGACGATTCAAGCATTAGATCAATGTTCCCTAACTGACTTTGGAGAAAGTAAAGAACATTATAAATTCGAGGTTGCCATCACTTTCCAAACTTCATCATTGGGCATTTGTACTAAGGGATAAAAAGCAGAAATGAGGACTTGGATCGATCTGGTGCTTCCCCCAAAGCACGTAAGTAGTCATACATGGACCTTGGGGGATTCATGCGCTTTACCAAAGCTAATCACGCATACAAAGAACGTGTATTGCGATATTTCCAGAATATATGGCGAGAACCATCCGTCACATATATACCAGTCAACTACAAGAGCCCCGAATTCCATGGACACACATTAACATCTCCGGTGATGCCAGACTATGATCCTCTACCTACCCCATCTCGGCGCTTCACGACACGGCTTTCTGACATGTCTTGGGTAATAGCGCACACGATTCTTTCAAATTATCGGACAAGCCTCGCACTAGCAATTGTACCCGTCGCAATCGTTCTCGGATTGATAGACGGTATTCACCCCGGGGTGGTTTTTACGATGAATCTCATAGCAGTGTTCCCATTATCGATCGTTCTTACGGCGGCAACGGAGACACTAGCTTCTGATATGGGGGTGATACCAGGGGCTCTATTGAATATGAGCTGTGGAAACCTGGCCGAGATTATTATATTGTAAGCTATGCCACGGTAAATGCCTCTACACATGATGACTAACATGGAAGCAGAATGTGAGAATCCATAACTGATTGAAAATCTGGACCCCTTTTGATAAAATTCTTTGTGGGATGACAACCAACACTTGAAATAGCATGACACTATCTGAGGGACATGTACGAGTCGTACAATCATCTTTGATTGGATCGATCCTAGTCAATTTGCTTCTCGTCCTTGGTCTTTCTATTATTGTAGGGGGGATCAATCACAAGGAGCAAGTATATGACACCACCACCACTCATCTATTCGTTAGTTTGATGAACTTGACGGTCTTTAGTCTGGTGATTCCAGTGAGTTATATGTGCACCTCCTGCTGTAGTGAGACACCCTGACCAGGATCAACAGACTGCATTTTATGGTGCATTTCAGGACAAGACGACAGCAGATTATGCGGTCATGGTCTTTAGCAGAGCGATTTCAATTGCTCTCTTTTTCGTTTATATACTCTACTTGATCTTTCAACTGAAAACTCATTCGCACTTGTTTCGCATGACGCAGTCTTCAATGACTGATGACATTGAATTGGAAGACGCGTGGCCTAGGGAGAACTATGGTACGTAACTTGATAGTTTATGAAAATATCGAGCTAATCGCTCGCAGCAGCTGAAGCTACAAGTAGACCCAAGCACCCCTCAATAATCATTAATGACCATGACAGCGCCTCAGATGTGAGTTCGACATCTGATAACTTTTCAGTACCAACTCCTTCTGTGTCCCGATCCATGTCTGCCGAAGTTCCTCTTTTAGACATGGAGTCTAATAATGGAGATCATTCCGTTTCCGATCTCGACCTCACTGCCTGCACGACTAATGGCGGCATTAAAAGAATTAAAGCTGTTGCAATATTAATCATATCGACTGGCCTCATCAGCGTCTGTGCCGATGCTATTGTATCTAGCTTTGGGGCTCTGAATGAAAACGGCATTCTCCGCCAGTCCTTCGTAGGACTCATTATCCTTCCAGTCGTTGGGAACGTCGCCGAAATCTTGGCTGCATCTTTGGTCGCAGCGAGAGACGAAATGGGATTAGCTATCAATATCGCCGTTGGATCTGCAATACAAATTGGACTGCTAATGACGCCGCTGACTGTGATGGTAGGATGGATCATTCAACAAGATATGACCCTGCATTTTGATATGTTCGAAACAGCAATAATGATAACTACGACACTGATCGTTAGTTTCATGATACTTCGTGGAAAGACCAATTATTTCGAGGGAGCAATTATGCTCGTGTGTTTCTTTGGGATAACGTAAGTGATAGAAGGTTGAGAATGTGCTCCTGCTGGGTTGTCTGATATATTTCACAGAGTCGGAGCGTATCTGTTGCCCGATCAAGTATAGCGACCTAATCTTACTGGATGATAGTGTACGGAAGATGTCCATGGATAATAGTCATGTATGTAAGAGACTCAACGCTCTTTGCGCAAGTGGCATCTCTTTTGGACATTCGCACTGCATGCCAATACGTGCAAAATTGACTCGAGATTACTTGACGGAAAGGTTATTTGCGTTGTTGGAACACATTCCTAACCCATGTATAGCTCTAAGTTATGTGGAGAATAAGCGTTTTCAATAGCGCCATTGTATAAAATGTCTATCCTGCTACTTACTAATCAAGCTCAACGACCAACTTGGTCCCACTAACGCCCTGCTTGAGCTCGTCAAGCGCCCTGTCAATAGCTTCTAAGCCTGTCCCAACAACCTTCAAGCGAGGACTAGGAATATATTCTTTTTTAGCGAGTCTTTCCGTCAACCATTCATTGAACACCCAGTGGAAATAATCGTAGGATTCCTTTGCCTCCTTCGGGGGATGTAGAAAATTGACTATAACGCCGTCTATCTTTTTAGCATCCGGCGGTATTATTGGCGCTGAGCCAATCTTCGCAATGCCGTCGCCTCTGAGCCGATTGAGCAGGTCAGAAACAAAGTCTAGGTTTCCTTGACCTAGGAAGCAATGTTGAAGCGTTATATGATCCTGGCTCCATGAATTCATTATCTCCAACACAATATTGTCGGATTTGTAATCAAAAACTCGGTCAGCTCCGATCTTTTGCAGGTATCCGTGGTTTTGAGGGCTTGCGGTGGCATAGACATAGAAGCCCATGGACTTGGCGCTCTGGACGGCGGCTGTACCGACACTGGTAGACGCTCCCCAAACCAGCATACCTTGTCTGTCACCGGGCGAGTATTTAGTGTTGTGTGGCATTCCAAATCCATACCAGGCCGACATCGCTACCGAGACCGACATTGGCAAGATAGACCCCTCGGCGAAGCTTACGAAATTTGGTAGCAAAGCCACTTTTTCGACGCCCACAAGCACGAATTGCTGGAAAGACCCGAAGTCCGCCGCGCTCTTGTGAAAGTAACCTGAAGCATAAGCCGCTACCCTGCTACCAGGCTGAGGTGTGTTTGATGGTGTATCTGGGCCGACACTAACCACAACTCCCGCAATATCTGATCCAAGAACTGTAGGAAAGCCTTGAATCAGGGCGCCGATGTCTCTCTGAAAATAATCGACGGGGTTCAAAGCAATGGCCTTGACTTCGACGAGCATCTGTCCGGAGCTAGGTAGAGGTGTGGCTCAGGTAATCAAGGCATGACCTGCGCCCTTTTCAGCAATTACTAAAGCCTGATGTTGCTTTGAAGTCATCTTTGCTGCAGTGTGTATGTATAGAGTGCTCGGGTACAGCTAATGAAGGCTGTTATGCGAGGTGATGGCCAAATTGGCTCGGAAGTGATAGCTCGACAATTGGATTCTTGCAATCTCAATGGTTGTGAAAACCTACAAACTTATACTTTTTCTAGAATCTCCTATAGGTTAAAGTACAGTAGCTTACTGAGACCATTCTTCAAAATTTCGGGAGATAGGGCTATTCGTCAGGTAAACTCCGCCCGGCATATTCTTAAATCCGGTAACGAACTTACCAAGTCCAACGGAGGAATTTACCATCACGAGCGGTTGTGTGTCAATTTCAAGAAACTCGGTTGATTGGAATATGGTATGGCTGCTGGTTTTTCGTTGACTGAAATGGGTACTCCGCTGAAAAGTTGGCCTGATTGTAGGTGAAAATCAAAAGTAGTCTTCCTCCAGAGACTGATCAAATAGACCAAGTAAGAAGGACTAAGGACTTCAATATGGAATACTAACCTCGATGGCTGAAGCTCAACTTTTATGGTTCCTTTGAGGCTATCGCAATATCATATATTAGAGCCCTTCGATGTTTTAGGACTTTACTGTCTATTTGACGTTCATCCCGTCGCTATTTGCGTACTACGACCCACACAATAAACATCAACACATTCTGAGTATCTTGATTAGAATAAGAAGCCTCGCACAAGCTTAAGAACCTAATTAGTAAGGCGAATCTAAGCAGTCTGGTGCTCTAACCTACTAAGAATAAATCAGACCCAACATCGTATTTTGTTTGCCCAAAGATGAGGCTATTACAATAAGATGCCTTAATGCTAATGATTTAGTCAATCGCTCGATTTGACGAGGATGAAAAGAGGGGTACAAGCGTGTGGAGCGGTAGGCCAGTCGGGGTTCTCCCCGAACAGCCCCAACAGCTATCTATCTACTCTTGAGGGACTCCATATGGATTTACTACAAACGCATTTTGAAAGTGAACCTGTCGCAATGCAGGAACGGAATTTCCTCATTGGACGCGTCGGGAACATAATTCCGAAGTCTTCTGGTGGGTTTATTCGTGCTAGTTTTCACTATTATTATACCGAGTCCACCAATAACCTCGAATCTATCCGATTAAAAGACATTTAAGATCGACATTCACACAACTATGGCAGATAACCTGGTCACATTCCAACCTGAGGAAGGAAAAATCAGTTTAGCAGGAGGCTGCATCCTCCTAGACCGCGATGATTTTCAAGGCGTGCATATCGCAGCGTCCTTTTTGTCAAAGGACTTTGAGATGGTCACTGGATCCCCGCTATCGCTGACTACGTACGAAGGGAGCCTTACAGAAGTCGAGGGCAAGCACTGTGTAATTGTGGGCACTATAGAGTCCTCCCGCCCGATCCAGACTTTGATCCAGAGCGGAAAATTGAATGTTGATGAGATTCAAGGATGCTGGGAATCCTTCGTGATGACCGTGGTTGATAATCCTATGGGCAGTGTGAAGAAATCACTGGTAATTGCAGGAAGTGACAAACGAGGAACAATTTATGGTGTTTATACGCTGTCTGAACAGATTGGAGTTTCTCCGTTAGTTTTCATTGACTTATGAGATTTAGAGCATAACTGATCATCAGGGTAGATGGTACTGGTGGGCAGATGTCGTTCCCACGAAGCATTCTGACATCTTCATTCAGCCCGGACGAGTACGATGCGGTCCACCTACCGTCAAGTACCGCGGAATATTCATCAACGACGAAGCCCCCTCGTTGACTGGATGGGTTCTAGAAAAATTCGGCCCAAAGTACAATGTGGAATTCTATAGAAAGGTATTTGAGCTGTTATTGCGACTCAAAGCGAATTTCATGTGGCCGGCGATGTGGCCAGGCTATCCAAACCCGGGGAATAGTTTCTTTGCAGATGACGCTTTGAACCAGAAGACGGCGAACGAATGGGGAATTGTTGTGTCGACGTCTCATCATGAACCAATGCAACGCGCGATGGCGGAATGGTTTGCGGAGAATCCAGCAGGAAGCTGGTCGTGGATTAAGAGTCGAGAAAAGATTCAGGATTATTTCAAAGATGGTGCGTCACGAGCCCACGGTTATGAGTCATATATTACTCTAGGTATGAGGGGAGATGGAGATAGAGCAATGGCCGTGGACGATCCCCCTGCCGTGCTTCGAGAGATACTTGAAGTTCAGAGATCAATTATCAACGATGTTTATGGGGCCCCGGACAAGCCGAATCGTGAGTTTCTGATAACACACAGGGTTTTCATGCAACATCTGACTTCCAACCGCAGAGCTACTGGCATTATACAAAGAAGTGCAGGAGTATTTCGAAAATGGCCTTGTTGTCCCAGACGACGTGACTCTCTTGTTTGCCGACGATAACTTCGGTAATATCCGACGTTTGCCAGTGGGAATGGAAGAGAATCGTGCTGGGCGAGCTGGGGTAGGATCAAATTACTCCTCCTTGCAATTGTGAACTTACACAAATGCAGATATACTTTCACCTCGAGTACGTGGGTGAGCCGCGGAGCTATAAGTGGATCAACAGTAATTCTTGTGTTAGCTCAACTCGTGCGTTGAAGAGATCCCATGATACAATGCTAAGGATTTATTACAGGGAAAAATCTGGCAACAGCTACACCTGGCTCATTGCCGGGGTGCAGATCAAATCTGGGTCTTTAATGTCGGCGATATCAAACCCCTTGAACTTCCTATCACCTTTGCGATGAAGATGGCTTGGGACATTGCTTCAATTCCAATGGAAGATTTCGAGTCATTTTTCCAGTCATTTTCTTGTCTCAACTTTCCTCCTTCAATTTCCTCACAGAGTGCTCAGCTTCTTTATCATATTGACCGTTTATTGGCGCTGCGGAAACACGAGCATATTGAACATGATACCTTTTCAATTCTGAATTATAACGAAGCCGAAAACATTTGGGATGCTTGGGAGATACTGGCAAAGCAGGCCGAGGAGTTATATACCGGATTGCAAGATCACGAACGCGCCGCCTTTTTTGAACTCGTCCTGCACCCTATCAAAGCCTCATCTATATATACAAGGCTTCGAGTGAGCCAGGCGAAAAATAGGTTGTTCGGTTTACAAAGACGTAATACAACGAATGAAGTTGCCCAGGAGGTGCTGGACCTCTTCGACGCCGATTTTGATCTGAGTGAAGAATATCACTCCCTGTTGGGTGGAAAATGGAATCATATGCTGCGCCAACCACATTACGGATACCGCGAAACATGGCATGCGCCATCTAGAGATATGATTGATGGTATTTGCTACGTCCAGACCCGACAGGATTCTAACCCTATTGTCGGACATATGGGAGTCGCAGTTGAAGGCGAGCAAGGAACCAGGCCAGGTCTGACAAATGAAGAATCTGATAGGACTCATCCTTCGCGAGGTGACCTGATACCTGGTTTAACATTGCCTCCACTGGAGACCTTCGGTCAGAAGACGCGCTACTTTGAGATTTTTCGCCGCGGAACTGCCCTGTTTACCTGGAAAGTGTCTCTCCCACATGACTGGATTAAAGCTACACCCAGTTCTGGAACTCTGGATAACGACACCAATGATGCTAGAGTATATATTGAAGTGGACTGGAACAGTGCACCGCCGGAATTTGATGAAATAGTGCAACTAGCGATATCGTCTTCTGTGGGTGACTACGACCATGTTCACCTTCCAATAATCCGTCGCAAAATTCTCGTTGAATCGTTTACAGGATTTATCGAGAGCGATGGATGTATCTCGATACCCGCGACTCGTTTTTCGCGTCCTGTGGAAGGCTCTCAGTATCAAATCATTCCATTTTTGGGTCGGACTGAGTATGGAGTTGTGGAAAGAAGTCACGCGAAGAAGAATTCAACTGCTGCTGAAATGGGATTTCTTGAGTACGATTTTTATGTTTTCTCCAACCGCACAGAACCTCCGAAGCTGGTTTTATACTTCACCACAACTCTAGACACTGATACCTCCGATCCTCTTACCTATGAAGTTATGGTTGACAAGAGAAGCTACGGCGAATTACGTCTGATGGAAGATGCGCCAAAGATTGGGGACCTCCCACCAGGATGGACTCAAGCTGTTCAAGATTGTGTCTGGACAAGAACTCTGGACTTGCACGAAACGGTCCATAGTGGAGAGCATGTAATTAGAATTCGTCTTTGTAACCAAAATTTGCTGCTGGAGAAGATAGTGGTCGACTTTGGGGGAGTGAGAGAGAGTTACTTGGGTCCGCTACCGAGTACATTTGTCAAAGATGGTCTTGTACATTCATGATGCCCCGTCTTTAAAATTATTTCTTCTCTATAATCTATATCTATAATCTAGATTCAAGAGTTCCAAACAATAACAATTCAAACAAAAGATAGGCACAGCCAGGGAGCTAAAGAGAGCGAACCTTTTAAGTAACCGCTCACAAGCCATGGATCATACTTGTCAGCCAAAGAATTAATCAAAAAATTATACTAGACAAAGGCGATAGGTGGCAACTTGAAATGGCCCTAAATCAATCTTGAAATGTCCGTTATTGAAAGCAACCTCCCCTCCATCATCCTCAAGTAGATTTGTCTTGTAGACTTTGTTCACGGGCAATTTTGTCACTACAGATCCTCTCGAGCGTCCGCCGAGAGACTCATAGACACGAACTACCACGCTCTTCCCCTTGCGGACAGACAAGTCGTCGTTGGTGACATCCTCATCGTCTTCTCCACGCTTAATAGTATCGAGCACGAGACTGTCGTCACCTTCCAAGAAAATTGGAAACCCACTGGCCAATGACCCCGTCTCTGATTTGGCGACGAGTAGTTTAAGAGGGTTGTTGAAAGCGTAAGCTGTACGTACAGTGTCAGCGCTAAGACCACCGCGGTGTGGCATTATAGCCCAACGGATATGGTGCCAGCCCATATCAGCAGTGTCATCAGGTGCCTTGGGAGATCTCAAAAGAGATAGCCGCATCGTATTCCCGACTGTTGCGAAGCCGTATTTGCTGTCGTTAATGATGGATACGCCGTAGTTGTGCTCGGACAGATCGGCGAATTTATGGCAGCAGACTTCGAATTTGGCCATATCCCAGCTAGATCTGTTAGCACAATAGAAGAGAAGGGGTCACCGAGAAAATAGCAATGACATACGATGTGTTATAATGCGTAGGTCTTCTGATAATTCCATACTGCGTCTCATAAGCAGCCTCTGTGTTGCGAATGTCTACTGGAAATTCAACTTTGAGAAATTTCATGCTCTCATGCCAGTCAATGTCAGCCGAGCATTCGACGTAAGACCTTTGCCCAGCGAAGGCAGCAGACAAGGACACAGTCGACTTTATTGAACTGCTATCATTGATTCTGATTTCAGTGCTAACACTCACTCTGTGCGAGCTGTTCTCAACGATCCTTGTGTTTCCACAGGGCAACTGATGTCGCGTCTCGAGGTGATAGACTTCAACATCCCATGCTTGCCAGTAAATTGGCTTATCGTCGAAAATTACGAACTGATTGGCCTTTGCGCCACTGGGTATTATTTCGCGATCCGCTAGCCGGTCGTATAGAGATGTGATGCAGCCATACTCAACGGTCACGGAGAGTTGGTCATTCTGGAGCTGGAACACATTCTTTGATGTCTCTAGAACAGTGACTAGAGGTTTAACATCTGCTAAAGCACATCTTTCAACCGATAAAATATTTCCATTGCCAGAAGCAACCGCCAATTTTGAATCTGGAAGTTGGATTACTTCATTGCGTGACCACGGTAGCGTGTTGAGAGCGATGACATTATTGGCTTCATGACTATTCTCTTGTAAGGCTTCAAGGCCAAGAGCTTTATATGCTTCATTCAAAAGAGTACTTCCGGTGGCAAACACTTCACCATAGACCTATATGCTGTGGTTAGTTGCAATATGCAGAATAAGAATTGTTTATTTCACCCACTTTCTCCGAGTCATCATAGCACATTTTGATTGAAGTGCCAGGTAAACAGTCGTGGAACTGACACAAAAGCACACCTTTCCACATGTCATCGATTTGCTTCTTCGGGTATTCGTACGTGGAATCTGAAACCGAAGCAATTGTAGCAAGCAGCTCGATATCATGTAGTAAAAATTCAGACTTGCGATTATTCAGCTTGCTTTTAGCCTGCGTCGTGTAAACACCGCGGTGTAGTTCGAAGTAAAGCTCGCCGTGCCAGGTGACTAAACTGCCTGCCTTTTTTTCAAGACCATCGAAAAATTCGTCGACTGACTTTCCAAGGTGCACTCTGGGTAGCAGACCTACTGTATCAGCAACGCCTCGGCATCTTCTTAGTCGCTCAAGGTGTTGCCAAGTTGGGCCGCCACCACCGTCCCCTTTTCCAAAAGCCATTAAGGAGGTATGATCCTGGTCCATCGAAAGATGTTTTGATACGCTCTTCTTCACATCGGCAACAGTCCCTTCAGCTGTGTACGTTCGGACTGGAGGCATGTGACTAATGACCTGGCTACCATCGAGTGCGACCCAATTGAATGTTGTATGAGGAAATTCATTAATATTATTGAAGCAAATTTTCTGCGTCAGGAAGCGGTTCATACCGGCCTGCCTGGACAATTGTGGCAGCTGGGCGGCAAAGCCAAACGTATCTGGAAGCCAGAGGGTTGTGCTACGAGCTCCGAAATTGCTTTCAAAGAACCTCTGGCCATAAAGGAACTGTCGAACAAGAGATTCACCACTGGGCAAATTGGTATCGTGCTCAACCCAGCAACCTCCAATCGGATGGAATTTCCCTTCTGCAACCTTTGCCTTGACGCGATCCCAGGCGTGGGGGTAATCTTCCTTGAGCCAGTTAAATTGCTGCGCTTGCGAGCAGGCAAATCGCAGTTCAGGATATCGCTCCATCAGATCACATTGATTGAGCCATGAGCGTGCAACTTTTCTTTTTGTTTCTGCCCAGGGCCAGAGCCAGCAAGTATCGATGTGGCAGTGGCCGATCGCAAATACATCAATTTCTTCGGAGCTGTCTTGTCGAAAGAGTTCAGTGGAGTCAATGTTAGGGCCAAGAAATTCTTGGGCAATGCAGCGACATTCTGGAATGGAATCTTTGTTTTGCGCTTGGAAAGTGTTGACGATTCTTGTGGCTACAGCCAGCGCTTTGTGCTGCTGCCACGAATCTTCTGGAAACTCTGTCGCAGCATCACAGATGGCGACGATATCCATATGGAGCATGCGGGCCTGGAAGTCGACTACCACAATTTCTGCTTTGGAGAGTTGAAAGTACTTGTCCGGATCGGGTGGTTGGATGGAGTCACCTCCAGCGTTGTTCTTGAAAATCGGTCGGCCAGGTCCATTTCCAAACATACCATTGCATGCCATCTCAATGTAGATAAGATGCTCTTCTCCATCCTTGAAAGAGTCCGGGATGATCCATTCCACTCGCTCGCCTCGACCGGTAAGCCCTTGGAGAGGGAGTCCATTTTCGGTCCATACCGTGGCTTCATTTTCACAATCCCAGTGCAACTCGATGTTATCTTTCCCACATACCTCTTGGGGGAGGGTAAGAAAGACTTTAAACCAGTGCGTCGACCAGGATGGGCCAAATTTGTCACCTACTTTGGCGTCTCGAAACGAATTTGACGCGTCACTTGCCTCTCTGAAGCTCGGACGTGTTGTTCCTGGAGCATCCCATACAGAAAGTTTCACATGGGGCGCGCCTGAGAAGACAGCTTCATTCAGGACACTGTCGGACTTGATTAGTACTTGCTCGAAAGTCTCACGTGAACCCGCGACACCCTGTTAATCGGCATACCTCAACAGGTTGACCTTCTCCCACTGTCCTGGAGTATAAAAGTTGGCAATTCTATTTCTGTCCAGTCGCGGAATCCTCTTCCCAATTGGAGCCGCCGCACGCAAAGGGTATAAACCCAAGGGCCTTGAGGCCGGCATTGCCTTGTCCGTACACATATTGAAGACAGAATAACGGAGGCGGTTCCAAGTTCCAACATGAAATGAGGCAGTGAACTGGGTTGTCAAACAGTCAGCTTCCTCGGCTAAGAAATAGCGAGCTGGCTGGATGAATTTATCGGAATCAGTTTTCCGATCATGTCGGCCTAAGCCGCCCAAAAACTAAGTATTTTGACGCCGTGTCGCTTATTGGCTCGCTTGCAGTCCGCCGGGTATCCCCCAACCTCCACGTCGCATTTCTCCATCAATGAGATTCTCGCGGGGCGCACTATGGGGACCCCGCATTCTAGACGAATGGAGAACGAGAGAACGGACGTTCCGAGTACTTCGTACATAGATAAGGCTGCATGTTCCCCGGGTTCGGCCAGGTACCTGTCTTGGTAGTCGTACTCCAGCCCAACCACATTCTGAAGGCCCTGACTGACAGCTGAAGCCATGACAAAGACAGACGAAATTAACGAGGCAGCGGCACCGGCCGTGGATCAGATGGAGCTAGTGAAGGATCATATGAACTATGAGCTAGTCGACAAGGAAGTCGCCCAGTATGCCAACGAGGTTATTGTCGAAATTGACGATGAGACCAACAAACGGCTCAAGAAGTTGATTGACAAGCGCATCATGGCCGTGATGATTGTCACCTACTTGATTCAAACACTGGACAAGGGAACTCTGTCATATGCTTCAATTATGGGCATTCAAACCGACCTTCACTTGCACGGCCAGCAGGTAAGCACAGTGGGCGATAACACCTTGAGGGGAAATCGGTATTGATGAAAAAATAGTACTCCTGGTTGACGACCATTCTGTACCTTATCATCTTGACTGTGGAATATCCGGTATGCCATCCCCGCGGTCAAATCTACGCATCCGGACATGCTGACGATTTCAAATTTAGGAAAATTGGATCATCCAAAGAGTTCCCTTGGGAAAGTGGATGGCAATCAACATCACGCTCTGGGGTATTACCCTCGCCTTGCAAGCCGCAATGATAAATTTCCAAGGCATTATTGCGCTGCGAGCCTTCCTCGGTGTTTTTGAAGCTGCCACTCAGCCGACGTTCACCCTCCTATCGGGCATGTGGTATACTCGTGAAGAACAAGCTGGAGCTGTCACATTTTGGTTCGTCGTAACCTTCGCTTTTGTTGTACGTGTACGTAATGCATTAGTTGACTTTCGAACAGGTTTATGATGAACGGTGTAAACCAGATTGTTGGTGGTTTCCTCGCTTTCTGTTTCTCTCATGTTCCAAAGACTGCCCCGCTCAAATCCTGGCAAGCTCTCTTCATTACCTATGGTATCATAACAGTTTTCTGGGGAATCTTTGTTGGCTGGTGGATGCCGGACTCTCCAATGAAGGCTCACTGTTTCAGCGAAGACGATAAGCGCTTGATGGTGGAGCGAGTGCGTAAGAATCGTACGGGTCTGCAGAACCGCAAATTTCGCAAAGATCAGCTGTGGGATGCCCTTACTGACCCGCAAGGTGAGAGATACTCATTCTCCTAAAACCTATCTAAAGAACGATCTATTGACATTTCACAGTCTATGCGATTGCTCTCATTCAGCTGTTCCTCACAATCCCGTCTGGTGGGCTCGGCGCCTTCAACAATATCATTGTCTCCTCCTTCGGCTTTTCAACATGGCAAGTCCAGCTTTTGCAGATGGTCACTGGTGTAATTCAAGTTATCAGCATGCTTTTGGCCGTGTGGGTTGACGGTCGCTCCAAACAAACCATCTTCGCTATGATGGCATCTGTTCTCCCCACGATCGCCGGTGTTATCATTCTCTTGACTGTCCCATTCGAGCACAGTAAGCGTGTCGGCCTGCTATTTGCCTACTACATCATCACTGCATACTGGGGCTGCGCCGGTCTTGCTCTTTCACTCGTGACACGCAATATTGCTGGACAGACGAAGAAAAGCGTTGTGATTGCCATCAACTTCGTTTTCTGGGCTGTTGGAAACGCAATTGGCCCACAGACATATCGGTCTAACCAAGCACCGCGGTATTTCGCTGCAATTTCGATTGTGCTTGGGTGCTTTGTGCTTTTGGAGGTGGTCTTGCTGTCGCTGCGGACCTACTATATTTACCAGAACAAGAAACGGGATAAACTTGTTGAGCGTGGCGAGGTAGTAGCAGATACTGCCTATACACACTCTTTTGAGGATGTTACTGATCGGGTAAGTTTCTTGCTCCATTTCAATCTTTGAAATTTGTAATTCGATGTGCTGATTGAACTTTTAGCAAAATGTGCATTTCCGGTACATCTATTGAGTCGGCGAAACTAGATAAATGACGAACAGTACACCAATGGCACGAGCACTGAGTCTGTGAACACGAATGGAAATATCGATGCCAACAACAGGCTAATGAATTCTGTGCCTTGCATTTTATTGTGCCTGGCATCGCTCTAAGGATATCAACTGGCGGTCCATCACTTTCTGGTTGAAGACATCTATCTCATCACAAACCATTTCCATCAATATAAACGACTTTCATGAATATCTAACTAGTTCAGGGGTGTAAACTAGAGCTGGTAAGCTAAGAGACGGAATACGAAGATCGAAAATGTATGGTCATCTATAGATTAGAGATGTGATGTAATTGTAGAGATACCTAAGTTGCACTGTCAGCTGCCATGCCGAGACACTTTAGAGATCTGGGAAGTTATTGGACTTGACCAAGCCTCCCGGCAGATAGCAACTTCGAAAGTACCGCATTTGATCATCTTATCATCACTACGAGGCACGAAACAATGTACAGTTTAAGCCTACAACTGCGTACTTTGAATAATTGGAATTGTTGCTTACCGGAAACCAAGTCCCGTGAGGCGTTCTCCAAACAATTTGGTGAACCGAGATGCTGGCCTAAAGGAACTTTATATTGCTGATCTTGCGGGATAAACCAGGGCTTACGTATGCCCAAACTCTCTTCGCGAGTAATGGAGCTCATCTTTTTTGGTATATATCGGTTTTGTTGTCATTCGGAATCATAATTCCCACAAACGAACGGGAAGACGCGGCAAGAGCGGTGCGCGATTTTTCAGCTACCTAAGTAGCACTATTATACTTCTTTTGGTGATATGCTCCAGAAAAACCTAGGATATATCGGGCTTATCACGTGGAAAAAAAGCGACCTCACTGAGGATCCGCTTGGACTGACTTTAAAGCGTGGTAAAATTCGAATTTTAATTGGTATCATCATACAGATGTATAGGACGTAGAACAATTTGGGGTATCGCGCACTGTAGCCTGCGTCAAGATGAGCTGCCAGATCCATGCTACCGATTTTGAGTTGGGTAAGGTATCAAGAAAGCGTTTTATGATAAGTCTCGGAGACGTTGCAATTTAATTTCAAAGTTTATTGGGTCGATAAAGAAAAAATGAACATTACATAGGGTCTTTATTTTCAACTATGCTCGCAGAAGAACTTATCCCACTTGCAAGAATCAACTTTTTTGATGCCATAATTTCGATTCAACCATCAATACAGATTTGTTACGACCTTGATAATCATAATAGTACTATCAAAAAGATCCTTTGGCACGACGACCATAATATGCAGCCACATCATGAAAATCAGCCCTAATTGAATGAAAACTCAACGTAGACAAACAATATGATGCCCACTCTCAAGCCAAATTTCTCACATACTCTGTCCTTTACTTCGGGATACGGATGTTGGCAAAAGCGTGGTTGTCTTCCGGGACTGTGAAGTCGGTGTTCTGATTCATCGATTTCATACGCAATTCTTTTTTTTTATAGAATTTTGGATATGAAGTAGTGAAAGTACTGGTACTGCTTATATTAAACGGAGGAAATTGTGCACACGATATTTATACTACAGTTAATAGACGTGACGTATTTTTCTCAGCGTTCTCAATGTTTTTGTGGACACCGACGCATTTCTATGTTGATAACGATGGCCCTCGCACAAACGCAATTGCTATTACCCAGTCGACGTGAGATGGTGTAATGATTCTTTCGGTAAGCTACAGCAGAGTAATAAAGGCTTCGCATGTCAACGTTCCGGGTCCAATCTTACACGTGACTGAGCTGAACCCTACCCATTGTAATTTAATGAGGATCGGTGGACGTATCGAATATTCTATCATTTAGGTCAATACTTCTATACTAAACCCATTCAAGGCCATGTGTCTTCACGAACCTGGCATCTACTGTATCTACAACTCAAGAACCGGGGTTCTCTGTTGAACCGCGGCATCATACCCACCTACCATAGAAGGGGGTATGAGGGGATGAAACTGTTTGACTCGGCGTAATAATCGCCTTTACGAGTTTCGGCGTCCTGACTAATAGCCTGTTAGATCATAATCCATGACTGCTTGGTCTCCCCAGTGATGATTTAAGTATGGCAAAGCAGAGGTCAATGGGCACAGTTCTAAATCCAGGCGTGTAAAAAGAGGGAAACCTAATTCTTGGCCAGACAGCCTTTGGCGCCTCTGATTCATAACCCATGCGTAACTATACTATATCAGAAGATCGGAGTTCATAGCTTATCGCGCCCTCACTAAGTCCCTCAACAACAAGGTGAGGGAAACACTGAGGGGATGTCCAATTGAAGCCGACTGATGATCTCTTCTGCTCATGATATCTAGAATTCACGCACTCGTCGATTAGCAGGCTTTTCCACACTCTCACCTCGCTGATTGTCCATGAAGAGCTGCTTGTCCTTGATTGGTGTGCCGTCCGCGGTCCGCGGGCTTCTTAGCCTCAAGTCCACCACCACCAGACACTTTGTATGCCGAGGTGTGGTAGCAATATCTGAGATTACTATTTGATTCACGGCGAGGTCTTTTGACAAGCTTAGGAAAATGCTTCACGGTCCCCTCTGCGGTCCGAGAGTTTGTAAAATCTCCCAAGGCTGCGTGTAATGAATGATCCCATGATGGTTAGCCATGAGAATACAAATCACACATGCTATGAATCCCTGAATTCTAATATTCGGCGAGAACTTAGACATATAAAATACGGAAATTTTCCAATGTATTCAATTTGAAATCCAACTACCGCTTATATCTTATCGGAAATCTGTCAAACGTGGCGAAAGCGATCAAAATGAACAAAAGCATCTCTTCGGAGTCCGATGGCTCCTACAAAATCACGATTGAAATGGAAGAGAAAATGGACGTCCCAGAGATCTCATCACTCGCAATGATGGAGCTTAAGATGGTAGCCCGTGAAAGTATCACGTACGTAGCGGGTCCAGCAGCTATCTTGCTCCAAATAGCACACCCTCTCGTCGGACAAGGCGTAGCAGATCATAGCACTTTTGCTAAGCGAGCCATCAGCAGAGCTGAATATACGCAGATGTTTATCTACTGTATGATATTTGGTACCGATTCAGAGAAAGCAGCCATGAAAGATTATGTCGACAAGGCACATTCACGAGTGGTCGGTGGAGAGGGTAAGCGAGCATACAACGCACAAAACCCTGAGCTACAGCTTTGGGTTGCCGCCACCATATATGCCTCCATCGTCGGCATGTATGAGCTAATTTATGGACCACTACCGAAGGCTCGAGCAGAGCGTGTGTATCAAGCATTTTCTATCATGGGAACATCCTTACAACTTCCTCAAGAGATGTGGCCAAAAAACCTAAGCGCATTCAGGGCATATTGGAACGACATGGTAGAACACCAACTATTGGTTACGAATGATGCCAGAGCCGTGTTGAAAGATATTTGGCATCCAGCGAAAAGCCTACCCCTATTGCTCCGACCATTGGTCATAGTTTCCATGCCATTCGTGCGTCGCATTACATTGGAGCAACTTCCTCCCACGGTGCGCGATCAGTTTATGCTAAAGTCAACCAAGACATCGAGAGCAATATCTGGTCTGTTTATCTCTGGGATGTCTGGTGTATATCCCATGCTGCCTTTGTTTTTGAGGCAGGCCACAAAGACCTACATGATGAGAACGATGAGACGGCGGATGAAGAAGCGAGGTGGTCAACTGATAAAACCATGATTGTCGGACAAGTACTTGAAACTTTGTGTCGGGCACATTGATGCGATGACTATATCTTGAAACAGCGCATCCCCGTGTCTTGTTTACTGCATTCCATGTCGTAGATATTCCCAGATTGTTAATAAAATGAAATTGTTTGTCTATGATACATTGGTGCCGGTTAGAATGACCCTTAAATATATAGATTGATTGCAACTACTCACCGGAGTCTCAATACTCTATTCAACCTGATTAATGAGGCATTCGGCATCTATGATATCTCTTCCTCTGTACACTCTAACCTTTTGAAGTTGTAATTGCCAAATCATAATATATTATTATTAAGCTAAATTCAAGCTACTCACTCACTACTCAGCATCGCAGCATCACCTGATTCTTGAAATTCGTGGAGACATCAGAAGAGCACCACGAAGTTATCAAAAACAGCCAATCTCTTTCAATACTATACCCACCTAAAATCAACGAGACCTTCCTTAATCTTGTCTTTTCAAAGGGAACCAAGAATCGACGTGAGTAATGGTAGTAACTGCATGATAGTTAGTTGAGAATTTGTGAAACATCCTAAGTGAGAATGGAGTAAAGTGAACATACAGCTGCCAATGCCTTGATCAATGGAATAATGTTTTGGAAAAGGGTTGTGAGAGTATTTCCTGTAAATATCGGGGTAATCGCTGAGACCAAGCCGGGGATTGAATTGAGAATCGTGCCAATATCATTGACAAAATCTGTCGTGAATATACCGACAACATCCTTAACCAGCTGGGATATAATATCACCGTTCAAAAGAGGCATAACGCTGTTCAAGAGAGTTGGCACAGCGTCAAGAATCGAAGAAATAGCCTTGCTACCGATGACCGCTATCACGCTTGTAAAGATGGGAGGCACGGCATCAAGAACTGTTCCAACGTCTTGGATAAGTGTCGGCGTCAAGAGTGATTTAGTAATGTTTTCAGCAGGCAAGATAATGTTATCATGAAACAGGGGTATGGTATCATTCAAGAGCGGCGGCACTGTACTGATCAGTCCACCAACATCCGACAAGAAGTCCGGGGTTAGTAGAGTGGAGAGAACATCCTCGATAGGTGATAGAAGCTCCGTGCCAAAAATAGTTACCACACTGTGAAGCAAAGGTGGCACTGCCGCCAGCACTGATCCGATGTCAGCAATGAAAGACAGCGTGACTATTTTAACAATCGCTCTTTCAAGAGCTAGGATGATATCAACATTGAGAATTGGCAGTAGACTGGCAACAATACTAGGCAGGCCAGCAATGAGATTCTTGATGGTATCGCTGCCGAGGACGGGAATGATTGCAGTCAGAACGGGAATGATTGCAGTCAGAACGGGAATCGCAGCAGTGATGAGCGAAGTGATATCGTCAATCACAGCTGGTGTAACCACCGCCTTGAGAAGCTGTTCGACGCTCTCAATCAAAGCTGGGCTCAGAATTGGTAGAAGACCCCCAATTATGCTAGGTACAGCTTCGAGTACAGACCCGATAGCACTAATGAAGTCAGGTGTAAGAACCTTGGCAATCACATCTTCAATTGGCGGAATGAGCGGTAAAAGGTCATGTAATATTCCTGGTACAGCGGCAAAAACCTGTGAAATCTCGCTGATAAAGTCTGCTGTGAATGTTTCGATGATAAGTTTCTCTAGAGGTGGAACAAGAGGAAGCAATGCATTAATAACACCTGGAATATCTTCAATCACAGCACCGAGAGCATTGACTATTGCTGGACTGAAGAGCTTCTCAACAAGGTCCTCAACGGGTTGAAGCAAGGGTAGAACATCATTGATGAGACCCGGGATTGCTGCAAAGACGGACTCAATTGCACTGATAAGTTCGGGAGTGAGGATGCCAGTGATAAGGTTCTCAATTGGTGGCACTAGTGGCAAAAGTGCGTTGACTAAGCCTGGTACGGCTGCGATAATTTCTTCGAGAACCTTGATAATGTCAGGGGTCACTATATTTTTGATAAGATCTTCTATATATGGTAGAAGGGGCAAAAGCGTGTTTAGTAATCCAGGCACAGCACTGAGAACAGACTCCACTGCACTGACCAGATCTGGTGTCAGGATACCGGTAACCAGACTCTCAATCGATGGAAGCAGCGGTAGCAGAGCGTTGACTAGCCCTGGAACTGCTTCAATGATTTCCTGAAGTACTTTTACAAGATCGGGAGTCACAAGATCCTTGATGAGATTTTCCACAAATGGCAAAAGTGGCAATAGTGTGCTGAGAAGTCCTGGCACAGCAGTAAGAACAGACTGGATAGCGCTGATAAAATCGGGGGTAAGAATATCCGTAATTAAGTTCTCGACTGTGGGCAGAAGTGGCAGTAGAGCATTAAGAAGTCCAGGGACTGCAGCGATGACCTCTTCAAGAACATTGATAATGTCAGGTGTTATAATTTTTTCCAGTAGATCTTCTAGCGACGGAATAAAAGGCAATAGGGTGTTGAGCAGCCCAGGTATTGACTGCAACAGCGATGTTATATCTTTCACAAACTCATCTGTAAATATATCTTTAATCAAGGTTTCGAAAGTTGGCAACAGAGGTAAGACGGCATTCAAGAGACCTGGAACAGCGACGATGACTTCTTTCAGGACATAAATTAATTCTGGTGTGATGATATCCTTGATCAGCGTCTCGAATTCCGGAACAAGCGGCAGCAGCGTGTCTAGAAGCCCGGGTAATGCCGATAACAACGATTCGATATCAGCAATAAATTGATCAGTAAAAATATCCTTGATGAGAGTCTCGATGGATGGCACGAGAGGTAACAGCGTGTTGAGAAGGCCGGGTACTAATGAAAGTATGGACTTGATATTGTTGATGAGTTCTGTTGTGAATATGTCCTTGATTAGATCCTCTATAGGCTGCAACAACGGGACGATGGCGTTAATGATAGGGGGCAATGCGTTAATCAGCGATCCAATCTCACTGACAAATGTCGGCGTCAGAACACTCCTCAGTAGATTAACCAGAGGGTCAATTATATCGGAACTGAGTAATGGCAGTATTTCACTCAAGATAGGTGGAATATCTTTGAGCAGTGTCTGAATATCGTTGATGAAGTCTGCAGTTAGGAGACTCTTTAGTACTTCCTCAAGTGGCTCAAGTAAAGGCAACAGATCGTTGATAATCCCGGGTAGCGTCTGAAGAATAGACTTAATTTCATTGATAAAGTCCTCTGTCAGAACGTCGGTAATTAGCTCCTCCAGTGGCTGAATGAGCGGTATAATGTCCTTGATTATGGGAGGCAAAGCAGTAATGATGGACTGAAGCTCGCTTATAAAATCAGGCGTTATGATAGCTTTAATGAGATCTATCAGCGGCGTGATAATATCGCTACCAAGAAGTGGGATGATGTTCTTGAGGATTGGTGGTACATCGGCAAGCAGGGTTTGTATATCGTCGAGGAAGTCAGCCGATAAAATAGTCTTGATGATATTGCTAAGTGGAGTTATCGTGCTGTTGCTGAAGACAGGCACCAAATCGGCAAGCAGCGGCCGAAGCCCAGTGAGAATTGCCGACAAGTCATTTAAAAGCTCCGGTGTGACATTCGTTGTTATCAAGGACTCTAGAGCGGATAGGGTGTCGTTCTTCAAGAGTGGCATGATTCCACCAAGAAGCGAGGGCAGAGACTGCAGCAGTTCCGTGACTTCATTGCTTGTCAGTATTTTCAAAACTTCTTCAATAATCGGCACTAGCGCGATTATGTCTTGGATAATGTTGTCAATGTCCGAGAGAATAGAGTTAGAGCTATTGCCATTGAGCAATGACATGACGCCGTTAACATTACTTGATGACAGCAACGGTTGTAGCCCCGCAATAGTGCTCATCATCGTTTTCGCGTTGCTCACTACATTGTCATCAAGTAAATTCGCGGCTTGACCGACGATGTACGTTGTATCGTTGATGAAACTGGGCGTGAATAAGCCCAGGAAATCCTTCAAACCAGCTTCCAAGTCGGTGATGATGTTGTCACCACTGCTACTGCTCCCCCCTAAAAGATCTGAAAGAAGGCCCTCCAGATCCCCACTACTTCCCGAGAATGAAGACGATGATGAAGTCTGCGTGGAGCGAGCACTAGACACACTGGAAGATTGCTGTACGACGGAAGCACTGCCTGTGGCCGTGGCTGCGGGCACCGACTGTGTGATTGTTATTGGAACCGAGACTGATTCGGTCAATACCTGTACAGCAGACGCTGCCGTTAAATCCGCCGGGGAATGTTCGTCGCCCGTAGTGGAAGTGTTGCTATCTGCTACTACAGCAGTGGTGGAGGCCGGTGAGGCCGTTTGTATGGGCGCATCTCTTACGGATGAGCTTTTCGTAGAGGCTGTAACAATCGCAGGAGCTCCTTGAACAACCGTTGTTGCATCGCCTCTTGGTGTCAAGCTTGTACTAGATCCTGAGTCCGATGCGACTGATGCAAAACCGTGTACGGCAGCGGCGACAATGGATCCGTTCAGCATTGCCGTAGATGTGCTTGACAGACTAGAGTCTGACGACGCCGCCGTCAGCTCAGAAATGAGCAACGTAAGCACGGCTGACAAAACACGCATGCTGTATGAAATCTGATTACAAAGCGTAGTTCCAGGAAACCCTGCAACGAGGTGTGATTAAACCCTGAAGTATCGTGTGAACATAAACATCGAGCTCTTATCTACGTCTGTCATCCTGCTTTAACATTGTAGTCATTTGGCTTGCCGAGGAGGACCCCGCTGTGACCACTGCCTTGAGCTACATACTAAAAGCTATAATGGTTTTTTGCGCTTCCGCTTCAGGGACTTTGCAAATGCTACCCAAAGGAACTCCTACCGAGAGAGATTAACTCAGTAGTACCTATTTAGTGCGGGGGAGCTTGAGAGCAACTGTCCTCACGAGTCGCTAGCGATGCAGGCATACCTAGCTAGTTAGTTCAATTTCAAATCTTCATCCAAGCCCTTTTGGCTAAAAGAATGGTCAATAAAGCTGACAATTTCATGGCTGCCATAGTTGATGAACGTAAAAAGAGCTCGTCATGTGGGCTGTTGTTAAAATTACCATATCGTTAGAGCCGCAGCGATCCGAGGCAAGATCCCTGTCAAAGCTACTGACTCACGGACTAGCAAGCGGCCTGCCGTCAAATGCGTTTAATGATGTTGGGGCTAACATACGTACTTCCAACACGGGTGGTGCCTCAGCAATCCTCGGCGGCCAATGAAGCAGGCTAAAATAAAGTGACTTCATGGAAGCTGAAATTATAGAGCTGATCCGAGGAAGATAACAAGAGAGCGCCGGACTGCTCGTGTTACGACAGGGGTACGAAGAGATTAACCCCGTGGGGTAAAGATGGTACCCCTTGCTAGTAGCTTTTTTCCCAGGAAGAAAATATCTTCTAGGTTTAGGTAACGTACAAGTGAGTAGTAGACACTTAAAAGCATTGATTATATTTCATTAGTAAAGTGGTATTATTATATCATTAAAACTAAGAGTGAGCTGTGCCATGGCTCGGACCCAAACAACGTTTCATTCAAAGCCTTTAGCGGACTCGAATACAACATTTCGTCATTGTCCATGTGAGCTTCCGCACATCCGCAAAAGAGTTTACATGTTAGGCCCATATGACAAGTTTGTATTTCGAAGTATGCTCGTAATGTTCGAGAGGATCCCCGAGTTTGAAGAAATTAGGCCGGCCAGCGTACCGAACAAAACCTGCAGAACGGGTACATCTGCGCTGATGGTGAGATTGTTCAAGACCTCCTCAAAATATGGAATGTGGACTCCATTGTAGATTGTCGAATTGCCTGAGGCCGAAAGCTCTAGGTTCCCGTCCGAAAGCGCGTTAGATTCTGCACTCAAGAGTTTGCCGATATTCGCTATAGCAGTACTGATATCTAGTGTGCCGCGCAAGGGTACTGTGTTGTTGCCCGGGGCCAATTCCACGTTCTCAATGATGCCGTTTCCAAGTACTAGGTCGTCAACCTTTAAATTCAGAGTAACATTGCCCTTTTTAATTGTAAGCTGGATTAAAAGCTGTTGGGGAAGAAGATTAAGTCGCTTACGAGTGCAAACGTGACCACTGAATAGTTTGGCAGCGTGGCAGTTCCAATAAGATTTGAGCCGTCTGATTCGGGAGGCAGTTGCAGGCTAGCAGAATTAATAGCGAAGCCGCTTAGCATATCCAGTCCTATCGATTTGTCAGTATCTAAGGCGAGGAGATACTAATGTATGAATCATACCATTAAGCGTAACGTCCTTATCTAGAGTCAACGGTGCATGCAGTGCACCTAGATGCGCAGTCGTCTTCCCGTAAGCCGACAACGTGAAACTTTTTGAATAAACTGCCACAGAAAGGAACTCGGTAAACTGCTCCATATCCAGGATTTTAGTGGTCTGATTGGTTATAGTGATTTCAGATTTGCCTTTCAGGTGAAATGCTGGCAGTTCCACAGATATATACGGAATCCGGGGCGCTATATCACGGTTGAAAAGGCTCAGATTGAAAGGGTCGATCTGAACGCTCAGTCCTAGTGGCACATCCAAAGTTGCCGACAGAGAAAAAACAATTCCGTCAGGTGTAGGTTTTAGGATCTGAGCCGAGTGAATCGGAATACCTGCATCATCGACCAATCTTTGTGCTATGGCGGGAAAGATGACCACAAAACTATTACCCGGATATCAGTATCCTTGTGTTTGAGGTAAATGTAAGGAAAGAAAGTCACTCACAAGACCGGCAGAAACACTGCAAGAAAGACGAATCCCAAAAGTCCGTAGCACAGCCAGTATCGCTTGAAATGTCGCCATATAGTGCCCCAGAACCCCTTGGGCTGCCGGTTGACCAAATCTCTACCTGAGCCTCCAATTCCGGAATGACCTTGACTTGAGACTTCTATCTCTTCACGTTGTTTACCTTTCGTAACATTCTCGGAGATATTGGAGTCGATGGATGGTCTACTTGCACCAATGACTCCAGCCGATGTATACGATTCACCAATAGGCATTGTCACAATTTTTCGGATTCTCGTCTCCCTGTTCTCAACTTGTGTTCTGTTCTTGCTGCTTCGATAAAACAAAAGCAGACCTCTGTCTGGGGTTATGTTAATTGATAAATTTTCTGCATTCAATCTGCTTAGAGAGCTATATGCTAGTACTACTAGGAGGGGGACCGCCCACTTACACCCTTGCCGACACGAGAGCTCGGGGCTATTCTTGCAAAAGAAACACCCTACCCCGGACCCTAGCTACATGCACTGACTTTCTTATCTTTCCCCGCTCAGCAACTATATCACAATTCGAAATTAGGTGGTGTGCTGACTGCGGCGCTATTTCACACTATGAACAAATCCTCTCCTGCCCGACCGAGGCCTGGCCCCTGTCCGCGGCAGACGGTCCGATGCCATGCCTCACACTTCCTGTTCAAGCTTTTCATTAGATCAGCTCATAATTTTGAATTAATGTTTAAATAACCTACATGGGTCACCCCGAGCAGCATAGTTTGACGTTATTGCCATCGATTTTTGGTTTCTACTTGAGAAGTGACTGCGAACCTTGACTCCAAAGCGAAGTTGTCCAGATATAAGATTCTAACATTGAGTCCAGGCGAAAAAAGCAGTCTTCCAAAATGGCCGAAATGACAGAGAAAAAGAAAAGCAAGGAAAATGAATTTCATTTTGATGAGGTTTCTGAAAAGAAGCCAGTCGAGCTAAGCTTGACACCAACAGACGAGATACTCGACTCACTCGAAAACACACACAATGTGCAGAAAATCGTACGCGAGGGAGTCTTGCTTGCAACGGGCGCTGCTGCAATCCTTCTTCAGGTAGCCATGCCGGGAGTCGCCAAAGGCGTCGACAACCACAGCAGTTTTGCCTACCGCCCATTGGACCGATTGCGTACCACGCTCACCTACGTGTACTGCATGGCGTTCGGCACCAAACAGGAAAAGAAATTTATCATTGAAATGGTCAATCGCGCACACTCGACTGTGCGTGGCCCGGACTACTCCGCTGACGACGTAGAGTTGCAGATGTGGGTAGCAGCAACGCTTTATGCAAGCGGCATCTTCATCTATGAAGAGGTATACGGGGCCATTGAGCCTAGTAAGGCTGATAAGATCTACGAAGAATACTCCGTTCTCGCTGTATCTCTGAGAGTGCCGCGGTCGCGCTGGCCCAAAGACCGCAAGGAATTCTGGGCATACTGGCACAAGACAATCGACAAACTCGAAATCACCGATCATGCGAGAACCATCGCCAATGACTTGCTTTACAACCAACATCTGTTTCTTCCCTTGCGTCTGGGACTGCTTCCCATTGTGCGCATTATGACTGCACAAATGTTGCCTGAACCTATTCGTGAAGGCTATGGGTTGAAGTCAGGTCGCCTGCGACGCACAACTTATAAAACCATCATTCTCGGAGCCAAGATTGCATATCCTGTCATTCCAAAGTTTGTCCGAACACTTCCGGTCAAATATTACATGAGAGACATGCGCAAACGGATGAGGAACATGGTTTAAAGCCACCTCTATTTTGTACAGGGATCCTTCATTCCTACTTTCCTACCTTATAAATTGTATCTTCAACAATGATCATTATTATCTAATTAAATTTGCTTATGAACCCCCAGTGCAACCTATAACAGATGTTGCAAGGGTTCGGAAGTTTCACGTGCCATTTGGTCGTTAGCTAGCCTCTGGTCCTTCTTAGTGTTGTAAATCTCGGATTAACTGAATCTATCATTACTGTAAGAAGAAATGTCTCCCGTGTGCCGTACGAGGATCTTCAAATATTCTATGCCCAAAACTATGAAGACTGTTCCGAGATGTCGTCCCCAGCCTAAGAGGTTCTATTGATGAGGAGCGCAATCATCTCCAGGTGCAAGTTCCAAGGTTTCTTCCTAACATATGCAGGATACTCTATACACTCAAGAATTTCCTAATTTCAACCCGAAAAATATGGCTTTCTTCTTTCCGCTACCCAGATCGCCTATGCGTAGCCGATTATATTCAGCAAGAGTCGTCTTACGATGGTACTTGTGAAACTTCTTGGAAGCATCCTTTCCAGCGACTCCTTGAAGAACTGTGTAGATAAGGAGTTAGCGAAGGAGATGTTAGGGCAGAATATCCTGCCTAGTGGGTGGAATACTTTTTTTCCCGCCCGGATGCTCGCTCAAAAATTTCGTAAGGTCGTAAACACCGCCATCCACAATGATCCAGATGTCTTCTAGGCTGTTGTGCTCTGCCACTTCCTTTGGTGAAAATCGCTTTATCAGTGTGATCTCGTTTGGTTCTGTCTGAAGTGAAGTCTCGTCCGAGAGTTGTGTCGTGGTGGCCATCATGACGGTATTGATGCTTACGAAGCATCCTCGTAGAATTCTCGAGAGTAAATAGAGCTTGCAGATAGCACTAGACTTGATGATCGTATTTTTATATAGAGACATTTCTAAATCCGATCGCCCATTTGGAGCGGGGAACGCCGCCTCGACTAGCATGCCGAGGGTTGTTATTCGGAGCTGCTTTTCAGGTATGAGGTGCCGAACCTTCCAGCTGATCTAATTCCACCGATTATTCATACCTAACATACAGCGGACATCAGTCAATTGAAAGAAACCGTCGAAAATAACTGTATTTTGCAATGTATGCACAGTAGATGAAAGGCAATGCAAAAGATTAAATTTTCGAGCTCATAAAGCACTACCTAAACAATGCGCGTAGACTCGACCGCCGCGGTCCTGCAATGACACCTGATAGTCACAGCCCATTCCTCAATAATATCGCCCCCTCATGCCTTCCTTTGCTGTCGATCTAATTTAAACTGTCAGGATGTGTCTTTATTACCATTCATTGTTAGCAGAGAGCGTTGACATGTACATGTGGCATTCCTTACAATATAGAAGAACAAATGCCAAAAATACGACGACTGCAAGAAGCGCGCAGAACAACCGCTCCACGGCGCTCGAGAAGTGTTCATAGTTGGTTTTGCTTGGTCGGAACTCGTAGTCGCCGGTCGCTTCCAAATCTATGCCGCCGTGAGGTAGTTGAGGAGAGTATGCTGGCGCTTTGAACTTATCCATGACTAAAAACCGAGTTGAATAGTTATCCATCCCACGACATACATAAGTCCGAAAGAGACTCGGAAATTGATTAACTGTCATCAGACATTTTATTCGCAACTATTATCTGTTTTTTTCGCCTGATACTTTTGATACCATCGAGGCACTTGGGTTGCTCGTGCCTCGGGCTCTTTCTGGGGGCCTCACCGCGGCTATTCATGCAATCTTTTCTATCAATTTTCTCGACCTCCATTTACATCCACGCATGATAGAGCTACAAGCAAATCCTAGTATGATCGGACACCGCGGCTCTATCTATGTCAAGTAGATCGCAGGATACGTGTTAAGGAAATGCAACGTGACAGAAAAAAAAAAAAGAAAAGAAAAAAAAATAAAAAAATGCGAGTCTAAGCTCTTTCCTGGCATGGTCGAGCAAGGTACGGAGGTAGTGTCGCATAGACCCCTTCGACCTACATTCAAACTTCCAAGGAGAAAGCCGTTCATCGACGATCTACAGCACACTAGAGCGTAACGGCATTGCATGAGAAAGCGGTCCGAGGCAAGCAGGGGTGCGGCGAGACTAGTTGCTAGTGGCGAAGGTCACCACCCCTGTCCTTAGGATTCATCAATATCACTCATATTTGAGGGGAATGAATCCGGGGTAGCCGAGATGGAAAAGCGGGGATTTAGCGAAATCACTGTCCTAGATGATGGTGATCGTGATACTGGATTCACGAGACAGTCTGATTATTGGGACAGCATCTAGACCTTCTAGCACATTGGAGCAATTGAATCTTTGTAATCCGTAAGATGGCTTAGATGAGGAGAAATTTCGTTGTATATATCTCATATGGTATCTATTTTACCATCTCGATTCTTATCATCATTTGACAACTAAGGACAAATCGTCCCTCTAATAATCTGCTTTCTCATCACGACTCTTATAAAAGGTTTTGTCAATCCCTTATTGAAAAACTATGGATCAAAGCAGGCGCCAACAGCGCTTAGAGAGACCTATCCGCAGGGCCGCGGCAGCCTGCTATCGCTGCCACTGGAGAAAAGTGCGCTGCGATGCCGCGATCCATGGTAACCCTTGCACCAACTGCGCACTGGACGGCAGGACAGACTGCGTCTTGAGACCAAACTCCACTTCACGATTCAAGAGTCTTCAGCAAACAGAGCGAATCTGGCCGTCACAGGCTACAGAATCAAATGATACAATCGCGAATCATGCCGCTCCCATCATAGACGTTAACATTCCACCACCTCCAGCGATACTGGAATCAAATGACAACGATTATAATAATAATGAAAACAGCGACGATACTATTCTTTCGACAAATTTCACCTTTTCGGGTGACCTGGAGTTCCAAAACCTGATGATGCCGTCATTTAACCTTGACTCTTCGGAATTTATCTCAGATAATCATCACAATTTAAGAGGGCACATCTTCCCAAATCAGCACTTTATCAATCTCGACCGAGTACGTTTGCTACCTATGGATGATGTACATGTGTTAGCGGTGAATGGATGTCTGGAAATACCTCCAAAAACCGTGATTGACGTCTTCGTCAGAAAGTACTTTCTACTGGTGCACCCATCGTTGCCCATCCTCGATGAAGCGCAATTCTGGGATATATATGGTCAATCTGATGAGAATCCGAGCTGCGCCCCGAGAATCTCGCTCCTCATATTTCAAACAATGCTTTTAGCAAGCTGTGCAGTAAGTTATAATTATAATACCGGCATATGAATCTACGATCTAATCGCTTGTGACACTTCTAGTTTGTTCCCATTGATATCATCCACAAATGCGGGTTTAGGAATATACACGACGCTAGAAGAACTTTCTATAATCGAGCAAAGGTCAGCTTTGATGATAAACTTGCTGTAGGTTTTGAAAAAATTTCTAAATTTCTGCGCAGGTCGTATACGATACAAACTTTGAGGATCATCCTCTGCCCAGAGCGCAGGGAGCCCTATTATTGACATATCACACCACGGCTGAAGACCCTCAAGCGATGTTGACCTGGAACCTATGCGCCATACAAAATGCCATGTCCAAGGAACTCCATCTCAGTAACTTATCAATTCATGACCATCAAAATTCGCTAAAGAAGAGACTATGGTGGTCCATTTTTGTGAGAGATCGCACACTCTGGCTCGGTCGACATCGTTGCCCCCAATTTTTTTCAACAAAATTCAACATGAACTTCGACTGTCCGGATGTAACAGACTTTGAGAATGAGATTATGTTCTCGCAAGTTTATACCCCAAATGCAAAACGCCTACTCGTCAAGGTTTTCCAGGCCCAATGCCACCTGGGGAGAATTCTGACGGATGTCATTTCCATTGCCTTCTCGGCTTCGGATGGATTTGTGCCGTATTTCTCGTTGGAGGATTTCAGGGACACTTTGACCAGAATTCAAGTTTTGAAAAGAACAATTGTACGGTGGAAAGATGAGCATTACCTACCGCTGATTCATCTTGAGCTAGCCGAGCAAGAGAGCATCAACGTGCACATCCACCTGACTCATATCTACTACCAGTAAGGAGAGCATTTGGAATAAGGTATACGCGAAGCGCGCTAACTCGAATCAGAACAGCACGTATGGCACTTGCGCATCACGAAACACTACTTGTTGAGAATCACCTGGATTTGATCCAGGAAGAATCGGGAACACTGCTACTTATGATCGCAAAAGATCTCCGCGATGCAGTTGAGCAGATCACTCAATCGATGGGATATTTTGGTTCAAAGAAACTGACTGAGAACATACCGCTTGGAGTGTAAGCGACGCCTGATTCTCAGAACTAACGTTCGTATTTGGCTGACGATATAGTCTTGCGTATTGTGGCACGCCAATGGTACTATCTGCCATAGATATCAAGCTCTCAGCTTCGAACTCGGAAATAATGGAACGCAGAGGTTCACTCGAGTACTTTTCCGAGATCATTAAACAATCCCGGCAGATCTACGATATTACTGATTTCTTCTCTGATGGCACCAACAACATTCTTCAGCTGGCCTATGCAATCACACGGGATATTTTCCTCCAAGAGGATGCTGCTCCTTCACAGCCGTCTCCACATCGGACTCAGAACGGTATGGCATCGATTGGGCTCAAGGATCAGCGCGATTTTAATACAGGTGTTCCTGATGGTGGGGATCTCAACTGCCAACCGCTATTACCAACTTTCAGGAACTTGAGGGTGAGAAACTGGACTGATGCATTTCTAAGATATCCTCGTGCCTACTTGCGTATCTCCACATGTATCGACTATAGCCTGGCAACAGGCCGGTTGCCCCGCGATGAGTCGCTGCCACCGTTAGTCCGGGAGACAGCATCATTCCTAGTAAAGATGCCTAGCCTTCCCTGGACACTGACTCTGAATGCTACCTTGGACAATACTACTACGATGACATACAGTAGGGAATCCAGGAAAATTCGTGGAAAGCCTTACCATCGTGCAAAATATAGCACCAAAGCTCCTGCAGAAGTCACCAACAGGAACATACCTCTTATGGACGATCCCTGGTACCTGGCCCTGCTGCAAAATGAAAATGAACAGCTACCTGGCTTTAACAGAGGAATCATCACGGATGAAAGTGCAAATCCATTGAATGACGAATGCCTCAATATGCAACCTGGCGACGATGATTATACTTTGAATGTATAGTCAAGTATCTGTATGTAATATAGTCTAATCTGTCATAAGCTATTGATTTACTATTTGCAATATAAGTGTGTTATAAAACAGATTTGCAATACCTTTAATGACTAGCCTTCATGTTCCGATACAGAGAGCATACACTGTACATTTTGATTGCCTCATTACAACATCAGATAAGATTCAATTATACAGTGCAGGAATAGCTACCGCGAATCTGAAGCGCCTAATGGTCGAATGTCAAAAACATAGAACGTTTCAAACGTTCCTATAGCAGACCCAATCCTTGAAAGATTTTCACCGCAATGGCAGCGACTTCACTGACTACCTGCTCAAAACCAGCTTCTTCCTGCGGAGGTATGCTCTTGAGCAGTCGGATCAATAGATCCACCAGAAAGTTGAGTGCCGGACTCGCGAACTGGTTATCTCCAAGTAATTCATCTGCTGTGCTATTTACCAAGGCATTTAAAAGGGGAAGAACTGGTTTGGTAGCAGTTATTCTGAGCAGCTGAAATGCATCCTCCCAGTAGGGTAGATGTTGGCCATCATATACCACTGAACGGCCTCTTGCCGACGCAACGACCAACTCTTGTTCAAAATAGGGTAGCTCGGTTTTCACCAAAGCCAACGTATCGTTCAGTACTGCTGTTGAGTTAAGCTTTCCTCTTATCTCAAAAGTGTTGTTACCCGGAACTATATTGTTCACGGTAGTGGAAGCTTGACCAACGACGACGTCCCCTATGAGAACGTCCAGAGTAACGTCGCCCTATTATTTATTAACAAATGGTGCCAAATTATTATTGCCCCATAGGCGGAGTTGAAACCCCAATCATAGATATACCTATAGGAAAAGGAATGCTCGGACATACCAACGTAACACTGGCTGGGGATGGATTATACACAACAACTTCTCCATAAACGTCATTACCATCTGCGTCTGGCTTTTGTATTCCAATTTGTCGAACATCAAACCCTGTGAAATTATCAAATGCTGGAAATATACAAAGTTAGCAAACCTGGCGGGATATGTGTCGTCAAAACGAGCTTAGGTGTGCCTGAAGCTTAGTCTGCCGTACCTGTTAACTCGACGAGTTTGTAGAGGTCAACCCAAGTATTGATTGGCCCAACATGTACCTTGGCTCTAGTGCGTCCTGACACTTTGAAAGTGGGATAGTAGGCGACTTGTTGTATCAGCTTCGTGAATTCCGTCAGGTTTTTAAGTTGCAATGTCTGGTTCACAACTCCAACTTTCTCGCGCGAATACCAGGTGGTTTCGGGAAGATCTACGGTAGCGAATGGACTGCTTCCTGGATCGGGGCCGTTCTGAAAGAAGGATATTGTTGCTGGCTGAAGATTGATTTTGAATTTGTCAGGAACAGTGATATTGCTGGTAACCGCGAATTCTATTGTGCTGTTCCCAGGATTCGACAAAGTTATGTTCACGGCCGGTAACGGTACCCCAGCCAGAAGATACTGTCCAAACACAGGTACAGCATAAGCAAATCTAGTCAATTGATGTCAGGAATATCGGTGCCGAATTTCGAAAAAGTTAGGGATCCGTAAGAGTGCTTTTCAACATTTACTAAAGGATAGAGGAATTATCGCGGTTGACTCACAGAAGGGGCAGTGCAGTCGCTACTAGAACGACCGCCAAAAGTCCATAACACATAAAGTATCTTGCAATATTGGTATTGAGAAATCCTCTGCCAGATCAATCAGTATTGTAATGAGATCATGAGTTCTTTTAGGAGAACTGAACTTGACTCTTTTCGTATTTCTTTGTCTTTTCACCTCTTCTGTTGGATCTGTTTTATTCTCTAATCTCCCCAAGTTTGCGCCAACATGATTGTTGCTTTTAGACCATTAGCTCGTCTCCACCGCGTTTGAGACAAAATCGACAAGACTCGGTCTTACCTGCTGTCCAGCTGCTCACTAATTCCAAAAATGACTGCAAGGATGCGCAATGCTCCCTCAAAATACAAAGTTAGTGATCAGTCCGCTCAGGTTTATCAAAAGCTTTCAATCCTATCTGTGGACGTACAAAAGTGGCGCTCGCCAGCCAAGCGAAAGCAGCTAAGAATGCAAACGCCGTGCCTGCCTTATAGCTGGAACAACTGGCACGAGTATCTACTCGAAATCCATAGCATGGAGATTGGAAGACCTGCGTGATAGTGAGTGCCTTGAAATCTTGCTCTTGCTCTCAAAATCATCTGTGATAATGGTAACTAGTCTCATAAATGTACCTGTACAATGAGCGCGAATACTGCCCCAAGTATAAGCGCCATGAAGAATATGAAGTCGTATAGAAAGTTCGGATATGGAGGTATAATTGCGCCGAAAATACTTATCGCCGCTATTACTTCAATATAGACGAGAACCCCGGTGAGCCAAGATCTGTCGGCGATGAAAACGCCATTCAGACCAAGAACAATCGTAGATGCCGCAACCACTCCCAATCGTGCGAGAAAGGACAGAGCTGTCAGAACCATTGTAGCTTTTTGGTTAGCAGTCCAGAAAACTCGATTGATGTTTTGTATAGCAATTAATTCATAGTTCTTATATACCACTATATGATTAAGATGAATCCCCTACACCGAACTTCCTCTATGAGGTAATGACAGAGCGGTCCGAGGCAGTAAGAGACAAGTGGTAAGATTAAGACACAATTCAATATTTTCGCGATTATACACGGTTCTTAGCATGAATCAGTCTTATAATCAGTCTTATAATCAATCCAGGTAACTGCGAGCGGAGGCTGTGGCTAGATTGTAGAGTTAGCGTACGACCTACCATCCACCGATTGGTCACAGCAGACAATCAATCATTTATGTTCTATGTCTGAAGTATTGTTTAGTCAGAATTCTGAATATACAAACCCGTGACACTTGCGGCAACCACTCTCTATCTATCGGCGTTCATGTTTAGAATCATGCTGTTCAAAACGTTGCTTTGTCCTGGAGTTCACGTGCTATCCGCGGTCGACTGAATCTCATGCGCGACTGAGGACCCTCTTGTTCGGCTTGTTGGGCTACTGGCGTGTAAATTACTGCAAGGTGTCACCTGAGCTGCTGGGGACAACTAAACCCTGTCTGCTATAAGCAGTCCGAGGTTAGTAATCCGTACTACGTGAGGGCCGCAATGTCAGTAGTTTCAAGCCACAGCCAACTATAAAACAAACAAAGGTGCAATATTTGTTATCATGCCGATCAATCTCAGGAAAGGGTTTTTGGTTCTAAAAACCATGCTTTTACGCCATTTTTCAAGGTGAGAGGGATAGTTCCACGATTTAGTTTTCGATGTAGCCATCATGGATCCGATTCGCAAAAAGAAAAACTTGGTACATTTAGTAGAAAGAGGCTCCTTACATGTGTGAACATGTCAGATCTATCTACTTTAACAATGTTCACGATCTAGGGAGAAAACGGCGGTTATTTCATTTGAACAACAGTAGCTAGCAATATATAGTTACGTTGGAAGCGACCAGATCAGTTATCCTGGAGGGCATTTGGCAACCAAATTGACATTCCCACAGTTCAAAATTTCGTACAATATTCACAATATAGCCCAGATCACATCACTTGATATACGTAGACATACGGATATGAAAATCAAGGATACTGAGGATACTCTCAAATAACATTTTCTTTGAAAAAAACCTGTTTAAATATTTCAAAACATTGATGTGCTTCACCTGGGTGTCAACATAACAACCAGACGGTCCATTGGGACTGCGGCCACCCATTCCTTTCTTGGTGGAAGAGAGATATTTACCCAACCATCTTTTGTTCCCGCCTCAGTCGTATTCTCATGTTTAGCTTCGGCCGATCCTGGTAGGCGAATGCGATAATTCCTCACGAGCTGTGACAAGGCAAGGTAGAGTTCGTAATAAGAAAAACTGGCTCGTTAATTTGTCTTCGAGATCCCGTTTCTTGCTGATGAAAAGACTCACTGGGCTCCGATACACGTATTTCCCCCTTTTGAGAACGGTATATAGAATTTATCTCTAAGTTGGTTGTGGCTGAACTCCAACCCATCCGGAGTAAGCCATCGATATGGATCGAAGTCTTTAGGATTAGGGAATGCAATCGCGTCTCTAAGGTACCAAATGGGCGAAGAAGAGAGAATGACCTGAGAATTTGACTATCATCAATACCACTCAACCTCCCATTATTAAAGTGAATAGACTCACTCCTTCAGGGATGAATTTGCCGTGAAGCTCGATTCCGCCTTGTGGAACAATTCGAGGCAACATCACTGCAGCAGCTCCGGTCCAACGAATTCCCTCTTTTACACATGCACGTAGTCTTGGTACCGCTTCAAGATCGGAGATAGCGCTGGAGAATCTGATGTTCTGAAGGTCCTGAAATAAACGTCCTTGGAATTGAAGATTATGGCTAAGAGCCCAGATAATGTGCGCGAGGGTTGCTGAAGTTGTATCAGTTCCTGGACCCAGGTTTTCTTTGGCCTCTGATAGTGCTGTTTTTAGTGGTAGACCGGATCGTGTCAATGTGTGTATCAAATTATGGTTGTATGGAGTCTTTTCAAGGAGAGCACTGCGGCAAGTCTTTTCAGCCCACTGTAAAAGTCATATCAGCCGAGTCTGTCAAGTGGCGTTCGTCTTTCCAAGCTCCAAATTCGATTACTCACGCCACGAAAGTCTTGAAGATGGCGACTATCTGGGATTTGGCATCCTGTAGTCTTTTTAAGAATATATCTGAGAGAGCTCAGCGCACCGAATAATCCAGGAAAGTTAGTCAACTGTTACACGGTGTTAGTTCCAAATATCTGGGTACATTGTACGATTTGTGAGACTCACTAATGGCATCCATGTAGCTATTTCATCATTTGCAGAGACCATGTCCAATTCTTTTCTATCGTGCCATGCATCAACAGCACCAATTGCTTCACCGAAGCTGAATTCGGCTACACAAGGTCAGTCATATCCTGTTCAATTAAACCACCCCAGCGTCAGAATCTTACAAACAATGTCTGCCTCAAGTGCTCTACAAGCTGACATTAAATCGATTGCGGAGCGCTGGGGACTTATGCATTCAATCCAATGTGCTACATGTTTTCTCATCAAACCCTTCAAATCGGATATCTTGCTTCGGCTGTAAAGCTGACCCATAAGACGGCGTCTCTTCGAATGCTCAATTGGGTCACTATACGTCCAGGAATTTTAACACTCAAAGGCTCTTCGGATCACAAATAAAATAAAATAAGCTCACATGAGAGAAAATAGTGCCGGATGCTCATCCTGAACAAAGCCTCCGTAGGATTTAGGGTCTTTTTTGAATTTGCTCCCAGCTCCGTGCACTGTTTCATAGATGCCGATGGAATAATATGATATTTCGTTGGGTGATATACGGATCAAGGGTCCTTTACTGGTAAGCGAATGATCTACTTCACGATAACAACATATTTATGTCCAGATAATACCTAATTTTTCATGAAGAAGCGGAAGATCCTGTGTTATGGAACCCCGAAATTCGCGTGGAAAAGTCCATAGATTTCGCGAATACGAGGCCAGGAACCCAGAACTCGGAATCTGTGCCAAAGAAGATACACTTGCACGATACACCACCTGATTTATGTCAAAATTCTATCCAAGTGTGCATAATTGGGATTGGTTGGAACTCACCCACAATAAGTGAATCAACACGAAGACAGCAGCTAACGCAAGAAGATAGTATAACGATGTCATGATGTATTGTTGCGTTGTTTGCCTATTGATATTGCTGCAAACTGATCATCAAGAGGATGATGATTCTTTTGGTGGGCAGTAATTTTCACCTTGTCGTCCATGGCACTGGCAGGTGAATGGTTGGGCAAATTTCATCAAAATATGATCTCCACATCAACCTGTAGAAACTTACCTACGTAGCAGGTATCACGCCATAGCCGCTGAGACCAATCCCGAGCCTCGACCATTCTTCTTTCGTGGCTCAAAGTGATCTATTTGACCGTATCCATTTCCCCATATGTCAGCACTTCCCGCTCATATCTGTTAGCAGCCATTTTGAGTTTCAAACCACGTTAGTGATTAGTCCCACGCGTATTATGCTTTGAATAGTATGTAGTAACATAGTTTTAAAATGTCCGGTGGAAGTCTGATGAGAATGATAAGCTAGTTGGGATACAATTCGATGTGCTACTATATGATCTGCATTGCGGTAAGCCTGTGCATGCTCTATTCAGCCCAAATTTGTATGACTGAGCTATGTAGCATGATGCTCTGAGATTCACTGGGTAAATTTGTTCCTCTTCTTTAGGTTTGTAAGTGTACTCCCTTTCCAAGAGACTAAAAGTCGTAATATAAGTCGAGTCGTAGCTACCTAGGGCTTTCGGAATGCTGTGGAGCTTTCTTTGACTAGTACCGGGGTTTGCCTGTTTTGAGACTAAATCTACGCTATATCGATGGCGACATTAAACGCCAATATTTCACGATTCGATTACGGAACAAAGTACGTTTTTGACACTCGTATATTTGAATTCACACAAGCATGTATTGACTGTTATTTAATATCTATCGCAATTATCAGGAGATGAACTCCAATTTTGCTGATATCATTACCTGAGAATCTCTAACAAATTTAGAACTTGGATCATTTGCTTGAATTTGTTAACATGGAGGGTGAAAGAGTTCAGACCGATTTGAGGAAGGACGGTGGTGAGTCCGATGGAAACAAAGCTGATGATGAAATCTTGGTAAGACGAAGATATGTGCCATGGATTGTGGACTAGGGATTTACTGACATGAAAAATAGGCACGTTTAGGCTATAAGCCAGTACGTCTTTATCAAATCTCAACATTTTCGAGCACAACTCTTACGTATATGCGATATATAGGTGCTGAAGAGAAGTTACAACTATTTCCACAATTTCGCGACCAACTTTGGTAGGTCACTAGAAATCGCTGCCTCACGTCGAAAACAAATCTTAATACTCGTGATCATTCCAGCTGCCCTTTACTTTATTGGTGGTGTAAGAGTGACATTCTCGACCGGTATAGCTGCAGGTGGTAATTTGGCTTACTGGTAAGATTCGCCTAGATCTTAAAAATTGTTCTAGCACTTACGATCTTCCAGGACAAGCTTCTTGGTAACCTGCTTTTTTACGTTCATTACGGCTGCTGTGATAGCTGAGATATGCTCGTCTTTGCCTCTTGCCGGATCCATATATCTATGGGCGGCAGAAGCAGGTGGCCCTCGTTTTGGACGGTTGCTCGGCTTCATTGTCGCATGGTGGAGCACGACGGCATGGACGACTTTTTGCGCAAGTAAGATAACTTATCAGTCTTATGTGTACTAGGAGAATATTATGACCAGTCAATAGCTTACTCTGCGTTCAGGCAATACCCAGGGGGCCGTCAATTACATGCTTTCAGTACGTCGGGTGTCATAAGCTGTTCGCTGATTACTTCCACGTCAGGGACAAGGGAAATATTCTGACCAATAGAATCATAAATAGGAAATCGTGGTGTTCAATCTAGACTTTCCGTCCGATACTGACGATGTCAAATTTCGAGCTGTGCAATGGATTTGTACTGAGGTGATGTTGGCGACCGCCGCAATTTGGAACTTGCTTCCCCGTATGTTACTTGGTACTTCCGCGTAGACGAGAATCATCACAGACTGCTAATCTCCAGATAGCTCGCTACTTCAAGTGGATATTCGCCGTGTCTACCGCATTTGTCCTTCTGGATTTTGCTCTCAATATGATATGGTTACCCGTTGCGACGAGTCGTACAATTGGTTTTCGAACAGCAAGTGACGCATTTCTGACCACCTACAACGGAACCGGAGCTCCTGAAGGGTGGAATTGGTGTCTTTCGTATCTAGCGACCGCCGGAGTGTTGATCGGGTTTGATGCATCTGGTCACGTTGCGGAAGAAACCAAAAACGCAGCAGAATCCGCGGCTAGAAGCATCTTTTGGGGCACGGTAGTGAGTGGAATTGGAGGATTCATTGTCGTTATCCTATTTCTTTTCTGCGCGGTAAGTTGTCAAAATTCATGTTAAATGATATTAGAATCGAGTGTTCTAACGAGGTAATGCAAATGAAGCCTGATGCCGACACCTTGTTCTCATTTGGAGGGACCCAACCATTCGTTCCATTATATGCCGTTATTCTTGGTGACGGAGGACACATCGTCATGAACTTGGTCTGCATTCTTGCTCTTTGGTTTGTGAGTATTTTTGATGATGACACTTCCTTTGATTCAATGGAAATTTATCTGACTTGACAAAGAATACTGCTATTGCAATCCTAGCTGCATCTCGTCTGGTCTTTGCCGTAGCTCGAGATGGTGTGCTACCATTTTCAAGTTGGACATCACGAGTTGTAGATGGACAACCGCGCAATGCTGTCATTGTGGTTTGGGTTGTTTCTTCAATAATTACGTGCACCATCCTACCCTCTTCAGTTGCTTTCACATCCCTCGTCTCAGCAGCCGGTGTACCATCAGCAGCTGCGTATGGATTGATCTCCTTTGGCCGTTTGTTCTTCACGCCCAAGAACTTTCCCAAGCCTGCTTGGAGCCTGGGGCGTCTCAGCAAACCGTTCCAGGCTATTTCGGTGGTCTGGAATGCCTGGGTGGTTGCGGTTTTGTACTCACCTTACATCTTCCCCGTGGAAGCCAGTACGCTGAATTACGCCCCTGTGATTATGGCGATCGTAACGATCTTTGCGCTAATATCATGGTGGATCCTCCCCGCTGAAAGTTGGCTTCCGAACAAGAGCATCCAGCATATGTTGGACGCAGATGAGACGCAGCCGACCTCTGACTCGGTCTAGTTGGTCATCCTTGAAGAATAAACTTTTTGCTTTGATCCTTACCTAAATGGAGATGACCCGCCATGTCAAGTTGTTTCAATTTTATCATTCCATCATTCAAGTGCCCTCCATGGTTTAGATCCTTTGCCAGACCAGATCATTACGCCCAGCTCGATGTATACTAAAGGAGAAACAAATAGTTTTTGTGCTTCGTGCGATCCCATACCTCGGATTATTTGGTAGAATTCAAATCTGTTTTCTGACTTTTGTTATAGGCATCTTGTCAAACGACAGGCCGCACTTGTTTTCCATCTTGCGTCACAGTCTGATCTTTGTATGACGACCAATATTTCTACTGCTGACAACCAGCGTATGTCAAGGTCTACGCTAAAAAGGGAAGGAAACATGTAAGACAATAAGTTCTCCTTTTGTTACATAACATCTACTGCATATATACTATCTTGAATATAAGTGTGGCCAATGATCAATTTCATTAAGACATATCACGAATCTCTGGCATTCATCCTGGAATACCTGTGACACCTGTGGTCTTATCTATAGAGCAGCAGCATTATTGGTCATCTCGGTCTCCCAACGGAAATTGGAGCCATAATGATCATCTTTAAGTGTCGACCTACCGAATAGATTCTCTTCTACCGTACAACTAGGAGCGTCGTAATCTTCCAAGGGCAATCCACGACGAATAAGCCCGCGACATAGGAGATCCACAGAATTTAGCTAAAAATGTATTATTTTTCCCCACGAAGACGGATTTGTGACAATCGCAATATTATTTGCCTTACGGCTTACTGCTATCTATTCCATGCAGTGAAGGGTATTGAGGAGGCACTCGCCTTCGCCTTTGCTTCTTTCTCTTCCGTTCGTTCTATATAAGAGACAATGCACGGAAACTTATACTACTTAGATCGCGTCCCTATCTACACGCAGCTTTGCGCAAGTCCCTAATAACTTCTCTTTCCTGTCTGACACTACAGGGATTGAGAAACATGGCTTCAGTATGCTTCGCAGCAATTTGTGAACCAACTTTCGACGACCCTGCTTGAAACAATACCGGTGTACGCTGTGGGGATGGATGAACCTGGTGCAGGCTTTCACTTTGAAGTACTGTCGATTATGATCGATGCGCTTGATTTTATTAGCATCAAACCCAAAGCCTTCTTATTTATCCCAAAGAATTGAATCTGGTGCCCAACAAGATTTCTAGAGTCTTTAGACGTCAGCCAATATTTCGCTAAAGATCATGCTAGGGCTTCTTACTTGTAAGTTACGTCCATATACTCGTCTGGTAGGACATATCTTCCATCATGAGGGAGAATATTATCTTGACCGAACGCAAGAGCATTACCCTTTGTGTGGCTCGTGACAATGTTCCACGCACAGAGTCCATTTGTTAGGTGATCTAGTTGCTCATGTGCCTTGCCAGAACGGACAAAGCGACGTATGTGGTGGTCATCGTGAGGATGAATGATACACTTTCTGTGACAGTGGCCATTGCTGATATAATCCTTACAGGATCCAGATGCCCGACCTGCTGACCGCGATTGAGGCAGTTATCCAATGATCCGTCATACACATCAGAACCCACATACCACTGGGCAAGGAACACGGCTGAGATTTTTCCATGCTCCGCGAGGCGAGCTAAGTCAAATAAAAATTCAATATGTCTGTCTTTGTGGATGTGTCTTCTGTGCGCCTGGGAGATTATCAGTTCGGTGGTCAAATTGAATTAACAACAAGCAGAATAAGCGTGATAGCAAAAGGCGAGACAATTAAGCAAAAAACTCAACTCCGCTGTCCTGCTGTCAAGTAGCCACCAGTACAGGGGACCTCCAGAAAGCAGAAATGAATACATTTTACATTTTCCATGAAGTTATGCCCAGCAGACAAGCTTGTATGTAGCTCCGGATCCGCATGGTAGCCTGCAGTCTGGCTTTTCATGATAATCTATGGTTCAAAATGAGGACAATGAAGCTTTTCTCAAACCATAAGATGACAGACATAAAGACCTCAATTCGTTCCTCAAAAATTCAGGTCCTGATTGTTATTGCCTATTATCTAACATTATACAGATGGCTCAATTTTTGCTGTTCAACTCGGTAAGTAGTAAAATATTTAGTACCCCGGCTCCAATGTCATCTGTCTAGAAAGTCAAAGGCAATTTTGGTATTATATACATGCGCTTGAAAACTTTGTCTCTTCTGGTCCCGTGGAAAGCTTTGGATGTGGCTTATACCATGTCGATGAGGCAAATGCCGTTATGATCACGCAATTTAATACACATGTCCATTATTGCAAGCTTGAACCCACTCGCGGGCAAACTTCCTATTTTGCTCTTCAAGTGTGACGTTATTTAGTTAACTTATAACAGCTAACTAATAGTAAATAATCTTTTTCTGGCAACTCGAAACTACTCTTCTCCCTCGGCGACCTTGGCTTACATCTCTAGAGGACTTACGCTGCGTGGAATAGTTTGATAAAAAATGAATTTGCCCCTTTTAGCGTCGTCCGAATACTATATAATATTTCATGTCCATTCGGCACTGTTCCCGATTCCTTAGATACCGATTCACATGCCGTGCGAATTTGTGCAAATTAAAGTTAGTACATACATGAGTCGCGTACCACGGGCACTTTAGCACGGTTAGGTAAAATATCCGACGGATGGAATAGCTTCAAAGTTGAAACTGATCCATAATCGCTAAATTGATGTTTACTGAAAAGTGATAATAACGTGAACGCACAGTGTGACGACAGACACATGATCAAATGCCCAATTTCACCACGTTTGAAGAGGTATACGGACCCTTGAAGTAATGCTGAATAGATACTCGATTTAACAATTTGTCTCACAAAACTTCAGCCCTGGCACAAATATTGACGCTGAACAGGTGAAAGTACATCGTATGTAAATTTAACTTATCCTTTCCAAGTGCTATCAATTGATATAGACGATCCTGCACGTAAACTTCGATGGAGAGTGTGACCGATGATTTCGCCGCGCCGCTGCAAGGATATATATCGTTACATCCCGTCTCTTGTCTACTAAGTAGCGATTCCTACTGCGCTTAACGTTTGATGGTCTCTATCATTTGGCATCCGACAGCGACAGAGGGCTACATTACCTATCGCCTTTGTATGAAAGCACGACCGACTTCCATAGCATACCCACCTAGGTAGACTCGTAGGTACCTAAAGCCGGAGTAAGCAAAAGAACAGCCTAACTGGGCAGTTTGACTCCGAGAAGCAGTCTCGGAACAGATCGAAAAACTGCTCGAATAGGAATGTCGGCGCTCGGCGATCGGATCTTTAATGATGCGAGCCGTCTTAACCACAAACGGCTAAGTCAGGGACTAATTCCGATCGTTCAGGTACGGCGAGTTATTGTTGCTGTCATTGTTGTGGAAGATCTCTGTCTAATAATCAGTCTCTGAGCCTGGTGTATGCGATCAATCATCAGCGTAAGGCGGGAGTTTACTCACCAATAATTGAGTCGGTTGACTAGTACCCTGGCTACTTGGAGGAAGGGATTGTAGCAGCTGTGAACGCTTGAGAGGGGGCAATGGCCACTCCTCGTCGCAATGGAAAGCTCTCTTCGTGTGAGCCATGCCGGAAATCCAAGCTGCGATGTGATCACAAAGCTCCTATCTGCGATCGATGTATTACCCGTGGCCAGGATGCGCAATGCTTCTATCACCCGGCGCCCCTCACACAACCCACAGCACGAAGTTCGCTGCCACAATTACCGTCGTTACAGAGGCCAAGGAAGCGGCGTCCTGATAATCAACTTGTCTTTCGCCTAGATAAGAATATTTCTCCAGTCAAGACTCGGTGCCATACTCTCAATGCTCTCGATACCCCATCCTTACTTCCGATGACCCCTTGTGATAGATACTTGTCGCAGCGAATACAGATACCTTCAGAAAAGCGACCATTGCCACCCGGTAATATGGGCATTGCCATTCCAGGGGAGCTGCTAGCTGAAAATCATGGTAATGACGAAGGTCAAAAATATCAATTCGATGATAACTGCGATGTGATTCAATCGGCCGAAGATACGGAAAAAATTCGATTGGGAATGGAGATATTGCGTGAATTGGATAAGCTTCGTTGGTTTCAAAGTGTCATCGATATTAAGAATAAGGTTGGTCCAGGTTGGTTCATGGGACCATCGTTGACGAATAGTATTTGTACAGCCATCGCGAATCTATATGACTCAGCCATCAGAAATTCGAGCGACGTTGAGTTCTCGCTCCTGGCGTTGTCGCGAAAATTATTCACCAACGCAACGGGAAAGATTGATATTACCGCTTCAATGACGTTACCCGAATATTCGTCCCTTATTGCCTGCAGATGGGAGACGATAGGCGTATTATTTGTTATGCTTGCTTCTGCTACCTTTTGTATCGACGAAGAAGATGACATTTTTACCCGTTTCAGTCCTTGGAAGATGGACAGAAACCAACTTCGTAGCAGTTCTATGGCAATAAGTGAAAAGTGTTTACAGCACTGCCATACTGTTGGGCTCCCAAACGATCCAATGTGCTGGCTTGTAGCCCAACAAACAGTAATGCTGAATCATATGGTTGGGCCAAGCGGTACGTATCGCGCCATATACTCAGTTTTCTCTGAATCTATCATTGTATTCTAATTTCGCGGCTCATAGACTATCGAACCTGGCAAAAAATGGGCGATCTATCCACGATAACATCTGCCATTGGGTTGCACCAACTGAGCAATGATGAAGAATGTCCATTTTTCCTCACAGAGATACGTAAGCGAGTTATGTCAAGTGCTTACGCAATGGACAAAGAATTTGCTACCATGCTTGGACGACCTCCTCGGATCTCTTCGCGATATTGTTTCATTCAAATGCCGTTAGATCTAAGTCATACCGAGATTATTTCGTCGCCCGAGGAGATAGACCTAGCTCTTCAGGGATTAGATGAAAATGGCTGGAATACCCGAGGGGAGGCCACTCACGAAGTTAAGCTGCGGATTGCCACGTTAACAAGCCTGATTCGCGAAAGAGTCTTAGAGTTATCGATGTGCAATACAACTAGCGACCTGCAAGCTAGAGTCGAGTATGTGTCTCTTCCCAATTCTTAGTCGCATTTAAAGCGGGAAAAAAAGACACACTGCCAGTACGTATCTACCTACTAATTCGGTCGTAATTACAGAAAGGTCATCCTGGATGCTCGCCAGATGCAGCAAGATCTTCCGGCATTTCTACGTTGGTCGACAACTTCTCCAGGCTCAGTCTGCAACCACAAAGTTGAAGAGGCCCGTCTATTTATTCACATGGATTTCGCATATCAAGAGTTCCTGTTGCACCGAATTCTTTGGAAACGGCTTGGGCGGAAATCAGAGGGGCTTTTCGAGACTTCCTGTGAAGTTATTTCAACGTTGCTAGACATCGCCACATTAATGACGAAGTCTGGTCGACCACTTCGGTCTCTCTCGTGGGATGTAGGAATCTCTATCCCTACTCTAGACCTATTGTTGGGTACCTTTGCTGACTCTAAATTCTATATCATTTAAGCTATGCTACATGGGCCTCCCTACTGCAGGCATACTGACCTCTGAATTGCAACATTCAATACCTTCAACCCGAAATATGAGTCAATCACGTTCTTGGATCATCCAGAAATTGAGTGTTTTTGTTTCACATTTGAATTCTGTGAGCGAAGATGAAATAAACTTCGAGCTTTGTCAGCAGGGATCAAGAATTATTGCCACCGTCTTGGATAATGTTCTTTTGGACCATCCCGACAGGCCGATTGTTTCTCAATTGCCAGCCGATGGATCGCTCGGTGATAGCAACCTTGGTATCGGGAATGGTGATGATCTTATGTCGTGGTTTGACTTGAATCACTGGGGCCATGACTCCTGGTTAAGCTTTGTTGAATTGAACTAATTTCTGGTAGTCACGGTAATATGTAGCCTCAGTCATAAACTTATGATCTCCAATGCTAAATGTTGAAGGTGCTTCTCAGTATGCAAAAAAGGGTATCTGGCTTTTTGTCAAGCTATAGTTTAGTCTCGCACTTAAAGTAAACAGTCATTACCGTAGTTTTACTGATTATCTTTGCGTGTATCAAATTTATACATGTATTTAGGTCCCAGGCAGGCAAGTCCAGTGCTTTCGATCTTTCATGATATACTATTCTTTGGTGGTTTACCTGCCGCAATTTCTTTTGGTAAATGTCGTGGTTTCGCATTGACATATCGAGACTGTTTAAAAAGTGTAACGAACCTACGGTTACCGCTGAGAATGAATGGTTACTTAGAAAATGCTCACCACCACTCATTTAAGGTATCTAAGAGATGCCTGCAAGGTTACAATGGTGTAAGGTAGGGTACCAACTTCAATATTTGACTTGTGCTGTTTACAAAAAGCTCTTCATTGTTGCTAAGAACTTTGTCCGAGTATGAGCTGGGGCAACCTTGGAGCAATAGATGTGTGGGATCAGGCTAACACTAGATCGCTTTGCCTTGGCCAGCCAGTACCCTCGGCCGTAGAGTCTTGTGACGGACAGACAGAATTTTCGACCGATAAGGAAGAGTGATCCCACGTCGAGTTCCTCGAAAAATCTTTACATATGCCGTGAAGAGGGGTCGTGATCAACAACACTCCTCGGGGTAATTAATCTCTTTAGATTTCAAGCCGACCTACCAAATGTTGCGCATTTATCTATCGAAAGCGGTAGCGCCTGCCTGATGTAGCTAGCTAGCTAGCCTATCGTGAATCTCGCTTCGAAAGTCGTAGACATCCAACAGATGACCTTTTTAGGTTTGACTTTCGATCTAACTTATCTACACGTGATATTTCTATGTTAGTAATAGATGAATTTGATTCAGTCACGACTGTTTATAGTTGAAATTGATTGTGGCCAAGCGGAGTTTCAGCTTCATCAACCCATCTATGTGTGGGGCCTAAAGTGTAGTAAACAGGTGGAGGCACCTCTCATGTACCCAACTGCAACGGAAGAATACCTCCTCTTGCTATCCCATTCCTTGCGTGGGAAGTGATGATGCTGGTTATTCCACCACTCACCATAGCCTTTCGTTGAATCCGTGAGACCTATCGTTGAATAGAAACCTCGGTCGACTTACTAAAAGCTCGTAACGCACAAAGATACCTGAATGGTAGGTGATCGATTGCAGTATTTTACAGTCCTGCTACAGCGGAAATAGAAAACCGCACAATGCCAAAGATCTTCTTCATTACGGGTGCTGGGAGTGGCATCGGCAGAGTGACAGCACGCGAGCTCCTCCTTAAAGGCTATCGTGTGTTCCTGACCGACTACAACGAATCCTTTCTCGAAGATACATGCACAAAACATCTTCCGTCGGTTGTTCCCGAAGATAAACACCAAAATTTCAAATGGTCACCGATGAATGTCAGTGATGACGAGCAGATTGCAAATGCGATTGCCCTCTGCGTTCGCGGATTTGGGGGTATAGATGTCCTAGTCAACAGTTCGTTTTCTATTACCCTGAAAATAAACATTTAAAGAGAAAGCAATGTACGAGCAGACTGACAAACATTAGACGCGGGAATAAATGTAACTTCTTCATTCTGCCATCGAATAAATAATTACTTACGATTTCAAACAGAGCCAATATATGCGCTCGGGAATTCGTATGGATCAGGTCCCAACTTCGGATTTTGAAAAAATCCTGTCCGTGAATCTCGTTGGCACTTATCGCGTCTCGCAAAAAGCCATACCGCACCTCGAGAAATCTTCCACTGGCGGCGTGATAATTAATATGTCCAGTTGTCGCTCTACACAGCAGAGCAAGCACGGGGAGGCCTACGCTGCTTCCAAGGCTGGGATTGAGGGCCTAAGCATGGCAATGGCGGTAAGTCTTGGACCGAGGATCAGAGTCCACGTCGTTAGTCCGGGGATGGTCGATGTGCGATCTGAGCGCAACGAAAGTCTCCTGCCCCCTTTGGAGACTCTAAAAAATGATCTGAATAGGGATTTTCAGAGTGAGTATGCGCCAACGTGGGGTGCAGGCAAAAGCAATACGCTGAACGAGGCGCATCCTGTTGGTAGAATTGGGAGGGGAGAGGATATTGCCAGGTACGTCGCCGCAATTTCTACCGAGTAGCAGCATGCTTATCTTGTAGGTGGATTGAATTTTTGGCTGTTTTGGAAGGCGGGTTTACGACCGGTGGGGTAAGTGTTAGACTTCAGATTATACATGCAGAGTCCTTACTGATGGACATCTAGGCGTATTTGGTGGATGGAGGATACTCAAAAGTACTCTCCTACCCTGCGTAGTCACTGAAGTACTGTAATTGATGCGATGAAAATAACAAAAAGTTGAATTACGAACTGTCAGACATGGCGTAGAAATATAGTCAATGGTAGTTTATCACACAAGTGGGTGTTGAATAGGTAAGAACGTAAGAAAATCAGTTAACGAATCCTAGAGTAGAATGGCTTTGCGTGGGGTATTCCAATTAAAATTATTATACATAAATAACAGGTAGTGCACCAACAAACCCATAAAATCTTTCCAGTAATGTTGCGGCCGTTTTTGGTGAGTCAAAATGTCAGAGATCAAAGCTATCCTCCTAGGAACGAGCCATCCACACATCTTCCACCGTTATGCGTACTTCCAGCAACACCCCAACATCAAACTTCTCGGTTACCACGACAGCGATCCAGATATCGCCCAACAGATGAAAGCCTACGCACAGTGCCCTCTTTTCATCGAGTCTGCCGACCTTATTAGCGTCCCGTACGACGTAGCATTTATCCATGGACGAGATCACGAAAATGCAGAATACATACGGCTTGCACTCAACAGTGGTGCAAGGGGCATATTCGTAGAAAAACCCGGGGTAGCCCAACCTAAAGAGTTTTATTCACTGACAGCGGAGATCGAAAAACGCTGTATAATTTTCGAAGTTGGATGGGAGCTGCATTACCTCGAGACCGTCGAGACGGCTCGTCAAATCGTCCGACAATCGTTGTTAGGCTCGATAACACTGGCTAGGTTCCACGGCGGTTGTCCGGGAGGCGCAGGTGCTGAACCTTGGCAGTCAGACAAGCGGAATATCGGTGGTTTCTTTTATAGTCTCGGTGGACACGTCCTTGAAATAGTCGTTGATTTATTTGGGCTGCCTGATCAAATAATATCGTCTGTGAGGAAGTTACCGGAACAAAAGCGTCATCACGGGTATTCCTGGGTGCCAGGTCTATTCCAGGCACGGGAATTGAACCCAGAAAAAGCAATCGGCACCCTTGTTCATGAGGACATTGCCTCTGCCATTCTGGAATTTGACACGTTCAATGTCCATTTGGATTTTACCGCGTGGGAGGCAAGTCGGTATCTCCGAGATTGGAGTGTAGAAGTTTACGGAACCGAGGGATCATTACATCTAAATATTGATGGGCCTGGAAGTTATGTCCTTTCGAAAGAGGAGAAGAATGGATGGATCGTAGGGAAAAACTCATTAAGCAAAAAAGAGGTTAATCTTTCCGCCGCTTTTCAAAAGCAGATGGATTTGTTCTTTCAGCAAGTGGGAATTGGGAAAATGGAGGGCGAATTTTGTGATCAAAGGGTCGCCTTAAAACTTTTAAAGCTCTACGATGCGCTATATGAGTCTGCACGGATAAGGAAATGGGTATCGCTGTAAGACGAGAGATTGCACTATGAACAGTAATCTGTGGTAGTTAGTAATATACTTCCGAGTTGTCAAGCCAGTACGGATCCTCGACATTGCTTCCTTTCCAGCAGTCCACACTACATAAAGAATACCAATCGGCTAAAGTAACGGCAAAATTATTGACTGTAGTGCCACTTTGCGTCAGGGCCAGTTGTATGGTCGCCTCGGTGGTCAAATTTGACAAGCGGACAGCAATATTATAGATTCCCGAGTTGGTAAGCTCGGAACACCCACTATACGCATCACACGGATTGGTATCGGTAAGTTCAAGATAGGCATTGGATGGCGACAATAGACTCAAGTCCATAGCTATATTCCCCTGCGTCAGAGTGGCAGTGCGGTTATCGGAATCTAAGCTGACAGTTGAAATTGTGTGCCAGCTAGCAGCAATATCTACTGGAGCGGGTGCACTGATTTCATCCTGGATCAGAAGTTGAGAATCGTTTAGGACGATTACTCCGCGTAGAACGCTAGTCGTAACATTTTCATATGCATCTGTGAGGTTGACAACACCAAAGCGGCTGGACGAGTCAAAGCTTCCAGCCCATAATAAAGAGTTATTGGCTGATGGGATTTGGTTGGCGAAGCTGAGTGCCACCTGACTTTGATTCGAGATACTTAAGGTATTCGCACCCTCGGTGCGACAGCGATAATATGTCCAACGACGCGGTGCAACAAAATAATCGGCAAGACTGTAACTATCTGAGCCTAGGAGCTCCGCCCATCGGTACCCCTTATAATCTATAACAAATGATCCCGCGTCCAGATGGCCGTGAGAACGTCCATTGAAGCCACCCATCAATCCGAAGAACCAGCCAGTTGAATCGGTCCATGAGGAGCGGTATGTCAATCCAGCAACGTTTTCAAATTGATCGTATCTTGGCATAGTAGGTAGAATATTGGTGGTTTTCAGAGAGGAATTGTAAAACAGAAAGGCTTGAAAGGTAGCCGCTTGTGAGGCGGTAAACCTGGAAAGCATTCCCTGTAGCCATTCGGCTCTGTTGAACCGTGTTGCCCAGTATCCAATACTCCATAGGCTGTTGGCATTTGAGAATGTCCAAGACCCGTCGGCCCAACTGAATCCGCCGGTTTGGCCAAATCCATGCGTTAGCCACGCACCAAGATTGCTCATTCCTGGAAGGTTTGAGATACCAAGGTCGTTACCTAGCGCACTGTCTAGTGACCCCATCATAAGCCCCAGGAAGATGCCTGCGTACGTTCCGTAAGAGTAACCTTCCATCCAACCACCGTCTGGTGCATACTGTTGCAACGATACATTGAGTTTGGGCAGAGAAAACTCAATGATCTCGTTCGATAGCGTGGAGTTTATGTCCCCAATTGCAAGGGATCCTATAATCAGGCACCCGTGGGTAACCTGTGCCCAGTTGTTCGTATGCTCAGACCAGGAATTAATTGAGGAGTTGAGAGCCGGAAGAAAAGACTTGCTGAGAATTGCCGATTCGATCGCGCTCCTCTGTGCACCCGTCAACTCATCATACACCCAGTCGTAACCCAACGAGACTGTCATAGTTATATCCGCCGTATTCAAGAAGTTGGATGGGTCCCAGTCAGAAAGACTTGACAACTTTATGACCGTATCAATGACCCAGTCTGAATAGATTGTGTCATTGGTCAATCGATACATTCCTGCAACAGCACCGAGATTCATTCTGATGGTACTAGACCATGAGGTTGCAGAGGACAATGACAAAGGTGTTGTTACCGCAGTATTGGCAGTGGTTTCCAGATACCCAAGAACCTCTTGGTAGTATAAATCAGTCTGATTCATTTCGAGAACTGTTCTGACACGTTCATCTGTAAACATCAACCGGGGATGAGTTGGGAGACTTGTGAAGTCGATTGTCGCAGTCGCGACGGCGGCAAAAGCCAACAGCCAAGTAAGGTAATACATTTTACTTAATAGAAGGTAAAACAGGGAGTTCGAACATGTTGCTTGTAATGAGGTCGTGCTATAGCCATTTGATTTAATTCTTCTGAAGGGAGCCAACCCCACAGCTTGACTATCTGTCAAATCTTCAAAGGAGCATCATTATCAGATACATCCCACATAACCGAGAACAAATAGATTAAATTTCTCCGATAATTGAGGGTTGTGATTTGGAATACTATGATAAACTTTCTTATCAGATAAACAATGGTTTTTCCATCCCGTAAAATCCGTGGGAGTGCGGAGTCCCCGCGACTTTCAGCCGAGTCGAGATTGGCACCAACAGGCAAGCGGACCATATATAGTCCTCCGCAATCACTGAGAGACTCCAATTCAAATAAACTTTGCAAAATAAACTTGAGGTTAGATAGCCACTTCAAAAATGGATTCTAACGCACAGAAAACGGCCACTACCTCGACGAAAAAGGAAGACGATCGTGTCATTGGAGAAATCATGAGCGTCTCACAGAAGATATGCTACACCAGATACAGCTCCCCCTTCTGGCAAGTTGTCATAGTGAGTATAGTTGCCTTTGGGTGAGTTTTTCCAACTACATATTGTGAATGTATTGAAACTGAATAGAACAACGAGATGCCCTGGCATGTACAATGCACTCTCTGGTATTGGGGGAGGTGGCCAACTGGACACTACCACACAGGCAAAAGGCCATATTGCTCTTGCTTCTGTCAGTGCAGCTGGAAACATATTTGTCGCTCCAGTACTGACAAACGTTCTCGGACCGAAATGGACGATCTTTATTGGCGGTATTCCATACATTTTGTATGCTGGTTCACTACTGGCCTACAACCATACCTCCAACCAGGGCTTTGTAATTGGTGCTAGTGCTATTCTTGGTATTGGAGCATCGTTGCTGTGGATTGCACAAGGTGCAATCATGACTGGATATCCCCTACCCCAGCAGCAGGGCAGGATGATTGGCATCTTCTGGATTATTTTCAAGTGAGATCCCAATTCAAATCTTTTCTTTATGATAGTAGAGATTCTGATGCGTTCTTAGCCTGGGTGGATTTCTGGGTTCCATAATTTCCTTTGGTTTAAACTTCAGCTCCAAATCGGGCTCCGTTTCTGATTCGACGTATATTGCATTCATGTGCATCATGGCCTTTGGATGTATATGTGCCCTTGCACTTCTCCAACCTTACAACGTCATTAGAGAAGATAATTCCCGTGCGGCCGTTCTTCGGAAGCCCAGTGTTTGGGGTGAATTTGTAGAGACATTGAAGATTTTAAAGGACTGGAGGGTCGTGTCTCTTGTTCCTTTCTGGATGGCTGCAAATTGTGAGTCTTCTTCCATCATTCTCTTCAATAATTGATGCTCACTATGATAGATGCATACAACTACCAGCAGAACACCTACAATGCTAAACTGTTCACGATCCGAACCCGAAGCTTCAACGGCGGAATGTACTGGCTAGCTCAGATGGTCTCAAGCTACATTTTTGGTCTCTTTCTCGATAATAAATGTATGAATCGGCGCCAGCGTGGTATATGGGGCTTTATAATCACCGCAATCATTTCCATGGTTGTCTGGGGTGGCGGGCTGGCAGCACAGCTCAGACGTGGGCCAAGCAGCTCCTACTACGGCCTTAACGAAATGGATCTCATCGAATCCGGCCCCAAGTACGCTGGGCCATTTCTGTTATATTTCTTCTACGGGAGCTTTGATGCTATCTGGCAAACCCTGGTCTATTGGACCATTGGTTACTTATCGCATGAATCACCTGAACAAGCGGCACGGTACGTAGGAGCCTTCAAATGCGCCGAGGCGGTGGGTAGTGCGATCGCGTCTAAGGTGAACTCAACAAAAACGAATTACAATGTGGAGTTTGCGGTTGACTGGGCTTTTGTGGTTTTCGCTCTGATCTGGGTGATCCCGTTTGTGCGGTCGATCCAGGAAGTTCCTGCACATGCCGGCCAGCAGACAGCGTATGTACATAAGGGCGAAGACTTGGATGAGACAGCCTAATGTCTGTAAGTACATCCGATTACATATTCAGAACAGCAAAGGAGCAATGATATACACTTTTCTGGATGTAGCATTTCACAATGAAGTTAGCAGTTGGTGTTTGAAATGAAGGAGAGAAATTATGCCCCGCGTTAGAAAATATAGCAAACCTTGTGGATTCATTCCAGTCACGCATTTGGGCATCCGATTAACTGACTAATTGAATAAGGCTCCACTGCCACCAAGTTCCATCAACATACGGCAAGCCAGCGCTTGAGCAAATGTCTTGATTAGGAGACACCGGCGGCAGCAATTAGAGGCATTGCACAATCCAAATCAGGTGTGGAACGACTCCGTGATATAGAGTAATTCATAGCAACAAGGTGACAGTATACATGATTAAAGGTTGTTACCCAGATAGGTTGCTGTGGATTTTGGAACGTGGAACTCTGTCGGCAGTGTCAATGCACCAGTATGTGGTTTTCATTTAATTAGTATCTGTGATACCTTTTGCCACTCTTTTCCGCATATTACAAAGCGTACAATCGTAACAGCACAGAACTAGAGCAGAAAAGGAGACAGCCGATGGCGTTTTTGAATGTGCCCCAAGCCTGTAAATAGTGTAGATCAGTGGGACACTTCCCGTTGATACTATTGCAAACACGTGAAATTATTTTGTCGTTATGTACCAAAGGATTTTCAGAGTCGTAAAAAGGCTGATGCACCAAACTGATCCCGTGGGCAATGGTCTTCAGCCCTGAATAGATCTGCTTTAGGTCAAAGTACATAGACATAGTTGCCTGGCCTATGTTATTTCCAATGCTATTTTGATTATATTGCCGGACATGAATGCAGTGTGGATGTACAAAGGGATTTGAAGATAATCTAGATGAAAGGTACTCCTTTTGAATATGTACACTTGAATATTCAATTTCTATCGCGAATTGAGAGACTGGGATGGAATCGATCGAGAAGCATCGAGATTACATCTGAAGGGAAGTGTGATTAACTTTGAATATATGCTAATAATCAAGATATATCGGCAAATTCCACTTAAATGATATGGAATGTGACACTTGTGTTAAAAGCCGTAGGTATCTCTGCGCTTGATATATGCCCGTATAAACACGCTGAATTAAGTCTAATAGTATACCTTCCCAGCTGTAAGTGACGCTTGGTGTCATACCCGATACCACTGTAGTCTCTTCTGTCAACTCGTCTTGCCACTGATCTCATTCTGTAATCCAGTCCTGTGCTAAGCTTTATGAATAGACCTCTGCAAGTCTCATGGAGATTAAGAAATCAAATCCCATGGGCATTCCATGGGACTCCCAAAAAATAGGCCAATTTTTAATTTTATACGTTTTCTATATTATAGATATAGTTTAGATTCTTATTATTTATATTATCATAAATCTTTCCTACTAGGTCATAATATGAATCAGTGTCATGCAGGTTGATCGTAACAGCTGAACATGCCGGTGCCTTTTCAGCTTGACCGGTCAATTCTAACCGAACCTGAGACTAGCTGCGCCAATCAATTGACTCCGTAACCGAATTTTTGAGAGCGCCTGGTACAATCCTCATTTCACGATTACCAATCAGGACCTTGGTGTCGGAATATATAAGAAATGATCTTTCCCCAGAATAATACGGATTCGGTTTAAAGATTGCATACTGGCAATACACAAACGTGAGGCTTACCTGTCACCTCCTAATTAGGTAATTACACATGATATAAAACTCATGTGATCATCTGGATAAGACAAGCGATAACTATGTCAACAACCGAAGTTAATCAAAATCCAGTACGTTTAACTCCAGTTCTTTATTTTTTGCGTTCAAGCTAAGACTCGACAGATCCTCACTCGATGCGTCAATGACGCTGGCATCTCCTCCGAGACTGTGTGGTACTATCCTTTGATTGCTACAAACTTCCTGGTTTGTTCATATTGTTACACAAAACACGTCGAATTAAGCGATCTGGCGAAGTATTTCAAAGCAGCATGGAGACCCGCCGATTCTTCACAAAGGTGTCAGTGGAATACACCCCGTGTCATGTTCTATCAGGTAGCCCGTGACTGGGAACCCATCAAGAGATTTATGGTGCGGCGGGCACAATTACCACAGTGTCAGGGCGCCACGGGTCATACGGGCCTCGACGGCTCGCGATGGTATACACTACTGGATCAATCAGTCGTGGCAAACATGGCAGTATGTGAAATATGCTATGAGGATTTGATAGCGTGGAACGAGCTTAGGAAATTCTTCAGCGTATCGCCACTAGTAAAGACATCAGAGGAAACATGGACATGCGATGCTGCTGTGCCACTTATTAGGGATGGGCTTGCCCTCTCTCTCCTTCCGGACAATGATTGGAATGAACTTCTGCCCTATATAAAGAGACGACTGGAACTGCCATCCTGCCAAGAAATGAGTCAGCTCGAAGCTAGTAGGACAGACTGGTATTCGTCAGCAACAGTTCGAAGTTTGCTGATTTGTGGTGAATGTTATTTGGATACGTTTGGGCTTTATTTTGGTAGCCTCTGGAACTCTGTAACTTTTACTAGCGAACAGGAAGAATTACATCTTGAATGTGCCATGTCAACGATGTCCATTCAGATGGCATGGAAAAGTTTTCAGACAAAGGACAAAGATAACTACAAACGGTTCGAAGATCTCGCTAAGACTATTATGGAAAGCCCGAAGTGCGCATCAGAGGGAATTCAGAATAATACATGGTATACGCCACGGACATACCTTGGTAGTGATTTTGCGATCTGTGGACGATGCGTTGCGGCCTTTATGATTCCGCCAGGATTCCGATCTTACTTCAGAGAGATATCGGGTCCAGAGGATGGCAGCCCATATATATGTGATTTCAACCCGGTCAAGCCGCGCTTCATGGTTTATATGGAGAAATATGATGAAGCTGTCGCACAGGGGGATTTGGAAGTTCTGTCAAAGTTCGTGATGAGATATGCCGCGCTACCTGACTGTCCGAAGAGCAACGGATTGAAAAATCGAAAATGGTTTGGAACGAAATCCTTCTCAGTTTGTGAACTATGTTACGAAGAGTTTGTCAAATCTACGAGTCTCGCAAATCGTTTAGGATGCGGTACTATACCTCGAGAGACACGGTGTGAATTGTATTCTCCGAGGATGAGAAAGCTTTGGTTGCAAGCCTGTGAAGAAAATGATCTACAAGGGTTTGAGGCTGCTGCTATACAGCGCAGGCAGATACAAGAATTCGCTCAGAACGGAATATTACAGATTCGCTTGAGGCAAATCAGACAACAAGATCAGCAGACACGATTGTTCATGGCTTCTATTCAGAATCAAGGCTTGGAGGGAATGTCTATTGCTGTAGGACAGCATCCGTCATATGAGTATGGTAACTCGCAGGTCGGATGGGGATATGCCACTAGCGCCGGGGCTCAAGCCGCAACGCAGTTTCAACAGGCATTGGCCATGCATCCTCGACGACCCGAGGATGTAGTGGAAATGGCTCGTTTGACATCGATGTGGTACGAGGTTGAGTAGTTGCTTTTCTTTATTGATCAGCCTTTTCTACGGACATCAATTTCAAATCTGATATGACCGAGATTGAAACCTCCGACTCTTCAAATCCGTCGCCGTAAAGTCAATTGAGTAACAGATATAAATGTGTTTACTAGGTCTTGCTCGGTGCGGGTCTTAGGGGTTATTGAAATATTTATTTAAAAAAATACTAGCTTTGCTAGTGGCTACATGTCAGTATTTAGAGATCTAATATTATTATAGACTATAATCTAGTACTTTACTAAATATGAATATAGGGTAGATAATATTTATTAATATATCAATATTATATGATGAATATTGTACCGGTGACTGCCGTCACACTGCATACGAAGCCTGCCTTGGTCTCGGCACCTGGTTGATCCGGCCCGGCTGGATATTCATGTAGGCGCACAATGGGGATAGCCTCATTTCAAAATACAAGAATTCATGCTCTTAATATCGTGTTATCAGCTCATGTAGTTGCTTACACTTCAGTATGGTTATGCATTTAGATTAATATGGCCTCTGATTGGCCAGCTCATCCTTCTCCGTTCTGCGCCGCTTCCCAGCATACACCTTCCCCGCTACACTATCCAAATCTATTCTATTTATAAAGACTATAAGAAAATCTATTAAAAATTTACAATTTAATATTATAAAATAATATTTATAAATTCTTAATCATTTTTTCTAGACTTGGTCAAAATAGATCTTGATAATGACTACAACAGGCTAAGACTCAAATAAGATCGCTCCTAAATCATTCCTATATGATATATCTATACTCCTGTAGAATTCTGATAAGCTATTTATGAGAATACTAAAATCTATATATAATTTATTGAAATAAAACGATTAAATCACTGAATTATTATTAAAATATATAAATATTTAGACCTTTGCAAGTCCTATGGGACTGGGCCCCGTACTACTACGCCCTTGTAAACCCCCTCTTACAAAAAGCTTCCACAGAAGCAAATATAAGAAAGTCAAATATAAGTGGCAGATATATATATTTCGGATATAACTGGCTTAAACGTCCTCAGTCCTTATTGAGTAATATTCTATCCGCCACACTTTTAATTGTTCCCCGAAATCCCAACTCGCTATATGTCAATGCGAGGCCTCACTTTCTGTAGATAAAGTTCATTGATATATACAGTGCTGAATGTATAAGTGCGCAAACTATAGTCCTTGTCCCAATTAATGATCGATTTCTAAAAATTGAACGATCACGAAGTGTTTTCGGCAACGGCATTTAAAGGATACACCATATAGCGTGCTTTATGACCGTCAGACACTAAGCGAGCATCTGAGAATTATCAGTGGAACTAAACAGCTATAAGTAAAAATTGATGGGACATCATGATGGAAGCAAATACGACGTTTGAAAATAGCTAAGGAACGTCCTTCATCAACCATCTCAACAACCTAGCCAACTCCCTGATCCCACCCCCCTCTTCGCTCCACACGTCCAACCTCTCAATAACAACCCTCACACTATCCGCCCAAGTGGGGGGTACGACTACATACTCTGCCGAAGATACCCCATTGACTTTCCCTCTAAAAGCAGCAATCAAGCATAATGAATGATTGAATCTTACGCGACATGCTCCCCAGGATCCCGGGTGTCGAAAAAATGGATTTTCGGTCTGAATGCGATAGACGGATAAAGCTAGTCCTTCACTAGCCTTTGCGCCGTATACGCGAGCTTGTTCATGGCTGAGGGTAGTGCCGCAGTGAAGACAAAGGTAGAGATGAGCGCGGCAAAGAAGTTCGCGCACTTCGACGTAACGCTCACGCACGAGCTTGACAAGTTCAGGCTCATTAGGTAGCGGAAGACATTCAGGTGGTCTGTTGAATCGGAGAACTGGTGGGAGATACTCAAGCCACTGTTCAAGCTGACAGTCAAGTTTGCATAATGTTTCAGCGAGGATTGATGCGGCGGTGAAGTCGATATCGGGGTTCAGGGTTACGACCGCGTTTCGTGCGCGGTTGAGGAGTCTGCGGAGAGAGATTTCGGCGAGGTAGTAGTAATACGAGGGTGAGTCTTCGATGGGCTGTTCATGACCACTGCTCACTGTCGATGATGAGGTACGCAGATTTGAAGAGGTCGAAAATGTTGGAAGAGAGAACGGAAAATCCGATTTGTACAGCGTACATGATGGAAGATCGGTCAATTCGTAGCGTACTTCACATTCGGATTTGAGACATGTCCAATATAATCTCTGCTCAAGGCCTGTTTTATTTAGCATAGAACTGAGAATAAAAGGGAAAGGTGATATACTTTGTTCCTGTTTAGATCTCTCCGTCGTTCCATCTCGGTGTTTCAAGTTATAAGCCTCCCATAACATCGACGCGGTGCGAAACATCTTCCAACCGGGGATTGGCTCGATATTATACTGATACCACATTCTATCAATGTTAGTCAAGAAATTGTGACAGGAAGGAGGCTATTTACAAACCCAAATAGACAAAAACACGCAACTCCCAGTAACGAGTCATCCAATAGCGCCGTCGATATTCGCTCTCTTGCCATCGAGAAATAACCCCATGACTCTCTCATCCGATGTCTCGGAACCGAATTCGTCACAAACCCCGCCTGTTTAAATCCGTCATGCGATGCAATGCAATCAACGTTCGTCCTCCGATCATTATGCGGATAATCACCCCATATAGCAGCTAGCGACAGTACCAGCAACACCAAGCACGACGACGCACTCCAGTCAAACCCCTTTTCCAGGACCTTGATGAGATGGTTATCTAATTCACATGCGTCGACAATGGGGTTCTTGATTTGAATTTTTCTCATGTAGATATCCCTCAATTCTAAAATGCGTCGGCGTTGAGAGCTGTCGTAGCCAATCAAGCCGGGAACCATGGTGTGTTGACAGTGATCAATATTCTTCTCCTTTTCCGCATATGCATATGCTGGAAATGTGTGAACTGGCTTATTTTTCGGGAAAATGGGCCAGCTGAGAATCATATCTGATCCGGTGATATGTGTTTTCGGGGTGTCATTTCTCGAGATTGTCTCCAGATCAGCGTCTTCAAGTGTTGTATGCAAATGCTGTACCTCATTCCGTCCTCTATCTGTTTTCTGAGCTACTAACTCATCGAGGACCTTCTGCTGACGCTCGATAGCGCCTAAAAGGCGTTCGCCCAAAGATTCAAATCTTTCTCCATCAGATCAGTACGTAAATTATTGCTATTAAGGGAGTAACATACATCGAAAAAGGATCTTTATCCGAATAAACACACGATACCCCCTTCTTCTGACATTTTGCGCATACCGGCCTCACCGAGTCACATCTCGTTTTGCTGATCCGGCATTCATCGCATGCAGCTAGGACGCGAGTATGCTTGCGGGTGGCTGCAATGGAAGAAGATTCAGATCGGCTTAGCTTGCGCTTTTTGCTGGTTGATTCGAGAATCGAATCAGGGGCGTCCATCTCTTTGATTTATTTTATCTTTCTCGATGATAACAACTAACAATTAGTGCATACACACGGTAGTTGATGGTCGGTCTCGGTGTCGTGGTTGGTGAGGGGAAACCAAGAATAAATTAACTTCTTGGCTTGACCAGTCAGAAGGACCTGTTTATACCGAACATCCTAGCCTCATTATTGCTGGTTTTCAATCAGAGCCGACACTACACAAATTGCTTTTTCATGTAAACTTCAAATTATATGATTAGCTAACTAGATCTATATTGTTCAAGTGAACTTAATATTTCCATCTTCACCATTTCGAAGATGGCTGTAAGGATAACGTCATCGGACTGAGGCTGGAAGATTCACCTTCGGAGCGAACTATTCAGCTCGTACGCTCGCCGTTTAATCTAACCACCGGCAAGTACGCCCTGAAGTATATTAATTGCTCGTCCGTTTAGATGGGGAAGCCAGGCTTGGACATAACGTCTAACCAAATCTATCTTTATTCCCATTCTGTAATGATTTACAATCCCAACCAATATCTCGTCTCAGTAACCCTTAGTACTGCCTTCCCAAGGATATCTACACTTGAAGTTCCCACGAGGACCTCATAATCTCCTTCCTCACTTTTCCACATACTCTCAATCTCATCCCAGAAGCTGGTAGCATATTTATCAACTGTAATGCTTACCGTCTTCTGTTGTCCTGGCTCAAAGAAGACCTTTTCGAATCCGTGTAGTTCCTTGATTGGCCGCGGTGTAGGCGAGTTGGGTGCCGATATGTAAAGTTGTAAGATTTGTGCACCGGCACGTTGGCCGGTATTTTTGAGGCAAAGCTCCACGACGCTGAGGTGTTCCGGGTCATATGTTTCTGGTGTTATTGTAATAGTTGGCGATGTGAGTTCGAATGTGGTGTAAGAGAGGCCATGACTAGAAAAGCCCAGAATTAGTAACGAATAACCTACTTCGAAGCAGAAGAAAATATGCTCACCCGAATGGAAATAACACCTCCCTCCCGGTCGCTTCATAGAACTTATATCCAACATAAACATCTTCGCTATAAAGTACCCTACCCCCAACGCTCGCAAAACTCAAATAAGCCGGATTATGGTTAACATGTACCGGCCACGAGAGTGGAAGTTTTGCGCAAGGGTTAACGTCGCCAAACAAAACATCTGCAATTCCATGGCCGGTCTCGTTTCCACCATACCACGCTTGGACGATGCATGATGCTTCATTAGCCCATGGCATAGTAACTGGCGTACCAGATTGGTTGACGATGATTGCTCTACCTCGAGTCGCAGCGATCACCCTTTTGATCATTTTGTCGACTCCCGGCGGAAGATCCATGTGCGGTCGATCGAAGCCCTCTGATTCCCATTCTCCGCTAAGGCCGGTGCAGATGATTGTATAGTCAGAAGTGGCAGCGGCTTGCACGGCGTCCTCAATCATTTGCTTCGCGTCCATGCGCAGACAGGCACCAAGATGTGCGGCTCCACCGCCAAAATTAACCATACCGATTGTTTCCATGGTTGTGGTATTAGCAGAGCCAAACTCAATGCGCAGCTTATATTTTCGATCTTTGACAAGCTCTTTTGAGCCGGTCTCTTGTACTGTACCCTTACCAAAGAATGTGGTCCCGCGAGTTTGCTTAGATGTATTGTCGATAACCAGCTCGTCGTCAATGTAAAGGTTTGCGGTCCCAAAGACACTTAAGCCAAAGTCCCATGTACCTGAGACGTCGGGTGTAAAGTCTCCGGCCAACGATGTCCAGAATAAGGAGCGATCTAGTTCTGGAATATTGTTGTAATCCATAAGCTGAAAGGCTGTGCTAGTGACAGGTTCTGTGCCCAGCAGTTTTCTGCCTGTTATACTAGGAGGATCGTTGTAGAAATGCATAACGGCGCCGCTCAACATGCGGTCGATGACTGGCAACATGTTGTGTGCGTAGGCTCCAACTTCGTATGTGATTTCGGCATATTTGGGAAGAACTTCGGTAATGGCATCGTACAGGGAAACTGAGTAATACGGAAGAAGAGCTGCACTTCCTCCACCACAGATTTGGGGGTGCTTCATATGGGAGCCGATTAGGGCTATCTTTCTGATAGTCTTTGGCAAAGGTAGGTTATTCTCCTCATTTTTGAGTAGCACAATACTGTTAGAGCACAATATTCGGTTGATCTTTCGGTCCTCTGGATAATCACGGCCTTTCTCAACATGAGACACTTTAGCCTGGCTGGCTCTCTTCACGAAGTTTAGTACGTTGTGAGACCGCGTATCAATTACAGACTGCTTGATGAGACGTGCTTGAACCGCAGAGTCAATATATTTTCCACGATATCTCGATACACCAGGCATCTCAAGATCAAGTCCTGCTACCATGGCGTCTATTGTCGTGTATGTTCCGTACCAGTCGCTCATAATAAGCGGTAGCCATTGCCATTCCTTTCTCACTATACCCTCCAACAGTTCCAAGCTATCTGCAACATGCTTCCCATTGATTTTATTATAGGAAGTCATCAACGCTCCCGGTTTCGCATCTCGTGCAACAATCTGGAACGGCCGTAAATACACTTCCCTGAGTGCACGTGGAGTAATCAAACAGTCCACTGCCCGTCTCTCGTGTTCCTGATCATTACCCACAAAATGTTTGACGGTCGATATTACGCCTGATCCGTCTTGCTCACAACCAACAATCATCGCTGCAGCCAACTTACCAGACAGATGCGGATCTTCAGCAAAGGACTCAAACCCGCGACCACCGAGAGGAGAGCGCTGTATGTTGACGGTTGGTCCTAGCCAGCAATGCGCTCCCTTTGCGAGGCATTCTTGGCCGATTAAGTTACCGGCTTGTCGAATTAAGGATTTGTCCCATGTTGCGCCTAGAGCTGTACCGCAGGGAATGCATGCGGCTGGTATGCCTGCGAAGAACTTGGTGCCTCGGATGCCGTTGGGGCCGTCGGTGACTCTGATGGAGGGGATGTTGTGCTCAGGGATGGGTTGCGTGTGCCAGAAGTCAGTTCCTGGTAGTCTCTGGTTAATCGAAGATACGCAATGTAGAATCCTGAATACGGATGCAGCTTACCGGACAAGAGCGCGATTTTGTCATTTTGTTTCAGTTTGGCCAGTACGGCATCAACGTTAAAGGTCATGACTGTTGTTATGTACTCGACAAAGATCGTATTGAAGGTACTTCCGTGGTCTGAAGAGCTATATCATGAAGCATACCAACAATTGGTCCTCATAAGTCCCTTGGAGCCGTGACTTCAATTCAATTAAAATTAAGTAATTCGATAATGCTTCAGTCTGCGAAGAGCGAGCTGATGACTTTGTCCCTGCATCTCGCTATAAGTCTCGTTAGCATTTTTCTTATCATGTGAATGAACGACAGATATTTTAGCTTCGCTTAGAGTCAACCGGGGAGTCTCCCCGGCGCTCTTCTTCTATCGTTCCAGCAGAATACGTGACCAACATGCTTAAAATTTGCGAAACCGGGAGAACCAAGTTAGCCGATTGGCTTGATAGACGGTTTCCGGCTAAAACGCGATTATTTCTAGCATTTATCCAGTAGTACCAAATATCGCCCTTTTTTGCTGACCTCCATGATTTCCTGTGTCGGGGAGTGTCCCCGAGTCTACATGCGGGGTGAGGCTACTACAGAAAGCCCCAAATCTTGGCTTCTGTTTGCGCACCATTCAGCATTTGCTTTAGCGTGGGGATTCACTTGGCATGGGGCGAATCTGGAGAAAAGTTTCTTCAGCACTAAGTCACGTTGAACGAAGAAAACGCAGGGGCCACTGGAACTTTGGTTAATTCGGAAGTCGCTTCAAAAGTCTGTGAACTGTTCGCTGAATGGATGAAATATCGTTTAGCGAGAAGTTAGAACAGTTTAGCGATTGGTCATTCCTTCTCCGACACCCCTTTGAAGTTGTTAGCCCTATCCACTTCAAAGCATGGCGAAATAGAGAAGATATTTCAGCCACCCAAAACTATATTATTGTTTTCATATATCCCGACACGATAGACCCCGTCGTATAAGAAGGATACGCTGCCCCATGACCCGGTCGACCGATCTGAAACATCATTTATCTTTACTCAAGACAGACCGATCTTCATATGTAACCAGAGTCAAAATGGTTGCCATCGGTAAACAGCGGCAAGAAGATGTTTCTGACCCTATGCTTGCTGGTCTCCTTGAAGATGACCATACCCCTTGGTACCACAAGCAGAAACTTCGCTCGCTATATCTGGTCCTATTCCCTGCTGCCATGGGAATTGAAATGACGTCTGGCTTTGATTCGCAGATTATCAATACGGTGCAGATTGTACCCTCCTGGAATAAGTGTACGGCTGCTCTTTCTTACTGTCAAACTGGGATGTTTAACCGACTAATTACTGCCTAGACTTTGGCTCACCAACCGGCCATCTCAAAAATGGAGTCCCGGAATATGTGATAGATCCCCAGTTGAAAGGATTTCTTGGGGCTGCATATTCGCTCGGGGCAATCTGTGCTTTGCCGTTTATTCCTTGGGTAAATCAGCGATTTGGAAGACGATGGACTATCTTTATCGGATCAATGATTAGTCTAGTCGGTGCTTTAATCCAAGGATTTTCCAACGGAGGTACGTTATGCAACTCCTCTTGGTAGCCCGTTTCATAGCTAATCATGACTCATTCGTTGGTATTACAGTGGGAATGTATATCGTTGCCCGTCTTCTCCTTGGTTTCGGTATCCCCTACTGCATTGTAGCAGGCTCAGCGTTGATCGGTGAACTGGGCTATCCCAAAGAACGACCATTTCTTACTTCTCTTTTCAATTCATCCTATTTCATCGGTCAAATCATTGCAGCCTCAGTTGGACTTGGGACCGTGACTATTGCTGGTAATTGGGCGTGGAGGATTCCTTCATTATTGCAGATTGCACCGGCATGCGTTCAAATTGCAACTGTCTTGTGAGCATACCTGCTTTCTGATAGAAGGAATGATCACTGAAAAGATTCATGCGAAGCTTCCTCCCTGAAAGCCCCCGGTATCTCATCAGCAAAGATCGCTACGATGAAGCCCAGGCAATCCTAGTCAAATACCATGCCGAGGGCGACGCTAATTCTCTCTTCGTCAAAGCTGAATTGGCACAGATAGAGAAATCAATAAAACTTGAGATGGAAGATTCCAAGCAGAGTTGGTTCGATGTGTTTAAGACACCTGGGATGAGGAGGCGTTTGTTTATTACTGCTTTCTTGGGGCTGTTTACGCAATGGAGTGGAAATACTTTGATTTCGTGGGTTGGCCCTTTACCCTCAATGGATAGGACAAAAGGGAGGTAATTGGCTAACCAAGGCATATTGAAATAGGTACTACTTAAGCGACATACTCAATCTCATTGGCATCACAGACAGTGTAGTCAAATCTAAAATCAACATCGGCATCGCCTGCTGGGGTCTAGTCACCGGAACAACAGCTGCCCTATTGGCACCACGATTCAGACGCAGACCAATCTATCTCCTGGGCGCTTGTAGTCTATTGACCGTCTATGTTGCGTGGACAATCTCCATGGAGAGGTTCATGGTTACAAAGAGTCATGCTGCTGCCATAGCAACCATTTTTTTCATTTTTGCTTATCAACCAGCTTATAATCTTGGATATAATGCTTTAACATACAGTAAGTACTCCTCCTTCAATCTTCGAAGCAAGGAGATAATTGATAACTCCCTATAGCATATCTCGTCGAAATATTCCCCTACATGAGCCGTTCTCGCGGTATCGCCTGGTTTCAATTCTATGGCCGCGGTGCAGCGTTCTTCGCGACATATGTGAACCCTATCGGACTGGCACGTATTGCCTGGAGATGGCTAATAGTGTATTGCTGTTGGCTGATATTTGAAATCGTTTTTATTTTCTTCTTCTTTCCCGAAACGGCAGGGAGAACTTTGGAAGAGCTTTCATTCTGTGAGTGTTTTCCCCCTCCCTTTCTGAGATGATAGGAATGAAGTGTGCTAACTGAAACAGTATTCGAAGGAAAAGAAAAAGCAAATGAAGTCACAAATGCAACCGCGACCAAGATTCTGGAGGAGACTAATGAGAAGAAAGCTCTGGACGCTACGCATATTGAGGTCATGGAGGTGAAAAGGGCTGTATAATTCCATGCTTGAATTGTTAGATGATACGACTATCGGATCTTTTGGGTCGGTTTAACATGAATTGGATGGAATTGGATAAATAGCCTACATGATATTTTGCCGAAATCGTGCATCAAGTGATCAATAACCTTGTGCTTTATCTATGTCTATAAAACTGCCTTTTATCACCAGGGAACGCACATCCTAGTTGATCGTAATCATGGTTGGTATATTTTCAATTTTTTAAGTTGCGAGCTATTTTCAAAGATCAATGGATCTTGTTAAAAGTTCCGAAGCATCTAAAACCTTGTGTAGAGACTCATATGCGCTATTCCTTTCTTTGTGAACGAGTCTAAGTATCGGATGGAGTGAGCAAGATATTGACACAATGTAACATAATAGTGTGCTTATCTATACTCGAGTCATTATCTAATGGGCAAAATCACGGTATTATACTACCCTTACACCTGAATTTGTTGCTATCTGATCAATACCATTCAATAGAGCTTCTTTTGGCCAATCTCAATATACTCCAATTTAGAATTAAATTAAGAATTAGTCAGATTATAAGACTTTGAAAACTGGTACAGACAACTGTTACGAAACCAACTTGCATGACACTAGACAGAATCTAGCACTGTTCAGGAAAGATATTTAATTCTAGCAGCTAACACTACAGCCAATTATATCTATAACTAGGTACAAAAGTAGCAAGCTAAAGATATAAACTTATAAATAATATAAATAATAAATGTATAATTATATATGTCTAAAATAATATTAAAATATACAAAATTTATACATAAAAAAACTTATGGAATTTACGTTTATACATATTAATATATAGAATACAAGTATATTTATATAAATACTAAGCTATATAAAGAATCGCTTCGTACTAAAAGTTACAGAAAATTACCTTATAATATTTAGGGTTATGATTTATATAGATGAATGCCGAGGAAAATCTTTTTATATTCAAAAGATCTTGATAAGTAATTTATTCAGGCTACCCCTTAAATTCTTAATGAAGAATATAGATTTGTCGTGATAATATTGATATGTTGTAAATAGCCATTTTGTATAGGATTACATGGTGCGCAACTTACCTATGCGCGTACCACCCGTGAAGTACGTTTAATTCACCGGCTAGTTATTTTATTCGGATACAATATCGATGAATAATATGCGCCAATCACTACAAATCAACTTAATCTAAGGAGTAGGCCGGCTCGCCAGGGTGTTATGTTAATATAGGGTATAGGATCCAAATCAACATCTCGTTTCCTGGCGTGTTGATCTCTCGGAAGTGGACTTTAATGTTGTAGTCTCTTACCGATGTTATAATGATAAAGGCACGTCTTTCCTGTTGGGTACATAACCGACTGATAAAAGATGTTGTGCTAGCACCACTTCCACTCTTGGTGTGGGGCGCTACAGAAAGGTAGTGTAACTGTATAAATATTGGACCTTTTAGGAAATATTATTTTATCATGATTTTACCTTAATAGCTCACAGATTACTAAGTTGGAGATCGCTATATAGTAGATGAATCTAAGTCCTCGAAATAGGCTGCCGTGTTAGAGTACTTTAAGCTGGATGATAGACTAAGAGATTTTGGCTACTATTCTTACCTTAGCGCTCTATCGGATATGTCCGTCTGGTAAGTCATTGCAATTTCATTTTGCCAACTACGACGAGGCATGGTGGATGAAATACTGAATAGAAGCTGTTTTCCATTAAGTTGAATCTTCCACAGGAGAGGTCAAAAACGCGAAATCTACTTGAGGAAGATATATAAACATCTGTGTTTACGTGTATTGCATCAAAATACAGAAATTTGGTAATCTAAAGCAATGATTAACGATCTCTTATTTCCCCTACAGAATATATAACATACTAACTTGGAAATTAATGCCTTAAAAGGATTATCAGGCCTCGTGACATGAAAGATGTGCTTATTTTTGCTTGGCTATGTAGCAATGGAGAAGGCAAAGCAAACCCGGAAGCAGAGTGAGTTACGAAAGAAGTGAGCAATAAAGACGACAGAAGGAGCAGTAAATAAAATAGCGTTTTTCTTTATCTTACAGATCATAACATATTTGATGCTGCCTTCATTTGAGCCGTTAGCCACTCTCTATTAATCCCCCGGTAATCATGAATAGTATACCCCTCAAATATCTCTTTCTTGAGAGTAGGCTTTCTCCAACGCTTAAGCCCAAGATCATAGAGGAGCATGTCTGCGTAAGGAATAGCATCATAGACAAATTCTGGATACCACGCAGAGAATCCACAGGGATAACGGTGCTTTCCGTAGCGATTCAAGAGAGCGGCCTGGTGATATACGTCTGTTTTGTCAAGGGATATTTTCCCATTCAGATAAGCGTACGTCCATAACGCTTGGCACTCTGCAATAATTATATTGCTTGTACTGTGGACCATCTTAATGTATGCAATAGAATTATCTCCCTTCACCGCGAGCGATGGGGGTGCAATGCCGCGATACAGTCGATAGGGGCTGACATTCTGCTTGTAGGGAATAGCAGGTGGAGAATTGCAGAGGTATGGGAAGCGGGCTAGAATTTCCTCATCTGCTTTGTCATCTAATCGCTGCCAGAGGATTCTGTCTTCTGCGCTGATATCACTGCAAGGAATTCCCAGACTGCTGTTCAGGCCATCGGGCTTGTAAGTCATCGATTGAGCGAGCTTCCATCCGGTGATAGCGACTAGTGCATCTGTGTGAACACTGCTACCATCTGAAAATGTGATAACTCTGGGCCCAGTTAGGTTTTTGATGTCTTTCCGTATGATCTTGACTTGGCCGGAGCGGAGGTAGTTGTGAATATCGGTCGGATAATTAAGAATTCCGACTCGCGCAGACCAAAATAAACTTTCCTAATGTCAGTAACGGGTATTTTGAACGGAAAAGATACTTATCCTCACCTTTGTAGGGGTTCGAGGTATTGCAAGCATTCCTCTTTCCTGTACCCGTTCGAATCAATGATATCCATCCTGATTCCTTCCCAGAATTTGTGCACGAAATATCTTCCCAAGCGAGTTTGATGCAGGGCTTTCCTGACCCAGCCGAATCCGTCAAAATCTCCAAAAACGCATGGGCTAAACCATGTAAAGAATCTCATGGTTGCAAGCAACTCCAGCTTCGTTTTTACTCCCACAAACTTGGCCCATGGAGATGCCATCCAGACTCCACCGCCCCCAGACTCGCGAATGACCCAATTGACTTTCTTATGATTCGATGCCATCATCTGTACAACGTCGTAACCTGTTTTTGATGCCCCCACAACAGTAACAGTCTCGACGGCAGGATCGTGAGCGATGCGTGCTCCCTCCTCGCGCAACTGCGAGTGAGTGATTATCGGCTTTTCAAATTCGTCACTGCCGCGGATATTAACGGGATTGGGAGTTGACGACAGACCGCTGCAAATGATTATTTTTTCGCATATGTACTCGATACCAGAGGGTGAATCGGTGGTACCTATACTTAGGCGCCAACTCTGATCGATCTTCTCAACCTCTAAAACCTGGGTGTTGAAGCGGATCCGGCGGCGGAGGTCAAAATGATCCGCGAAATCATTCAAGTAAGAGTGTAGTATCGAGCCGGAGATATGCTGGTCTTCTTTAACGCCGTATTTTTCACCCATGGGGAAGTCGCTAAATTCATACGTTCCACCAAGGTTGTTTGTCTTAAGGCCTTCGTAGCAGTTCTCTTCGGACCAGACACCACCTATGGTTGCTCTCTAAATCCCCTGAGTTACATCATGCTAGTTATATGAGAGAGATAGACTGGAACACACCTTTTCGAGGATAACAAGGTTGGTTAACGGTGACAGTTCAAGATAGGTTTTTGCGGCAGCGAGGCCTCCGACTCCTGCCCCTATCACAATTACCTCTACAGAGCAAATTTCAGGTGGCATATTGATATTTGAAGAGAGAAAAGATGTACTGTTAGCAAAGTTAGAAGTAGTGCGGCTATTGCCGTTTAGTGGAAGATATACTTCCGGTGGTTTATGTCTCGTTCTCGTCGACTGCGGTAACTACTTGGCCTTATCCGAGATCTCGAGCCCTCCCGGGAAGCAAGATCGGGAACTCGGAAGCCTTATCGCAAATTTACCATGTTTTCGGAGGATAAGCGAGGGATACAGCCGAATTACTGCTATTGAGAAAGGGGTACTATCCTATCGACCATGGTTCGGGTTAGTTAAGGACGTGGAGTTTAGCGATGGACCAATATTTTCCTTGTACATTCGATGTTATATCTGATCGCAAGATTGTGTTGTCCAATAGACAACTATATTCACCGCCCTGGTTATCAACTCTCCTCTCTCTCCTATCGCCTGATCATATTGCTCTACGCTATTACCCGCCTACTACGATCAAGAAAGACTAAGCACGATAATGATAACACGCATTTATTCCAACAGCACACACATGCAGCAGTTAGGGTTAGCTGACTGGCGTGAAATGATCATATGCATGGCATCAGCCTGGGCGATCATTATCCATTACCTGTTACATACTGCTAAAAAGGTGCAGTACCCGTGGCCCTAAACCGCTAGTCGCGCGGTATCTGAGAATAGTCTGCGGGACGGTTGAGTTTGAGGCTATGAAGATCCGAAAGGAGACTATCTGCGAGGGACTGTGGAGTTTGACTACGACTCAATTACTATAAATCTTACTATATTAGTACCTAAGTCTCATTTCAGCAGCTTAGGTGGCCGAGGAGATATGTATTTTTCAGATTACCTTTGCTGCGAAATTTAACCCCTAAGCTGAAACTGGCCGGGACGTCTTATTGAACAATAAGACTCAAATGCCGCCCTTCATCATTGATGATCTAGAGATAGGTTTTCAGAAGCGCTGCATGTATTGTGGCGAGTAATGAAATAGCTTCATTCCTTATAGCGGAAGCTCGATCATACAGGCTTGAGAACTTGAAATCGAATGCTCCAAGAGTGCACCCTCATGCTAACTCCAGCCTCCTCCGTATGTCTAATCCGGCGAAGCCACATAAATCGGCGCGCATGTTGTTTCTAAATATTTTTTCTTTAATAGCGAGCTACATCAGGATATTTATTGTGTACGTAGTTACTTGTACTCGTTGTTCAATCATGGCCAGGATCAACGACGTACCGGTGCCGGCCTATTGAAGAATGAATATCCACTTACATCACATACCTTGAAGTACAAAAGATGTGGTCCATAATGAACTCCACAGGAACAAGTCGCATTTCATCACATTGCTATGAGATTGATTTATCGGGGCCCTAGCATGCAAATGATTTTGCCCTTTGTTTGGTTACCTTCCAACAACTGATGTGCTTCCACTATATCCTCAAATGGAAAAACCTTCTCTATATGAACTTTGAACGATCCATCACAGAACTTTGGTAACGCATGCTCAACCAACAGATCTCTTAATTTTTCCTGGTAATCCAGATCCCGAGTTCGGAGCCCGCTGGCCTCCACACGAAGCATTTTGAATAGTAATGGCGCAATGTTCACACCATCTGCTAACTTCTCTCCACCCATGAGGCCTAAAAGCACGATGCGCCCATTCTTTGCCGCAGTATCTAGATTACCCTGAAAATAGGGTGCTCCAATAAAATCGACGATCAGATCAACACCACTAGTGAGCTCTTGAAGTCTGGCTGCCCAGTTCTCTGTCTTGTAGTTAAAGGCCTTCGTTACACCGAGCTCTTCTTCGAGGAATTGGACTTTCTCTGGCGAACCTGCTGTAGCATAAATTGCAGAAGCACCTTCAGCTTTAGCTAGTTGAATACCAGCAATAGAGACCGAGGAGGCGCCAGCATGCCATAGGATAGATTGGCCTTGTCTGAACTCGCCAATGAAGAAGAGTGCTTGCGACGCTGTGATCCAGGTCTAGAAGTAATTCATCATTATCAACATGAGTATAAGCTTCCTCGAATACATAAAGACCCGACGTCAATATCTCCAAATGATGTGATATCAGATCACGTACCTCTGGTATACCAGCCGCCTGCTCCCATGAAAGCTCCTTTGGCTTATGGATTAGCATTCTCGTCGAGACCACGATATACTCGGCATAGGCGCCTAATCAGTCACTGTAAGCTCAAATACCATACCCTTTCCCCCTTCCATTAGCCCAACGCATGCAAGTCCCTCTTGGATCCATTGGCAATATACGTACCGCCATATGCTAATCCGAACACCTCATCTCCACTCTTGAATCTAGCCACCTTACTAGCATCCTCATCGCCAAATTCCTCAATAACACCGCTAAACTCCACACCCATGGTTTTCGGTGCCTGAGGTGGTAATACTGGATATAGCCCCTCGCGCTGGAGTAAATCCATGCGATTTAGGCCGAAGGCACGAATCTTCACGAGCGCTTCGCCCGGTGCCGGAACTGGCTTACAGATGTCGCTAATATACATCGCTGCAGCAGGGCCTTTACCGCCTTCGATAGCTAGTGGTTGTCAATATGCTTAATTTAGTTTAGAAAGGAATGAAGGTAACAGAGAATAATCAGCCTTAAAAAGCTGTTACATCTGTGATGACTTCCATAGCCATTATCTTCATGGGTTAGGGCTAGGGTAGTGAGTTATAACATACCGATCGCGCGCATTGTGGCCATGTTGGCTCTGGGATTTGAGCAAATGTTTGAGTCGAAGCAATGTTATCCTTTTATGATTCGGCAGTTCAGTACAAAATTTGGAAGCGGAAAGTCTAGGAGGGGGAATTGGTGTAAGGACCCTGGGTTCTTATTAGCTCGCTTTGGCCACCAATAATGTACAAGGCCAAGAGTTAATCCTGCCTGACCCCGCTTGGTAGATTAGCTCACATATTTAGCTAGGAGATTCTAACCATAAATATCGAATTGTAGCCGGGCTAGATACAATTATAGATAGAATTAATCACTGTTATGAAACCAACTTGCATGATACTAGGCAGAATCTAGTACTATTAAGGGAAGGCGTTTAATTATAGCAGTTAACACCACATCTAGTCATTTCTATGACTAGGTACGTGGGCGGTCAACTAAAAACATAGGCTTAAGAATAACTAATAAGAAGATATGTGATTAGTATATATAAAAGGGAAGTGTATACTATATATACTAGTATATACTAGTACTATATATTAATAGATATACTAGTATATAGGCAGGATATATATAGAAAATTATACTAAAAGAAACTATATAAAATATACTTATCAGTATATTATTAATAGCTCTTTAATCTAAATCATTTAGATATAGTAAGAATTAGTAAGATATTCATACTTATATAGATACTAAGCTATATAGAGGATCTCTTCTATTTTACTTATATTAAGACTTCAGTGCTTTATACTAACTATTATTACTCTATATACTTAGTCTATCTTATCGATGTCAACTATCGAACCTTTGTATGGTTCAACCAAGCCTAGCATACCTCAAACAACACTATTTAGCTAAGGTGGATCCAGGTCCGTGACAATCACTGAAAAAAATTAATCCTCAAAGTTATATTATAATTGATTTTACTTCTTAATGATCAATGCTAGTAAATTGAATATCCTTAAAATTAGCTAGTTTGTAGATATATTAATTATTTTAATCTTTAATATTATACAATAATAATTTGCTTATTTCTAATAATAAGGTGGAGAGCTTCCAGGTGGGAATAGCTTCATGCTAGAGCGTGGATAATTCCTGTAGAAGCCCTAACCACCTATAAAAATGCTATATTGTCAGAAGAAATTAAGAAGTCACAGCCAATGAATCAGACCCCCATGCACGGAAGCTAATGCACGACGGAACAAAAAATTATCCATAATTACTAGGGTTAGGGTATCAGAGCCATCAGAGCCATTTGTTAGTAAATAGATATAATAGCTATGATTAGATCTATCAGAGCTAGTTGTTAAGGATTAGATATAATAGCTATATTAATGATAGAATATATAAGGATATTTATTTATTATATATTTAGTTTTAGTCTATTATCTTGAATTAACTATTTAATCTTAAGTATACTATTATTTATAGATCTAATTAATTTTAGCTTTCTTATTATTATTTAGACATACTGCTCTTTTCTAAATAGAATATTATTTAACTACTATTAAGTAATAAATTTATTCTAATCTAGATAATTATAAATTATTAATTTATAATAATTCAAGACCCTTATTATGAAAGAAAAATTTTAATAAGAAAGTAATATCTATTTCTTAATAAATACTAGTATCTTTTAGAATTTAGATCTATAAGCTAGCATTATTAACACTAACTATAACTCTATCTTATTTATCTAGTAATATTATAACTACTAATAACTAGAACATCACATTTATCCTAGTAAGGATTGAAGAACTTAAAGAATAAGTTATAAAGATATATATTAATAATAATATTATCTAGAAAGAAGTCAAAATAAAGAAAATTAAACTATTCTTAAAAAAATAAAAAATTTTAAAAGTTTTTCTAATAAAGCTACAAATCTACTTTATAAATAATATTAGATAGATTATTATCAAAGCCAATAAAGTCATAATAGCTACTAGCTTCTTTACTAGAGATACTATAATATAGTTTACACCTTATATAAATAACTATCTAATTAGTAATAAAGATTAGTATAATCTTAAGATAATTAATTACTTTAATAGCTTCGCGTATTTCAAAGAAAAATTAAACTAACTATATAGAATAGTAAATAAAGAATTTAATATTATATATTAAATTAAAAGAATCAAATAGTATAGATCTATTAAAAAATATATTATAAAATTTCTCTAAATATCTAGTAAACTATAATAGGAAGAGTAAAAACTATAAAACTAATTCTATAAAAATTTAAAAAAAAATATAAAGAATTAAATCTTATAAATAATACTACAATCTAATATATTAAAAAAGATAATAAAAGTAATATTATAGATTAACTTATAGANTATAAAGAATTAAATCTTATAAATAATATTACAGCCTAATATACTAAAGAAGATAATAGAAGCTATATTATAGATTAACTTATAGATTTAAACATAATAGTTAGAGAAAAAAGGATATTACTAATCTTAAAACTATTAATACTAGTAGAAAGAATACTAGTTAAATATATCTTAAAGAAGAACTCGAGATAAAAATAATAATATTATTATATAAATAAACACTACACTAACTAAAGAAGAAAAAGAAAAATTAATTAAAAAAAAACCTACTTTAATTATAGAATATTAGAATATTTTATAAATAAATATTAAAAATCAAAAAAGAACTAAAAAATAACTAATTAAGATTTATAATAATAGATTATAATAGCTATCTATATAATAATACTAGATAAAAACAGTACTAAAGAAATTTTAAAAATTAATAATAAACTACTAAAATAATATAAGAAAAGAATCTAATAATAAACTAAAAAATAAAAATAATTATAAAAAGAAATTTAATAAATATTAGACAAGCTAATAGACTTAAATAATAATATTAAAAAAGTAATATAACATTATAAAAAAATTAAAATATTTAAAAATATAGAAAAACTCCTATAAGAATAAATAACATTAANAATATAACATTATAAAAAAATTAAAATATTTAAAAATATAGAAAAACTCCTATAAGAATAAATAACATTAAATAAAAAAAAAATACAAAAAATATTAAAAAGAAAGAATACCTAAGTATTTATAGCTATATATAAGAATACTTACCACATGCTTTTAAGAAATAAATAGAGCTATAAGATATAGAAGATATAAGCATCTATAAATATAGAAAAACCTACAGAAGCAGAAGAGTCTAGTAAAAATATTAACTATAAAGATTTCTCACTAATTAAATTATTTTATTCTTAATTAGTATTATAAGATAATAATAAATAAGTAATAAGTTAGCTAGTTTTAGATTAAGAATAATCAAAACCCTATCTAAATCTCTATAAAAGAATAAATTAAATTATAAAAATATACAGAAAAGAAAAACAGCACTAATATATAACTAAATAAGAAATAAATAACTATAAAGCTAAATAAAATTATAAGATAATATAGATAACTAAATAAGAAATTTAAAATATAAAATAAAACTAGAAAGATAATCTATATAATTATATATCTACTAAAGCAACTTATTAGAAAGAATCTTAATATATTTAAAAAAAATATATTAAATAATATAAAAGATATTATAAATAGATATACTAAGATTATCTAATTTATAAATATAATAATAAGATTCTAGCAGTAATATATAAATGAATCTTAAATTCTATTAGATACTAATTATATAGTAGATAATTAAGATATATACTGAACTATTTATATATATATTACTTATACTTAGAAAGATATATATATATTAAAGTTCACTAAACAATATATTATAATAATAGATATAAATTCTACTATCTTAGTAAGAAAATCAATCAGTAATTCTCTAGAATACTAGAGATTATAATATAAGTAAAATTTATATACCCTAATAAAAACCTAACTTATAGATATATATATAAAGAAAATAGATATCTATTTTATTCAAACCTCTTAAAAGAAATATGTAAGGTAATATTTTACTATTATCACTATAATAAGCTATATATAAACTATCTAAAAGAATATATTCAAGCTATTTAAAGCTATATAGAATAGTATTAAGAGAAATATATAATTACTACTATAATTAACTAAAAATATTAAACTATTATTATTCTAGTAGAAATTTATAATATAAAATTACAAATCTTACTTAATTTAGAAGCTACTAGAAATTATATATATTCTAAAATTATAAAGAAGCTACAGATTAAAAAGTATAAAATAAATTAATAGATTAATATTATAGAAATCAATAGAAATTCAATTATGTAAGAATATAAGATTAAAATTAAATTAATATTATTAAAATTAGGATTATATATAATAATAACCATATTTAATATTATAATAATAAGTAGATACGATACAGTACTAGGAATATTATAGCTATAAGAATAGAATCCTATTATTAATTAAATAACTAGAATAGTCTTAATTAATAACCATATCCTAAGAACTAAATTAGAAAAATATAAAGAAATTATAAGTCTATAGAAAAAATTAGAAAAAATATCCTCGCAGATAAGACTAAAGAAAAATACTAGCTTAGATAAACTAGAGGCGTAGAAGATGCTAAAGCCTATTATAAAAAATGAAACTAAAAGAAAGTAAGTTATATTTAAAAAGAATTAGAAGCAATCTAAAAAAAAGTGTAAGAAATCTAAGAAATAGAAAATTATAATATAATTAAAACCTAAAAAATAATATAAATAAGAATTAAAAGAGGTACTTATAAAGTTACCTAAATTAACCGGCCGGAACACGAGTTTCGGCACTTTTTGAAAAACAGTCGTTTTTACATGTTTTAGAGGGCCTTTTAGGCTTCTCAGCACCTAAAAACCCCTATGTGGACGTCACCAGGACCCCCAAAGGCCCCTAGAGGCCCCATATCGACAGGGGGTGGATTAAGGGTCGTTGGTGGCCACCAACCCCCAACACCAGGAAATCAGGCCCCAGAGGCCTCGCAGGCGTCAACCCAGCCATCTTTAAGCTGGTTACACTCAATAAAATCAATCCAGGGGTCTCTAGGCGTCGCCCAAG